GTATTAAAGTTGTGTGTTTCAATGTTCTTATAATATGATAACGCGTTTTTTTCTATTCTTTTTCTAGTTTAACCCATCTTGAATATCACGAGCAAGATGAAATTTTAAAACTTCGAGCTGCATACATAAAGAAGGTAATATCTAGTAAAATATAATTATTTTATTAATAAATGCAAAAAATTAAATGAATCAAGTTAATGGAGAAATAACATAAATTATGAAGCAATTTATTTTAGGGTTAGAGCATGATCACGTGTGCTCTATGGGATTTGAGTTCCGAGCATTAGATAGAGTCCTGAGCATTATCTAATGCGAGGGACTTTAAATCTCATTGAAAGAAATGATCATGCACTAACTGTCTTAGAACATGGCCACGAAGGTGTTAATCTTACCTACGTAATTAGTATTTTCTATTTAGAGAAAATTAATAAAGAAATGAACAATAAAAAACAATTTCCAAATTAGTATTGTCTATATAGAGAATACTTTTGAGCTATTGTATTCCATTGTTTTCCCTCCATCTGTGCAATTCATTTTGTCGAAATTCCGTTTTTCATGTTCATGTTTGTACGTTAAGTCAACGATGTTCATGTTTGTACGTTAAGTCAATGATGTTCATGTTTGTACGTTAAGTCAATGATGTTCATGTTTGTACGTTAAGTCAACGATCTTCATGTTTGTACGTTAAGTCAACGATCTTCATGTTTGTACGTTAAGTCAACAATGTTCATGTTTGTACGTTAAGTCAACGATGTTCATGTTTGTACGTTAAGTCAAAGATGTTCATGTTTGTACGTTAAGTCAACGATCTTCATGTTTGTACGTTAAGTCAACGATCTTCATGTTTGTACGTTAAGTCAACAATGTTCATGTTTGTACGTTAAGTCAACGATGTTCATGTTTGTACGTTAAGTCAACGATGTTCATGTTTGTACGTTAAGTCAACGATCTTCATGTTTGTACGTTAAGTCAACAATGTTCATGTTTGTACGTTAAGTCAACGATGTTCATGTTTGTACGTTAAGTCAACGATCTTCATGTTTGTACGTTAAGTCAACGATCTTCATGTTTGTACGTTAAGTCAACAATGTTCATGTTTGTACGTTAAGTCAACGATGTTCATGTTTGTACGTTAAGTCAACGATGTTCATGTTTGTACGTTAAGTCAACGATGTTCATGTTTGTACGTTAAGTCAACGATGTTCATGTTTGTACGTTAAGTCAACGATGTTCATGTTTGTACGTTAAGTCAACGATGTTCATGTTTGTACGTTAAGTCAACGATGTTCATGTTTGTACGTTAAGTCAACGATGTTCATGTTTGTACGTTAAGTCAACAGTACTACTTTAATAATTTTAGTTTAATTTTCGTGGCATGTATATATTTATGCACATAAAATTTGAAAGGACATTTTGTAGGAGGAAAGTGAGCTTTCGACAGAGTTAGAAAAACTTGAAAGAGAACGTAATCTTCATATTCGCGAGATGAAACGTTTACATAATGAAGATAAGTCAAGGTGAAAAGAATATTTTGTGATAAAAATATTCACTTTACCTCAAGTTAATATAAGATCAATCACTTCATTCTTTAATGTATTGAATAAAATTTATAGTAAGTAAAATGTATGGTGAAAATGTATGGTTGAAATGTATGGTGAGTGAAATGTATGTGAAATGTATGGAAATGTATGGTAAGTGAAATGTATGTGAGTGAAATGTATGGTGAGTGAAATGTATGGTGAGTGAGGAAATGTATGGTAAGTAAAAATGGTAAGTGAAATGTATGGTAAGTGAAATGTATGGTGAGTGAAATGTATGGTGAGTGAAATGTATGGTTAGTGAAATGTATGGTGAGTGAAATGTATGTGAAATGTATGGTGTGAAATGTATGGTAAGTGAAATGTATGGTGAGTGAAATGTATGAAGTGAAATGTATGAGTGAAATGTATGGTGAGATGTATGGGAAATGTATGGAATGGAAGTGAAATGTATGGAATGTATGTGAATGAAATGTATTGATGTATGGTAAGTAAAATGTATGGTAAGGAATGTATGGTGAGAAATGGTAAAGTGAAATGTGAAGTGAAATGTGAGTAAAATGTATGGTGAGTGAAATGAGAGTGAAATGTATGGAAGTGAAATGTATGGTAAGTGAAATGTATGAATGGGTGAGTAAAATGTATGGTGGTGAAATGTATGATGAGTGAAATTTATGGTGAGTGAAATATATGTTGAGTGAAATTTATGGTGAGTGAAATGTATGGAAGTGAAATGAATGAGTGATGTATGTGATGTATGGTAAGTGAAATGTATGGTGAGTAAAATGTATGGTAAGTGAAATGTATGGTAAGTGAAATGTATGGTGAGTAAAATGTATGGTGAGTAAAATGTATGGTAAGTAAAATGTATGGTAAGTGAAATGTATGGTAAGTGAAATGTATGATGAGTGAAATTTATGCTGAGTGAAATATATGTTGAGTGAAATTTATGGTGAGTGAAATGTATGGTGAGTGAAATGTATGGTGAGTAAAATGTTTGGGACTAATATAAGTTTGAAAATCCAGGCATGTTTATTAAATTCGACAAAATTGTTTATTGCTACATAATTATTTTTTTATAGATTTAAAGATAATCCAACTTTATCTGAAAGATATCTTCTCCTTCATCTTTTAGGAAAAGGGGGATTTAGTGAGGTTCATAAGGTACAATAATAGATTGTTATGATTGAAATCTTGTACATATTTTATATTTAAGTTGTGTGTCTTAGGTTATATCGATAAAGGGTAAACATAAATATTTACATTTGCATTGCAATGTTCGCCAGTTCGTTTCCTTATAAAAATATTTGATCACTCTTGCTCAAAATTAATTTGTGTTTTAACATCCAACAGTTGATTTTATAACATTTTGTGTTGTACTGTTGTACAACGATGAGTGGTGTGTGTTTTGCCACCTAAATCTTGTTACGCAATTTTGTGTACTTAATGTTTAACTATTTACTTTCAAGGGATTTGATTTAAAGGAACAACGTCATGTTGCATGTAAAATACACCAGTTAAATAATGATTGGAAAGAAGATAAAAAAACAAATTACATCAGGTACGTGTGTAATTACCTGAGTTGTGCTTGCTATCAGCTCTTTTTTTATGAAGAAATTTTCTTGTTTTAGACACGCTATTAGAGAATACAACATTCACAAGACTTTAAACCATCATGTATGTTGCGTATGCCTTGTCACGTATATGAATGATTTGTGATGAATGGAAACAAGGAAAAATGCTTTATAGAATTCTAACATTTTGTTTGGTTTATTTTGTAGAGAATAGTTCGCCTGTATGATGTTTTTGAAATTGATTCAAATTCGTAAGTTATTTGATAACGATGAATTATGTAATTTTTTCAATTTGGAGTACATTATATTTTTGTGATCAAACATATTGTCTGTTTGTGTAGATTTTGTACTGTCTTAGAATATTGCGACGGAAATGACCTAGATTTTTTGTTAAAACAACACAAAACAATTGCCGAAAAGAGGTATGAAGTAAAGTCGACTTCATTTCTGTCTCATTGAGATGATAACTTTTTAAAATTTTGTTATGATTTTTTCAGGCCAGATCAATAATAATGCAAGTATGTAAGAACGATTGTATTGTTTTTCTTGCTGTACAAACTTTGATACTGAATATTTTTTTAATAAAATAAAAGCTAAGACATAATGTTTTAACTTCAGGTAGTAAGTGCTCTGAAATATTTAAATGAAAGGGAACATCCAATTATTCATTATGATTTAAAACCGGGTAGGTCACTTCAAACACCATTATCAAATATTTATGTCTCTCAATTCATTTGAATTTTGAAAGAAAAGTAATTGAATAATGTGACAGTAGACATATTTTTTTTATAAGTCGAAAAACCTTTCCATTTGCCTACCAACTAATAAGAAAATCAACAGCCAAATTTTTCTTTAAAAAAATCGCCTTTGCGACTGTAAAATAAAATTTTGATATCTCTTAACTTTTGAAAATTTGGCTTGTGTGATGAAAAATATGACTTTACTGTACGTAGGTAATATTCTCTTGGTGGGAAATGGCTCATTGTGTGGCGAAGTAAAGATCACAGATTTTGGCCTGAGTAAAATTGTGGAGACTGAGGACGATAGTATGGAGTTGACGTCACAGGGAGCTGGTACCTACTGGTATCTCCCCCCTGAATGTTTTGTTGTGAGTAATGAACCTCCAAAGATTTCTTCAAAAGTGAGTGTAGGAAATATTTACAGTGAACAAGAACAATTCAGATGTTTCTTGTAGGTTGTCAACCATCTGGTGTTTAGCTGATACAATGCTTACTTTAATATTTTAAGTTTTTATCATATATGTCCTATATACTTAGAGAAACACTTACTCTCCTCTGACTTATAAAAGTGAAATAGAAATTTAATTATTATATTTAATTAAGTTATACTCCCAACTAGTGTATGAATTATCTCGAAATGGCATTGACTACTGAAACCAGCTCATTCATGATATGTACTAGATAAAAAAATGATAAAATGAAATCCAATTTCATCAATAAATTATCTGAGGCCTCGCTCACAATCTCCAGGATTGACAGATCATGCCATTTTTGTTTGATATTCACTGGGCAGTTATAATTTTTGACTAGTTTAAGAGAGTTGGAGAGGGGAAAAGGCTAGATTTGGCTATTGGGGAAGGAACTAGTTTTGGCTAATGGGGGAGGGGCTAGTTATGGCTAATGGGGGAGAGGCTAGTTATGGCTGTACTTAACAGATAAATGTTAATAATATTAAATCTTGCGTAGGTTGATGTTTGGTCCGTTGGAGTGATCTTTTATCAGATGTTATACGGTAAAAAGGTTGTTATTTTTTCCATTCTGTTCTATCATATCGTCATATTTGTAAAGAATGTTTGTTTTACTGAAGTATGGTGTTTGGGGTCCTCCAACTAGTAAACAGAGACGAAGCTTTAAATGATTGACCTGGCTGAATGAAAAGATAGATCTTTTATGTAGTAACTATCCAAATATTTTTCAATACATACATTGCCTTTGTTTCAGAATATTTGTCAGAAGTGTATGCATTTTATTGAAGTTGCATGACTTGAGAATTCCTAGTAATTTATTTTGAAAGAGAAATGAATGCAATATAATCTTTCAAGTCGCTTTTCCCTCAATAATTTACTTGATAAATCGATCAATATATTTGTATGTGTCATGTTCCATTTATAGTAGTAGCAAAATACTCTTTTAATCTTTGCTTTAGTGATGTTTCTATTTCTTCAGCCATTTGGCCACAATATGTCGCAAACCGCAATCCTTGAAAACAAAACCATTTTAAAAGCAACTGAAGTAGAGTTTCCTCCCAAACCTAGTGTCAGTTTGGAGGCAAAGGTATTATTTTGTAAGGCATTCATCAATTTCTTTCGTAGTTTCTCGTCATTATATATTGACTGATTTTGTTATTCGTTGTTCCTGAAATTTTATATACTTACAGAATTTTGTTCGTCGATGCTTGGAATACAATAAAGACAGTCGTGCTGACGTGTTCGCGATATCTGAAGATCTCTACATTAAACCTGGGGCTGGGAAAAAATCGTCAACGTAGCAGACGGTTATCAACTGATGTTGCAATCAGTGTCCTAGAGAGTTACGTTTTTGTAAGGGTAGGTTTTATCATTAGTAGTTAAATACTTTTAAGCTTTTAGGATTTTCTAAAAATTTTTATGTACTATATTTAGATAGTTATGGATTATTTTCGACTGACATAGATGAAAAACCTTGCACAATTTACACGGCGGCTAAACATCTACGTAGTGTGTTTATGTGCAGAAATTTGTGCAAAAATTGTTCAAATATTTACCGAAAAAAATATGGCGATACTCACTAAATGGAGGAAGTGTATTTGTGATGAATTTGATAACAAATAGACTGGAGATAATGTGCGTTCTATCCGGTTAATCCTGTGTGTTTGAACGTGTTTTGTAAATTAGAACGAACACCTAAATATTTCCATTAAAGGACCAAATTTTTGGTCTGGTTATTGCTAACCCATTGCTAACCCATTGCTAACCCATTGCTAACCCATTGCTAACCCATTGCTAACCCATTGCTAACCCATTGCTAACCCATTGCTAACCCATTGCTAACCCATTGCTAACCCATTGCTAACCCATTGCTAACCCATTGCTAAATTTGTAAAAAATTAATAGTAAGATGAATAATTTAGTAGCCATCAATGTGTCATCATTAGAATACAATGTTTAAATCGTATATTATTCCATATGAACTGGGGTAAGAACAGGTGATAGTGATTTATAGCTACTTGTTGAACTTCTGCTCCATGTTTCTTTTGATGATATGAACTCTTTGCTTCTCGTCTGCAATAATTGTGGATATGCTTCGACTGTAGGTGAAGAAACCTCGCACTCAGCATTTTGTCTTTTTATGTATTCATGTAAATATGCGCGAGCTGCTATTCTTCCAGACTAAGAAAACACAAAACATTCAATGTCCCTGATATTTTATGTACACACACATGCATGTGCATGCAATGATAGAGATAGAAAACATTGGATAACACGGAATAGTTAGCATACAAGATTCTTTTCACGGTTGATGCCAAATTACTCAATATTATGGAGCATCAAAATTTTTATCTACTCACATTTGAAACGGTGTTGGGCGCGGAAGGATGCGAGTAATGACCAAAGTTTTCAAGTTGCAAAAAATTATTGCTATTCGTCAAGTCTGGCCATTTCGCACAGCACTGCATAAATATGCTTATTTTTTGCATAGTGCATGTGTTGTTGAAAGACAAAAAGGCATTTTGAATCTAAGTGTGGGTAGACACTTTGCCCTATCACCCCTCCCCTTCCCTCCACCTTCCTAAGATACAATCGACTGTACGAGATGAGATTTTTTCATTTTTACGATATAAAAGATCCAGGTGTTTATTTCTATACCTCAATAAGAAAAACTTTATCTTCATTTTCCAAATTAAAGTCATTTGCCTCCACATAGTCTGTATCAATTCCAATTGATCGATAAACGTCACGTTTCTAAGAACATTAACTTATTGCTGCAAAATACTTTTTGTAATTTGTAAATACAAGTTATTGTTGCAAAATACTTTTTGTAATTTGTAAATACTAGTCATTGTTGCAAAATACACGACTTGTGTATTGTTGTGTATGGTTGTAAGGCACTTGACCTGTATGTTGTTGTGTTGCTAATGACTTGTGTACTGCTGTAAGCTATTGTATTGCGATTGTGTGTTGTATTGTTGTTTACAAAATAACCACTACACAACTCGTGCCATGATTGGTCTATAGCAAAGTTTGCATTAGCCTGTACAAACCAATCTGAGCTCATTGAAATCAATGAAAGAGAATTCGCAAATCAATCATGAATACATATGTGGGAGAAAATTTTAATATTTGCTTTCAATTTATCTGTTTTGCACTGTTTTTTTTTCATAAAAGAAATGAAAGATGTTTTTCGTGTTTGCACTGGCTTATGAAAACCCATTGAACTAAAATACATGGAACGCTGCCTGAAGCAAATAATTGAAGCCAAATCTTACATCAGACACGCGAGATTTTACCCCAGACACGCGTGTGTAGTGTTTCGAGATTCTCTCGCGGAGTGAAAATTGATTACACACGCGTGTCTGAGATAAAATCAAGGCTTCAAAAAATCATTTGGGTTTTGTATTACAGGTAGCGTTCCATGTATTTTAGTTCAGTGTAAAAACGTCGAAGACATTTGTAAAAATTCCATCAAAAAGGTGCTAACTTCTATGCACTGATCAAGTCTTCAGTTTTCACAAACGTTTCCTTGATTTGGATAAGCTTGTGCATAGTCAAATTACGAGAAACATCAAAGTACCTCAACAAATACACGTTTGGCATTCACTTGTAACGCTGTCTAAAAAGAATTAATAAATTTACTCACTGGTGGACTTTGTAAAGCAAATAAATTTGTGTAACATTACGTACTTGCAAAGTCTGCAAAAAATCAGGCAAGTTTTTTATTTCTTTCCTGGTGTATCCGAGAAATCTTTTTTTTAAATTTACGCCTTTCTTCGCCACAAAGGCCATTAATTCCTGAAACGTGATCTATGAAATTTTTTTCAATCAGGTCAGTGGCGGATCAGACTACGTAAAAATAGATTACTGCAGCACATTTTTGGCGTATATTTACATTTCTAAACACCTTAGAAGCTAATCCATTGGTAAAATTATATTCTTTAGAAATAAAAACCATTAGTGTTTTTCTGAAGGTAATTTAAATTTAAAATTGAGGAGCTATAATTTATTTTGACGTACACTAGATCCGCTACTGAATTAGGTTGTTTTAATTTTCACTGAGTAATTTTTATTTCCAGTAGAAGATATTAAAAAGTATTTTCTCTTATGGTAAAGAAAAAAGTGTTTTCTCGTAACAAAATCATTAACGTATTAACCAATACGTTGTTAACCAATAGTTAATAAGTCATTAACCAATCAAATTACTCGTAACAAAATCATTAACGTATAATATTTTCACAATACCAGACTAACCTCTCCATCATTGTCGTTGTCTACTTCTGAGAATGCTTGCTTTGCGTCACAATCATCGCCAAACAATTGCATTAAATCATTTGGGTGAAGATTTACAGGTTTTTTGAAAACTGTGCTAAATTTTTGCAAGTTTATTAGGCTGTCTTCATTTAAATTGTTGATTTCCAACTCCTAAATTATAAGTCATATAGAAATCATTAAATGTAAGTTTTTTCAGATATCAGTTTAATATGTTTTGATCTATTGAACTACATAAAAAAGTATCTTTTTTATTATATAAACTTTATCAATTTTTCTAAGCAACGGCTAAATTCTAGCGATGTATTTATGTATGTTTAAAAGCACAAAAAAGACCACATTTCTTTTCAAAACGTCATGAAGTTTATAATAAAAAAAGTCTTATCTGTGATAAACAACAAATCGATATGGGGATAAAATATTCAAACAAATCAATGCATGGCGGCTGCGTGCATTTAGAAATTTTCAATCTTAATTGCTAGTTTACCAAAATGTGCTCATTTTAGATTAGCGAATGGCTTAAATAAAGCAGTAAATAGTTCTATACAGACCTACGTTTGAGAATTTGATTTGAACTTTGCACACAGTTCTAAAGTTATATTTTTTAAACATAAGAAGTCTTGTAAATTTACTCTACATATTCCACTCCATATTTATAGCCCAACTATACTATTGTTCCACTCCATATTTATAGGCAAACCAACTATATTTATAAATAAAAATGACGATACTTGTTCACAAAAGCATGTCACTTTGATGTTTCTAAGATCTAGGAGATTATACAATTTACAAATGTGTTACATTGATGTCGATTCTTGAGTGCGAGCAATAGCGTAACCCGACATGCAAGTCTTGTTACGCCACTGCAACTAAACCATACAAAATATGTCAATTACTTTGGACATTTAGTTAAACCCACCAACAATATAAAACAAAACAGATGATCCATTTAGTTTGAAGTTCACATATATAGCTACCAACTAGCTATGTAAACTTTATGGAATTGTTGTTTTATTATAAATCAATTTTACCTTCATAAATCTATCAACAATGTGAACCATATGTTCGTGTTCAAATTTTGTTTTTTGTTGTTTTCGCTTTAGTTTATATCGTTGTCTATAACCGGAAAAAATGTAGAACTGAAATTATTAAAATACACGAACGAGTCTTATAAGTTTTGATAGCTGTATAAAATTGATTAATATAATCGAGTAATCAACATTTCAAGATAAGTTCAACTAAAATTTTAAATTGATATTCAACTTATCAAATGAATACCTGCAAGAGCAAGCCTTTTATCGAAATAATGAAAACTATTGAGTATTTCAATGTAAAAATCAGTTGAGTTTTCAACTTCATTACACAAGTTGTTCACATACTTAGCAAGTTTTGTGTCTGGAGGAGATGGTGGTTTGTTACCAGGTCTGTCTGATAATGTTGTCTTCATCAATTCTGTTTCACTGTTGGAATACTAAAAATCATAATTATTCAATTATTTCAGTTATTTACCAATCATTTGCTGTCAAAGTATCATTGCTCACTAACAAGAATTATTCCCAGCGTTTTTTCATTCCAAGTTCCAAATCGTTCTGATTTTTCATAAAGTCTTTCAAAGTCGTGTATCGAAATTAAACGTTTGAAAAACGCATCCTGTGATTCCATTGACAACCACCAACCTTTAGTACACGCAAAATGTACATATAAATATAATCTTCTAATAATATTTTGAATAATTGTTCTTTGAATGGTTAGAGAAATATTTTGTACATGCTCATAATTTCTTACATACAATGAATGGCGTGAATTAGTTATTAATACTGAGCAAAAATATCAATCTTGTACCATCAAACACGTGAATTGGGTAGTTACACAGTAAACCACCATCAACATAGACATCTTCTTGACCATTGAACGTTTCTCGAACAACCTGATAAACACCTAAAACATGTACGAAAAATTATGGATATTACAAACTTTGCATAGTGAAAACTGAATTTACTTTCTATTTCATAAGAAAAAAGTGAAAGTATTGCTCACATTAAATGCTAATTTTCAAGTAAATGAAATGTCAAAGTGTATATCATCCAACTTTTTATAAGATTTACGAATTCGCACTTTAGAGTAATCAAGCCTTTCATCTCTTCTCAGTCATTACTCATAATTGGACTCATTTTAATTTACCTGGTAAGGCCATCGACATTTTCACAGCCTTTCGTAATGGGACGTTTGGGGTTGTTTTAGGATGAAAGTATTCTACCGACATATGATTTAAATTGGTAACTACAATACATATCTCTGTGCCAAACAGACGAAATACCTACAATACACATGCTAAATGTATATGTCATTATGATAAATGAATTCACAGGGCGATAAATTATGAAATTTTTTTAACCTCTTTAAAAGTGATATTGCTATCTCCAGTTCTTTCTTTTAACTGTTCACCAAACCAATGGTTTAATTTCTTGCCAGAATTCCAACCAAAACCTTTTCTTAGATTTGGTAGAAGACTACAGTATCCGCAGGAATGGTCTAAATATACCATAAACCATGTTAAATATACATAATTATGCAGACAGTTTATATGGTAGCTTTTGCCTGTTCAATTATCGCAAAGTAGTTTAAAATATTTGGTTCTCGTACATATAGTTGTTTGTTAAAAGTACACTGATGTATTGGAGTTAATCTACAATCGTATTTGAAGGAATTTTATGGGAATGTATGGAGATCTACCTGATAATACTTTGCCAACATCCTGACAAAGAAACTGCTGAAGTTCTTCCGGTGAAACGCGAATTGCTACTAAAGATGCGACCATAGCACCAACACTTGCTCCAGCAAATCGTTTTATGTTTTTTAATATTCCCACTTCTTCTAATACCTGATTGGCATTCATTATACATTACTGTACAAATATTTGTACACATTAAATTTATGTAAATTAAAATGTAACTGTTCTCAGTCATCCTATAGTGTAAGGCCTGGTTCACACGAATGAAATATGCATAAACACAAGCTAAGACAAAAGATTAAACAAAAAGAATAAAGGAAGCAACATAAACTTTTACGTAAACGCAAGCATATGAAAAGATTTAAGCATAAGCTAAAATAAGAGTGAAAGAAAAACAAAGGAAGATTTAAATAGATTTTTCTTAGTCTTTGTAAACTGATTTCTTAGTCTTTAGACCTCTAAAGAACTAGAAATAAAAATGTTGTCGTTCTTGCTAAAGATATACTTGTGAACCAGGCCAATAACCCCAGGCCTTATAAAATTTGGTAACCTTTTTTTGTGGTCTTCTACATGGAGGAACCTATGTACGATACTACAATTGTCTTTGAACATTACAGTATTTAGTATAGTATATGTGCTAATACAGACTATTGTGGAATGTGTTGAGTGCCACAATCGTGATGGTAATACTGGTGAATTCGCCACGGAGAAATTATGACGGCCATAACATTGTTAAAATTTAAAATTGTTGCCCATATAACAACTTCCATTCCAATGCTTCTTAAAGGCCTGGGTAATGAGTTGGTCGTTTTAAAATTTAGGTTCTTATTAAACAATTGATAGATTTGCTCATCGGAATATATTTTGTGAATAAAGCATTCGTTTCATGACAGTATTTAAGATTATATTACTGTGTCATTGTCTTTATGTTAATATGAAAAAGCCAAAATTGAACATACATTACAGTGATTTGAAGATGAACATCAGAACATAATATACCTGTAATGCGCCAACATAAGCAATACCTTTGCTTCCTCCTCCTTCAAATACAAGATTTTCAAAAGAAAACTCTTGTTTTCCAAGAAAAACATCCTCCATCGACCTACTGCCTTTAAGAAATGTGGATTCCATGTAAGGTGAGCCGGCCATAATCAGGCTTGTTGCAGATACAACAAAATGTCCAGGCGTGTAGTTTGAATTTCTTCTTTCGTTTAGATGTCCTGGTGTGAGTTGTAGCGAGGTTCTTTTTCTTATGTTATCAGTTGCAAAAGAATGCTTGTGATCTGAAGGCTCTGATGTTTTACTTGAAGCGACAGGACTAGAGGTAAAATGTTTCATTTTTTGCTCTTTTTTCTCTGTGTATGAATATTGAGAAATATTCACTTCAGCTGTAACTTTAATGATGTTCTTTGTATGACTTACTCTTCTCACATTTGCCATGTGTTTTTTTGATCTTATCTGAGCTTTTTTATCATTCCATGAATCTTTAGATTTCTGTCTCATTTTTGTCAACCTTAAAGCACAAAAGCCGCTTTATCTACGACGAATATCTGTGCATTTTACAAAATCTATATGTGGGATGATAAACATGATAGATAAAACATATGTATTCAACTGCTGAATCATGTTACTTTACAGTAGGATACTTAAGCTAAGACATAGAAAAAGATTTTTTACGGCAAATGGCTGTTCAATTTTGTGATAAAAATCTTTGTTATCCCCAGTACACCCCCTCCATGTTGTTATAAACGTATTTGTACAACAATGATTTCTACTGACAAAGTCAACTGCTTTGTCATAAAAACATTACGATACTGTGTTTTCTACGTGAAAAGTTTTGCAAATTTGGTTTATTTCTTTGAAAGATACTTTATATGATATTTTCGTGCGTAGAAAATTATCGGTTTATCATAGAGACTATGCAAATTTAGAATCCGTTTAAATATAGAGACTAATGCCAATGAATTATTTTTGCAAGATGTTACATTCTATGCCTAAACTTCAACTAAGAAATAGCTATTTTGTAAAACAGCATCGTTAAAAGTTTAAAAACATGAGTGTTACAGCATACAATAGTGCATACAATTGCTATATAATATTATCTCACCTAAATATGATCTTTTGCGTCGGTTTTGCGAATTTAAAAAATTGTTTACTAACCACAAGTTTTAATCTTTTACACAATATATTGGCGTATTTACTTTTCCACAATAAATATATATCGTTGAAACTACTCCATGATACCATTATCAAATCACCACTGGGAGAAAGAATGTCACAATGATGTTACTGAAATGTGTTTGTATGATTATGCAAATACGTTTGGTTCACAGCTAATACGATCAGTTCATAAAATTTTCCTATGAAAATATTTTCTTTTTATTCCTTTAAATATAATCATGTGGAATTTGTGTTGGGTTCTTCTTGTTCTAAATGAAAAAAATGAACGAAATAAATAATACATTTCAAAGCTTAGCAAATGCAGTGGGTGAATTTCACCGTTTTTTACAAAACCGTTATTGACATGATAAATGTGAGGTTGAGAATATTAGCTGACATTATGATCGTAACTTAGCAATTAATAAAGTTGCATTAGTACAATATTACTAATGATTGAGCATTTCTGAGGTATAACATCCACACAATAGCTAATGTATAATTAAATATTGCACTTCTTAAGTGAAGAAAAAAATTTTTCAAAAGAAATCGTAATATTTTATCAGCCATTGCTTAGTTTGTCATATTAAGTTTTTGATTCTTTCATCGCGTGTCAGAATTCATTGCATTAATTAGCCACTTAGTAAATCTAACTACCACACATTGTCTTTGTTGTCTTTTACTCATAATTTCATAAAGTTTGATGAAAAAATTAACTATGTAATAATTCATACTTTATTGCATTCCTTTCACTATAAAATTAAAAGTAGGGCAAACACTCTAAATTTGAGTTAATCATACAAGATGAAAGTTTCAAAACAAAAATGAAAACAAAAAATGTCTTCATACAACTTTTGGTATAATCTTCCAGTTTTCCACTATTTTACAGATAGCTAAACAAACTTTTATTTTTCTTTCTCAACCAGCAGTTGTCCTCTATAATGTCATGTCATGTAATATTTGGTCATTAATAGAATATTTATTACACGACGTTTAGCAACAATACACACTTTACTATTTAACGCAGGCTCAATAACATTTCACGCGTTCCGCAGTATTCATCAATAGAAATCTAAATAAATATTTAAGGTACAATATCAAAGTTTTAACATGAATTTTATATTTGGCATTATCTAAACAGTTTAATAGGGTAACGAGGCAAAAACGACTCTTTACTCATTGCATGTGCAAATTAATGTAACTAATTATTTTTATTACAAAAAATATTCCCAGACTTCCTGGCATAAGTACAAAAATGATGTCATATTAATTTCGCTGCTTAGCAACTACAAAACACACTTGTCATAAATTACGATCTCTTTTACTGACATTGTGCATAATCTTCACCACGCAAAACCTGGAGTAGAAATAATTTATCGGCTATAAGTAAAAGTGATCAACAAGTGTAGAATGGATACGTGCATGTCAGTAAAAGTTACTTTGTTGAAGTAGTTCAAAAAAGTGTGAACTACTCGCTAATTGTGTGATTATTATTGTGTCTCTTTAAACCAAATTTCAAGGTAAACGTTTGGCTAAAAAATATGCAGAGTTTTGGAGTTACAAATTCTTGTTAAGTGAGCAAATATGAAACACAACTCACATAAATCAAAGATGTATGTAGACTATTTATGGATGCCAAGGCGAGTCAAAATCAACATGACTGCAACATCAACAAACTCCATCATTGTCAGAATACTTGCACCAAGAAACAAACCCATTAAGCCACCAATTTCACCTAAAAAAAGATAAAAAAAATACATGCAAATCAATGTACGTTGCTCTTATTTTATCAAAAAAATATCCTGGAATAAAAAACGCATAGGATATGCAAAATATTTGAATTTATCTTTGAAGAGTGTTGTGAATGAAATACCATAAGATGTAAGGTGTTCTTATTTCTAAATGGATAATGAAAATGACAATTTACCCAGTAAACTTTGTAAGGTATATGCTGGAACTTGTCTGAGAACTTTGTAAATCAGATCTTCGTAAAAGACGTCTATTGCAACCATATTTGTCCTACAAATAGATCATACAAATACCTAAACATAGTGCTATTTATTACAATTTAGTACGTTTTATCTTTATATTTTGTGAACGTCTAGTTTCAACTTTAAAATAAATATCAAGGGCAATACATTTCAGACACAAAATATTACCATTTATGGTAGCATTCTGAATCTTATGAGAATTGAAATGAACAAATTGACGCAGGTGATTTTAGCATAAAATAGTTGACTATTTGTACACATGTTCTGTTTTGCAAATTTGTGTTGACTAAATCATATTACTAAGTAACTATGAAAGTGCTATATACCATTTACTGTTGATATTTTCATCAAATTTGATAAAAACAATAGTTTGAAAATAAATAAGAATTTAGCTGTAAATGTAGCTGTGAAAAAGCCGTGGATTTCTTGCATAAATGCCTGTTTATCATTTGTGAGGTGTATTGTTTTCAACAACAAAACATCAAATTAAAAGTTTCTATTCCATGTTAGCTAACTTTGTAACTTTTAGTCATCGAGAAATCATGATTTGTGAAAGCTTTATCTTTAAGTGTTTGATTTTAGATTATCTTCATGACAATCATATTTTCTGTGTTGTTGCTTTAAAAGGAGCACTGGCTTTTTGTTTGTAATATTTTAAATCACGTGGCTCCAGTTTTAAGATCATTACTTTATACAAAACCTTTAAAGGTACAATATAATTGTTAAAAACACATTAGAACTACATGTTAATGTATATAAGAACTTGTGAAATAGACACATAATATACCTATCAATCGATTTGTATTCTTGTTTGACGTTTATTTCGTTTGGCTCCCTTAAACAAAATTAAAATTTTCGCAAAAAATGTAAAAGAAATTCACCATCAAAAGTTTTGTTATTGTTGACAATTTTAAACAGACCTAGGATGGATCATTCATGCCTAAAATTGAAAGCTTGCAATATATTTTGCTCTTCTGTGTTCAAAAATAAACTAATGCATGAGGAGTTTGAAGTTCTCAAGATGAATGGTGAAAAGTAGCTACCAAGCACTTTCTTTTCATATTGTGCTATTTCATTTTGTGCTATTTTTCCCCCTTTGTTAAAATTGGGGAAAATATCATAAGGTGCAAAATCAGAGATCAAGTGTAGAAGATTTATCAAATCTCTTTGCTCCGTGTCGTTCATTTTGGAACTATCAGAGGAAGAAGGCAAAAAAATTGAAATCCTTTTTACAGTTGGAATTATTGCAGAGTTTTGGATACAGACATTGGTGGTAAGAACACCGTAGGATACTGAAACAAACGATTAAAGTATATTATGACCGAAAAAATAATGATAGAAGTGAAGCGTGAAAAATTTGTGAGTGGAAGATTCAGTAAGAAGTAAATGGATGAAAGTGATTTCGGTGTGCAGCCGAAGTACCAGCTTTATTGTCGCAATTAAAATGGAGTTTTCTTGTTTATACATTAACTTATTAATAAAGTAGATAATTATGATACAGATAACATGGGTTTATTATTGAATATACTTAGTACGGGTGAATTTTAAAATAAATGATGGTTGTAAGGGAAGATTTTAAAACAAATTATGGTTGTAAACGATGTGTAATCAAAAAAAATCAAAAAAACGTTGGAAACACTGTTTGCATGCATTCTTGAAGTTCATGGTTTTGAAGGAGTCTTCATTAATTAATAATAAAGAAATGGATGTTCTTGACAAGATAAAAACAAAACGAACGGATAGAACCCGTTGATTCAAAATTAAAAAATATATTTTGTCATTGCCTTTATGCTTCGAAAACAATTTTTTTGTTTCATTCTACGTTTAGAAAATATGTGGCCCAGCGTAGCCGCATATTTATAATGCAATTGCCTCTCCTAAACTATGTAGCTAATTGAGTTTTAAAATTTGTTCTTATAAGGCTTGGAAAACCTAGAGTAAAGTAGCGAACTTATAGATTTTCTTTGTAAAATTTTTGCCACTAAACGTAATTTTATCAAAAATTAAAATTAAAAAATCACACCAAACTTCTATACAAAAGCACCTCTGTACGATGTTTCCCGGTAAATATCTCGTGCGTTTGTTTAATATTAATTAATAGGAACTTAGCAAGTCATGATTCGTATAAATTATATATTAAAGAGAGGTATTTGTGCCTTTAGCTGAGTAGATCATCAGAAAAATAATTATCAAATAAAAAAATAGTGCTAAGATCTTATATGAAAGATGCTTGACAATTGGCTTGATTCACCATTTGACCTTTGACATGCTACTTTATTCATAGTTTTGTGGGTGCTTCAGCACATGTGATTGCGACCTTGTGAAAAGTTTTTTATATGATACAATGAACTCTGAATGAATGATTGGAAAACTGTTTTAAAATGAAATGGAGAAGTTGAATAAAGTGAAAACAATAGTTATTCAAAAGAGTCTCCTTTGTCAATGTCACTGAAAAGAGATAGCATCGGGCTTCTAAAGCTCATTGCTCACGTCTGCTGTTTGTGGAGATCGAAACCATTATTTTTAAGTAAGCACTTAATCTCTAAACGTAAGGTGCGAAGCTGTGGTTTTGTAGGATTACGGAATTACCATTCTTTGGCTTTTTTTTGAAAAAAAAAACAAGTACTGAAAAACATGATAAAAGATTATTATTATGTAATACTGTTCTTATATCAAAAATATAGTATCAAAAACAGGTTAGTCAGTTTTGACTTGCAATTAATCAGAATATTTTGTTAATGTTTATGATATTTTTGATTGACCGGATGAATGGATAATCATTTGTTAAGAATATTATTGAAGAAATTTTGCTGTCTCGATTTTGTTTGGGTAGCGCCAACTGCACTTAACATTTTTGATTTTACAGTGGAGTTGGCGAGTTTACAATTGTTCATATCAGACTACGTTATGAAAAACAATATTTAGGAATTATTATTTGCATTATTATTTTATAAAAGAAATAAAAATATAAATCTGCTTCACAAAATTTTTTACTGTTTCAAGTATTGCCCCTTGATGATAAATATTGCAATTTCAATTTGTATAGCACTGTTTAAACGTTGTCATTTTATAAGTGCCTAATTGACAGTAACAATACCTGAAGTTTTGAGATGTTGTGTTTTCAGTAGCTGCATAAAGTGTTGCTGATGCATTACTGGGGAAGGAACCATAAGAAAGATACACGTTATATTTCATTGAGTCACATGATTCAGGGCATTCACATTTGGAACTATTTGATGAACTGGAATACTTCTCTATAAATTTGAATGAATAAATAAGTCAGATCACATTTGATTTATTTCAAACTTGTGAAATGGGTGAAACAGCTTGTATAAAGACAGTTTTCACGCAATTTTGGTCACAACCGAATACTTAGAATATAGCGCTCTCTCCACCTTACGCTTCTTTCTTCCTCTCCAGCTTAAGCCTCCCTTTCTACTCCAATATCACTTGACTCAATATCACTTGACTACCATTATCCTCCCTCTCCCTCCATCCACCATTCTCTCGTCACCACCCTCCACTATATTGCTACAGAAATTTTTGAAAACAATCGCGAGAAGAATTTGTATTTGTCAAAGACTCCAAGACTTTATCATTTACATATTACAGTTAGATTGTATCATTTGTGTACTAACCTTCCAAGGGATATACACAGTTCAAATACTGTTTAACGTTACATGGTTTGTACTTTATATCTATAAAATGATGTCAAAGTATTTGTTGAGAATCCAAAAAACATGGGTTTAAAAGTCCTGAAACCAGGGAGGTATATTTCGGATAGTAATTCCTTCTGTCAACTCCATAAAATACATTCAGCATGTTCATGGCTATATTCATATTTCATTCATTTCAAAATATTTGGTTTATTGTTTAATAAGACATACTGTAATGTAAATTTTACGCGCATGCATAAATTTATCAATATATAGTATACAGTTACCTCTCATATAAAATGTTTGACACTTGCATGATTTTGCAATGTAGTTCTGTTTACAAACTTCATAACAAGCAGCAATAGTATATTTTTTCACTCCTGGAAGTTTCTTATCTTCGCACATTGTTTTATAAGGAGACTTTAACGAAATTGTCTAAAAATAATAATTCAAGATTTTCTGTTATAACGTTTCTATTATTAGATGCCATAAAGGTACTGAGTATTTCCCATGTTTGCCAAGTCAAGAATCAATGTTCGTCTTAATCACTAACATAATGTACACTTTATAAAACAATTATACATCAATTGTCTAAAAATAATAATTCAAGATTTTCTGTTATAACGTTTCTATTATTAGATGCCATAAAGGTACTGAGTATTTCCCATGTTTGCCAAGTCAAGAATCAATGCTCGTCTTAATCACTAACATAATGTCCACTTTATAAAACAATTATACATCAAATTCAGTTTTTATATAACAATACTTACAGAAAGTACCGTTTATCCTATTCAATAAACATTTGTAAGCCACTTATGTAAAATATCACTGTAGAAAATTATGAAGATTATTGGAAAACAGTCAAAGATAAAGTTGTACATTCCTGGTATTCGTACAATAGAAAATATACTTAAAGGAAATCGTGTTTGATCAAAAGCTCATCATTAAGTCACATATTCATATAATTTACTAACTTTTTACTCAGTATTTAACGACAATTAAATAAGTAGTTTTAAAGGACATAGCAAGCCATTTATAAACAACAGCAGCAGCATTATTGGCTGCTCAGCTTGTCTACTCACCCTTTGTCGTGTAATACTTGCATAAACATGAGATCCTGGCATTACTGCAAAACCTAATCCTGAAACCAGAGGAAGTTCATCTGGATCATGTATTCTAATTTTTAATCCAGCTGAAAACTCGAGAAATCCAATGTATTCTGATTGTTCTACTGATATCCTGAGATGTAGTCCAGAATGTTTGCCTGGAGCAGTTACTTTACTGTTGTTGCTTTTATCTGTAAAAATTCATTAATATTGTGAGTTTGAAGAACTATATTAAGATACACAATGATTGTATTTCATCGTTAATATTTGACATCAAAGCAAAAATTTCGATTTGGGTTTATAGTATGGTAATTTTTGAATTTCTAAAACAAAACTATCTGGTGTTTCATAAAAAACATTTTCAAACTAAAATACCTGGAGTAAACGTGTGACAAAGACCCATGTCTGTTAATGTTGGTTTAAAATATGTTTTATCGCATATTTCTCCTTTCCATGTGCAATAATAAAGCATTCCCTTCTTAGTTGTATTGTCATAGTCCATTTGATGGCTTACATTATAAATGAATGCTGTCATATTCAAATCATTGATTTTGGGGTATTTTGTCCAATCGACACTGTTGTTTTCATTTTCATAAAGAGGGTATTTTTTTTCAATTACTTTGAAAAAGTCTGTGTCTTTAATAAAACTTTTTCTGTACTTGTTGAAGTTACAAAATGTTATGACTGGAAATTTTACTTCTTCTTCAGTTACCAATTCAATGGAACTGGTCACATCAAATTCCAAATATTTCTGAGCAATTGTTGAAGTTTGCCATATGAATAAAGAAAACATAAAACCGTGCAGAATAAGCCAAATAAAGCGTTGTAATCCTGGACGTTTTTGAAACACGTAATGAAGACCATGTAAGGTTGAATTTCCTACAAAATCCTCCCAAAGATATCTGCCAAGATGCTTTCTCTTTTCTTTAACACTCAACTTGGAATATCCTCCATTTAGTTCCTTCAGTTCATCAGAGTGCATGATTTCTATGGGAGAGAAAGATGATTTCATAAAGAAATTGATTATACCATCATCAAGATTTATAGACGCTCCTCAGATTACGGCATTCAACAAAGCATAATAGCAAACGTAGAACTAATCAATATCTTGTTGAGTCAAATTAGCCAAATCATGCCCTGTTAGAAATTCATCTTGCCCGCTGTACAAATTTATATAATATTTATTCGTGGAAGTTTTGTCTGAAATAATAAAGAAATTCGATTCTTTTTTACTAACTTAAGTTGCTCGGTCTTTGCGAAGAAGTATTGCTTTTGCTTTTTAGTTACACAACGAATGACATAATACCCGAACTATGGCATCGATTATTGTAGTTTTGACATAATACATCTTCTTTCTTAGTTTCCTCAACCGAAAATACCCTAACATTTATTAGCTATGTATCTTTTGAGATGTCAAGAAACGTTTTTCATCTTTCAAACAAGAGTCAACCTTACTTTGAGCTTAAAATCGAAAGCCATAAAGATCAGCAAAGATTTGTGATCGGCAAAGATTTATAACTAGTAGATTTAGTTTGTGAGATTATTGTTCGTTAATCCTTGAATGTATGGGTGTGTTCTATAGTGTAGCTATATGTAAGACAGGTTTTTGTTGAGCCTACAGTTAAGATAGTTCGAAATTCTCAAAAAATTGTATAAACTCAAACAAAACTTTGGCTATTTTGAACGTTTTGGTGCCTATAAAACTGAATTGCATTCATATTGCATCATAATTGGAACATCTTAAACTTTAGTTTGATGACATCGCGTATCATTTGAATAGTTCTCTATTACGTATATGGTAAACACGAAGAAAAAAGCTTAGTACTAAAATACATAAAGTTATCATTCAAGCACAGAAAACAAAAATTTTAGTGAAGTATTACTATATGTTATTTACCGGCTGAGAGGTCCCGATAGGAAATGACTTTTCCGCGGTCTCAAAAAGAGCCTGAGGCCGAGGGACGTTTTTGAGACCAAGGGGAAATATTTTTCCATCCGGACCGACCTAAACAATTGCCTCTCCTAAACCATGTAGCTAATTGAGAGTGGGAAAAAATAACATATCGTTATCCTGCTACAACAGATCATAGAGCATTTCAAGAAACGCTATGTATGAATCAGAAATGTCTTATTTCATACTAAGATCAAAAGGCTCATTGTTTGGTTATTTCCTTAGTCTTCTGTTGTAATAAAAATGTAAGGCTTTAATTTCGAATACTCGTCAATAGATATCAGGTGTTTTTTAAATTGACGCCATGTCATATGTTAAGTGCGTAAGTTTCAAAAGCTAACGAATCAATCGCAATTAAACATGCAGCAAAATTAGTTTTTACCACACAATTAGACACATTTAGTGTGAGGTATACAGGAATTTACAATACGTGACTATGCATAAAGCAAAACTATTGTATTTTGAAATGCTTATGTTGCATTTCACTTATATTTGTGCTTGAATAACCTTTGGTTACTTAAAGTTAATATAATCTAACTTTATTAAAAATAATTTACGATAACATGAGAATTTCATGGACAGTAAAATATTAAACAGGCGACTCACTTTTTTGTAGCATGTCGATGGAGCTCAACAAATATGATTATTTGGACGCATCTTAACTTCTAGCTTTTTATGATTTAGCATGCTTGCATACTGCATGACAGGTAGTATAAAAAAACTGGTGACATGATTCGTTTTAATGTGTCTACGACAGCAGGTATTTGTAATCGTAAATGAAGCTTTATATACGTGTTTCACTCAGTCAAGCCAAGACACGCAATCGTAAGCATAGTTTGTGAACTCCATCTGTGCACTCCTATGTACGTATAGATGCTAAATTTATTCCAATTTGGATGAATAACATTAAGAAACCTAATTCAATTGGAATCAAAATATGCTATAGGTACAAAATAAAAGCTATCCTTTGCAGACCTCAACAAAGGTCCTATTGGAATAAATTTACTTTGTCGTTTGATTATTTCTTATGTTATTGTGAAAAGCAATAATTTTTTAATATTTGAGGTCAGTAATATTAATTATTTCACAGTATGCTCATTAAACACAAATGAAGTATTCATTTGTGTGAGGACAAAAAACGAGCTTCCAGCTTCATGTCAATGTAATTCCTTTATAGAAATATGAGTAGATATCATATGGATAAAAACATTTCTTTTACCTTGCAAGGTTTTTCTTCGTTCAGTTCTTTATTTACTGTTACTAACAGAACTAAATATACATTCGTGAGAATTTCCCCAGTTTAAGATCAACAATGTTTCAAATATAATGCTCAATATGACCATAAACCACTTTTTCCGCCTGACTATCAGTATATTTCTATTACTTTAATAATGTTAACAACATCTGATTTTTTTATGTTGTTTTTATATCATTTGTGTTTATATTCATCCGGTTATAATGTACGTCACAGTTTGACATTTTGTTTCTATTGTTGCTGTCGTTTCAAGTATCAAGGTAGACGTTAATTTAATCTCTATGAATAAATAGTTAATGTGAGGTTTTTTTTATCACGCAAATTTATATCTTTTCACCTTAACATCTGTTTCTCATGTAGCCCCAAATATAATTTTTATTTAATCTTGCTATGTAATAAAGTTACAATTACTGTTATTGTCACTAATTTGTAATTACTTTATTCTTTCACAAACAAAAGGCTCAACAATTTTAAAGCGGAGCAAATCTTCAATAGATAAAAGTCTTCTGGTCTTTTCTGCCATAGATAAAATAATTAGATAATTTCGAACTTGGGCACGAGATTTTTATCTAACCAGCATTGAATTTGTATCAATATAGAAATTATATAATATAATAAATCATTATAAGTTTAGTTTCTTTGACAGAAATAATCCTATAAGTTATATTTGAGGTAAAATTTACATTTTTGATCACGTAGGTCATGCAATGGTAGAAAAGAAATATTAAGCCATGTATGTATAGAAATCCCGCACAATGTTTAATCAGTGAATTAAAACAGTTATTGTTTACATAAGCACTGCAAAAGCTACAAATTTTTTATTGCATACATATTAAAATAACAGACAAAAAATGCATTGAACGATGTTAATTAATTTATACTTTTAAAGGCTTTTAACACTCAGTGACTTTTACAACTTGTTGAGATGTTTAGGTTGTTTCTGGCATTTTGAGTAGTTTCGTGTTTTTCAATGCACTGATATAATATGTTAGAAAGTAATAATCTAAGCTTTTTGAACGTTCAGTATTTTTAAGAGACCATGAAATGATGCTTCTTCTGCTTCTGTAAATTGATACGACTTTGATGTAGCTGACAGCCTGACACTAATAAGATTGTGCACTTCGGCGCATCAACATAAAGCCTGACAGACAGCGCAATGCAAAAAGATATTATTGTTTTCTTGATAGTCGACCTTTAAAAGTTCAATTTGCATTATTCCTGTTTTTATTTGAATGAAGTGTTATGTCGCTCGATTAAAGCATGAAGACGTTTAATTTTATTATTCAACAGTAAGCGATGTTGGAAATCTAATACTTTCGAAAAGAGTTTCTTAATGTCATATTTAAACAAATAAAATCTATCAGACGTGCTGTGGTTTGCTCATGATCTTAGTTATCGCGAGTATTTTTAATAGATTCGATAACTTTTTAAAAATAATACCGTCTAAATGAGTTTGAAATGGAAAACCTTACCTTAAGTGACATTATAGATTCATTATCATTCACTTGAAATTTCTCAGACACTCATGTATGTACACGTCTCTCTACCACAATGCATCATAAATATAGTTAACCGGTTTTGAAAGTTAAACGCTTATTAAAAAATTAATGTCAAAACCAATTAGTCACAATTATTTGCAAAAATCGAGACAAACAATAAAACAGCATGATGTAGCTACAAACCACGTAATATACGTTTTGATTTCTTTCATTTTATATCTTGTTTTACTGTCTTCAAGAACTACTATAATTTTGTGTTGTACACTCAAATTTCTGTGAAAATTGAATGTATTGCATACAACTCAGCAAGTCAACTTTGTATATTGTCCTAGCTACACCTTCATGAATTTTACATTTTCTGGTATTTAGCAAATTTATCAATAATTAAGTAAACTTTTCCTTATATTATAAAGCATACGTTCGATTTATACTGCTGATTATCTTTTTTTGACTTATTTTTGCTCTATATTTAACAGAAACGATATGTTTTTTATTGTTTGAATTTTTCTGTAGATATTAATGGGTTTTACATAGTAAAATGTGTTGCAATTAATAAATAGTAATTATATATAGACAGTCACGCAATAACTTGTGGGCTACTAACACATAACAAGAACACCTTACTAATAATTATTGCTTTCCTCAGAAGAGCATTTTCTAAATTGCTTCCAAACAAATCGTGTTTATAAACGAACGGGCATAGCCACTTGTGTTTTACCTACATTGGACAATTAAATTTATGATACTGAGCTACATACTGTTATAACGAGCTATATTTTTTTAAAAAGAACTGAATAAACACCAAAAAGGACAATTTAATCGTAAAATGGAATGTTTGCATGTTATTTACATAACACACACATTTTATTTGTTTTCTATGGTAACAAATGAGAAACTATGAAACATGAAAAACAAAGTGATTCAGAAAGGCCATACATATTTTTTATGTTTATGGAAGAATGTAATATTTGATTACGTTATTGAAAGCAAGATTTGATTCACATAAATGTATTCATTGAGCTTAACGCAAGTTTTTTCTTATCACAAAACTTTTATTATTCAAACCTCGGCAAACTTTACAAGTGTCAAGTGCATTAAAGACAAAAGAAAATGAAATTCTTAATCATCGTTTCTTTTATGTGAAGTTTGACATTTTGAAGAGTTCTTGATCTCAGTTTCATTATTGAACTGAAAGTTGTGGTACATATTTGTTAGCAAATGTGGATAAATATATGAACGGCACATTTAGGTTGTGTACAATTATGTACTGTACAATAACTTCTATATAGAAAGGTTTGCAGCCAACTTTGCGTAAATTTATAGCAACTTTAGTCGCAGTCTTGTGCAACGGAGGTTTGTTATTACTAACATGCATGTAGAACACAAAACTCATCGAGTTTAGATGAAAAGTTGGGACTACGTCAGAGAGTTTAGTTGAAAAGTTGGGACTACATTGGAGAGTTTAGTTGAAAAGTTGGGACTACATTGGAGAGTTTAGTTGAAAAGTTGGAACTACATTGGAGAGTTTAGTTGAAAAGTTGGGACTACATCAGAGAGTTTAGTTGAAAAGTTGGGACTACGTGAGAGAGTTAAGTTGAAAAGTTGGGACTACGTGAGAGAGTTTAGTTGAAAAGTTGGGACCACATCAGAGAGTTTAGATGAAAAGTTGGGACTACGTGAGAGAGTTTAGTTGAAAAGTTGGGACTACGTGAGAGAGTTAAGTTGAAAAGTTGGGACTACATGAGAGAGTTTAGTTGAAAAGTTGGGACTACGTGAGAGTTTAGTTGAAAAGTTGGGACTACGTGAGAGAGTTAGTTGAAAGTTGGGACTAAGTGAGAGAGTTTAGTTGAAAAGTTGGGACTACGTGAGAGAGTTTAGTTGAAAAGTTGGGACTACATGAGAGAGTTTAGTTGAAAAGTTGGGACTACGTGAGAGAGTTTAGTTGAAAAGTTGGGACTACATCAGAGAGTTTAGATGAAAAGTTGGGACTACGTGAGAGAGTTTAGTTGAAAAGTTGGGACTACGTGAGAGAGTTTAGTTGAAAAGTTGGGACTACGTGAGAGAGTTTAGTTGAAAAGTTGGGACTACATCAGAGAGTTTAGTTGATAGGTTTGTACAACGTCAGAGAGTTTAGTCGGATAATTGGGGTTTTCCTCTTTATTTTATTCTGCTTCTTTGATAATCTTGTCACTGTAATAAATTGCATAAATATGTAGTGGTAATTATGGTAGTGGTACATCATGTATTTGCAACCTGCTCATTGAAGCTGCATATATATTATGAATTCATAATAATACTCGACAATGTTAGATCTCTTAAAGAGTTTGAATCAATCCTGGTAATCATTTATAAACTGGTATTCTCACGCAAATTTCAAGAATTATTTCAAACAAAGCTGTTGGCCATATAAAAATATGAATACCGAAAAATCCTGATCGTCAGGAGAACTCCTTTTTATTCATTGGTTTTACCAAAGCTTGAATATACTCTCGTAAATTGTCACCAGTACAGATTAATAAAAATATGCTTTTTTCTTCATCATGCCCAAGATGGGAATCTCTAGTTTAATTTTCAAAAGCAATAAAAGCTTAATTTGTTTTATACTAAACTTTTTGTAATGATGTAACCGTTAATTATCACAACTAATTTTTATCATGCAGTCGTATGACGAGACAGCATCGTCTATTTTAATTAGAAATCTGCTCTGTTGGATCAGCATTCTTCAATAAATATCTATTCATGATCATTAAAGGATATTAAACAATAAACCATAAACCTCAAACCATCTATACACAAACTTCACCTTAACATTGTTGAAGCAAAAGTCGCCTGCTTGAGCGCTTCCTCTATTATAACTATTTGTCTGTATTGTATCTAAGTAATGAATTAAACTGATGACCGTGTATGTATATGCCGAAATTTTGCGTTCACTCTCCGCGAATACAAAGATTATAGAACTAAAAATTCGTGTTGTACCCACTTTCATAAAATAAGGCTCATATTTTTTAGGTATAAAAGTACTACATGACTCTTCATAAAGCAAAAAAAGCTTGTAAAATTACCAAACTTTTATTTCCATATTCATTCCTCAAGTTATAGTTCCATTTATATATTTTTGTTCAATGCTTATCAATACGAATTGCTTGTCACAACGTTGAACGTTTTTAACCTTAAACAGACTTGAGAGATCTCACGGGGATTTTACTCATTTTAATGAAACAACTTGACGAAGCAAAGGAGATTGCTAAACTCATTGCTAAAATATGTATGATTGTAATCAATCTATTGTACTAAAAATCCACGTTTTTCAATGACAGTTCAATGTTGACCTGACTCAGGGGTAATCACACTGCGTGATCAGTAAAATTCTTCCAAAATCTCCAAATTTAGAAGAAAGAGACAGTCCAATATCAAGTGTCAAAACACTTAAAATTGTCTGTAAACATTATTGGTCTCATATGCTTGCAAATACAGTTAGACAAAAGTTGGCAACAAAGAATACAAGAAAGCCCCTGAAACAATTATGAATGCTAGAAGAAAGTTATCAATCGTATTTATTCACCTTAAGAAACATCGATTGCTGCTAAGCGTTCTTGTTGGTGTGTTACTTGGAATCATTATTGGCATTTCAAGTCATGATGCTGTACAAGAATCTGAAAATCCAACAGCCAGACGACTGGCAATGTATATAAAATTTCCTGGGGAACTCTTTATACGCATGCTAAAGTTAATCGTCGTTCCATTAATAACATCCAGTATCATCGTGGCCTTAAACGATATTGATATTAAAAATGCTGGCCGTCTTGGTAAACGGACTATGATCTACTATATTTCTACGACTTTACTATCAGCCATTCTCGGTTTAATCCTTGCAATGATCATAAAACCGGGACAAGGTCTACATAAAGACGTCAAAAATCTGGATAAAATTAATAGAAAGTCAATTGATTCTTTTCTGGATCTCTTAAGGTATACCAAAGGGTGGTTTTAAATGTTCTAATTTAAATTTACAACACGTGTTGCGAGCAAAGTCATTTAAGAAATAGCTCGTGTCTATACAGTGAAAAGAAAAGTCATGTTATTTTATGCTCTGTTCAGCATTGGCACCATAACGTCGAGAATAAAGAATTAGGAAATTTACATCAAATTTAATTTTCATTTGTCTTATATAGAAATATTGTTCCTGATAACCTCGTAGAAGCATTTTTCAGATCGGTAAGAAAACCTCTTTGATTATTGTTGAATTCATAATGCAAACGACAAATGTTTACGATACAAGAAATATGTTTAACTTTTTGATGGTTTCACCACGCAATTTCTCATTTCTGTCGCCTCGGACAAGTTACTATTTGTAAACATTGCTTTTCTACATTAACGTGATTTCGGGACAAAAACTAAAACAAATATATGTGCAGGGTTGCAAATATGTGTAAGGTTTTGTGTCCCCTTGGTAAAAAGTTATATTTTACTGTTGATCAGTGAATGAAAAACCACTTGAATTAAAAACACTTGATTTCATTAAATGATAGATACTTTATTGAAGATTTACTGAATAGAGTTGTATACTGCAAAGAGTAAACTGTTGATAAAAGACTTCTGCAATCTTTTACAACAAGAGCTACATACATACTAGGCTCCAAATGTGAAGTATTAATTGCACTTGCCTTAATTTGTCTCAACACCCCACCCCACCACGCCCAAGTATATAATGATTTAATTTTCTTGCAGGGGGTATCATCCATAAATTGATGACTGATTTTACAAGTTGTAGTTTATGTTTCTTAATTTCTCATGAAAGATTGTTGTTAAATGCTTAATTTTGCACAGGTCTTTACCAAGTACAACAAAAATGAGGATAATTATAGATATGGTTATAAGAATATCTCAAACATGTCCGCGAAAGCATTGATAAAATTTCTCCAAAGAGCAAAAATTGTTCAGTTAAATGAACAAAATGTTACTTACATTATGAAAGATGTCACATATAATTATGGTGGTACAAGTAAAGGTGGTGGAACAAACATGATTGGTTTAATAACAGTTTCTATTGCTTTTGGTATTGTTCTTAATATCATAAAAGATGATGGTATTCATTTGGTAAACATTTTTCGATCTCTGTGGAGTGCAACTATGAAGCTCGTTGAAATTATCATGTGGTAATTGCAAACTGATATTATATATGTAATGATATAATTATTTGAGAAATAAAAGATGTTTACTGTGTTTGCACATGCTTATGCAAACTGAGGAGACCTTCGAGAACTTGAGAGCTGATCAATCTCAGCCCGAAACTGAAGATTGAGGATTGCACCCGCTCCAGAGTTCACACAAACCTCTCCCAGGTTTTTCTAAGCCAGTGAAAACATGAAAAACATCTTTTATTTCTTTTATAATATACGTAACAATATTATAAAATAATAATAAAAATTAAAAACAAATATTTTGATATTTCATCTAACATGTATTCAGGAGTGATTTACAAATTCTCTTTGATTGATTGATTGATTTGATTGGTTGAGCTCAAATTGCTTGCATAATGTAACGCGAACACAGCCATTGACCAATCACTACACGCGTTTTATGAAAGCTATATAATTAAAATTACTCTATTCATTTTGCAGGTTATCTCCTGTTGGAATATGCAGTATTATTGCTGGGAATATTGTTGAAGCGAGTGATATAATGTTGTTGTTTAAAGCAATGGGTCTTTTCGTTCTCACTAATGTTGTTGGTCATTTAATACAAGCAATTATAATTTACCCAATGATTTATGCTGTATTTGTTCGTGGAAACATTTTAAACCATTTGAAAGGAATCATGCCTGCTTTATTGACGGCGTTTGGTACTTCATCTAGGTCAGTAGCCACATTTTCATATAAAACGGTATGATGAGCGTGAATTTAATTAAGTTTTTTTGTCTGTTCATTTTTTCATCAAATGTTGATAGGTAAATATTGATTGTAAAAAAATTATCCAAAAAAAGATTATGATAACTGTCTGTAGCAAAAATTATAAACACACAAGCTGTATTATTTTTTTCTTTCCGTTCATTTTCGCGCTGTATATATGATAAACTCTTGGATGACATTCGTAGTTTGCCTAAAATGTAGATACAGTTTCCTTAATAACCATGTAAAACATTACTAAGAATATGTTTGGTATACCTATGCAAGTCACGTGAAAGCAAAAACAATAGGTTATGTTAAAAGTGAGCTGTTGTAAAATTTAAACAGACTATCTCTTGTGTGTGTTTTCTCCCTCGGCATTGCATTGACCTGACAGCTAGTTTAAGAAGATTTATTCTGCTCGGGATTCCAGATTTTAGGTCACGAATACTCAGAGTATTGTTCATTTTTAACAAATATTCAGGCCTTTTTCAACCAATTGCTGGCTAATATTTCGCAAGTTCTACATTATTTTTGCAGGCCTGTTCAGAGAAATTCCGACGAATTTTTGTGAGCGCGTATTTATCCATGACCCATGAATCCCTTTAGTCGGTGTTCCAGGCAAAATTTTCTCCGTCCTCCCGAAAACCCTGCATCTTTGGACAAATAATCAATGTTTTTTTTCCATTTAGTGCTGCAACATTGCCTACAACAATCCAGTGTTGTGAAAGAACAAATATTGACACTCGAGTTACACGCTTCGTTTTGCCCATTGGTGCTTCATGCAATATGGATGGTGCTGCTATATACTATGCAATAGTCGTTCTCTTTGTGGAGCAAATTGAACCGAACGTACAACTTGGCATTGGTGAAAAAATAATGACCGTGTAATGCAGTTCTCCTTATCCCAATGAAACAGAAAGCTATGTTAATGATGATGAATCTAATTATTTGCTTGATAGTGATGTTTAAGAGTTAGTCAAAAATGAAAACTAATGAAAGGCAAACCGCAGAGAATGGCAAAATTTTTATAACTTTTTAATATTTTAAATGATCATGGTGTCAGTTTAGTGGAAAAGAGATTTTTCCTTCAGATTGACTGGCTTTCTGCAGTCTTTATTGATACACCGTAGTTTGAGATTAGCTGCGAAGCAAGTCCACAAACTTCATTTTGCTATGCAAATTTTCCATGTTAATAATGGGTTCCTAAAGAAATGACAAATAATAATACTCAGAGAATCTGAGATTTACACATCTAAAGCAAACTGACAATCTGAGCATCTAAAACGCTTTTTTGTATTCTTAGTTACATATTGGTTAATTTACAATATTTATATTCCTAGTTTTATTTGTACCGTGGTTTCAATTGGTGCCGCTGGCATTCCTAGTCCTGGGCTCAGCAATCTTATAATTGTGCTTGAAGCAGTTGGGTTGCCTATTGACAAAATTGGACCAATATTTGCTGTTGACTGGCTTTTGTAAGTCATTTTTATCATTAATTTTTAAGACTATATTTTTATTGCTCATGCTTTAATTGAACGATTGTTTTTTAACGTCAAATGTTTTTGATGTGTGACATGACTTTGCTAGTGTTCATCTGAAGTCTTACAGAAGTTTATCTGAAGTCTTACTAAAAAGTGTGTCAAATCTCAAATGCTCCTTTCAGCAAAAATTTTTAATAGCGATATTAAATTTAGGGGTGATTTTCAACGAATCAGTAAAAAGTTTTAAGTTTGTCAAATCGTTCCACTTTTATTGCCTTTTAATGGACCTTGTCCGTCGCTAGAAAGGTCTGAAATGATTTACCTTTGTGACGTCATGCAAGGGATTTCAATACAAGATATATATACAACTACCTTGGATGTCGTCAGAATTTGACTAGACCCAGACCTCATGCCACGACGGACAAGATCCATTGAAAAGCAACTTTAAGCCTTCATAATTGAAAACTTTTTCACCGATACGTTAGATGTTACACCAAGTTTTTATATCGCTAATAAAAGTTTATTTTAAATCTATTCCATAGATTTACTGCAGACAACCTACGTTATTCATCATTGACTACAATGAGTGTCAGTTGTTAACATAATCATTGTTTCCGTTAATTTTCTTTATCCATCCAAGAGATCGACTTCAGACAACTATAAACGTTATGGGAGACACGTACGCAGCTGCGTTTGTCGCAAAATATTCCCAAGATGACCTTGAATGTGAAGAGGACATTAGTAATCATAGATGTGATACGTTAGACAAGCAACTACAGGACTCTGTAGAAACTTGTATGTAGGTAAAATGTATTGCAACATTGATCAATAAACAGGATTTGCTACAAATATAGTTTACTAAAACATAACGCAAAAAACAGGATATGTTATAAAATAGTTTAGTCCTTTCACCCTTGACTCTTAGTAAGTACAATAGATTAAAAAACGATTGGTTTTAATACGAAACATGAAAGGTCATGTTATATTCTCATGGCTCATGATGCAACCATTTCATGTGTTGAATTAACATAAAGCTTAATAAAAAGTATCAAAGCTCTATCAGAATTCATAACAATCCTGAACAAGGCCTTAAAAACAGAAAAACTAAAGTTTCGACAATCAAAAAAGATGTATGGACGTGACCAGAAGGAGAAATTCAGATTACGAACGTCACTCTTCTTTCAAATGCATATCGTCGGAATTCTTGATTACAAAACAGCATGAATTCCGTTTCAGCTCAGTATTTGTTCATTAATAAAAGTTATCCATGTTTCCATAACGATACGGACTGGGACAATAATATAACATGTTTACATGACTTTCCAAATCAATTTACTACAAAACGGCATTATTTAAAAAAAATAGTTTCTACATTTACTAATGAATTTTGAATGTTTGCTCACTATGAATTTCAAGATACAAATCACAAACTTCAAGTATTTCAGTTACATAAGTCATGTTTGTTTCAACATTATAATATAATTAATGTCCAGCCAGGCAAGGTACACTCATAAAGTTGCTTACGGCAAACTGTTCTCAAAAAATTCAATATGGCCCATATTCATGAAAGCAAAAGCCAAGAAAATTGGAAATTATGTGAGTCAAATGTAAAAATATTTAACTCCAAGCCATTAGGGTGTAAAACAGTCCTTGATATTGGTTGATCTTTTAGATAAACATTTCGTGATTTTAATAGAATCAAATTTCAGTGTACAAAACTTTGAACTATCAAGAGCTTTTGCTGAAGCTATTATTTTGTGATTGTGTTTTGTGAATATTAATTTTCATGTGAAATAATTACTCACTGTTCCTTTTATGATTTTTATCGTATAAATGTACCTTAATTTTGTAAATTTTGATTTTGTAAAACTCATTTCCCGTAGAAATCAGCTTCCATTGACGAGATCATCGTATATAAATAAAAATTTTCTTTCATTTATGGTATCTTGCCAGTCAAGTGGTTCACTGTTAATCAAACATCATAAAATTTCTTACTGCAAACTGTTGTTTCTTACTGTCAATATGACCCACATTTATTAAAACAAATGCTAAGGCAATTCAAAATTATGCAAGCGAAATGGAAAAATATTATCCTCCTAGCAAATGGCTGTATAAAACAGTTCTTGATATTGGTCCATCTTTTCAGATGAATATTTCGTGATTTTAATTAAATGAATTGAGAAAACACACTCCATTTTATAACTCAAAACCTGAGCGGACAAGTTGATGTTTTTTCGAGCGTGTTTTCTCCTTTTTTAAAAAAAATTGTCGATTGCAAATGAATTAATTGAATTAAATCTCCATATGCATAACTTTGAGGCGTCAAGAGATTTTGCTAAAGCTATTGTTTTGTGATTGTATCTGTTTTGTTTTGCATATGACGGACGTTGGCCACCTCATATAAGATGTAAGAGAATATTACAGAAATTTTATTTTGAACATTGAATCATGCTGTTGTCAACAATATTTGTCGCTCTTCTACTTATTTTTTGCTCAGCAAAAAATGAAAAACGACAAGTTGTTCGTTTGAAGGTATTTTTAATTGGTTTATCATTAGTCAAATGTTTGATGTTTCTGAACAGGAATTTTTTTTCTTATATCAATCTTATATTCCATCCATCTTGCTTTCTTTAAATTAGTTCATTTGCTTTCGGTAGATTTTCCACCAAAGTCAAAAATTCATACATGTGTTTATTGTGTTATGTGAAAGTTAGATTAGTTCGGTAATACTTGTCGAATGAATGTTTATACATAAGTGTGTGAGTATGTTAAAATGAACGATATAACGATGCAGTTAAAGGTGTTTTCTCCTTTTTTCCAGCTGTACGAAAAAAATCCGAATGATCCTGGGAAATGTAACTCGTCAAATCATGGACGAATGAAGTTGGTGAGGGATAGAAATGGAGATGAAAGAACTATTATATGCAACAAGGATGAATCCAATTCTTATCTATGGAAATCTATAGACGGTTGGTTTCGTTGCATGTGTAGTTTTATCAAAAGAATTTGTGCTTTGCCTTCATAATATATGATAAAACATTTTCCAGAAAGGTACTTCAACAACTTAGATAAGACAAAAAAAAATTACGGGTTTAATGATGATGATTACATTATCTGAAGCTTCAAATGTCTTTATTTATGAAGACAGTGGCAAATTAGTATTGCTATATGTCAGTAAAGAAATGTGCAGGTTGTGGAAACAAAGGTGACATAGTACGATCTCATCACCCATAAAAACATGCCTGAATACATACCATAGATTTTAATGAAACTGATCTAATTTACCAGACTTTTCTTTTATTTACATTATAAGAAAAGTAGAATTTTAATTTTCAACCAGAAAAAGCAGTTATTGTGCTCAGCTGACTTTAAAAAGTAATGAATTTTTGATCTCAATAATCTCATTTATCTAGGAAGCTCAACTCTTGGTGAATATTTTGATCCCGCTATTGATTGTGCGGAAGTTGTAGACAAAATTCCTAGTGCAAAAAATGGATTTTATTGGATAAACCCAAAAGAAGTTAAGAAAGTTGTTAAGGTTGGTTGAATAGTAAATATACATTATGAATTTTATGACCAGTCATGAGCAACTTTAGTCTTGTTTCATTTGTTTTTCATATACTTAAATAAGCAGACAAAATAGTTGGTGAGTTTGTCATGTACTCCCCATTTTTTCATGTATGAGAAACTCATTGAGTATAATTCAGCGTTTTACCTACAGAAAACATGTAATCCAAAACATCTCTTTATAATACTACCATATAAAACGGCGTCAATAGACAATTTTTTAACGTATAACATTTGCTCCAAATCATTTGAAGTCTAATTCTTATTTTTATTATAAGGCTTGGTGTGACGTCACTACAGATGGAGGGGGTTATCTTTTAATTGCAACAAAAAATGATTCTATTACGTGGACAGTTCCAAGTTGTTCGTTTGAAGGTATTTTTAATTGGTTTATCATTAGTCAAATGTTTGATGTTTCTGAACAGGAATTTTTTTTCTTATATCAATCTTATATTCCATCCATCTTGCTTTCTTTAAATTAGTTCATTTGCTTTCGGTAGATTTTCCAACAAAGTCAAAAATTCATACATGTGTTTATTGTGTTATGTGAAAGTTAGATTAGTTTGGTAATACTTGTCGAATGAATGTTTATACATAAGTGTGTGAGTATGTTAAAATGAACGATATAACGATGCAGTTAAAGGTGTTTTCTCCTTTTTTCCAGCTGGACGAAAAAAATCCGAATGATCCTGGGAAATGTAACACGTCAAATCATGGACGAATGAAGTTGGTGAGGGATAGAAATGGAGATGAAAGAACTATTATATGCAACAAGGATGAATCCAATTCTTATCTATGGAAATCTGTAGACGGTTGGTTTCGTTGCACGTGTAGTTTTTGTCAAAAGAATTTGTGCTTTGCCTTCATAATATATGATAACACATTTTCCAGAAAGGTACTTCAACAACTTAGATAAGACAAAAATTACGGGTTTAATGATGATGATTACATTATCTGAAGCTTCAAATGTCTTTATTTATGAAGACAGTGGCAAGTTAGTATTGCTATATGTCAGTAAGGAAATGTGCAGGTTGTGGAAACAAAGGTGACATAGTACGATCTCATCACCCATAAAAGCATGCCTGAATACATACCATAGATTTTAATGAAACTGATCTAATTTACCAGACTTTTCTTTTATTTACATTATAAGAAAAGTACAATTTTTAATTTTCAACCAGAAAAAGCAGTTATTGTGCTCAGTTGACTTTAAAAAGTAATGAATTTTTGATCTCAATAATCTCATTTATCTAGGAAGCTCAACTGTTGGTGAATATTTTGATCCCGCTATTGATTGTGCGGAAGTTGTAGACAAAATTCCTAGTGCAAAAAATGGATTTTATTGGATAAACCCAAAAGAAGTTTATAAAGTTGTTAAGGTGGGTTGAATAGTAAATATACATTATGGATTTTATGACCAGTCATGAGCAACTTTAGTCTTGTTTCATTTGTTTTTCATATACTTAAATAAGCAGACAAAATAGTTGGTGAGTTTGTCATGTACTCCCCATTTTTTCATGTATGAGAAACTCATTGAGTATAATTCAGCGTTTTACCTACAGAAAACATGTAATCCAAAACATCTCTTATAATACTACCATATAAAACGGCGTCAATAGACAATTTTTTAACGTATAACATTTGCTCCAAATCATTTGAAGTCTAATTCTTATTTTATTATAAGGCTTGGTGTGACGTCACTACAGATGGAGGGGTTATCTTTTAATTGCAACAAAAAATAATTCTATTACGTGGACAGTTCCATCTTCTGCAGAAGTTGTTGATCCTTTTGGTGATCCACATTGGTCCAGTATATTTGGAAATATTGAAATCTTGGATATTCGTTTTCAGTTTTCAACGTCAAAAAATTTTTCTGATACCAAAGCACATTGGTAATATATCAAAATATTATTTATTTATAATATCTGCTCACTTATCATTTAATTTAAATATAAAACTTATACATGTCATGAAATTTGGATTCAATTAAAATATTTTAAAACAAAAAGTAATTGCTGTGCAAGTTGCACTTCGGTAAAATTTCCTGTTGGTCTCAAGTTCATAATTAAAATGCCATCAGAATAAATACTCTTTGTTCAATTTATTTGACAAGAAAAGTGAATAATCTTTTATTCTTTGAATGTTATCGTAGTTTTTGTTTAATTATTATTTATCTTTATAGGAGTTTTAGACTTGCTAATCCACGACGTTTAGATAAACTTATCATTAGAGATAAAGGTGGATGTACAAAACACAATCCTGGTATTGGTGATATTCTGTTTGTTAAAGATTTGCAAGTTGGTAAAGTTGTCAGTAAAGATTTCCGTTGTTCTCTCTTTGGAGGACATGTATCTCCTAGGTTAGGATGGGTAAGTTCCTTTTAAGCTCAGGCTACTAATAAGTCAAAATTGTTCAATTTCTAGCAAGTTTCTCGAATAAATCGTTTAAGTTAGGTGTTGTTATGGCGGTTTTCTTTCTAAACATGTGGTCATCGTATTTTAGAGTTGACTCAGAAAAACTTCTTGTGCTTCCATGTCACTTTTGTGATTAATGATTTAATTCAACAGTAAATTTAGATACACAAAAACTTTTGTAGAACGAAAATTATTTTTCGTAGTCACATGCTACCGATTTTTGTCAATACGTAATTGCGAGGGTTTATTTGAATTAATAGGGGATGATGAACAAGTGTCTCCAGCGACCTTGTCAGGGATTTGCTTTCATCCCAGGATTTAAAGACTTCAGAGTTGATGATTCTGGATCGTTTAGGTTAAGTTTAAATATTTGTTTTATAAGTTATTATATTTAATATTTTTCGAAGAAAATGTATTTTCCTTGACGTTAAAATGAGTATAGTACAATGTAACACATCACAACATTTAATGAATTGCAATTGTACCTTTAATCAAACAGATACGTTTTTTTATCGACCCAGCATGTTTCTTGAAAGCCATTATGTGCATTTAATAGCAACTCTAATGAAAAATCAACACAACAAGGAGTTCCTTAATTTTATCTTTATCACACCAATATTTGATGAAAAATTTCTGTTTTTACAGTTACAGCGCCAAAAATAACACTAGACGTTCAGGAATTGTTCACAGCTCAACAGCGTTTATTGGTTGTTCTCATGCACAGGTTTTATAGATATTATGAAATGATGAAATTCCTAACTGTTCAAGACATAGCATCAATTTGTATATTTTATACGTAACGATGAACAATTCCTTTTTCAGTGTTGTGCTTGTTACGGGCCAAAAGGTGGAACAGATAATTATTGTTTAAACAATTGCACATCGATAAATGGCGGGAAGGTAATAAAAGAAGTTTATACTTGGGTTTGGATTCGTTCATCTCTTCCTAAACGTCTTTGGAGAAAATGCATCGATTACACTGTTAAAGATTCGCAGGGAAATGAGGAAAGTTACAGACTGGACGAAGAAACAGGAGTTAAAGAAAAAGTTTGTTTATTTAGAAATTTGTTGTATTCTTTCATTATATTCTTGTATTTCAACAACATGTCGTGAATCGTTTCAATTTAAATATATATTTAGGGAAATTGTGCTACGATGCAGGAAATAAAGAAAAATGGCGCAGTAAGATGTGCATTTTTGTGATATTTTTTTATGAATTGATTACACACACTTAAACAGCAGGCTGCTTTATAAAATGTTGTAAAACAAATTCTAAAGCCATGTAAATTTACAAATACCGTTGTAAAGCAACATAATTTTACAGGTCTTGGTTGTTCCTGATACTAAGAGACTCAAAAAGATTCCACGTGCACCAGGATTGCTTGTTTTTCTTCCAAAAAGTAAAAAGCTTCAAATTCAAAGTCAACACGAATTGGAGACGATTGCAATGAAGTCTGAAGTATGAGTGGTTAAATCTATTTATTTAGTATTTAATCTACTTTATCAGCTTGTGACAAAGAAAAAATAATGCCAACCTGAAGGAATAATTACACAAAAGTTGTTGGTTGTACTCCATCACTACTGATTATTGAACCTTTAGGTCTTCTGTAAGAAATGACATAGTTTATGGAAGCAAAATTTTAGCAAGCAACAAACTTGCAATAATCAAATTGCTAATGTATGTATGCTTTTTAGGTTACCGAAGCAGAAAAAACTTTTTTCCAAAAATTGACGAAGGAACAGCAGAAACAAACTTTGATCAACAAAAACTTTCGAAAAAAACAAAAAAAAATTGAGCAAAAGCTGGTGAATTTAGAAGCTAAAACTGTAAATAAGCAGAAAGCTTTGGAAAAACAACAAAAATCATCAAAGAAAATATTAGAAGGAAAGATAAAAAAAGTCGACAAGCAGCAAAATATTTCTGAAAGCAATTTAAAATCTACAATACAACGTTTGACTCGGCGGATACAGACACTTGAAAATAAGAAAAGTAAGATAAATATCAACTACAGTTTTAAAAATCTGCTGAACATCAATACATAGACATTCACAATTCACCATTTATGTTCACGATAAGAACAGAGCAACTGAAATAACTACGCGTATTGAAACTTATATGATATTTTTCTTGTAAATTCTACGTGTAAATGAGAAACTTTATATTTTTGACTGTCGTCTAATTTACGCACGCGCGGGAAAATTTATACAACGCAGGAAACCATGCCAGTTTCATCTCATAAGGATATTTTACTTTATCACATTTTGATTTATATAGTGAATGAAATTGACTCAATAATATTGAGAGGAAAGACAACCTACAAGAACTTGTTGTCAAAATGGGTTCCTTTCTCCCAGTCTTGGACATTATGTTACCGAGCTAGTCGTGATGGTTGGAGATCAAGAACTTTTCATTCCAGATGTGACAACAAAGGACCAACTGTAACAATTATCCGTTATAATTCATATATATTTGGTGGTTACACAGATGCATTATGGGGAGGTATTGTCACCTAAAATATCAAAACTTGCTGTAGCTAACTTGTACAGTTACAGTTATTATGAAATCATATCCACTGATTTTTATTCATCTACGGAATTATGTCTTTTACGTGTGTTGCCATATTTTGAAATTGTTAATTACTGATTTGGTAATGATTTCCTGGAATTGAGCGCGTTTGCGTATCATAACGAATCCAAACTCATATTGCGTTTAGGATTTGAGGTTCCAAATTCTGGTCCAAGCGCGAGCAGACTTCGTTCCACTCTCGGCATTTCGTGTGCTAAACCTTAAATTTTGGTTAATTCTAATTTTGGCAATTATGTGGATACCATATTTACTTGGCAAAATTAAATAATGGAATACCATGCTTTGAATTATGAACTCTAAGCTGTTTGGTGTTTTGAATTGTAAATTCATTCATTCACTTTGACAAGGCAGATAAATATTTATAAGCTTAAAACATTTTCTTTATTTAAAGGTTCATCAAGATTTATTTCAAGCTGGGAATCTTTCATATTTTCATTCAAGAACAGGTACAATGTACCACCGTTCAAGGCTAATTTATATCGATATAGTCAGTATGCCATATACACTGCCTCCAGCTACGGACCAACATTTGGTGGTGGACATGATATTCGCATATATGATAACGCCAGATCCAACTCCAACTCTTATCTCAACTTTGGTCACACTTATAAGTTACCTTCTGGCTATAGTTATCAATCAGGTCAAAGCCAGATTTTCTTAGCAGGAACCTATTATTTTAGACCTTCAGAAGTGGAAGTTTTCTACGCAGGTTAAATTTACGTATACGGCAATAAAAAACTTTACCAGAAATGTATTTGTAAATTCAAAATGAGCAAATATACAGTTCATAGAAAGTTGTGCATATTTGATTTAATTTACATACTTCTACTGACAAAATTTTGAAAAACATCAAATCATGTGGTTTGTATCATTTTATACATATTTTTTAACACAGGCATTAAAATAAAAAATTTTTACTGGGACACACTATAACCCCCAAATTTTTTCCAAATTAGAACCATTAACATGCAGCACAATTGCAGTCATTCTTTCTAATTTTTCTGCTTTCAAGCATTAAACGATTAAGTTAAGATGGTTTTCAATATTCTTCAGCCTATGACATTAAGAACTACAACCTTTTGTTGGGTAAATGGAAGGTCACGCTCTTTTGTTGGGCAGGATAGCTCGCCTGTCACATTAAATACGAAAGTTCTCAATAGGTTAAAATGAGCAACTTAATTTTTTACTATCTAACAATTCATGGTTAAAATTTTTAAAGCATGCATGATTGCAATTGTTCTTTCACTACAAAATGTCTGAATGCTAAACATGATTTATTTGCAAACCAATTAAGTAATAAAATCTAAGTACAAGTAGTGTACCACGTGATATATTTTTTGTACAGCTACCACCGAGCATGTGATTAAATATTACTACACCACCGTCAACACGTGACATTTCTACACAAATATCTTTGAAAATAATTATTAATTGTATGAGAGTATATTAACATGAAAGTTCTATCCATGAAGGTGAACATGATTTTCTTATGAATTACAAGACGCCATATAATGAAAACATTTTTGCTCTAACGTTTTTGTTATGTTTCTTCTGTTTGTGCTGTCAATACTTATCACGTGCTGTGTAATATTTGGTCACGTGCTACATCAAATTAAAAAATGATTTCAAAACTGCAACTTGCCATTTGTTATTTTTTAAAAAATATTCAGGATTTTTGCAACCTATGTATGTTGATTCAATTGAATCAGTAAATGGCTGCTTTTCTTTTCAACTTTTCTATAATTTACATAACACTCACATAAATCAAAGATGTATGCAGACTATTTATGAATGCCAAGGCGAGTCAAAATCATCATGACTGCAACATCAAGAAACTCCGTCCAGGTCAAAATACTTGCACCAAGAAACAAACCCATTAAGCCACCAATTTCACCTAAAAAAGATAAAAAATACATGGAAATTGTTGTTATCATATTTTACATGGTATAGGGATTATCTATCTTAAGATGTGATGGTAAAAATCTTTAAATGTATATTAAATTTATTCGATTAAAATCAAGTTGGTTTTATATTAGAGACTCGACAGTTAATTGTAAATGAATTAACTAAGATGTAACTTGTAAGATTTTCTTATTTTGTTAACAGATTAATAATGAAAATTTACCCAGTAAACTTTGTATGGTATATGCTGGATCTTGTCTGAGGGATTTGCAATTCAGATCTTCGTAGAAGATGTCAATTGCAACCATATTTGTCCTAAAATTATGTTATACAAATGCATAAGCAAAGTACTTAACATATTTATAACAATTTAGTAAGTTGTAAGTGTTTTGCAATAAATTGCATTATATGGATTGTAAATAGATATTATCTTTCTTTCCTCTCATGCATTTGGAAACGATTATTACCATAAATTGTAGAGTCCTTCTTATTTTATGAAATGCATAGTGTATTAACATGAAACATGAATAAAATTTGTAAATAAATATTATCTTACTTTCCTCTCATGCATGTGGAAAAGATTATTACCATAAATTGTAGAGTCCTTCTTATTTTATGAAATGCATAGTGTATTAACATGAAACATGAATAAAAATTGAATCGAAGCAGTTCATTCCAGTTTGAACAAAATCGTCATTTGGCTATTTTAAATCATTCAAGTAATTTGTTTTTATTAACGAGAAAAGCAGCTTTGATAGAATATGGTAAGAAAACTGGAGAAAAGAGAAAAACAAAATTAGATAGAAATGTTATTTTAAAAAGTGTCGCCCGAAATTGGAGATAGTTGTGATCAAGAAAAAAGCACAGAATAAGACCAAAACTTAGGCTCTCAATCTCAATTTCTTTCTACCTATCTGTGTTGTTCAGCAGAGAAAAGTAGAAAGAGCATTGAGACAATGTTATGATGTTTAAGAGCTTTGTGGTTTACAATTTTTTAAAAGCCGTTCACATGTATCGTTCAATGTATCGGATCCGATTGTTTCGGTTCGGACTTTTGGCTGCTTGTTCAGACGGTCCGATAATTTTGCATGTTGATATTTATATTCGTTTAGATATTTATAGTAGTGGCAGATATTTGTGTTATCCAGTGAATTTATCGATATATTTTGCGTATTTTTGTACTTGATCTGACAGTAGAAAACCGATTTTGTATGTGTTCACACGATCTGGTTTTTTTGTATCTGACAAAATCGTATCCGTCAATTGTGAACGGGCCTTTAAAAAGAATATTGATTCAGTTAGAATGGGGCATCGAAGAACTACTTGGAAAGACGGATTTTGAAATTATTAATAGGATTTAGAGCATTTGGTTGCATTTCTTAAAACAAAAGATTATTTTAGTGACCCACGCAGTAATAAGGAAATAAATGTGTTCAACGTGATATAAAGTTTTTGATGCACAAAAGAATCAAAAAAATTTCTTCATTGAAAGCAAGTCACATTACCTGAAAGTTTCTAATGTTGTATTTTCGGAAGTTGAATAAAGTGCTGCTGATGCGACATTGGGAAAGGAGCCATAGGAAAGATACGGGTCATATTTCATTGAGTCACATGATTCAGGGCATTCACATTTATGACTGTCCAACGAACTGGAATATTTTTCTGTAAATTTGCATAAATGATGATTTCATATCACATTGCATTTATTTTAAAGTTTTTGACAAACTGGTTAATCAGGTTATACAAGGAAATCTTTTACATGTGATTCTTCTTTCAACGTATCAACAATTGAATATACATAAAATATAATAAACCATCCTCCTCGTATTTTTAACCTCACCTTTCCTCCTCTCTCTCTCTCAGCTACACTTTCACACTCTCTACTCTTTACCTTTATCAAATATCGTTTAAGGTATAACCTTTTTGTATGTTTGATTAAAAATTTATAAACAAGCAGAGAGTGATAAAATGCCGAGCAAGCGCAATTCTGTTATTTTAAAATGATTTGTCTTTCCCTCTTTAACAGGGTTAGACTACTGACAAAATGTTTCAGTCATGTAAAGTGATTGTCTATATCATGACACCTCTGTTTTATACTAACCTTCCAAGAGAAACACACAGCTTAAATATTGTTTAACGTTACATGGCTTGTACTTTATATCTAAAAAAATGATGTCAAATTAATTGTTAGAATTCAAAAAATAGGTTAAAAATCATCAAGACTAATTTAGTAATTTTGGGATAGCAATTACTTCTTTTGTTCCAATAAAATACATTAAGCTTGTTCCTAGCTATACTTATATTTCTCAGTACATTTCAAAAGGTTTGCTTTATTGTTTAATGAGATTAATTGTACGTGCATATTTTACGTCTATGCATAAATTTAGCAATATATAGTATACAATTACCTCTCATATAAAATGGTTGACATTTGCATGTTTTGCAATGTAGGTTTGTTTACAAACTTCATAACAAGCAGCAATAGTATTTTTTCACTCCTGGAAGTTTCTTATCTTCGCACATTGTTTTATAAGGAGACTTTAACGAAATTGTCTAAAATAATAATTCAATATTTTCTGCTATTATACGTTGCTCATATTTCATGCTGTAAATGTAGCTATAAGCTAATGAATGTTTTGTGTATTTGTATGGTCATATCATTCATAATAAAATATAGTGAAAATACACTTTTAGACACTAGAAAATCGTCCAGATTGTTGGAAAACACATAAAGGGAGTTGTACATTTATGGTATTTATACAGTAGAAAATATACTTAAAGGAAATCGTGTTTGATCAAAAGCTCATCATTAAGTCACATATTCATATAATTTACTAACTTTTAGTCAGTATTTAACGACAATTAAATAAGTAGTTTTAAAGGACATAGCAAGCCATTTATAAACAACAGCAGCAGCATTATTGGCTGCTCAGCTTGTCTACTCACCCTTTGTCGTGTAATACTTGCATAAACATGAGATCCTGGCATTACTGCAAAACCTAATCCTGAAACCAGAGGAAGTTCATCTGGATCATGTATTCTAATTTTTAATCCAGCTGAAAACTCGAGAAATCCAATGTATTCTGATTGTTCCACTGACATCTTGAGATGTAGTCCAGAATGTTTGCCTGAGCTGCTACGTTATTGTTGTTGCTTTTCTCTGTAACAATTCATTAAAATTGTGGTATAGTAATTTTCAAACAAAAAAAACAATTGATAAAAAATATCTCTAAACTAAATTACCTGGAGTAAACGTGTGACAAAGACCCATGTCTGTGAACGTCGGTTTAAAATATGTTTTATCGCATATTTCTCCTTTCCATGTGCAATAATAAAGCATTCCTTTCTTAGTTTTATCGTCATAGTCCATTTGATGGCCTACTTCATAAATGAATGTTGTCATATTCAAATCATTTACTTTGGGGTATTTTGTCCAATCGACACTGTTGTTCTCGTTTTCATAAAGACGGTATGCTTTTCAATTACTTTGTAAAAGTCTGTGTCTTTAATAAAACTTTTTCTGTATTTGTTGAAGTTACAAAATGTAATGGCTGGAAATTTTACTTCTTCTTCAGTTACCAATTCAATGGAACTGGTCACATCAAATTCCAAATATTTCAGAGCAATTGTTGAAGTTTGCCATATGAATAAAGAAAACATAAAACCGAGCAGAATAAGCCAAATAAAGCGTTGTAATCCTGGACGTTTTTTAAACACGTAATGTAGGCCATGTAATGATGAATTTTCTACAAAATCCTCCCAAAGGTGTCTGCCAAGATGCTTTCTCTTTTCTTTAACACTCAACTTGGAATATCCTCCATTTAGTTCCTTCATTTCATCAGAGTGCATGATTTCTATGGGCGAGAAAGATGATTTCATAAAGAAATTGATTATACCATCAGCAAGATTTATTAGACGTTGGTTAGTTACGGCATTCAACAAAGCATAAAATAGCAAACGTAAAATTAATCAATATCTTGTTAATCAAATTATCCAAATCTTGCCCTGTCAGAAATCGTCTTGCCCGCTGTACAAATTTATAAAATATTCATTTGTGAAAGTGCTTTCTGTAATAGCAAAGAAATTGAATAAATTACTTATTACTAACTTAAGTTTGCTCGGTCTGTACGAAGAAGTATTGCCTTTGTTCTTTAATCTTATGAAAACTTATTATTTAGTGTATATATATTGGGGCTACGCACATTTACTCTAAAACGGAGATTTTGCCGTTGAGACAAATTTGAATATTGCCTTAAAAAGAGCAATTGCCATGGTGAATGAACTGAAACCAAATAAAAACCACGAAACCAAAGTGAAAATCGACAAAAAACTAACCAGAGAAAAATAAGAAAAAGAGTTCTGAAAGTACTAAAACAGTTCTTTGCAGAACTCTTCATTTTTCTTAGTTTTCATTTACTCGGCGTACTTATTTTATATTATGTAGTAACCCGGCGCTTCGTGGCTGCTTTTGCGTTTTATCACAAATGACGTCATGCCCGTGTATCTATAACTGTATAGACAACGGTTAATGTTATCTATTTGTTAACCATGCAGTAAATTAATACAGTTATCTAGTGAGATAAGCACTCCAAGCAAACTTATAATCTAAGCTTTTTGAACGTTCAGTATTTTTAAGAGACTATCAAATGCTGCATCTTCTGCTTCTGAAGATTGATATGACTATAATGTAGTTGACAGCCTGACAATAAAATTGTGCACTTCGGCGCATCAATATAAAGCCTGCCAGACAGCGCAATGCAAAAAGATATTATTGTTTTCTTGATAGTCGACCTTTAAAAGCTCAATTTGCATTATTCATGTTTCTATTTGAATGAAACGATGTTAATTTGTTATGTTGCTCGATACATCAAGGGTCGACGATGTGAAATTTCCAATACCATAAAATTTATGTCATGTCGGCTCGCATAAAAAAAACTTCTGTCAATTTCAATTTCAGTACTTTTACACACTTATGTAAACGTATTGTGGCATACAAAAATACCATCTATACAAAGTTAAAAGCATGCAAAAGAGAAAAGGTTTAATTTTATTATTCAGCAGTCCGCGATGTTGGAAATCTAATGCTTTTCTAAAAGATTTTGTTAATGTCATATTTAGGGGCTGTTTATATGGCCCACTTAGCAGGATAGCCCGGTAAGCAAGATGAATTTTTGATGTTTTTATATGACGTTCATCTCGCTTGCCGAGACGTTTTACGCGGTCGAAATCAAAACTTGTATAAAGCATCTTCTACTTATAATCAGACAGATTAACAATCAAATGCTCCATTATCTTTGAATCACAGGGAAAGTTCATTCTTTGAACCATTGTCGTGTCTATTTTGCTCGCTTTTGCCATTGATGGCTTTTACACGTTCACGTTGTCTGCCATTTTAATATGTTATCATACGCATGCTCAAATAGTTAAAACTTAGCTCGGCAAGCGGGCTAGCTCGGCAGTTGCGTGTTTACAAGAGAAAAATTTCATCCTGGCAGACAAGATCTCGCCTCTGCCAAGTGAGATCTCGCTAAGCGGGTCAGCTCGGCTTCCATATAAACAGGCCCTTAAACAGATAATATCTATCAGACGTGTTGTGGCTTGCATATTATGTTAGTTATCGCAGGCAGTTAAATAGACTTGATAACTTTTTTATATATCATCTAAATTTCTTGAAAAATCTTACCTTACGTGATGTTTTATATATTCATTGCCATTCACTTAACATCTCTCAGGCACTCATGACCACAAGCACATCACACTATGACAACGTTCTTTAAATATAGTCAACCTGTTATGAAAGTTAAACGCTTATTTAAAAATTAATGTCAAAACCAATTTGTCACAAAAATTGCAAAAATTGAGACAAACAATAAAACAACGTGATTGCAGAATACGAAATATACGTTTTATTTTTTTTTTTATTTTATATCTTATTATTCTGTCTTTAAGAACCATTAAAATTTTTATGTTTTATTGCTCAAATTTTTTGAAAAATAAAGACTAGCTATGTATGGCACACAAGAACCAGTCAATTGGGTATATTTACATAAGTAGCTAATAGCATTATGAATTTTACATTTTCTGGTATTTAGAAAAATTTATCAATAATTTTCCTATTATGATAAAACATAGATACGTTCGATTTATACTACTGATTATCTTTTTTTTAACCAATTTTTTCTCTGTATTTGAAAGAAACGATTTGTTTTTTATTGTTTAAATTTTTTTCCAGATATTAATGAGCCATTGTAAAATCGGTTACGATTAGTAAATAGTAATTGTATGTTTACATTCATAAACGAACGGAAATACTTGTATTTTACATACATTGAACAATTGAATCATTGATATAACAGATACATAGCGAGATAAAGAGCCACATTCTTAGGAAGAATTGAATAAACGCCAAAAAAGACGATTAATCGTGAAAGTGAATTTTTGTATGTTATGTACATAATACATTTTGTGTTCTATGGTAAGAAAAACAAAAACTATGAAACATGAAATGTGAATCAGAAAGCCCATACATATTTTCATGTTTATGGAAGAATCTAGTATTTGAATATGTAATTAATTTTCCACATAAATTTATTCACAAGATGTTATTGGCAGTTGAATGAAATGAGGCTATCGCATTCTTCTAAGTACAGGAAGGTTGTAGTCACTGTTGCAGCAAACAAGGTAAAAAGAAACATTTGTGACGACCAGCCAAATTGTGCTTGTGCATACATCTTAACCTCAGTCAGGCAAGATTACCTGCTAAATTTAAGCATATTAATGAGAGGAGGAAAAGAACAATAAAGGATTCCAAATGTAATGGCGAATGAAGAGGGAATAGCTCAAATTGAAAATCTCCGCTGTCGTGCAATGGTGAATCGTATTTGCTTGGAACAGCTCGTCATAGATGGTGACAATACTGTACATGGCAACCTCCTTGTGCTTCCAGCCAATCATTATAAAATGGTGTTACATGTTTCCTAAAGCATATAACAATAAAATGAGGATACTTGTTGCTTATTTGAGTAATGGAGTTGACTGATTCTCACGCCTAAGAATAATTGTATTTGACTATTTGTCCCATGCATATACACCACCTCCAACCACGGACGAACATTTAGAAATTAAAATGATATTTGCATATCTGATATTACCATATCCAACTTCAACTTTAATCTCAACTTTCAACACACTTATAAGTTACCTTATTGTCACTGTTGTCAAACAAGTTGTCTTAGCTGCAACTTATCATTTTAGACGTTTAGAAATGAAAGTTTTCAACGCAAGTTAAATTTGCGTACACGTCTATAACAAACTTTACCCGAAATGTATTTGTATATTCATAGTGAGCAAATATATAGTTCATAGAAAGTTGTGCATATTTGATTTAATTTACATACTTCTACTGACAAAATTTTGAAACACATACAAAATCAAATCATGTAGCTCGTATCATTTCATACAGATTTTTTATCACAGGCATTAAAATCAGAAATATTTTACAGGGACACATTGAACCCCCAAATTTTTTTTTCATTGAGTTTCAAATGCCTTTCTTATTGTTCCAAAATTCTAACACTAATGTCACGCAACTAACTTGCAGCTTATTCACATTATTTCTTCACTAATTTTTCTGCTTTCAAACATTTAACGATTAAATTAAGGCAATTTTTAATATTTTTAATCCTATAGCTAAAAAATGCAAATTTTTGTTGGGTGAATAAATTAAAGGCCACGCCTTTTTGTTGGGCAGGGAAGCTTGTATGTCATTTGAGACACGTGACTCGTTTTTTCTTTCATTCTTTTTTCTCCGGATATTTCAAAACAGCAGATGAGTTTAATCTCTTTTTCTGATAATTTATACATAATTACCCAAGTTACTTCAAAGGAACAATTGAATAATGCTGAGTTTATTTTATTGAAAATTGTGATTTGCAATTTGATTTGCAAATTTTGATTGGAAGAAAGCTCAGGAAGTACATACCTGATGTAAATGCACTTTCCAAATAGGTTAATGAGGAAATGCAACAAACAATAACTCTCACTCCTTTGATTAATCATTTCTATAGCGTATTGTTCTTCATTGTACCTCAAACAAATCGTTTATTGTGATCTGCATAAAGTTGGATAAGGATAACAATCAAATATCTAAACTACTTGTGGGTATTATCTGTATATGTAGACATAACCTTTCAAGATTTTTGCTGTGCTGATTAAAGTTTTGGGAAATTTCACGGTTGTGAAGCTTTGATAATTATTCCATGGCTTTTGATTCGGTTGAAGAGAAGAGAAAAAAAGTTCGGTTGTAAACCAAAAAGAAAATGAATTGTTGTATTTGATGGATCAATCTGAAGACCTTGGCGTGGGGTCGTGTAAATTGGTAATGTTTTACTGTAATACTGAACTACGATTGCGAAGATATCGTGGTAATGTTCATGTTGTAGTTAAATGGGAGAAATGAAACAGACTTTGTAAAGGTATTTGTAAAGTAGTTAAATTTGTTATCCCCTATGATTTCTATTCTATGTCTAGTTTTATCAAGACTAACGATATGCGTTTGTCTGAAAACGTTTGTTAAAATGATTATCTAACAGAAAACATGAACTTAGATATTAAGTTCACGATAAAAATTATAATTCTTTAATTTTAATAAATGCATTTGATAAACCTTGCCCTGTCTTAGACGAGTGAAATAAATATTTGCGAGAAAATAAGTCTTTATTCTCGTGATACTATTTGCTTATGCTTATGTTTGTGCTTATATTAATGCTAATGTTTCATACTTAGTGCTTACTGTAATTGTTTAGTCTTTATCAGCATTTGTGTTTGTGCTTAATTGACTTTGTATTATGAATCAACATCTTGCAAGATGTATCTCACAAAGGACAATGCCTTGTCCTTGTGAAATAATAGTTTTTCTCCATACAAATCAAAATTTTCTTTTAAATTACAACCACTGGCTGAGAAATTCAGTTATGAAGCAAATAAGGGCCGATTATATGGAGGCGAGCTGACACGATGATTTCAAGAGATTGAAAAGAGAAAAAACTTCAAGGCTAAAAAATACAACTGTTTGCGAAGCACCACACGTCACTCCAGTTGTAATCCTCAAATTAGGGCACATCGGTTGTTTTGAGAAGTTATTAAATCAGAATATTGTGAAATTGCTTAAGACGATTTATCTAATGATAAGTATTGAATCGTTTCCATTTGCTAAAATCATTTAACGCTTGGCTGTATCTTTGCTACCGCGGGCTCATGTAATCAGTCCCAACTCAAAAAGTATATAACATAGTGAACGGCTGAGAATTGCAGAAGAAAAAGAGAAAAGATTGTCCTTATGTAAGAATAGGCATAAATGTTGTATGATGACAGAACTATTACAGTATCATAAAGAGAACAGGAGAAAAATGTTTCAAAATCGTAAAATTGATAAATGGCGGGTACTGCTTAGTGCTATATTGAAATTAATTGGAGTGTTGTGGAAATTTTATAAACTTTTCAAACGTAGTGAACTCATAAGATTTTATGATAAAGTTGTATGAAAAATCCAACGGCAATTTCTTGTAGCATTTCCTTCCTTTAAAGATTACAGTTTGTAGCTGTCCTCTGCTCTCATTTACAACGACGTATTCTAGAATGATAAACTAAAGTTTCTTACGGTATTTTTAACCAATCAAAGCACTTGAAAAAGAAAAAGATCTTTGATTTGGATGCTTTCGTTTTTGCATATGAGCAAGTGATAAAAGGTTTTAATTATGAAAAATGTGGCTAATTGCCTTTTGCATGCATATAAATGAGTAGCTATTTCCAATAATCTAACTAAGTTTGAGCGCCCCTCGTTCTCTAATTTACGAAAGAGTTCTGCGAAAAGTTGAAAAGTTATCTCACCACCAGCTTTGCACAAATCTTCACGCAGTGAGCACTTGAAAATCTAAGTAACATTTTTTGTGAGTAAAATAAGATTCTAAAAACGTGAAGACACCAAGTATTCGAAACATTTATTAAGTTCAAACCAATAAGCAAATATTTTTTGTTTATGCTTAAATGTAGATTGGATAGTTGTAAAGGGTTTTGAATTTTTCAAAAACGGCTGTTTTTTGCAATTGACGTAGTCAGTCAGTGTAACGGAATGTCAATCGGCTCATTTAAGAAATCACAAACCAAGATCGTCTCCCCAAATACTAAACTGTCCAACATAATCAATAAAAACAGCCTTCTATGTCAGAGTCCAAGACTTCTGGGCCCATAAACTGTTAAGAATGTTAAAGAGAAGCATGTTTTAATTTATTATACATTAATACATTTATTGATTAACATATGACTACATTGTGCAAAACATCAAATAAAACAAAAGAAAAATAATCAGAACGCAAGATGAAGTTGATCATTGCCACATTGAATTTATGAATTTCTCAATGGGTTGATCTCAGCTTTTTGTTCATTTTTTTACGATGTAGTCATTTAAAGCTTGCGTGATTGTGACCGTTCTTTACCACAAAATGTATGAATGTAAAAGGTGACTTATTATACCAGCTAGTTAAAAATAAGGTAAAATTAAGTACATTTTTGTTTACTCGAGATACATTTTCAGTATAGCTACCACGTGATTAAATATTACTACACCACGTGACATGTCTTTATAAATATGAAAATAATTATCAATTGTATGAAAGTATATTCATAAGCCAGTTGATATCTATAAACATGGACATGATTTTCTAATGAATTATAAGGTGCCATACAAAGAAGATTATTTTGTTCTAACTTTTTTTGTTATGTTTCTTCTGTTTGCGTCAGAGTAATATTTGATCACGTGCTTCAACAAATTAAAAATTAATTTCATTATTTCAAGTTGCCATTGGTCTTTTTGATAAAATATCGAGGACTTTCGTAACATACAAACGTAGCATATTATATTCAGTATTTGCTATGGTTACGTTTATAAAATAAAAACAATAAAACGCGTGCGCTGATTGGTCTATAGCTGTGCTTGCATTAGCCTGTGCAAACCGATCTGAGCTCAACAATTCAAGTCAATCAATTAGTGAGAATTTGGAAATCAATAATGAACCATTTTAAAAGAAAAATTGACCCCATTGTTTTAAATTTGTCTGTTTTCCATTATTGTTACTATATAAAAGAAATAAAAGATGTTTTTCGCGTTTGCACAGGCATATGCAAACCTTGGAGACGTTTGTGAGAACTCTCGAGTCTTTTCAACTTCTCTATAACTTACATAACACTCACATAAATCAAAGATGTATGTATACAGACTATTTATGAATGCCAAGGCGAGTCAAAATCATCATGACTGCAACATCAACAAACTCTGTCCATGTCAAAATACTTGCACCAAGAAACAAACCCATTAAGCCACCAATTTCACCTAAAAAAGATAAAAAATTTAGACCAATGTATGTTCCTATCAAATTCAACGGGGCTTACGGGGTTTATCTGTCTAGGACTCCAGAGTCTTATGAATTAATAAACAGAAGATTTATTTGATAATGATGAAATAATGAGAATTTACCAAGTAAACTTTGTAAGGTATATGCCGGATCTTGTCTGAGAACTTTGTAATTTAGATCTTCGTAGAAGATATCTATGGCAAGAAAATTTCTCCTACAAACATGTAATACAAGTACGTTAAACAAATTTTATTTTAGCAGTTTAGTAAGTTGTAAGTGTTTAGCCATAAATTGCATTATGGATTGTAAATCGATATTTTCCGTCAGACTTTTCTCTTGTTTATGTGGATAAGAATAGTACCATAAAATGTAGAATCCTACTTATTATATGTAATGCATAGAGAATTCAAACAAAACGTAAATAAAAATTAATCAAAGCAGGTTATTCCTGTTTGTACAAAATTGTCATTTAGCTGTTTTGAATCATACTATTAATTTGTTTTCATTAATAAAAAAAGCAGCTTTGGAGAAATGAGAAAACCTAGATTAAATAGAAAGATTATTTTGAAAGTGGTAGAAAGATTGAAAAGTTGAAATCATTGTTGAATGAATACGTTGGAATGTGCAGAAATTATTATTCGTTGTGAATGTCTGCCGGGACAAATGCATGTGCTTACAATCACAAAGCCAAGTTAAAGTTAATCTGAAAATAAGTTCGGACTGTAGCAAGTTAATCAGATGTTAAGTTGGAATGAGTCGAGAATCTGGTAACAAGAAATTGGATATAGTTAAAATTAAGAAGAAACTCAAGAAAGTAAAGAGTAAGTTTCTTATCCTACATTCTGCATGTGTTGTTTAGCAATAGAGAAAAGTAAGAAGAGCTTTGAGACAACGTTGTGTTATTATGTTTAAGAGCTTTGTGGTTAGCAATAAATTCATTAAGAATTACTTAGAAAGACAGATTTAAAGATTACTCATATGATTGAGAAATTGTGGTTGAAAAAATTGTATTTAGAGCAGTTGATGGCATTTCTTAATAAGAAACGATGATTTCAGTGACACAAGTATGATGTGTTCAATGTGATATAAAGTCTTTGATACACAGAAGAATGAAAAGAAATTTCTCCATTGAAAGCAAGTCACATTACCTGAAAGTTTCTAATGTTGTATTTTCGGAAGTTGAAAAAAGTGCTGCTGTCACATCATTGGGAAAGGAGCCATAGGAAAGATACGGGTCATATTTCATTGAGTCACATGATTCGGAACATTCACATTTATGACTGTCCAACGAACTGGAATACTTTCCTGTAAATTTGCAAAAATGATGATTTCATACCACATTGAATTTATTTTCAAGTTGACAAACTGGTTAATCAGGTTATACAAGGAAATCGTTCACATTGTTTACTTGCGATTCTTCTTTCAAAGTATCATTAATAGAATATGTATTAAATGCATCATCCTTTTTTTATTTCCTGCATCTCCCTTTTAACTTCTCTTTCCTTCTTCTCTCTCAACAACTCGTTCCTATTCTCATTACCCTTGACTCAAGTTATCACCCGTTTTGTTTTTGATTAGTAAAATTTATTAGATATCAGAGAGTAATAAAATATAAAGCCAGTGAAAGTCTGTTAGTTTTTCAAAAACAAATGCGTTCTTTCTCTATAACAGGGTTAGATAACTGCCAAAAATTTCTCATCGTGTAAAGAGGTTGTTCTCTCATACCTTTATATCATAGCTCTTACTTATCATAGACTTCCAAGCTTTAGTGTTAATATATAACAGTTAAATTGCATCGTTTGGGTACTAACCTTCCAAGGGAAACACACAGTTTATATGCTCTTTAACGTTACATGACTTGTACTTTATATCTAAAAAAATGATGTCAAATTAAGAACTCAAAAAGACTCCTCAAAACTACGTTACAAACTTTTGAGAGATAATTACTTTTATCATGTATGTTAATAAAACACATTCAACTTATTCTACATTGAAAGGGAAAAGACAAAAGGTCCATGCATAAATTTAGCAATATATAGTATACAATTACCTCTCATATAATATGGTTGACACTTGCATGATTTTGCTATGTAGTTCTGTTTACAAACTTCATAACAAGCAGCAATAGTATATTTTTTCGCTCCTGGAAGTTTTTTATCTTCGCACATTGTTTTATAAGGAGACTTTAACGAAATTGTCTAAAAATAATCATTCAAGATTTTCTGCTATAACATTTCTATTATTAGATGCCATAAATGTACTGAGTATTTCCCATGTTTGCCAAGTCAAGAATCAATGCTCGTCTTAATCACTAACATAATGTACACTTTATAAAACAATTATACATCAAATTCAGTTTTTATATAACAATACTTATAGAAAGTACCGTTTATCCTATTCAATAAACATTTGTAAGCCACTTATTTGAAATATCACAGTAGAAAATCGTCCAGACTATTGGAAAACAGTCAAAGATAAAGTTGTACATTCCTGGTATTTTCACAATAGAAAATGTACTTTACAGGAAATCGTTTTTGATCAAAAGCTCATCATTAAGTCACATATTCATATACTTTATTATCTTTTTAGTCAGTATTTAACGACAATTAAATAAGTAGTTTTAAAGGACATAGCAAGCCATTTATAAACAACAGCAACATTATTTGTTGCCCAATTGGTCTACTCACCCTTTGTCGTGTAATACTTGCATAAACATGAGATCCTGGCATTACTGCAAAACCTAATCCTGACACCAGAGGAAGTTCATCTGGATCATGTATTCTAAATTTTAATCCAGCTGAAAACTCGAGAAATCCAATGTATTCTGGTTGTTCCACTGATATCTTAAGATGTAGTCCATAATGTTTGCCTGGAGCAGCTACTTTATTGTTGTTGCTTTTATCTGTAAAAATTCATTAATATTGTGATGTAGTAATTTTGAAACAAAAATAAACGAGCAATAAAAAATATTTTCAAACTAAATTACCTGGAGTAAACGTGTGACAAAGACCCATGTCCGTCAACGTCCGTTTAAAATATGTTTTATCGCATTTTTCTCCTTTCCATGTGCAATAATAAAGCATTCCTTTCTTAGTTTTATCGTCATAGTCCATTTGATGGCTTACATTATAAATGAATGCTGTCATATTCAAATCATTGAACTTGGGGTATTTTGTCCAATCGACACTGTTGTTCTCGTTTTCATAAAGACGGTATGCTTTTTCAATTACTTTGTAAAAGTCTGTGTCTTTAATAAAACTTTTTCTGTATTTGTTGAAGTTACAAAATGTAATGGCTGGAAATTTTACTTCTTCTTCAGTTACCAATTCAATGGAACTGGTCACATCAAATTCCAAATATTTCAGAGCAATTGTTGAAGTTTGCCATATTAGCAAAGAAAACATACAAGCTTGCAGAATAAGCCAAATAAAGCGTTGTAATGCTGGACGTTTTTCAAATATATAATGAAGGCCGTGTAATGTTGAATTTCCCAAAAAATCCTCCCAAAGGTGTCGAGCAATATGCTTTCTTTTTTCTTTTACACTCAACTTAGGATGATCTTCATTTAGTTCTTTTAATTCATCAGAATGCATGATTTCTATAGGCGAGAAAGATGATTTTATAAATAATTTTATAACACTATCAATAATCCCAATACATTTTTTTCCAAAAAAAGTATCAAAGATGTTGGACAATAACTGCACTCAAAAAATAGTAATAGTATTTGTTGAAATTCATAAAGTATTTAAACTGTTGAAGTGCTTTCTACAACAACAAAAAATATTACGTAATTTTACTTTCTTGACGTGGTCATTTTATAATAAAATACTTGGATGCGAATGAACAAGCGATTTCTTTAAAAATCCATCATGGAATGTCGCTTATAAAAAGCTTATCGGATTCAAAATTATCGCTAATGGTCCTAAGCCCTGCTGGGATGAAAGCGCTATTTGAGCGTGAAATGTGTGAGAAGCACTAATGTTGGCTGCTATAACCATCACTTTCAGTCTTTATGCTCCTTCTGACAGTTTCCAGTAGTTTATTGAAGATTTAAATTAGGAAAATTGGGCTTATGTGTTTTATTCACCATTATATGTACCTACGATGGCCCAGAAGGCTCACAGTCGTATTATATTTTCTTATACTCCAGTAACGCGTTTTATAGTCTTGTAACGCTTTTTAACAGTCCCGTAAAGCTTTTTGACATAAATCTTGTAAAATTTTAACCCAGTCCAGTAAATTTATTTACAACAATTTTTTTAATATTTTTGTATGGTTAGGCTCTCTTTTTTAAATAAAAATAGGCATTGAAAGACGCTGATGAATTCGAATGTAAATTTCAAAATTAAAAATAAATATGCCGCTAAAAAACTATACCCCCTGTATGAACATGGAGAATCATTATGAAGAAAAAGATCTCATCAAATAATATTTCAACTAAGGATGCACAAAACTTGAAATAATAGAATACTTATGACTTCATGACATTACAATAAGTTTGTCAACGCTAAAGCAAAGATTGGTGTCTTTGCACCTTTGTAGGCGACCACACCAAGAAGAAGAGAATAGAGATGTAATCAAGGCTGCAATCGACGAAGAATTATCTTAGAGCGGGTGTTTTAAAGGCTATCGAAAATTGTGGCAAAAACTGCGACAAAAACGGCTAACTGTGAGAAGGGAAACCGTAAAGAGGAAACTGTTGGTGGAGCTTGATTCAGTCGGTGTAGAAAATCGTAGAAAAAAATCTTCGTAGAAGATTGTATTCAGGTATCGGACCGAATTTCTTTTGGCATACAGACGGTCACGATAAACTCCAGTCATACGATTTCAGTATTCACGTCTGTATTTATGGCTACTCAAGATGGCTAATATGGTTAGAAGTAGGACCAACAAATAAAAAAGCCTGAAGTAATTGCTAAATATTACGTGGATGCAGTCAGGTTAGAGGGTGGAGTTGTTAAACGATGGAACGGCGGAACACTGTGTGGTCGAGACTATACACACATTTCTACGCTCTGGCCACAATGACGCATACGCTGGACTTTCAAACTTTAACATTGGAACATCGACGTAAAATCAACGAATTGAGGCCTATTGGTCACATCTAGTGAGAGAAAGTCCTGGTTTGTAGAAAATTTTCTTTAAAGATCTTCGTGATATAGGATTATTTAATGATGTATCCAATTCAAGTAGACTGCATACGATTTTGTTTTATGGATATTCTGCGACAAGAACTTAACAACAATGCTCAAAGTTGGAACTAACGTATAATATCTCCGAGTATATTTGATTTTAACAGTCCAAGAGGTAGTCCTGACAACATGTACTTTTTTAATTGCAAAGTGGAAGCAGATATCGATTAGTTTAATCACAATGTTGCCATGGTTGCGGAAGATACAAATGGCGAATTTAGGGAATTTGCTAAAGTACTGAGGGCAGAACTTGACTCACGACCCCAACTATAGAAAAAGAAGCTTTAAACTCGTATATTTTACTTGTAGACAATGATTGAACGAATAATTCAAAATTTTGAAAAATTATGTGTGTCATTGAAGACTGAAAGAAATTTAGTTCAACGAAGAGAGTTCAGGCTGTTGACCTTTTCCATATGTGTTTATGAAATGTGTGTTACATTATGTAATCTAGCGTGTCTGGATGTAAGAATTGGCTTCAAAAACTTATTAAGCTTTTCTATTAAAGGTTGCGTTTCCATGTATTTTAATCCAATGCGTACGAGTTAGTCAATGACCAAATATGGAAACGAAGATCAAACAAATTTATATAAAATTAATTAAAAAACTTTAATGGACTGATCATTAAAAAATTGTACTGGACTGTTAAAAAGCGTTACAAGACAGTAAAATGTAATTTATGGAGTGTAAGAAAACATAATACACTGTGAGCCTCTGGGCGATCGTACTACGAAACCTTTCAGTAATGTAAAGTGATTATTAACTCAGATAAGAATTCATTATAAATATTAATATTTACCTCGAGGCTCTTCTCTTTGACACATTGATCAAAAGTTAATGGGAGATTTGCATTTTGAAAGACATTTTCTGATCACATTTATACATGGTTTGTTGACTTTAGGAATTTAAGCGACTAGACAGTGATTGTTTGCAACTCTGCACAATTTAATGTTTGAAAACATTTTTTGGTAAAACTACCTCTTCTCCTTATTCCTTCTAAGCAAATTTAACTCTTCCAAGCAAAGAAGCTTGGAAGCTCAATATTTTAGGACTATACTATATACCAATAATTTGGAACACAGAATTAGATATAAATTAAATTACAACAATTGAATGAAATGTAGCTACGTACAATATGTTCCGCTACTTTTTATAATTACAACTTATCAAGCAGTTATCTGTTGCTTACCTGGTTACGACGTTTTCACCTCTTTAGTTTCCGTTAGCAGATGTAATTTACGCTTCGTTTTATCTTACTGTACAAAAATCTTAAAACCTTTAGTTTATATTACGAAATCAGATCCATGGAATAAAACTGTCAATCGAATCTTAATTGAGCGTGCAAATAATTAGCGAATTTGTTTTGTCTATTATGTGACTGTGGCCTCCTATAGTTCCAATAAAAAGAAATCACGACTATTTTACGTGACTTTTTGTTTAGATTATCTCGACGAAAGATTTTAATGCGTCGAGATAAAAGTCCTTGCAATGTGGCAACGCACGTAGTCTAGTTAAGGATTTTTTATATTAGAATTATCTAAGTTTTCAATGTAAAACGTCGTCTACTGTCAACACACGAGTAGTTATACGAGAAATAATAATGTTGTAGAACTACTGAATGTCGAGGGATTTCTCTGAAGCTCTGGTTTCCTCCCACTTGCCAAGTTGACAAAATGGGATGCTATCAAAGCGTTCTATGTAAATATAGCTAACATCTGATTGTGCTTAACCAACGTTAGTTGACATAAGATATAATAATGATAAAAGTAATAAACTGAATATTTCGACATGCAACAAAACAAATATAAAAATTGAAAACTCAGAAGTCCGTATAGGCTTGCATGATTAGGCTTAGTTTTGTTTTGTTGTTCTCAATTAAGTGATCTCTCACTGTAAATTCATATGACATTATGAATCAACCACCGAACATCGTTTCCTTTGATGATGCTTTTGTTCATAAGTATATTGAACCCCTTCCCCGCCTTCCCCTTACAGACACAGATTTTGGCTGCGAGTAGGCTTTGCAAAGCATGGATTCATGATACTATGAAAATGCACTTTTAAAAACATTCTTTATGTTTAGATGCAATGAACACAAAAATAGCGAAGAACGTCGCGAGAAAAAAACGAGATGATGCGATAGAAAGAAGTCAATTAAACACACGAGATATCTATTTTTGATGATCTGCAATCGAACGCTTGAACCACACTTTTCAACATAGAAAGTGAATGAATTGATTATACGTTAAAGAATCACATACTTTAACAAAAAGTGCTTCATTTTACACGACTGACATTTTGACAAAGACACAATTATTACTATGAAGTATGACGTACAACTGTCTATTGCATTTCCACCTGGTTCGTCTCAAAGAAAGAATGTTGTTGAGATATGGCACTCTCACAGGAACATTCTTGTCAGAAAATCTGTTTTCGGCCTCCGTAAATAGTTTCCAAATTTCTAATTGAGCAAATTTTGGAACATTGACCAAAAAATAAAAAGTATTTCGAGGAATAAAATGGTTGTGTGTTATTCCTCCACAGCAGGCTATCAGAAAAGCATCTTCCTCAACGAAAATTGGTAGGGATACTTCATGTACAACTCATAAGGAAAAAGTTCAAAAAGATAGATTTATCAAAAGCAGTTTACTAAGATCCTGGAAGCAGCACGTACACGATTTTCAATAAGGAGACCATCAACAAAGAGAACTAATCCGTAGTTATCTTACCAAACAAGATAAACTTTTGGACACACTCTAGGTATGTCGATTTAATTAATAGTTTATACAATCAACCACATCATATCTTGAAACTTACATTACTAACGTTTCTTCTAACAATCATTCCTGCAATAATTTCAGCACAGAGATGTGAAACTCAGAAAACTTTCAATAAAATCCTAAGATAGCACAGCAAGCAATTTATCTTTCATTGTTTAAAAGACGTGGACCAGGATTGACAGCCCAGAACATAATTATACACTACAACATGTATTTTTTGGTAGAAGTCTAACAGTTCTAAACGTCGTCTGTTTTTGTTACCAATTTCCTACTGATACCGTTTTACATGTTACTTATGCTCACAAACGATCATTTACATATGCTTACGTTATGTAAGTATAAAATTTATTAAAATCACAACTGTCTGGAAGTTAATGAAAAATAATTCATTTGAAACGAAGAATGTAAAAACAACAATAATTTTCTGATAAGGTTACATTTTCTACAAACAATATTTCAATATTTTCATGAAATGAGGATGTAAAGTTTCTACTTACTTTATATCCATAAATTTTACATCACTAAGAAGAAGAAAATTCCTGGGTAATGGTCTTGGGGCAGGAGAAAGAATCTTAAATTGTTGACGCTCCATATCAATATCCGTTCTAAATAAAAATAACACTTGTTAAATACGTCAAAACCTTATGTTAATTTGAAAAATAGGATATGGATTTTAATGGACTAAAGCCTCTAACAATAATTACGTCTTGAATTACAATTATTTTTGTTTTGATTTTGAAAGTTAGATGAAGTGTTGCCCAACAATAAACAAATAACGATCGCTTCAATTTACGTATAATGCATATTTTACTCAACCACATTGTCATGCATGTTACAATGGTTAATGGTCATACATGTTACAATGGTCATACATGTTACAATGGTCATACAATGGTCATACATGTTACAATGGTTATACATGTTACCCAGTCCAGAAAAAATGAAAATGTCGCCTTTAAACGCTCCCCCCCTCAAGTATACTAAATTTATCCTTACGTAACAATATATCCAGCTAAGTTTGTCCTTAATAGATCTTCGTCAAGATACTAAGTCCATACTAAGTCCCATGACACAGTGGAGAAGATCTTTTCCTGCATGAACGATGAAAATTAGAAAAAAGACTCAACAATGTCAGGAACGCAAAACGCATTTCATACCTGGCTGCATTGGAACTAGCTTTGTTTCAATATCATCTTTTTGCATTCCAATGGGTAAACAAGAATCGGGCACTGCAGGCGCTTGAAAAAAAACAAGACTGAAGCTAGAAAATGTTTAGCCGATAATAGAGCTGTGCATCAAAACAGGAGGGTGGAAAACGGAGAGCTGAGGGCAAAGTTCAAGTCTAAACAAGAACTACGGTAGTATTCATTAGTGCAATTGTGAAAAGTCGAGAGAGTCGAAACTCCAACGTAAAAAAAGAGAAAACAAAGATCTTGACAAACCTCCAATTTTAAATATTTTGACGTCGGAAAATTTCAATTCAAACGTGTGAGGATAGAAATTATTCTTCACTCCATAAAAATATTGTCGTATTCTTTCATTTCTTGAATGTTTCCTAAACTGTTTACTTCGAGTAACAACCTGTTGAAAGTACATAATACACCATTTAGTACAGTGAAACTTTAGCAAACGCAACGTGCTATCGAAGACATCGATAAAAATCAGTAATAATGGTATAAAGATGATCGCCCAGGTTAATAAAGTCCTGAGAAGGACTGTTTTTGTTGTTGTTGACTGACGTTTCGACAACCTTAGCGGTAGTCATCTTCAGAGTCAAATGAGGAGTAAACGTCAGGTTAGCCGTATTTGTTGTCTGGTTCTTACGTCATTGTATTGTGTGTACAGGAAATGTGCAGGAAATATGTATTGTCATTGTGGATTAGTGTGAAGTGAAATATTTTATTTTTAGTTGTGATGTGTCATTTAGGTGTGACGTTTTTAGTTGTAGTGTGTGGGTGTCAATTGTGTATTGTCATTGTGAATTAGTTTGAAGTGTAATGTTTTTAGTTGATCGTTTGTTTGTATTGTGAATAAGTCGTTTGTAAGGTGCCGGTAATTGCTGTGATCTGTTCAGGGGGGTTTCTTCCAAGTTGGTATACCAACTTTCTAATGTAAGCCGTTGTCTATAGTCAGTACTATAAGTGATGCATTTTGCCAAGTCCCAGTCAATGTTGTGCTTTGTGATTCGGTGATGTTCGGCAATGTGATTAGTTTTGTCTTGTTTCTTAGTAGCTCGTTTGTGCTCAGTAAGTCTTATGTTTAAGTTCCTGCCAGTTTCCCCGATATAGGAGGCGTGGCAGTCGGAGCAGTTTATTTTGTAAACTGCACCTTGTCGTTCGTTGGGTTTTTCTTTGTCCTTTATGTTCGTTAGTACTTGTCGTAACGTTGTGATTGGTTTATGTGCGACACGTATGTTGTATGGTCGTAAGATACGCGAGATAGTCTCAGACGTACCTTTGATGTAAGGTATCGTTCCTGTTGTCACTGAGTTCTTCGTTTCGTTGGGTTCGTTGGGTTTGTAAGTGTTGCGTTTGATAAAGTCAGAGTTATAGTTGTTTTTGTCAAAACACGTTTGAGATAGTTGTTTTGTTTTGTAGAGCGTCCGGTGAATCACATATGATTTGTGCACGTCTTGTTAATGTTCTGATTGTGGTGGCTTTGTGTGATGTAGGGTTGTAAGATGATTGGTCTAGTAGTCGGTCAGTATGTGTTGGCTTGCGATAAACTGTTGTTCCTAGTTTTGATTGTCATGTTTTACCAAACAGTCGAGAAAAGGAAGAGTTCCGTTTTCTTCGACATCTTTGGTAAATTGTATGTGGCTGTTCTGTTTGTTGATGTGAGTATGGAAGTCATCAATCTCGTCTGCATGTAGTGCTGTGATTGTGTCATCTACGTAGCGAAACCAAAAAGGTAGTGCATGTTTGTAAGTCATGAGTGCCCGTTCCTCTATAGATTGCATTACAATTTCAGCAACTATAACAGAAACGGGCGAGCCCATTGCTGTCCCATGTAATTGTTTGTAGTGTGTTCCTTTGTATTGGAAGTAAGTCGAGGTGAGGCAGAGATCTAGTAACTCCATAATGTCTTCTGTCGGTAATGGCAGTACGTCCGTGGTGTTTGTAATGAGGGTTTTTGTACAAGTAAGTGCCAGATTAAGTGGAATACTGGTGAATAGTGATTTCACATCAAAAGACACTAGTATATAGTTGTCCGGTATTTGTATAGTGCACAGTTTTTTAATGAAAGTTTCAGTGGATTGTAGCTTGTGTTTTGATTTGTTTGTAAGTGGTTGCAGTATGTTAGTCAAGTACTTTGAAAGTTCGTAAGTAGGCGAACCGCAGAATGATACAATTGGTCGCATGGGTATTTGTGGTTTGTGAAGTTTTGGTAGTCCGTATAGTCTGGGTGGTCGTGGTACTGAACATCTGAGTCGATAGTAAATACGTTCAGATATAATGTTAGATTTTCTCATAGAGAAGATCTTGCTGTTAAGTTTGCGTACTAGTGATGGTGTTGGGTCTCGTTTGAGTTGTTCGTACGTTTGTCTGTCGTTAACAAGTGCGTCCATTTTGTTAAAGTAATCATTCCTGTCCATGACCACAGTCACGCGACCATAATGAAAATTTACCCAGTAAACTTTGTAAGGTATATGCTGGATCTTGTCTGAGAGATTTGTAATTCAGATCTTCGTAGAAGATGTCAATTGCAACCATATTTGTCCTAAAATTATGTTATACAAATACATAAGCAAAGTGCTTAACATATTTATAACAATTTAGTAAGATGTAAGTGTTTTGCAATAAATTGCATTATATTGATTGTAAATAGATATTATATTACTTTCTTCTCATGCATTTGGAAACGATTATTACCATAAATTATAGAGTCCTTCTAATTTTATGAAATGCATAGTGTATTAACATGAAACATGAATAAAATTTGTAAATAGATATTATCTTACTTTCCTCTCATGCATTTGGAAACGATTATTACCATAAATTATAGAGTCCTTCTAATTTTATGAAATGCATAGTGTATTAACATGAAACATGAATAAAATTTGTAAATAAATATTATCTTACTTTCCTCTCATGCATGTGGAAAAGATTATTACCATAAATTGTAGAGTCCTTCTTATTTTATGAAATGCATAGTGTATTAACATGAAACATGAATAAAAATTGAATCGAAGCAGTTCATTCCAGTTTGAACAAAATCGTCTTTTAGCTATTTTAAATCATTCAAGTAGCTCGTTTTTATTAACGAGAAAAGCAGCTTTGATAGAATATGGTAAGAAAACTGGACAAAAGAGAAAAACAAAATTAGATAGAAATGTTATTTTAAAAAGTGTCGCCCGAAATTGGAGATAGTTATGATCAAGAAAAAAGCATAGAATAAGACCAAAACTTAGGCTCTCAATCTCAATTTCTTTCTACCTATCTGTGTTGTTCAGCAGAGAAAAGTAGAAAGAGCATTGAGACAATGTTATGATGTTTAAGAGCTTTGTGGTTTACAATTTGTTAAAGCCCGCTCACATGATCCGATTGTTTCGGTTCGACTTTTGGCTGCTTGTTCAGACGGTCCGATAATTTTGCATGTTGACATTTATATTCGTTTAGATATTTATAGTAGTGGCAGATATTTGCATTATCCAGTGAATTTATTGATATATTTCGCGTATTTTTGTACTTGATCTGACTGTAGGAAACTCAATTTATATGTGTTCACGCGATCTGATTTTTTTGTATACGACAAAATCGTATCCGTCAAGTGTGAACAGGCCTTTAAAAAGACTATTGATTCAGGTAAAATGGGGCATCGAAGAACTACTTGGAAAGACGGATTTTGAGATTATTAATAGGATTTAGAGCATTTGGTTGCATTTCTTAAAACAAAAGATTATTTTAGTGACCCACGCAGTAATAAGGAAATAAATGTGTTCAACGTGATATAAAGTTTTTGATGCACAAAAGAATCAAAAAAATTTCTTCATTGAAAGCAAGTCACATTACCTGAAAGTTTCTAATGTTGTATTTTCGGAAGTTGAATAAAGTGCTGCTGATGCGACATTGGGAAAGGAGCCATAGGAAAGATACGGGTCATATTTCATTGAGTCACATGATTCGGAACATTCACATTTATGACTGTCCAACGAACTGGAATAGTTTTCTGTAAATTTGCACAAATGATGATTTCATATCACATTGCATTTATTTTAAAGTTTTTGACAAACTGGTTAATCAGGTTATACAAGGAAATCTTTTACATGTGATTCTTCTTTCAACGTATCAACAATTGAATATACATAAAATATAATAAACCATCCTCCTCGTATTTTTAACCTCACCTTTCCTCTCTCTCTCTCTCAGCTACACTTTCACACTCTCTCTACTCTTTACCTTTATCAAATATCGTTTAAGGTATAACCTTTTGTATGTTTGATTAAAAATTTATAAACAAGCAGAGAGTGATAAAAGGCCGAGCAAGCGCAATTCTGTTATTTTAAAATGATTTGTCTTTCCCTCTTTAACAGGGTTAGACTACTGACAAAATGTTTCAGTCATGTAAAGTGATTGTCTATATCATGACACCTCTGTTTTATACTAACCTTCCAAGAGAAACACACAGCTTAAATATTGTTTAACGTTACATGGCTTGTACTTTATATCTAAAAAAATGATGTCAAATTAATTGTTAGAATTCAAAAAATAGGTTAAAAATCATCAAGACTAATTTAGTAATTTTGGGATAGCAATTACTTCTTTTGTTCCAATAAAATACATTGCTTGTTCCTAGCTATACTTATATTTCTCAGTACATTTCAAAAGGTTTGCTTTATTGTTTAATGAGATTAATTGTACGTGCATATTTTACGTCTATGCATAAATTTAGCAATATATAGTATACAATTACCTCTCATATAAAATGGTTGACATTTGCATGTTTTGCAATGTAGGTTTGTTTACAAACTTCATAACAAGCAGCAATAGTATATTTTTTCACTCCTGGAAGTTTTTATCTTCGCACATTGTTTTATAAGGAGACTTTAACGAAATTGTCTAAAATAATAATTCAATATTTTCTGCTATTATACGTTGCTCATATTTCATGCTGTAAATGTAGCTATAAGCTAATGAATGTTTTGTGTATTTGTATGGTCATATCATTCATAATAAAATATAGTGAAAATACACTTTTAGACACTAGAAAATCGTCCAGATTGTTGGAAAACACATAAGGGAGTTGTACATTTATGGTATTTATACAGTAGAAAATATACTTAAAGGAAATCGTGTTTGATCAAAAGCTCATCATTAAGTCACATATTCATATAATTTACTAACTTTTAGTCAGTATTTAACGACAATTAAATAAGTAGTTTTAAAGGACATAGCAAGCCATTTATAAACAACAGCAGCAGCATTATTGGCTGCTCAGCTTGTCTACTCACCCTTTGTCGTGTAATACTTGCATAAACATGAGATCCTGGCATTACTGCAAAACCTAATCCTGAAACCAGAGGAAGTTCATCTGGATCATGTATTCTAATTTTTAATCCAGCTGAAAACTCGAGAAATCCAATGTATTCTGATTGTTCCACTGACATCTTGAGATGTAGTCCAGAATGTTTGCCTGGAGCAGCTACGTTATTGTTGTTGCTTTTCTCTGTAACAATTCATTAAAATTGTGGTATAGTAATTTTCAAACAAAAAAAACAATTGATAAAAAATATCTCTAAACTAAATTACCTGGAGTAAACGTGTGACAAAGACCCATGTCTGTGAACGTCGGTTTAAAATATGTTTTATCGCATATTTCTCCTTTCCATGTGCAATAATAAAGCATTCCTTTCTTAGTTTTATCGTCATAGTCCATTTGATGGCCTACTTCATAAATGAATGTTGTCATATTCAAATCATTTACTTTGGGGTATTTTGTCCAATCGACACTGTTGTTCTCGTTTTCATAAAGACGGTATGCTTTTTCAATTACTTTGTAAAAGTCTGTGTCTTTAATAAAACTTTTTCTGTATTTGTTGAAGTTACAAAATGTAATGGCTGGAAATTTTACTTCTTCTTCAGTTACCAATTCAATGGAACTGGTCACATCAAATTCCAAATATTTCAGAGCAATTGTTGAAGTTTGCCATATGAATAAAGAAAACATAAAACCGAGCAGAATAAGCCAAATAAAGCGTTGTAATCCTGGACGTTTTTTAAACACGTAATGTAGGCCATGTAATGATGAATTTCTACAAAATCCTCCCAAAGGTGTCTGCCAAGATGCTTTTCTTTCTTTAACACTCAACTTGGAATATCCTCCATTTAGTTCCTTCATTTCATCAGAGTGCATGATTTCTATGGGCGAGAAAGATGATTTCATAAAGAAATTGATTATACCATCAGCAAGATTTATTAGACGTTGGTTAGTTACGGCATTCAACAAAGCATAAAATAGCAAACGTAAAATTAATCAATATCTTGTTGAATCAAATTATCCAAATCTTGCCCTGTCAGAAATTCGTCTTACTCACTGTTCAAATTTATAAAATATTCATTTGTGAAAGTGCTTTCTGTAATAGCAAAGAAATTGGATAAATTACTTATTATTAACTTAAGTTCGCTCGGTCTGTACGAAGAAGTATTGCCTTTGTTCTTTAATGTTATGAAAACTTATTATTTAGTGTATATATATTGGGGCTACGCACATTTACTCTAAAACGGAGATTTTGCCGTTGAGACAAATTTGAATATTGCCTTAAAAAGAGCAATTGCCATGGTGAATGAACTGAAACCAAATAAAAACCGCGAAACCAAAGTGAAAATCGACAAAAAACTAACCAGAGAAAAATAAGAAAAATGAAGAGTTCTGAAAAAAGTACTAAAACAGTTCTTTGCAGAACTCTTCATTTTTCTTAGTTTTCTCTGGTTAGTTTTTTCTCGGTTTTATATTTACTGTCTGCGTACTTATTTTATATTATGTAGTAACCCGGTGCTTCGTGGCCGCTTTTTGCGTTTTTATCACAAATGACGTCATACCCGTGTATCTATAACTGTATAGACAACGGTTAAATGTTATCTATTTGTTAACCATGCAGTAAATTAATACAGTTATCTAGTGAGATAAGCACTCCAAGCAAAGTAATAATCTAAGCTTTTTGAACGTTCAGTATTTTTAAGAGACCATGAAATGATGCTTCTTCTGCTTCTGAAGATTGATACGACTTTGATGTAGCTGACAGCCTGACATTAATAAAATTGTGCACTTCGGGGCATCAATATAAAGCCTGCCAGACAGCGCAATGCAAAAAGATATTATTGTTTTCTTGATAGTCGATATTTAAAAGCTCAATTTGCATTATTAATGTTTCTATTTGAATGAAACGATGTTAATTTGTTATGTTGCTTGATACATCAAGGGTCGACGATGGGAAATGTCCAATACCATAAAATTTATGTCATGTCTGCTCGCATAAAAAAACTTCTGTCAATTTCAATTTCAGTACTTTTATACACTTATGTAAACGTATTTTGGCATACAAAAATACCATCTATACAAAGTTAAAAGCATGCAAAAGAGAAAAGGTTTAATTTTATTATTCAGCAGTCCGCGATGTTGGAAATCTAATGCTTTTCTAAAAGATTTTGTTAATGTCATATTTAGGGGCTGTTTATATGGCCCACTTAGCAGGATAGCCCGGTAAGCAAGATGAATTTTTGATGTGTTTATATGACGTTCATCTCGCTTGCCGAGACGTTTTACGCGGTCGAAATCAAAACTTGTATAAAGCATCTTCTACTTATAATCAGACAGATTAACAATCAAATGCTCCATTATCTTTGAATCACAGTGAAAGTTCATTCTTTGAACCATTGTCGTGTCTATTTTGCTCGCTTTTGCCATTGATGGCTTTTACACGTTTACGTTGTCTGCCATTTTAATATGTTATCATACGCATGCTCAAATAGTTAAAACTTAGCTCGGCAAGCGGGCTAGATCGGCAGTTGCGTGTTTACAAGAGAAAAATATCATCCTGGCAGACAAGATCTCGCCTCTGCCAAGTGAGATCTCGCTAAGCGGGTCAGCTCGGCTTCCATATAAACAGGCCCTTAAACAAATAAAATCTATCAGACGTGTTGTGGTTTGCACATTATGCTAGTTATCGCAGGCAGTTAAATAGACTTGATAACTTTTTTATATATCATCTAAATTTCTTGAAAAACCTTACCTTACGTGATGTTTTATATATTCATTACCATTCACTTAACATCTCTCAGGCACTCATGACCACAAACACATCACACTATGACAACGTTCTTTAAATATAGTCAACCTGTTTTAAAAGTTAAACGCTTATTTAAAAATTAATGTCAAAACCTATTTGTCACAATTATTGCAAAAATTGAGACAAACAAAACAACGTGAATACAGAATACGAAATATACGTTTTATTTTTTTTATATTATATCTTATTATTCTGTCTTTAAGAACCATTAAAATTTTTATGTTTTACTGCTCAAATTTCTTTGAAAAATAAAGACTAGCTATGTATTGCACACAAGAACCAGTCAATTGGGTATATTTACATAAGTAGCTAAAAGCATTATGAATTTTACATTTTCTGGTATTTAGAAAAATTTATCAATAATTTTCCTATTATGATAAAACATAGATACGCTCGATTTATACTACTGATTATCTTTTTTTAACTAATTTTTTCTCTGTATTTGAAAGAAACGATATGTTTTTTATTGTTTAAATTTTTTTGCAGATATTAATGAACTATTGTAAAATCGGTTACGATTAGTAAGTAGTAATTGTATGTTTACATACATAAACGAACGGAAATACTTGTATTTTACCTACATTGGACAATTGAATTATTGATATAACAGATACATAGCGACATAAAGAGCTACATTCTTAGGAAGAATTGAATAAACGCCAAAATTGACGATTTAATCGTGAAAGTGAATTTTTGTATGTTATGTACATAATACATTTTGTGTACTATGGTAAGAGAAACAAAAACTATGAAACATGAAAAGTAAATCAGAAAGTCCATACATATTTTTATGTTTATGGAAAAATCTAATATTTGAATATGTAATTAATTTTTTACATAAATTTATTCACAAAATGTTATTGGCAGTTGAATGAAATGAGGCTATCGCATCCTTCTAAGTAAAGGAAGTTTGTAGTCCCTGTTGCAGCAAACAAGGTAAAAAGAAATATTTACGACCTTGTAGAAGTGACATGACAGGGCAACGTTTGTGACGACCAGTCAAATTGTACACGTGCATACATCTTAACCTCAGTCAGGCAAGATTACCTGCTAAATTTAAGCATTTTAATGAGGGGAGAAAAAGAACAAGCAAGGATTCCAACAGTAATAGCGAATGAAGAGGGAATAGCTCAAATTGAATATCTCCACTGTCGGTGACAGGTGCAACGGTGAATCGTATTTGCTTGGAACAGCTCGTCATAGACGGTGACAATCCTGTACATGGCAAACCTTTTGTGCTTCCAGCCACGGATGCACATTATAAAAAGGTGTTACATGTTTCCTATAAGCATATAACAATAAAATGGTGATACTTGTTGCTTTTTTGAGCAACGGAGTTGACTGATTCTCAAGCCTTAGAATAATTTGGTTGTATTTGACTATTTGTCCATGCATATACACCACCTCCAACCACAGACGAACATTCAGAAATGAACATGATATTTACATATCTGATATTACCATATCCAACTATAACTTTTATCTCAACTTTGAACACACTTATAGGTTACCTTATTGTCACAATGATCAAACAAGTCACATCCAAGCTGTCTAACCTGTAATTTATCATTTTAGACGTTTAGAAATGGAAGTTTTCAACGCAAGTTAAATTTATGCATACGTCTATAACAAACTTTACCCGAAATGTATTTTTATATTCATAGTGAGCAAATATATAGTTCATAGAAAGCTGTGCATATTTGATTTAATTTACATACTTCTACTGACAAAATTTTGAAAAACATACAAAATCAAATCATGTAGCTCACATCATTTCATACAAATTTTTTAACCCAGGCATTAAAATCAGAAATTTTTTACAGGGACACATTGAACACCCTAATTTTTTTCCATAGAGTTTCAAATGGCTTTCTTATTGTTCCACAGTTCTAACACCAATGTCACACAGCTTATTCACATTATTTCTTCACTAATTTTTCTGCTTTCAAACATTTAACGATTAAATTAAGGCAATTTTTAATATTTTTAATCCTATAGCAAAAAAATGCAAATTTTTGCTGAGTTATTAAATTGAAGGCTACGCCTTTTTGTTAGGCAGGGAAGCTTGTATGTCATTTGAAACTCGTGACTCGTTTTTTCTTTCATTCTTTTTTCTCTGCATATTTCAAAACAACAAATGAGTTTAATCTCTTTTTCTGATAATTTATACATAATTACCCAAGTTGGTTCAAAGGAACAATTGAATAATGCTGAGTTTATTTTATTGAAAATTGTGATTTGCAATTTGATTTGCAAATTTTGATTGGAAGATAGCTCAGGAAGTACATACTTGATGTAAATGCACTTTCCAAATAGGTTAATGAGGAAATACAACAAACAATAACTCTCGCTCCTTTGATTAACCATTTCTATACCATATTGTTCTTCATTGCACCTCAAACAAATCATTTATTGTAATCTGCATAAAGTTGGATAAGGATAACAATCAAATATCTAAACTACTTGTGGGTATTATCTGTATATGTAGACATCACCTTTCACGATTTTTTCTGTGCTGATTAAAGTTTTGGGAAATTTCACGGTTGTGAAGCTTTGATAATTATTCCATGGCTTTTGATTCGGTTGAAGAGAAGAGAAAAAAAGTTCGGTGTTAAACCAAAAAGAAAATGAATTGTATTTGATGGATCAGTCTGAAGACCTTGGCGTGGGGTCGTGTAAATGTGTAATGTTTTACAGTAATACTGAACTACGATTGCGAAGATGTCATGGTAATGTTCATGTTGTAGTTAAATGGGAGAAATGAAACCGACTTTGTAAAGGTATTTGTAAAGTAATTAAATTTGTTATCCCCTATGATTTCTATTTTATGTCTAGTTTTATCAAGACTAACGATATGCGTTTGTCTGAAAACGTTTGTTAAAAATGATTATCTAACAGAAAACATGAACTTAGATATTAAGTTCACGATAGAAATTATAATTCTTTAATTTTAATAAATGCATTTGATAAACCTTGCCCTGTCTTAGACGAGTGAAATAAACATTTGCGAGAAAAATAAGTCTTTATTCTCGTGATACTATTTGCTTATGCTTATGTTTGTGTTTATGTTAATGCTAATGTTTCATACTTAGTGCTTACTGTCATTGTTTAGTCTTTATCAACATTTGTGTTTGTGCTTAATTCCCTTTGTATTGTAAATCAACATCTTGCAAGATGTATCTCACAAAGAACAATACCTTCTCCTTATGAAATAATAGTTTTTCTCCATACAAATCAAAATTTTTCTTTTAAATTACAACCACTGGCTGAGAAATTCAGTTATGAACCAAATAAGGGCCGAATATATAGAGGCGAGCTGACCCGATGATTTCAAGAGATTGAAAAGAGAAAAAACTTCAAGGCTAAAAAATACAACTGTTTTCGAAGCACCACACGTCACTCCGATTGTAATCCTCAAATTAGGGCAAATCGATTGTTTTGAGAAGTTATTAAATCAGAATATTGTGAAATTGCTTAAGACGATTAATCTAATGATAAGTATTGAATCGTTTCCATTTGCCAAAATCATTTAACGCTTGGCTGAATCTTTGCTACCGGGCTCATGTAATCAGTCTCCAACTCAAAAAGTAAATAAAATAATGAACGGCTGAGAATTGCAGAAGAAAAAGAGAAAAGATTGTCCTTATGCAAGAATAGGCATAAATGTTGTATGATGATAGAACTATTACGGTATCATAAAGAGAACAGGAGAAAAATGTTTCAAAATCGTAAAATTGATAAATGGCGGGTACTGCTTAGTGCTATATTGAAATTAATTGGAATGTTTTGGAAATTTTATAAACTTGTCAAACGTAGTGAACTCATAAGATTTTATGATAAAGTTGTATGAGAAAGCCAACGGCAATTTTTTGTAGCATTGCCTTCCTTTACAGATTACAGTTTACAGCTGTCTTCTGCTCTCATTTACAACGGCGTATTCTAGAATGATAAACTAAAGTTTCTTACGGTATTTTTAACCAATCAAAGTATTAAAAAAAATAAATAAGATCTTTGATTTGGATGCTTTCGTGTTTGCAGATGATCAAGTGATAAAAGATTTTGATTATGAAAAAAGTGGCTAATTGCTTTTTGCATGCATATAAATGATTAGCTATTTCCAATAATCTAACTAAGTTAGAGTGTTCCCTCGTTCTCTAATTTACGAAAGAGTTCTGCGAAAAGTTGAAAAGTTATCCCACCACCAGCTTTGCACAAATCTTCACGCAGTGAGCACTTGAAAATCTAAGTAAATTTTTTTGTGAGTAAAATAAGATTCTAAAAACGTGAAGACACCAAGTATTCGAAACACTTATTAAGTTCAAACCAATAAACAAATATTTTTGGTTTATGCTTAAATGTAGATTGGATAGTTGTAAAGGGTTTTGAATTTTTCAAAAACGGCTGTTTTTTGAAATTGACGTAGTCAGTCAGTGTAACGGAATGTCAATCGGCTCATTTATGAAATCACAAACCAAGATCGTCTCCCCAAATACTAATCTGTCCAACATAATCAATAAAAACAGCCTTCTATGTCAGAGTCCAAGACTTCTTGGCCCATAAACTGTTAAGAATGTTAAGGAGAAGCATGTTTCGATTTATTAAACATTAATACATTTATTGATTAACATATTACTACATTGCGCAAAACATCAAATAAAACAAAAGAAAAATAATCAGATCGCAAGATGAAGTTGATCATTGCCACATTGAATTTATGAATTTCTCAATGGGTTGAACTCAGCTTTTTGTTCATTTTTTTACGATGTAGTCATTTAAAGCTTGCGCGATTGTGACTGTTTTTCACCACAAAATGTATAAATGTAAAAGGTGACTTATTATACAAGCTAGTTAAAAATAAGGTAAAATTAAGTACATTTTTGTTTACTCGAGATACATTTTCAGTATAGCTACCACGTGATTAAATATTACTACACCACGTGACATGTCTTTATAAATATGAAAATAATTATCAATTGTATGAAAGTATATTCATAAGACAGTTGATATCTATAAACATGGACATGATTTTCTAATGAATTATAAGGTGCCATACAAAGAAGATTATTTTGTTCTAACTTTTTTTGTTATGTTTCTTCTGTTTGCGTCGTCAATACTTTTCACGTGAAGAGTAGTATTTGATCACGAGCTTCAACAAATTAAAAATTAATTTCATTATTTCAAGTTGCCATTGGTCTTTTTGATAAAATATCGAGGACTTTCGTAACATACAAACGTAGCATGTTATATTCAGTATTTGCTATGGTTACGTTTATAAAATAAAAACAATAAAACGCGTGCGCTGATTGGTCTATAGCTGTGCTTGCATTAGCCTGTGCAAACCGATATGAGCTCAACAATTCTAGTCAATCAATTAGTGAGAATTTAGAAATCAATAATGAACCATTTTAAAAGAAAAATTGACCCCATTGTTTAAATTTGTCTGTTTTCCATTATTGTTATTATATAAAAGAAATAAAAGATGTTTTTCGCGTTTGCACTGGCATATGCAAACTTTGGAGACGTTTATGAGAACTCTCGAGTCTTTTCAACTTTTCTATAACTTACATAACACTCACATAAATCAAAGATGTATGTATACAGACTATTTATGAATGCCAAGGCGAGTCAAAATCATCATGACTGCAACATCAACAAACTCCATCATTGTCAGAATACTTGCACCAAGAAACAAACCCATTAAGCCACCAATTTCACCTAAAAAAGATAAAAAATTTAGACCAATGTATGTTCCTATCAAATTCAACGTGGTTTACGGGGTTTATCTGTCTAGGACTCCAGAGTCTTATGAATTAATAAACAGAAGATTTATTTGATAATGATGAAATAATGAGAATTTACCAAGTAAACTTTGTAAGGTATATGCCGGATCTTGTCTGAGAACTTTGTAATTCAGATCTTCGTAGAAGATATCTATGGCAAGCAAATTTCTCCTACAAACATGTAATACAAGTACGTTAAACAAATTTTATTTTAGCAGTTTAGAAAGTTGTTAGTGTTTAGCAATAAATTGCATTGTGGATTGTAAATCGATATTTTCCCTCAGACTTTTCTCTCGTTTATGTGGATAAGAATAGTACCATAAAATGTAGAATCCTACTTATTATATGTAATGCACGGACAATTCAAACAAAACGTAAATAATAATTAATCAAAGCAGGTTATTCCTGTTTGTACAAAATTGTCATTTAGCTGTTTTGAATCATACTATTAATTTGTTTTCATTAATAAAAAAAGCAGCTTTGGAGAAATGAGAAAACCTAGATTAAATAGAAAGATTATTTTGAAAATGGTAGAAAGATTGAAAAGTTGAAATCATTGTTGAATGAATACGTTGGAATTTGCAGAAATTATTATTCGTTGTGAATGTCTGCGGGGACAAATGCATGTGCTTACAGTCACAAAGCCAAGTTAAAGTTAATCTGAAAATAAGTTCGGACTGTAGCAAGTTAATCACATGTTAAGTTGGAATGAGTCGAGAAGCTGGTAACAAGAAATTGGATATAGTTAAAATTAAGAAGAAACTCAAGAAAGTAAAGAGTAAGTTTCTTATCCTACGTTCTGCATGTGTTGTTTAGCAATGGAGAAAAGTAAGAAGAGCTTTGAGACAACGTTGTGTTATTATGTTTAAGAGCTTTGTGGTTAGCAATAAATTCATTAAGAATTACTTAGAAAGACAGATTTAGAGATTATTCATATGATTGAGAAATTGTGGTTGAAAAAATGGAATTTAGAGCAGTTGCTTGCATTTCTTAATAAGAAACGATGATTTCAGTGACACAAGTAAGATGTGTTCAATGTGATATGAAGATTTTGATGCACAGAAGAATGAAAAGAAATTTCTCGATTGAAAGCAAGTCACATTACCTGAAAGTTTCTAATGTTGTATTTTCGGAAGTTGAATAAAGTGCTGCTGACGCAAAATTGGGAAAGGAGCCATAGGAAAGATACGGGTCATATTTCATTGAGTCACATGATTCGGAACATTCACATTTATAGTCCAACGAAATGGAATGTATTTCTGTAAATTTGCAAAAATGATGATTTCATACCACATTGAATTTATTTTCAAGTTGACAAACTGGTTAATCAGGTTATACAAGGAAATCGTTCACATTGTTTACTTGCGATTCTTCTTTCAAAGTACCATTAATAGAATATGTATTAAATGCATCATCCTTTTTTTATTTCCTGCATCTCCCTTTTAACTTCTCTTTCCTTCTTCTCTCTCAACAACTCGTTCCTATTCTCATTACCCTTGACTCAAGTTATCACCCGTTTTGTTTTTGATTAGTAAAATTTATTAGAAATCAGAGAGTAATAAAATATAAAGCCAGTGAAAGTCTGTTAGTTTTTCAAAAACAAATGCGTTCTTTCTCTATAACAGGGTTAGATAACTGGCAAAAATTTCTCATCGTGTAAAGAGGTTGTTCTCTCACACCTTTGTATCATAGCTCCAACTTATCATAGACTTCTAAGCTTTAGTGTTAATATATAACAGTTAAATTGCATCGTTTGGGTACTAACCTTCCAAGGGAAACACACAGTTTATATACTCTTTAACGTTACATGACTTGTACTTTATATCTAAAAAAAATGATGATGTCGAATTAAGAACTCAAAAAGACTCCTCAAAACTATGTTACGAACTTTTGAGAGATAATTACTTTTATCATGTATGCCAATAAAATAAAGTCAACTTATTCTATATTGAAAGGGAAAAGACATAATGTCCATGCATAAATTTAGCAATATATAGTATACAAATACCTCTCATATAATATGGTTGACACTTGCATGATTTTGCTATGTAGTTCTGTTTACAAACTTCATAACAAGCAGCAATAGTATATTTTTTCACTCCTGGAAGTTTCTTATCTTCGCACATTGTTTTATAAGGAGACTTTAACGAAATTGTCTAAAAATAATCATTCAAGATTTTCTGCTATAACATTTCTATTATTAGATGCCATAAATGTACTGAGTATTTCCCATGTTTGCCAAGTCAAGAATCAATGTTCGTCTTAATCACTAACATAATGTACACTTTATAAAACAATTATACATCAAATCCAGTTTTTATATAACAATACTTATACCGATTATTATATTCAATAAACATTTGTGAGCCACTCATTTGAAATATCACAGTAGAAAATCGTCCAGACTATTGGAAAACAGTTAAGAACAAAACTGTCCATTTCTAGTATTTTCACAATAGAAAATGTACTTTACAGGAAACTGTTTTTGATCAAAAGCTCATCATTAAGTCACATACTCATTTACTTTATTATCTTTTTACTCAGTATTTAACGAAAATTAAATAAGTAGTTTGAAAGGACATAGCAAGCCATTTATAAACATCAGCAGCAGCATTATTGAATTCTCAGCTGGTTTACTCACCCTTTGTCGTGTAATACTTGCATAAACATGAGATCCTGGCATTACTGCAAAACCTAATCCTGAAACCAGAGGAAGTTCATCTGGATCATGTATTCTAATTTTTAATCCAGCAGATAACTCGAGAAATCCAATGTATTCTGATTGTTCTACTGATATCCTGAGATATAGTCCATAACGTTTGCCTGGAGCAGGTACTTTACTGTTGTTGCTTTTATCTGTAAAAATTCATTAATATTGTGATGTAGTAATTTTGAAACAAAAATAAACGAGTAATAAAAAATATTTTCAAACTAAAATACCTGGAGTAAACGTGTGACAAAGACCCATGTCCGTCAACGTCCGTTTAAAATATGTTTTATCGCATATTTCTTTTTTCCATGTGCAAAAATAAAGCATTCCTTTCTTAGTTTTATCGTCATAGTCCATTTGATGGCTTACATTATAAATGAATGCTGTCATATTCAAATCATTGATTTTGGGGTATTTTGTCCAATCGACACTGTTGTTTTCGTTTTCATAAAAACGGTATACTTTTTCAATTACTTTGAAAAAGTCTGTGTCTTTAATAAAACTTTTTCTGTATTTGTTGAAGTTACAAAATGTAACGGCTGGAAATTTTACTTCTTCTTCAGTTACCAATTCAATGGAACTGGTCACATCAAATTCCAAATATTTCAGAGCAATTGTTGAAGTTTGCCATATTAGCAAAGAAAGCATACAAGCTTGCAGAATAAGCCAAATAAAACGTTGTAATCCTGGACGTTTTTCAAATATATAATGAAGGCCGTGCAATGTTGAATTTCCCAAAAAATCCTCCCAAAGGTGTCGAGCAATATTCTTTCTTTTTTCTTTTACACTCAACTTAGGATGATCTTCATTTAGTTCTTTTAATTCATCAGAATGCATGATTTCTATAGTCGAGAAAGATGATTTTATAAATAATTTTATGACACTATCAATAATCCCAATACATTTGCACTAATGTTGGCTGCTATAACCATCACTTTCAATCTTTGTGCTCCTTTCTGACAGTTTCCAGTAGTTTATTGAAGATTAGGAAAATTGTGCTTATGTGTTTTATTCACCATTATATGTACCTACGATGGCCCAGAAGGCTCACAGTGGTATTATATTTTCTTATACTCCAGTAACGCGTTTTTACAGTCTTGTAACGCTTTTTAACAGTCCCGTAAAGCTTTTTGACATAAATCTTGTAAAATTTTAACCCAGTCCAGTAAATTTATTTACAACAATTTTAATCTTTTTGTATGGTTGGGCTCTCTTTTTTAAATAAAAATAGGCATTGAAAGACGCTGATGAATTCGAATGTAAATTTCAAAATTAAAAATAAATATGCCGCTAAAAAACTATACCCCCTGTATGAACATGGAGAATCATTATGAAGAAAAAGATCTCATCAAATAATATTTCAACCAAGGATGCACAAAACTTGAAATAATAGAATACTTATGACATTATGACATTACAATAAGTTTGTCAACGCTAAAGCAAAGATTGGTGTCTTTGCACCTTTGTAGGCGACCACACCAAGAAGAAGAGAATAGAGATGTAATCAAGGCTGCAATCGACGAAGAATTATCTTAAAGCGGGTGTTTTAAAGGCTATCGAAAAATGTGGCAAAAACTGCGACAAAAACGGCTAACTGTGTGAAGGGAACCGTAAAGAGGAAACTGTTGGTGGAGCTTGATTCAGTCGGTGTAGAAAATCGTAGAAAAAAATCTTCGTAGAAGATTGTATTCAGGTATCGGACCGAATTTCTTTTGGCATACAGACGGTCACGATAAACTCCAGTCATACGATTTCAGTATTCACGTCTGTATTTATGGCTACTCAAGATGGCTAATATGGTTAGAAGTAGGACCAACAAATAAAAAAACCTGAAGTAATTGCTAAATATTACATGGATGCAGTCAGGTTAGAGGGTGGAGTTGTCAAACGATGGAGCGGAACACTGTGTGATCGAGACTATACACACATTTCTACGCTCTGGCCACAATGACGCATACGCTGGACTTTCAAACTTTAACATTGGAACATCGACGTAAAATCAACGAATTGAGGCCTATTGGTCACATCTAGTGAGAGAAGGTCCTAGTTGGTAGAAAATTTTCTTTAAAGATCTTCGTGATATAGGATTATTTAATGATGTTGATCCAATTCAAGTAGACTGCATACGATTTTGTTTTATGGATATTCTGCGACAAGAACTTAACAACAATGCTCAAAGTTGTAACTAACGTAAAATTTCCCCGAGTATATTTGATTCAGTCCAAGAGGTAGTCCTGACAACATGTACTTTTATAATTGCAAAGTGGAAGCAGATATCAATTAGTTTAATCACAATGTTGCCATGGTTGCGGAAGATACAAATAGCGAATTTAGGGAATTTGCTAAAGTACTGATGGCAGAACTTGACTCACGACCCCAACTACAGAAAAAAAAGCTTTAAACTCGTATATTTTACTTGTAGACAATGATTGAACGAATAATTCAAAATTTTGAAAAATCATGTGTGTCATTGAAGACTGAAAGAAATTTAGTTCAACGAAGAGAGTTCAGGCTGTTGACCTTTTCCATACGTGTTAATGAAATGTGTGTGTTACATTATGTAATCTAGCGTGTCTGGATGTAAGAATTGGCTTCAAAAACTTATTAAGCTTTTCTATTAAAGGTTGCGTTTCCATGTATTTTAATCCAATGCATACGAGTTAGTCAATGACCAAATATGGAAACGAAGATCAAACAAATTTATATAAAATTAATTAAAAAACTTTAATGGACTGATCATTAAAAACATGTACTGGACTGTTAAAAAGCGTTACAAGACAGTAAAATGCAATTTATGGAGTGTAAGAAAATATAATACACTGTGAGCTTCTGGGGCGATCGTACTACGAAACCTTTCAGTAATGTAAAGTGATTATTAACTCAGATAAGAATTCATTATAAATATCAATATTTACCTTGAGGCTCTTCTCTTTGACACATTGATCAAAAGTTAATGGGAGATTTGCATTTTGAAAGACATTTTCTGATCACATTTATACATGGTTTGTTGACTTTAGGAATTTAAGCGACTAGACGGTGATTGTTTGCAACTCTGCACAATTTAATGTTTGAAAACATTTTTTGGCAAAACTACCTCTTCTCCTTAATCCTTCTAAGCAAATTTAACTCTTCCAAGCAAAGAAGCTTGGAAGCTCAATATTTTAGGACTATACTATATACCAATAATTTGGAACACAGAATTAGATATAAATTAAATTACAACAATTGAATGAAATGTAGCTACGTACAATATATTCCGCTACTTTTTATAATTACAACTTATCAAGCAGTTATCTGTTGCCTACCTGGTTACGACGTTTTCACCTCTTTAGTTTCCGTTAGCAGATGTAATTTACGCTTCGTTTTATCTTATTGTACAAAAATCTTAAAACCTTTGGTTTATATTACGAAATCAGATTCATTGAATAAAAATGTCAATCGAATCTTAGTTGAGCGCAGTGGCGTAGCTAGCGGTCCCGCTACTCCCGCCCGGCGGGAGTAGAAATTTCCCAAAAAAATAATAAATATTCTATTTGGACATAAGATATACATTATTTCACGAACAATTTGTAATATTATGTTTTATTCGTTCATATTTACGCTTTTATTAGGTGGTTCGTAATCGTAATACAGTGAACTCCATATATATATATATCTGGAATGATAACGACAATACATTTTATAGATAAAAAGTTGAAGCCAAAGTCCTAGGGGGTGTTTACATGAATCCGGAATGACTTTCAATCCCGATCGAAACGTGATGTCAATCCGTGTTTACATGAAACTAATTGTTGTTTTTCTTCGCACTCATTTTAACCCATTTAGCCTCTTTATTTGCTTACGAGCTTCAATTTGCCAGAAACAATACCCATGTCACATGCGTGCTTCGTCATTAATCACAATATCATTCCAGAATGAAACTCAATTCCCGTTTACATGAGATAAAAAGTAAATTTCGATCCGGAATGAAACTAGGAATGAACTCGATCCGGATCGAGTTGGGACTCATTCCGGATTCATGTAAACATGCAATAGGATTTCTTTTAAAGTGGAATGAGTTCATTCCGGATCGAAACTCATTCCGGATTCACGTAAACACCCCCCTAGTCTCTTGCGCGGTTTGTACGTCAGTTCCAGTCCGTCAAAGTCGAATATTCACGCGGTTTGTACGTCAGTATCATTCCCCTGAGTGCCAAACATACACGGCCAATATAAATTTGAATACAAATTGCGAAAGCATAAACATATAAACAACATCACGACAAACAACACACGAGGCCAACTATTCGCAAAAGGCTATTTTTTACAGCTGAAACTTTACTACAGTGAGCTCGTTGTAACTTACAACTTGTAACGAGGAAAAGCCAACTGAAAATTACACTGTATGCTAAAAAGACAATACAATAGAAAATATGACGAGAAAATATTCAAGCATAAACTTTTCTTTCGTCGGAAGGTAAATTTTCAAACGGTGTCAGACAGTGTTTGTCTTTTTTTGTCATTTCAGTGGATTTAAAGATCTTTTTTTCCGAAGAAAAAAGAAACTTGAATATCCAGTTTCATAAAAAATATTGAGTCTATAACTCGCATTTTTACTTTTTACAGAGCGATTGTATTTTTAGTCGATTTTGATAGTGCTTGAAATACTAAATGGTTGTCATCTCGATATCAAAAATTGAATATCCTTAAAGACTTTGCATGTCATTTTTTTGACTCTGAAGATGACTACCGCTAAGGTTGTCGAAACGTCAGTCAACAACAACAAAAACAGTCCTTCTCAGGACTATACCAACCTGGACGATCTACATTTAGGGGGTGTTTACATGAATCCGGAATGACTTTCAATCCCGATCGAAACGTGATGTCAATCCGTGTTTACATGAAACTAATTGTTGTTTTTCTTCGCACTCATTTTAACCCATTTAGCCTCTTTATTTGCTTACGAGCTTCAATTTGCCGGAAGACAATACCCATGGCACATGCGTGCTTCGTCATTAATCACAATATCATTACAGAATGAAACTCAATTCGCGTTTACATGAGATAACAAGTAAATTTCGATCCGGAATGAAATTTCGATCCGGAATGAAACTAGGAATGAACTCGATCCGGATCGAGTTGTGACTCATTCCGGATTCATGTAAACATGCAATAGGATTTCTTTTAAAGTGGAATGAGTTCATTCCGGATCGAAACTCATTCCGGATTCATGTAAACACCCCCTTACAAACATGTAACGAGTTCCCGAGTTCAAACCAAAGACTTTGATATGTTTTAAAGGAAAACCGCAGCGTAAGAGCAGATCGACTAAGTTCACCTCATCTTGCTTCTCGATTTATCACTTTGATTCACTTTCCGTGAACCTTTTCATTCCAAAAATTTCGTTATTGTTACGCTCTGATCTAGATCCGAACTCTACCATTACCAAGGGACAAATGATTTAAAAAAATTAAAATGAACACGCGAGAGACTAGAGCCTGACGTGTGATGACGAATGATGACAACAAATATTTTTTTGGCTTCAATTTTTGGCTTCGGTTATCATTCCAGTTATTCAAATGTCGAGTTCACTGATAATTCTATATAAGAAGTTTTGAATTCTGGTTGGCTAAGGGACTTGACGCATGCTCAAATCTGCTGTTTTTATAGTCGAACTCCCGCTATTTTAAATTGGCGGAGGTTGTAATTATTCGACCTTTTAATAAGAGTACAGCGATTAGTGATTATCAAATTACGTGTCATTGTCGGTATTAATTTTCCATTGTGTTTACTCTCAAATTGCTATTTTGTATTTGTGTATGACACAAGGCTTCAAGTGCGACTGCGATTTGCTCAACTGATGTTGATTTAGTAAATAGCTTATTAGCTAAACCGTTCTCTGCTCGATCGTCGGTCGAACAGAATGTTATCGTTCATGAACGGTCTACTCCTGATTTAATTATCCAAAATAAGGGAAGAGCATTTCAGAGAGATTGGTATGAGGCGAAGGACTGGCTGTGTGGCAGTACAACCTTGCAGAAAGTGTTTTGTTGGCCATGTCTAATGTTTTCCCCAAAACATCGCCATCGTGGACTAAGAATGGCTACAACGATATGCGGAGTATTATGTCTGATGCTAAGAAGCATGAAAATCTAAATCGCATTTGACTGCATTTAAGACATGGAAAACGTATGGAGCTAGTGAACGAATTGATTGTCTTATGTCCCTCGCTAGAAGAAATGAGATTCAGCGTCACAATGAGGAGGTAAGACAAAATCGAGAAATTTTAAAACTGTTACTGAGGCCGTGCTGTATTTGTCAAAGCAAGAGTTGCCATTTAGAGGTCACAATGAGTCCGAAGGTAGCTTGAACAAAGGTAATTATAGAGAGTTGCTCGAATGTTTTGCTAAGTTTGATTCTGTATTTGAGCGTCGACTGCACAGTAGACTAGCAGAATCTGATATAGTTGGTGACAGAAGATTTACTGGAGTCTCCCCAGAAATTCAAAATGGTCTTATCAGCTGTCTTGATTCAAATATTGAAGATGAAATCAGAAAGGAAATAAATGATTGCACATTTATGAGTATTCAGGTTGATGAAGCATCTGATGTCTCCACCAAAGAGCAGCTAAGTGTTATTGCTCGGTTTGACAAAGCAAGTGAAATTATGGAGAGGCAATTAGGATTTGTGAATGTAAGTATGAACAGAAATGCCACAGCAATATCACAAGTTGTCAAAGATAAACTTGGTGAGTATTCTAATATAAGAGAAAAACTGGTTTTACGAACATATGATGGTGCTTCTGTCATGTCTGGCCATATCAATGGTGTTCAAGCATTGGTTCGACAAGAGTATCCTTTTGCTCATTTTGTTCATTGTGCAGCTCATAGATTGAACCTGGTCCTATGCCAGTCAGCCTCATCAATTTCTCCTGTTAAAATCTTTTTATTAATATAGCTACATTCAGCACATTTACAAGCAATGCCCCAAAAGAAAAGCTTTTTCACATCTAACAACCTTGAGTTTCCTGCCCTGGTGAAACAAGATGGTATTATCGCTCTAGATTAATCAATGTATTGCACAAACAAAAAACAACAAACTTTTTAGATGATTTTTACCGGTACTTGAACAACCAGCTGGGTGGGATGATGAGTCATTAAGTAAAATAAGTGGCTTACTGCATTATCTTGATAGCTTTCTTTTGTTTTCTAGTGTGTGTTTTACAGGATTTTAGAACAGTCCACAATTTTGTATTCCATTCTTCAAAATAGGAAACCCATTTTAACTATGGCATAAGCAAGATTGACAATTTCAAGCAGTTTATTGTGTCACTTCGCACAGATCAAGCTTTCACCGAGTTTTACCAAACTGCACTAGAAAAGTAGGCCCACCAGCAACCAGAGCAGATAGTAGATACAATTACAAACAGCTTTATTTTGAGATTATTGATTCCATTAAAGGCATGTTAAGTGAACGATTTCAAGATATTAGTCAGTTCGAGTTTTTAGACCTTGTAAATCCTAAACTATTTACTACATGGAAGGGCATAGTTCCACAGGAGAAGATCAATCTTCTCAAAGATAAGTATAGTCCTCTTTTTGACATCCAAACTTTGGAGAGTCAACTTCCTTCATTTACAACGACAAGGACTTTCACAAAGAGTGCAGTAATGAGGTTCTTAAATACATCTTCAAATTTAATCTCCAGTCGAGTTTAGGTCAAGTGGTAAATTTGTTAAAATCGAATGGTGTGTTGGCAGTGGCAAGTGCTTCAGTAGAGAGGTCGTTTTCTTTCTTAAAAAGGGTAAAAAGCTATTTAAGAAATAGAATGGGTCAAGGTCGGCTTAGCTCTTTGTGTAGAATATCTATTCACAAAGATATCATTGAAAAGAAAGAGGAATCAGAGGTGTTGCATAACGAGGTGGTTGAAAAATTTGTAGAAAAACCCAGGAGGCTGGCCTTTCTTTATAAATGATGAGTATAGTATGTGTTTTGATATTTGTTCGTATAATACATGGTACTTCATTGAGAAAATTAAGCATAACTTTAAAGAATAAAGCCATCCCTGTCTACTTGCCCCAATCTAAACAAGTTTAAACTAACAAGTAGAATGCTAAGAAAAATCTCTCTCTATGCACTTTAGAAGTGTCGTATACTATATTATTTTTGTGCTAATACAAATTTCTTCTGTTTATGCAGAGGCAGTGATGAGTAAATTATGTTTTAGGGGACAATTGTCTCCTGCGTAACGTTTCTCTGAGCCACCTTTAGTACCTTTTTAACTAGTTGCAGTTTCAACGATTGCCACATTAAGAATGCAGCTAACAAAAATGGGTTTTTATAAATTATTGTACAACAAATAATTCGCCCTCGAAATCGCAGGAAATGCTGCTTCCAAGGCTCTGGATTTCAAAATTTTCCGGGGGAGCATGCCCCCGGACCCCCTAGTGGGGTCGCGCCTCCGGCGCGAGATGGATTGCCGGGAGTGACCATTTTTCCTAGCTACGCCACTGGTAGTTTTTACAATCAACCACATCATATCTTCAGACTTACATTACTAACGTTTATTCTGACAATGATTCCTGCATTAATTTCGGCACAGAGATGTGAAACTCTGAAAACTTTCAATAAAATCCTAAGATAGAACAGCAAGCAATTTGTCTTTCATTGTTTAAAAGACGTGGACCAGGATTAACAGCCCAGAACGTAATTATACACTACAACATGTATTTTTTGGTAGAAGTGTAACAGTTCTAAACATCGTCTGTTTTTGTTACCAATTTCCCACTGATACCGTTTTACATGTTACTTATGCTCAAAAACGATCATTTACATATGCTTACGTTATGTAAGTATAAAATTTATTAAAATCACAACTGTCTGTAAGTTAATGAAAAATAATTCATTTGAAATGAAGAATGTAAAAACAACAATAATTATCTGGTAAGGTTACATTTTCTACAAACAATATTTCAATATTTTCATGAAATGAGGATGTAAAGTTTCTATTCACTTTATATCCATAAATTTTACATCACTAAGAAGAAGAAAATTGCTGGGTAAAGGTCTTGGGGCAGGAGAAAGAATCTTAAATTGTTGACGCTCCATATCAATATCCGTTCTAAATAAAAATAACACTTGTTAAATACGTCAAAACCTTATGTTAATTTGAAAAATAGGATAGGGATTTTTATGGACTAAAGCCTCTAACAATAATTACGTCTTGAATTATAATTATTTTTGTTTCGATTTTGAAAGTTAGATGGCGTGTTGCCCAACAATAAACAAATAACGATCGCTTTAATTTACGTATAATGCATATGTTACTCAACCCATTGTCATACATGTTACAATGGTTATACATGTTACCCAGTCCGGAAAAAAATGAAAATGTCGCCTTTAATCACCCCAAGTATACTAAATTTATCCTTACATAACAATATATCCAGTTAAGTTTGTCCTTAAAAGATCTTCGTCAAGATCAGTGGCCATACTAAGTCCCATGACACAGTGGAGAAGATCTTTTCCTGCATGAACGATGAAAATTAGAAAAAAGACTCAACAATGTCAGGAACGCAAAACGCATTTCATACCTGGCTGCATTGGAACTAGCTTTGTTTCAATATCATCTTTTTGCATTCCAATAGGTAAACAAGATTCGGGCACTGCAGGCGCTTTAAAAAAAACAAGACTGAAGCTAGAATATGTTTAACCGATAATAGAGCTGTGCATCGAAACAGGAGGGTGGAAAACGGAGAGCTGAAAGCAAAGTTCAAGTCTAAACAAGAATTACGGTAGTATTCATTTGTGCAATTGTGAAAAGTCGCGAGAGTCGAAACTCCAACGTAAAAAAAGAGAAAACAAAGATCTTGACAAACCTCCAATTTTAAATATTTTCACGTCGGAAAACTTCAATTCAAACGTGTGAGGATAGAAATTATTCTTCACTCCATAAAAATATTGTCGTATTCTTTCATTTCTTGAATGTTTCCTAAACTGTTTACTTCGAGTAACAACCTGTTGAAATTACATATATACCATTTAGTACAGTGAAACTTTAGCAAACGCAACGTGCCATCGAAGACATCGATAAAAATCAGTAATAATGGTATAAAGACAACTCCACTCTATTCTACGTCATTAATGACGTCAGAAGACACGTCACATTTACTAAGCTCTTTATGAATAAACAACAATTGTTCTTACCCCACCAGACTTTGGAAGATGAAGAACTTCGACATCGTCGTTAAACTGTTTTTTCAATTCATTATAGAGACGTTCTTGGTCAAGAACTACAATCACGTTAACTATAAACACAATAAGTTTTAAATGCGTTCAAAATGTTAAAAATTAAATAAAGTTAAAAACGCGTCCACCTTTCCACTTCATATAAATAGAAAATTTTTGATTATTTATTCAAAACGTTTGAAACATGACGAAGGTTTCGTCATGTTGACTTTGATATTGTTAGGTCAATATTACAAAATTTTAAACTAATGAAAAAACTGCTGTACAGAAAACATCTATCTTGCTGTGCAATGCAGACAAGAAGTCGAAAAATAATTAGACATTATACACAGAAGTACGTATGGATGTAAAAACATCATATTTCATGAGTAAATAAGGAAAAATACTCCATAGCTGAATGAAAACAAAATCTTTATTCTCTCATCACTCTGTACATTTAATATTCTATTCATTCACAAATTATTTAAAAAAAAACATTATTCTTAAGCTCCAAGATCTATACGTGCGTGCGAATAAGCAAAGCATTAAAAAAAATAAATAAGATCTTTGATTTGGATGCTTTCGTGTCTACAAATGATCAAGTGATAAAAGATTTTGATTATGAAAAAAGTGGCTAATTGCCTTTTGCATGCATATAAATGATTAGCTATTTCCAATAATCTAACTAAGTTAGAGTGTTCCCTCGTTCTAATTTACGAAAGAGTTCTGCGAAAAATTGACGTATCCCACTACCAGCTTTGCACAAATCTTCACGCAGTGAAAACTTGAAAATCTAAACAAAATTTTGTGTGTAAAATAAGATTCTAAAAACGTGAAGACACCAAGTATTCGAAACATTTATTAAGTTCAAACCAATAAACAAATATTTTTGGCTTATGCTTAAATGTAGATTGGATAGTTGTAAAGGGTTTTGAATTTTTCAAAAACGGCTGTTTTTTGCAATTGACGTAGTCAGTCAGTGTAACGGAATGTCAATCAGCTCATTTAAGAAATCACAAACCAAGATCGTCTCAACAAATACTACTCTGTCCAACATAATTTGGAGAATTTGGAAATCAATAATGAACCATTTTAAAAAAAAAGTTGAAAACTTTGTTTTAAATTTGTCTGTTTTCCATTATTGTTACTATATGAAAGAAATAAAGGATGTTTTTCGCGTTTGCACTGGCATATGCAAACCTTGGAGACGTTTGTGAGAACTCTCGAGTCTTTTCAACTTTTCTATAATTCACATAACACTCACATAAATCAAAGATGTATGTATACAAACTATTTATGAATGCCAAGGCGAGTCAAAATAATCATGACTGCAACGTCAACAAACTCCGTCCAGGTCAAAATACTTGCACCAAGAAACAAACCCATTAAGCCACCAATTTCACCTTAAAAAGATAAAAAATTCAGCCCAATGTATGTTCGTATCAAATTCAACGGGGTGTACTGGCTATCTGTCTAGGACTCCAGAGTCTTATGAATGAATAAACAGAAGATTTAATTGTTAATGATGAAATAATGAGAATTTACCAAGTAAACTTTGTAAGGTATATGCCGGATCTTGTCTGAGAACTTTGTAGTTCAGATCTTCGTAGAAGATATCTATGGCAAGCAAATTTCTCCTACAAACATGTAATACAAGTACGTTAAACAAATTTTATTTTAGCAGTTTAGAAAGTTGTTAGTGTTTAGCAATAAATTGCAATATGGATTGTAAATCGATATTTTCCGTCAGACTTTTCTCTCGTTTATGTGGATAAGAATAGTACCATAAAATGTAGAATCCTACTTATTATATGTAATGCACGGAGAATTCAAACAAAACGTAAATAATAATTAATCAAAGCAGGTTATTCCTGTTCGTTCAAAATTGTCATTTAGCTGTTTTGAATCATACTATTAATTTGTTTTCATTAATAAAAAAAGCAGCTTTGGAGAAATGAGAAAACCTAGATTAAATAGAAAGATTATTTTGAAAGTGGTAGAAAGATTCAAAAGTTGAAATCATTGTTGAATGAATACGTTGGAATGTGCAGAAATTATTATTCGTTGTGAATGTCTGCCGGGACAAATGCATGTGCTTACAATCACAAAGCCAAGTTAAAGTTAATCTGAAAATAAGTTCGGACTGTAGCAAATTAATCACATGTTAAGTTGGAATGAGTCGAGAAGCTGGTAACAAGAAATTGGATATAGTTAAAATTAAGAAGAAACTCAAGAAAGTAAAGAGTAAGTTTCTCTTCCTACATTCTGCATGTGTTGTTTAGCAATGGAGAAAAGTAAGAAGAGCTTTGAGACAACGTTGTGTTATTATGTTTAAGAGCTTTGTGGTTAGCAATAAATTCATTAAGAATTACTTAGAAAGACAGATTTAGAGATTATTCATATGATTGAGAAATTGTGGTTGAAAAAATGGTATTTAGAGCAGTTGCTTGTATTTCTTAATAAGAAACGATGATTTCAGTGACACAAGTAAGATGTGTTCAATGTGATATGAAGACTTAGATGCACAGAAGAATGAAAAGAAAGTTCTCGATTGAAAGCAAGTCACATTACCTGAAAGTTTCTAATGTTGTATTTTCGGAAGTTGAATAAAGTGTTGCTGATGCAACATTGGGAAAGGAGCCATATTACTACACCACCGTCAACGCGTTACATTTCTACACAAATATCTTTGAAAATAATTATTAATTGTATGAGAGTATATTAAACATGAAAGTTCTATCCATGAAGGTGAAGATGATTTTCTTATGAATTACAAGACGCCATATAATGAAAACATTTTTGCTCTAACGTGTTTGTTATGTTTCTTCTGTTTGTGCTGTCAATACTTATCACGTGCTGTGTAATATTTGGTCACGTGCTACATCAAATAAAAAAATGATTTCAAAATTGCAACTTGCCATTTGTTATTTTTTAAAAAATATTCAGGATTTTTGCAACCTATGTATGTTGATTCAATTGAATCAGTAAATGGCTGCTTTTCTTTTCAACTTTTCTATAATTTACATAACACTCACATAAATCAAAGATGTATGCAGACTATTTATGAATGCCAAGGCGAGTCAAAATCATCATGACTGCAACATCAAGAAACTCCGTCCAGGTCAAAATACTTGCACCAAGAAACAAACCCATTAAGCCACCAATTTCACCTAAAAAAAATAAAAAATACATGGAAATTGTTGTTATCATATTTTACATGGTATAGGGATTATCTATCTTAAGATGTGATGGTAAAAATCTTTAAATGTATATTAAATTTATTTGATTAAAATCAAGTTGGTTTTATATTAGAGACTCGACAGTTAATTGTAAATGAATTAACTAAGATGTAACTTGTAAGATTTTCTTATTTTGTTAACAGATTAATAATGAAAATTTACCCAGTAAACTTTGTATGGTATATGCTGGATCTTGTCGGAGAGATTTGTAATTCAGATCTTCGTAGAAGATGTCAATTGCAACCATATTTGTCCTAAAATTATGTTATACAAATGCATAAGCAAAGTACTTAACATATTTATAACAATTTAGTAAGTTGTAAGTGTTTTGCAATAAATTGCATTATATGGATTGTAAATAGATATTATCTTACTCATGCATTTGGAAACGATTATTACCATAAATTGTAGAGTCCTTCTTATTTTATGAAATGCATAGTGTATTAACATGAAACATGAATAAAAATTGAATCGAAGCAGTTCATTCCAGTTTGAACAAAATCGTCATTTGGCTATTTTAAATCATTCAAGTAATTTGTTTTTATTAACGAGAAAAGCAGCTTTGATAGAATATGGTAAGAAAACTGGAGAAAAGAGAAAAACAAAATTAGATAGAAATGTTATTTTAAAAAGTGTCGCCCGAAATTGGAGATAGTTGTGATCAAGAAAAAAGCACAGAATAAGACCAAAACTTAGGCTCTCAATCTCAATTTCTTTCTACCTATCTGTGTTGTTCAGCAGAGAAAAGTAGAAAGAGCATTGAGACAATGTTATGATGTTTAAGAGCTTTGTGGTTTACAATTTTTAAAAGCCGTTCACATGTATCGTTCAATGTATCGGATCCGATTGTTTCGGTTCGGACTTTGGCTGCTTGTTCAGACGGTCCGATAATTTTGCATGTTGATATTTATATTCGTTTAGATATTTATAGTAGTGGCAGATATTTGTGTTATCCAGTGAATTTATCGATATATTTTGCGTATTTTTGTACTTGATCTGACAGTAGGAAACCGATTTTGTATGTGTTCACACGATCTGGTTTTTTTGTATCTGACAAAATCGTATCCGTCAATTGTGAACGGGCCTTTAAAAAGAATATTGATTCAGGTAGAATGGGGCATCGAAGAACTACTTGGAAAGACGGATTTTGAAATTATTAATAGGATTTAGAGCATTTGGTTGCATTTCTTAAAACAAAAGATTATTTTAGTGACCCACGCAGTAATAAGGAAATAAATGTGTTCAACGTGATATAAAGTTTTTGATGCACAAAAGAATCAAAAAAATTTCTTCATTGAAAGCAAGTCACATTACCTGAAAGTTTCTAATGTTGTATTTTCGGAAGTTGAATAAAGTGCTGCTGATGCGACATTGGGAAAGGAGCCATAGGAAAGATACGGGTCATATTTCATTGAGTCACATGATTCAGAACATTCACATTTATGACTGTCCAACGAACTGGAATATTTTTCTGTAAATTTGCATAAATGATGATTTCATATCACATTGCATTTATTTTAAAGTTTTTGACAAACTGGTTAATCAGGTTATACAAGGAAATCTTTTACATGTGATTCTTCTTTCAACGTATCAACAATTGAATATACATAAAATATAATAAACCATCCTCCTCGTATTTTTAACCTCACCTTTCCTCCTCTCTCTCTCTCAGCTACACTTTCACACTCTCTCTACTCTTTACCTTTATCAAATATCGTTTAAGGTATAACCTTTTTGTATGTTTGATTAAAAAAATTTATAAACAAGCAGAGAGTGATAAAATGCCGAGCAAGCGCAATTCTGTTATTTTAAAATGATTTGTCTTTCCCTCTTTAACAGGGTTAGACTACTGACAAAATGTTTCAGTCATGTAAAGTGATTGTCTATATCATGACACCTCTGTTTTATACTAACCTTCCAAGAGAAACACACAGCTTAAATATTGTTTAACGTTACATGGCTTGTACTTTATATCTAAAAAAATGATGTCAAATTAATTGTTAGAATTCAAAAAATAGGTTAAAAATCATCAAGACTAATTTAGTAATTTTGGGATAGCAATTACTTCTTTTGTTCCAATAAAATACATTAAGCTTGTTCCTAGCTATACTTATATTTCTCAGTACATTTCAAAAGGTTTGCTTTATTGTTTAATGAGATTAATTGTACGTGCATATTTTACGTCTATGCATAAATTTAGCAATATATAGTATACAATTACCTCTCATATAAAATGGTTGACATTTGCATGTTTTTGCAATGTAGGTTTGTTTACAAACTTCATAACAAGCAGCAATAGTATATTTTTTCACTCCTGGAAGTTTTTTATCTTCGCACATTGTTTTATAAGGAGACTTTAACGAAATTGTCTAAAAATAATAATTCAATATTTTCTGCTATTATACGTTGCTCATATTTCATGCTGTAAATGTAGCTATAAGCTAATGAATGTTTTGTGTATTTGTATGGTCATATCATTCATAATAAAATATAGTGAAAATACACTTTTAGACACTAGAAAATCGTCCAGATTGTTGGAAAACACATAAAGGGAGTTGTACATTTATGGTATTTATACAGTAGAAAATATACTTAAAGGAAATCGTGTTTGATCAAAAGCTCATCATTAAGTCACATATTCATATAATTTACTAACTTTTTAGTCAGTATTTAACGACAATTAAATAAGTAGTTTTAAAGGACATAGCAAGCCATTTATAAACAACAGCAGCAGCATTATTGGCTGCTCAGCTTGTCTACTCACCCTTTGTCGTGTAATACTTGCATAAACATGAGATCCTGGCATTACTGCAAAACCTAATCCTGAAACCAGAGGAAGTTCATCTGGATCATGTATTCTAATTTTTAATCCAGCTGAAAACTCGAGAAATCCAATGTATTCTGATTGTTCCACTGACATCTTGAGATGTAGTCCAGAATGTTTGCCTGGAGCAGCTACGTTATTGTTGTTGCTTTTCTCTGTAACAATTCATTAAAATTGTGGTATAGTAATTTTCAAACAAAAAAAACAATTGATAAAAAATATCTCTAAACTAAATTACCTGGAGTAAACGTGTGACAAAGACCCATGTCTGTGAACGTCGGTTTAAAATATGTTTTATCGCATATTTCTCCTTTCCATGTGCAATAATAAAGCATTCCTTTCTTAGTTTTATCGTCATAGTCCATTTGATGGCCTACTTCATAAATGAATGTTGTCATATTCAAATCATTTACTTTGGGGTATTTTGTCCAATCGACACTGTTGTTCTCGTTTTCATAAAGACGGTATGCTTTTTCAATTACTTTGTAAAAGTCTGTGTCTTTAATAAAACTTTTTCTGTATTTGTTGAAGTTACAAAATGTAATGGCTGGAAATTTTACTTCTTCTTCAGTTACCAATTCAATGGAACTGGTCACATCAAATTCCAAATATTTCAGAGCAATTGTTGAAGTTTGCCATATGAATAAAGAAAACATAAAACCGAGCAGAATAAGCCAAATAAAGCGTTGTAATCCTGGACGTTTTTTAAACACGTAATGTAGGCCATGTAATGATGAATTTTCTACAAAATCCTCCCAAAGGTGTCTGCCAAGATGCTTTCTCTTTTCTTTAACACTCAACTTGGAATATCCTCCATTTAGTTCCTTCATTTCATCAGAGTGCATGATTTCTATGGGCGAGAAAGATGATTTCATAAAGAAATTGATTATACCATCAGCAAGATTTATTAGACGTTGGTTAGTTACGGCATTCAACAAAGCATAAAATAGCAAACGTAAAATTAATCAATATCTTGTTAATCAAATTATCCAAATCTTGCCCTGTCAGAAATTCGTCTTGCCCGCTGTACAAATTTATAAAATATTCATTTGTGAAAGTGCTTTCTGTAATAGCAAAGAAATTGAATAAATTACTTATTACTAACTTAAGTTTGCTCGGTCTGTACGAAGAAGTATTGCCTTTGTTCTTTAATCTTATGAAAACTTATTATTTAGTGTATATATATTGGGGCTACGCACATTTACTCTAAAACGGAGATTTTGCCGTTGAGACAAATTTGAATATTGCCTTAAAAAGAGCAATTGCCATGGTGAATGAACTGAAACCAAATAAAAACCACGAAACCAAAGTGAAAATCGACAAAAAACTAACCAGAGAAAAATAAGAAAAATGAAGAGTTCTGAAAAAAGTACTAAAACAGTTCTTTGCAGAACTCTTCATTTTTCTTAGTTTTCTATTTACTCTCGGCGTACTTATTTTATATTATGTAGTAACCCGGCGCTTCGTGGCCGCTTTTTGCGTTTTTATCACAAATGACGTCATGCCCGTGTATCTATAACTGTATAGACAACGGTTAATGTTATCTATTTGTTAACCATGCAGTAAATTAATACAGTTATCTAGTGAGATAAGCACTCCAAGCAAACTTATAATCTAAGCTTTTTGAACGTTCAGTATTTTTAAGAGACTATCAAATGCTGCATCTTCTGCTTCTGAAGATTGATATGACTATAATGTAGTTGACAGCCTGACAATAAAATTGTGCACTTCGGCGCATCAATATAAAGCCTGCCAGACAGCGCAATGCAAAAAGATATTATTGTTTTCTTGATAGTCGACCTTTAAAAGCTCAATTTGCATTATTCATGTTTCTATTTGAATGAAACGATGTTAATTTGTTATGTTGCTCGATACATCAAGGGTCGACGATGTGAAATTTCCAATACCATAAAATTTATGTCATGTCGGCTCGCATAAAAAAAACTTCTGTCAATTTCAATTTCAGTACTTTTACACACTTATGTAAACGTATTGTGGCATACAAAAATACCATCTATACAAAGTTAAAAGCATGCAAAAGAGAAAAGGTTTAATTTTATTATTCAGCAGTCCGCGATGTTGGAAATCTAATGCTTTTCTAAAAGATTTTGTTAATGTCATATTTAGGGGCTGTTTATATGGCCCACTTAGCAGGATAGCCCGGTAAGCAAGATGAATTTTGATGTTTATATGACGTTCATCTCGCTTGCCGAGACGTTTTACGCTGTCAAAATGAAGACTTTTATATAGCATCTTCTAGTTATAATCAGACAGATTAACAATCAAATGCTCCATTATCTTTGAATCACAGTAAAAGTTCATTCTTTGAACCATTGTCGTGTCTATTTTGCTCGCTTTTGCCATTGATGGCTTTTACACGTTCACGTTGTCTGCCATTTTAATATGTTATCGTACGCATGCTCAAATAGTTAAAACTTAGCTCGGCAAGCGGGCTAGCTCGGCAGTTGCGTGTTTACAAGAGAAAAATTTCATCCTGGCAGACAAGATCTCGCCTCTGCCAAGTGAGATCTCGCTAAGCGGGTCAGCTCGGCTTCCATATAAACAGGCCCTTAAACAGATAATATCTATCAGACGTGCTGTGGCTTGCACATTATGTTAGTTATCGCAGACAGTTAAATAGACTTGATAACGTTTTTATATATCATCTAAATTTCTTGAAAAACCTTACCTTACGTGATATTTTATATATTCATTGCCATTCACTTAACATCTCTCAGGCACTCATGAACCACAAACACATCACACTATGACAACGTTCTTTAAATATAGTCAACCTGTTTTGAAAGTTAAACGCTTATTTAAAAATTAATGTCAAAACCAATTTGTCAAAAAAATTGCAAAAATTGAGACAAACAATAAAACAACGTGATTGCAGAATACGAAATATACGTTTTATTTTTTTTTTATTTTATATCTTATTATTCTGTCTTTAAGAACCATTAAAATTTTTATGTTTTATTGCTCAAATTTTTTGAAAAATAAAGACTAGCTATGTATGGCACACAAGAACCAGTCAATTGGGTATATTTACATAAGTAGCTAATAGCATTATGAATTTTACATTTTCTGGTATTTAGAAAAATTTATCAATAATTTTTCTATTATGATAAGACATAGATACGCTCGATTTATACTACTGATTATCTTTTTTTTAACCAATTTTTTCTCTGTATTTGAAAGAAACGATATGTTTTTTATTGTTTAAATTTTTTTGCAGATATTAATGAGCCATTGTAAAATCGGTTACGATTAGTAAATAGTAATTGTATGTTTACATACATAAACGAACGGAAATACTTGTATTTTACATACATTGGACAATTGATCATTGATATAACAGATACATAGCGAGATAAAGAGCCACATTCTTAGGAAGAATTGAATAAACGCCAAAAAAGACGATTAATCGTGAAAGTGAATTTTTGTATGTTATGTACATAATACATTTTGTGTTCTATGGTAAGAAAAACAAAAACTATGAAACATGAAATGTGAATCAGAAAGCCCATACATATTTTCATGTTTATGGAAGAATCTAGTATTTGAATATGTAATTAATTTTCCACATAAATTTATTCACAAGAAGTTATTGGCAGTTGAATGAAATGAGGCTATCGCATTCTTCTAAGCACAGGAAGGTTGTAGTCACTGTTGCAGCAAACAAGGTAAAAAGAAACATTTGTGACGACCAGCCAAATTGTGCTTGTGCATACATCTTAACCTCAGTCAGGCAAGATTACCTGCTAAATTTAAGCATATTAATGAGAGGAGGAAAAGAACAATAAAGGATTCCAAATGTAATGGCGAATGAAGAGGGAATAGCTCAAATTGAAAATCTCCGCTGTCGTGCAATGGTGAATCGTATTTGCTTGGAACAGCTCGTCATAGACGGTGAAAATACTGTACATGGCAACCTCCTTGTGCTTCGAGCCAATCATTATAAAATGGTGTTACATGTTTCCTAAAGCATATAACAATAAAATGGGGATACTTGTTGCTTATTTGAGTAATGGAGTTGACTGATTCTCATGCCTAAGAATAATTGTATTTGACTATTTGTCCCATGCATATACACCACCTCCAACCACGGACGAACATTTAGAAATGAAAATGATATTTGCATATCTGATATTACCATATCCAACTTCAACTTTAATCTCAACTTTCAACACACTTATAAGTTACCTTATTGTCACTGTTGTCAAACAAGTTGTCTTAGCTGCAACTTATCATTTTAGACGTTTAGAAATGAAAGTTTTCAACGCAAGTTAAATTTGCGTACACGTCTATAACAAACTTTACCCGAAATGTATTTGTATATTCATAGTGAGCAAATATATAGTTCATAGAAAGTTGTGCATATTTCATTTAATTTACATACTTCTACTGACAAAATTTTGAAACACATACAAAATCAAATCATGTAGTTCGTATCATTTCATACAGATTTTTTATCACAGGCATTAAAATCAGAAATATTTTACAGGGACACATTGAACCCCCAAATTTTTTTTCATTGAGTTTCAAATGCCTTTCTTATTGTTCCACATTTCTAACACTAATGTCACGCAACTAACTTGCAGCTTATTCACATTATTTCTTCACTAATTTTTCTGCTTTCAAACATTTAACGATTAAATTAAGGCAATTTTTAATATTTTTAATCCTATAGCTAAAAAATGCAAATTTTTGTTGGGTGAATAAATTAAAGGCCACGCCTTTTTGTTAGGCAGGGAAGCTTGTATGTCATTTGAAACACGTGACTCGTTTTTCATTTCGTTGTTTTTTCTCCGCATACTTCAAAACAACAGATGAGTTTAATCTCTTTTTCTGATAATTTATACATAATTACCCAAGTTGCTTCAAAGGAACAATTGAATAATGCTAAGTTTATTTTATTTGAAAATTGTGATTTACAATTTGATTTGCAAATTTTGATTGGAAGAAAGCTCAGGAAGTACATACCTGATGTAAATGCACTTTCCAAATAGGTTAATGAGGAAATGCAACAAACAATAACTCTCACTCCTTTGATTAATCATTTCTATAGCATATTGTTCTTCATTGTACCTCAAACAAATCGTTTATTGTGATCTGCATAAAGTTGGATAAGGATAACAATCAAATATCTAAACTACTTGTGGGTATTATCAGTATATGTAGACATCACCTTTCAAGATTTTTGTTGTGCTGATTAAAGTTTTGGGAAATTTCACGGTTGTGAAGCTTTGATAATTATTCCATGGCTTTTGATTCGGTTGAAGAGAAGAGAAAAAAAGTTCGGTGTTAAACCAAAAAGAAAATGAATTGTTGTATTTGATGGATCAATCTGAAGACCTTGGCGTGGGGTCGTGTAAATTGGTAATGTTTTACTGTAATACTGAACTACGATTGCGAAGATGTCGTGGTAATGTTCATGTTGTAGTTAAATGGGAGAAATGAAACAGACTTTGTAAAGGTATTTGTAAAGTAGTTAAATTTGTTATCCCCTATGATTTCTATTCTATGTCTAGTTTTATCAAGACTAACGATATGCGTTTGTCTGAAAACGTTTGTTAAAAATGATTATCTAACAGAAAACATGAACTTAGATATTAAGTTCACGATAAAAATTATAATTCTTTAATTTTAATAAATGCATTTGATAAACCTTGCCCTGTCTTAGACGAGTGAAATAAACATTTGCGAGAAAATAAGTCTTTATTCTCGTGATACTATTTGCTTATGTTTATGTTTGTATTTATGTTAATGCTAATGTTTCATACTTAGTGCTTACTGTAATTGTTTAGTCTTTATCAACATTTGTGTTTGTGCTTAATTCACTTTGAATTGTAAATCAACATCTTGCAAGATGTATCTCACAAAGGACAATACCTTCTCCTTATGTAATAATAATTTTTCTCCATACAAATCAAAATTTTCTTTTAAATTACAACCACCGGCTGAGAAATTCAGTTATGAACCAAATAAAGGCCGATTATATGGAGGCGAGCTAACCCGATGATTTCAAGAGATTGAAAAGAAAAAAAACTTCAAGGCTAAAAAATACAACTGTTTGCGAAGCACCACACGTCACTCCGGTTGTAATCCTCAAATTAGGGCAAATCGGTTGTTTTGAGAAGTTATTAAATCAGAATATTGTGAAATTGCTTAAGACGATTTATCTAATGATAAGTATTGAATCGTTTCCATTTGCCAAAATCATTTAAAGCTTGGCTGAATCTTTGCTACGGGCTCATGTAATCAGTCCCCAACTCAAAAAGTAAACAACATAATGAACGGCTGAGAATTGCAGAAGAAAAAGAGAAAAGATTGTCCTTATGTAAGAATAGGCATAAATGTTGTATGATGATAGAACTATTACAAAGAGAACAGGAGAAAAATATTTCAAAATCGTAAAATTGATAAATGGCGGGTAATGCTTAGTGCTACATTGAAATTAATTGGAGTGTTGTGGAAATTTTATAAACTTTTCAAACGTAGTGAACTCATAAGATTTTATGATAAAGTTGTATGAAAAAGCCAACGGCAATTTCTTGTAGCATTGCCTTCTTTTAAAGATTACAGTTTATAGATGTCTTCTGCTCTCATTTACAACGGCGTATTCTAGAATGATAAACTAAAGTTTCTTACGGTATTTTTAACCAATCAAAGCATTAAAAAAAATAAATAAGATCTTTGATTTGGATGCTTTCGTGTTTGCATATGATCAAGTGATAAAAGATTTTGATTATGAAAAAAGTGGCTAATTGCCTTTTGCATGCATATAAATGATTAGCTATTTCCAATAATCTAACTAAGTTAGAGTGTTCCCTCGTTCTCTAATTTACGAAAGAGTTCTGTGAAAAGTTGAAAAGTTATCCCACCACCAGCTTTGCACAAATCTTCACGCAGTGAACACTTGATAATCTAAGCAAATTTTGTGAGTAAAATAAGATTCTAAAAAGAGTGAAGACACCAAGTATTCGAAACATTTATTAAGTTCAAATCAATAAACAAATATTTTTGGTTTGTGCTTAAATGTAGATTGGATAGTTCTAAAGGGTTTTGAATTTTTCAAAAACGGCTGTTTTTTGCAATTGACGTAGTCAGTCAGTGTAACGGAATGTCAATCGGCTCATTTAAGAAATCACAAACCAAGATCGTCTCCCCAAATACTAAACTGTCCAACATAATCAATAAAAACAGCCTTCTATGTCAGAGTCCAAGACTTCTGGGCCCATAAACTGTTAAGAATGTTAAAGAGAAGCATGTTTTAATTTATTATACATTAATACATTTATTGATTAACATATGACTACATTGGGCAAAACATCAAATAAAACAAAAGAAAAATAATCAGATCGCAAGATGAAGTTGATCATTGCCACATTGAATTTATGAATTTCTCAATGGGTTGATCTCAGCTTTTTGTTCATTTTTTTACGATGTAGTCATTTAAAGCTTGCGTGATTGTGACCGTTCTTTACCACAAAATGTATGAATGTAAAAGGTGACTTATTATACCAGCTAGTTAAAAATAAGGTAAAATTAAGTACAACTTTGTTTACTCGAGATACGTTTTCAGTATAGCTACCACGTGATTAAATATTACTACACCACGTGACATGTCTTTATAAATATGAAAATAATTATCAATTGTATGAAAGTATATTCATAAGACAGTTGATATCTATAAACATGGACATGATTTTCTAATGAATTATAAGGTGCCATACAAAGAAGATTATTTTGTTCTAACTTTTTTTGTTATGTTTCTTCTGTTTGTGTCGTCAATACTTTTCACGTGAAGAGTAATATTTGATCACGTGCTTCAACAAATTAAAAATTAATTTCATTATTTCAAGTTGCCATTGGTCTTTTTGACAAAATATCGAGGACTTTCGTAACATACAAACGTAGCATGTTATAGTCAGTATTCGCTATGGTTACGTTTATAAAATAAAAACAATAAAACGCGTGCGCTGATTGGTCTATAGTTGTGTTTGCGTGCGCTGATTGGTCTATAGCTGTGCTTGCATTAGCCTTTGTAAACCGATCTGAGCTCAACAATTCAAGTCATACAATTAGTGAGAATTTGGAAATCAATAATGAACCATTTTAAAAGAAAAATTGAAACCTTTATTTTAAATTTGTCTGTTTTCCATTATTGTTACTATATAAAAGAAATAAAGGATGTTTTTCGCGTTTGCACTGGCATATGCAAACCTTGGAGACGTTTGTGAGAGCTCTCGAGTCTTTTCAACTTTTCTATGATTCACATAACACTCACATAAATCAAAGATGTATGTATACAGACTATTTATGAATGCCAAGGCGAGTCAAAATCATCATGACTGCAACATCAACAAACTCCGTCCAGGTCAAAATACTTGCACCAAGAAACAAACCCATTAAGCCACCAATTTCACCTAAAAAAGATAAAAAATTCAGACCAATGTATGTTCCTATCAAATTCAACGGGGTTTACGGGGTTTATCTGTCTAGGACTCCAGAGTCTTATGAATTAATAAACAGAAGATTTATTTGTTAATGATGAAATAATGAGAATTTACCAAGTAAACTTTGTAAGGTATATGCCGGATCTTGTCTGAGAACTTTGTAATTCAGATCTTCGTAGAAGATATCTATGGCAAGCAAATTTCTCCTACAAACATGTAATACAAGTACGTTAAACAAATTTTATTTTAGCAGTTTAGTAAGTTGTTAGTGTTTATGAATGTTTTATGCAATGAAGATATGATCACTTAAATCAGGTGACTCAAATTTGAGTCACCTGATTTCATATAAATTGTCCAGCAAAGTGCGATGATCATATCTTCATTTAAATTGTTAGTGTTTAGCAATAAATTGCATTATGGATTGTAAATCGATGTTTTCCGTCAGACTTTTCTCTTGTTTATGTGGTTAAGAATAGTACCATAAAATGTAGAATCCTACTTATTATATGTAATGCATAGAGAATTCAAACAAAACGTAAATAATAATTAATCAAAGCAGGTTATTCCTGTTTGTCAACATTGTCATTTAGCTGTTTTGAATCATACTCTTAATTTGTTTTCATTAATAAGAAAAGCAGCTTTGGAGAAATGAGAAAACCAAGAGTAGATACAAAGATTATTTTGAAAGTGGTAGAAAGATTCAAAAGTTGAAATCATTGTTGAATGAATACGTTGGAATGTGCAGAAATTATTATTCGTTGTGAATGTCTGCGGGGACAAATGCATGTGCTTACAATCACAAAGCCAAGTTGTAGTTAATCTGAAAATAAGTTTGGACTGTAGCAAGTTAATCACATGTTAAGTTGGAATGAGTCGAGAAGCTGGTAACAAGAAATTGGAAATAATTAAAATTAAGAAGAAACTCAAGAAAGTAAAGAGCAAGTTTCTCTTCCTACATTCTGCATGTGTTGTTTAGCAATGGAGAAAAGTAAGAAGAGCTTTGAGACAACGTTGTGTTATTATGTTTAAGAGCTTTGTGGTTAGCAATAAATTCATTAAGAATTACTTAGAAAGACAGATTTAGAGATTATTCATATGATTGAGAAATTTTGGTTGAAAAAATTGTATTTAGAGCAGTTGCTTGCATTTCTTAATAAGAAACGATGATTTCAGTGAAACAAGTAAGATGTGTTCAACGTGATATGAAGACTTTGATGCACAGAAGAATGAAAAGAAATTTCTCCATTGAAAGCAAGTCACATTACCTGAAAGCTTCTAATGTTGTATTTTCGGAAGTTGCATAAAGTGTTGCTGACGCAACATTGGGAAAGGAGCCATAGGAAAGATACGGGTCATAATTCATTGAGTCACATGATTCAGGGCATTCACATTTATGACTGTCCAACGAACTGGAATATTTTTCTGTAAATTTGCATAAATGATGATTTCATACCACATTGAATTTATTTTCAAGTTGACAAACTGGTTAATCAGGTTATACAAGGAAATCGTTCACATTGTTTACTTGCGATTCTTCTTTCAAAGTACCATTAATAGAATATGTATTAAATGCATCATCCTTTTTTTATTTCCTGCATCTCCCTTTTAACTTCTCTTTCCTTCTTCTCTCTCAACAACTCGTTCCTATTCTCATTACCCTTGACTCAAGTTATCACCCGTTTTGTTTTTGATTAGTAAAATTTATTAGAAATCAGAGAGTAATATAATATAAAGCCAGTGAAAGTCTGTTAGTTTTTCAAAAACAAATGCGTTCTTTCTATATAACAGGGTTAGATAACTGCCAAAAATTTCTCATCGTGTAAAGAGGTTGTTCTCTCATACCTTTATATCATAGCTCTTACTTATCATAGACTTCCAAGCTTTATTGTTAATATATAACAGTTAAATTGCATCGTTTGGGTACTAACCTTCCAAGTCAAACACACAGTTTATATACTGTTTAACGTTACATGGCTTGTACTTTATATCTAAAAAGAATGATTTCAAATTAAGAACTCAAAAAGACTCCTCAAGACTACGTTACGAACTTTTGAGAGATAATTACTTTTATCATGCATGCCAATAAAACACATTCAACTTATTCTATTTTGAAAGGGAAAAGACAAAAGGTCCATGCATAAATTTAGCAATATATAGTATACAATTACCTCTCATATAAAATGGTTGACACTTGCATGTTTTTGCTATGTAGTTCTGTTTACAAAGTTCATAACAAGCAGCAATAGTATATTTTTTCACTCCTGGAAGTTTCTTATCTTCGCACATTGTTTTATAAGGAGACTTTAACGAAATTGTCTAAAAATAATCATTCAAGATTTTCTGCTATAACGTTTCTATTATTAGATGCCATAAATGTACTGAGTATTTCCTATGTTTGCCAAGTCAAGAATCAATGCTCGTCTTAATCACTAACATAATGTACACTTTATAAAACAATTATACATCAAACTCAGTTTTTATATAACAATACTTATAGACTGTACCGATTATTATATTCAATAAACATTTGTGAACCACTTATTTGAAATATCGCAGTAGAAAATCGTCCAGACTATTGGAAAACAGTTAAGAACAAAACTGTCCATTTCTAGTATTTTCACAATAGAAAATGTACTTTACAGGAAATTGTTTTTGATCAAAAACTCATCATTAAGTCACATACTCATTTACTTTATTATCTTTTTACTCAGTATTTAACGAAAATCAAATAAGTAGTTTTAAAGGACATAGCAAGCTATTTATAAACAACAGCAGCAGCATTATTGGCTGCTCAGCTGGTTTACTCACCCTTTGTCGTGTAATACTTGCATAAACATGAGATCTTGGCATTACTGCAAAACCTAATCCTGAAACCAGAGGAAGTTCATCTGGATCATGTATTCTAATTTTTAATCCAGCTGAAAACTCGAGAAATCCAATGTATTCTGATTGTTCCACTGATATCCTGAGATGTAGTCCAGAATGTTTGCCTGGAGCAGTTACTTTACTGTTGTTGCTTTTATCTGTAAAAATTCATTAATATTGTGATGTAGTAATTTTGAAACAAAAATAAACGAGCAATAAAAAATATTTTCAAACTAAAATACCTGGAGTAAACGTGTGACAAAGACCCATGTCTGTCAACGTTCGTTTAAAATATGTTTTATCGCATTTTTCTCCTTTCCATGTGCAATAATAAAGCATTCCTTTCTTAGTTTTATTGTCATAGTCCATTTGATGGCTTACATTATAAATGAATGCTGTCATATTCAAATCATTGATTTTGGGGTATTTTGTCCAATCGACACTGTTGTTTTCATTTTCATAAAGAGGGTATTTTTTTTCAATTACTTTGAAAAAGTCTGTGTTGTTAATAAAACTTTTTCTGTATTTGTTGAAGTTACAAAATGTTATGGCTGGAAATTTTACTTCTTCTTCAGTTACCAATTCAATGGAACTGGTCACATCAAATTCCAAATATTTCAGAGCAATTGTTGAAGTTTGCCATATTAGCAAAGAAAGCATACAAGCTTGCAGAATAAGCCAAATAAAGCGTTGTAATGCTGGACGTTTTTCAAATATATAATGAAGGCCGTGTAATGTTGAATTTCCCAAAAAATCCTCCCAAAGGTGTCGAGCAATATGCTTTCTTTTTTCTTTTACACTCAACTTAGGATGATCTTCATTTAGTTCTTTTAATTCATCAGAATGCATGATTTCTATAGGCGAGAAAGATGATTTTATAAATAATTTTATAACACTATCAATAATCCCAATACATTTTTTTCCAAAAAAAGTATCTAAGATGTTGGACAATAACTGCACTCAAAAAATAGTAATAGTATTTGTTGAAATTCATAAAGTATTTAAACTGTTGAAGTGCTTTCTACAACAACAAAAAATATTACGTAATTTTACTTTCTTTACGTGGTCATTTTATAACAAAATACTTGGTTGCAAATGAACAAGCGATTTCTTTAAAAATCCATCATGGAATGTCGCTTATAAAAAGCTTATCGGATTCAAAATTATCGCTAGTAGTCCTGAGCCCTGCTGGGATGAAAGCGCTATTTGAGCGTGAAGTGTGTGAGAAGCACTAATGTTGGCTGCTATAACCATCACTTTCAGTCTTTATGCTCCTTCTGACTGTTTCCAGTAGTTTATTGAAGATTTAAATTAGGAAAATTGGGCTTATGTGTTTTATTCACCATTATATGTACCTACGATGGCCCAGAAGGCTCACAGTGGTATTATATTTTCTTATACTCCAGTAACGCGTTTTATAGTCTTGTAACGCTTTTTAAGAGTCCCGTAAAGCTTTTTGACATAAATCTTGTAAAATTTTATCCTAGTCCAGTAAATTTATTTACAACAATTTTTTTAATCTTTTTGTATGGTTGGGCTCTCTTTTTTAAATAAAAATAGGCATTGAAAGACGCTGATGAATTTGAATGTAAATTTCAAAATTAAAAATAAATATGCCGCTGAAAAACTATACACCCTGTATGAACATGGAGAATCATTATGAAGAAAAAGATCTCATCAAATAATATTTCAACTAAGGATGCACAAATCTTGAAATAATAGAATACTTATGACTTCATGACATCACAATAAGTTTGTCAACGCTAAGCGAAGATTGGTGTCTTTGCACCTTTGTAGGCGACCACACCAAGGAGAAGAGAATAGAGGTGTAATCAAGGCTGAAATCAACGAAGAATTATCTGAAGGCGGGTGTTTTAAAGGCTATCGAAAATTGTGGCAAAAACTGCGACAAAAACGGCTAACTGTGAGAAGGAAACAGTAAGGAGGAAACTGCTGGTGGAGCTTGATTCAGTCGATGTAGAAAATCGTAGAAAAAAATCTTCGTAGAAGATTGTATTCAGCTTTCGGACCGAATAAACTCCAGTTATACGATTTCAGTATTCACGCCTGTATTTATGGCTACTCAAGATGGCTAATATGGTTAGAAGTAGGACCAAAAAATAAAAAAACCTGAAGTAATTGCTAAATATTACGTGGATGCAGTCAGGTTAGAGGGTGGAGTTGTCAAACGATGGAACGGAACACTGTGTGATCGAGACTATACACACATTTCTACGCTCTGGCCACAATGACGCATACGCTGGACTTTCAAACTTTAACATTGGAACATCAACGTAAAATCAACGAATTGAGGCCTATTGGTCACATCTAGTGAGAGAAGGTCCTAGTTGGTAGAAAATTCTCTTTAAAGATCTTCGTGATATGGGATTATTTAATGATTTTGATCCAATTCAAGTAGACTGCATACGATTTTGTTTTATGGATATTCTGCGACAAGAACTTAACAACAATGCTCAAAGTTGGAACTAACGTAAAATTTCTCCGAGTATATTTGATTTTAACAGTCCAAGAGGTAGTCCTGACAACATGTACTTTTTTAATTGCAAAATGGAAGCAGATATCGATTAGTTTGATCACAATGTTGCCATGGTTGCGGAAGATACAAATAGCGAATTTAGGGAATTTGCTAAAGTACTGATGGCAGAACTTGACTCACGACCCCAACTACAGAAAAAAAAGCTTTAAACTCGTATATTTTACTTGTAGACAATGATTGAACGAACAATTCAAAATTTTGAAAAATTATGTGTGTCATTGAAGACTGAAAAAAATTTAGTTCAACGAAGAGAGTTCAGGCTGTTGACCTTTTCCATATGTGTTTATGAAATGTGTGTTACATTATGTAATCTAGCGTGTCTGGATGTAAGAATTGGCTTCAAAAGCTTATTAAGCTTTTCTATTAAAGGTAGCGTTTCCATGTATTTTAATCCAATGCATACGAGTTAGTCAATGACCAAATATGGAAACGAAGATCAAACAAATTTATATAAAATTAATTAAAAAACTTTACTGGAGTGATCATGAAATAATTGTACTGGACTGTTGAAAAGCGTTACAAGACAGTAAAATGTAATTTATGGAGTGTAAGAAAACATAATACACTGTGAGCCTCTGGGCGATTGTACTACGAAACCTTTCAGTAATGTAAAGTGATTATTAACTCAGATAAGAATTCATTATGAATATCAATATTTAACTCAAGGCTTTTCTCTTTGACACATTGATCAAAAGTTAATGGGAGATTTGCATTTTGAAAGACATTTTCTGATCACATTTATACATGGTTTGCTGACTTTAGGAATTTAAGCGACTAGACGGTGATTGTTTGCAACTCTGCACAATTAAATGTTTGAAAACATTTTTTGGCAAAACTACCTCTTCTCCTTATTCCTTCTAAGCAAATTTAACTCTTCCAAGCAAAGAAGCTTGGAAGCTCAATATTTTAGGACTATACTATATACCAATAATTTGGAACACAGAATTAGATATAAATTAAATTACAACAATTGAATGAAATATAGCTACGTACAATATGTTCCGCTACTTTTTATAATTAAAACTTATCAAGCAGTTACTTGTTGCTTACCTGGTTAAGACGTTGTCACCACTTTATTTTCCGTTAGCAGATGTAATTTACGCTTCGTTTTATCTTATTGTACAAAAATCTTAAAACCTTTAGTTTATATTACGAAATCAGATCCATGGAATAAAACTGTCAATCGAATCTTAATTGAGCGTGCAAATATTTAAAGAATTTGTTTTGTCTATTAAGTGACTGTGCCCCCCTATAGTTCCAATAAAAAGAAATCACGACTATTTTACGTGACTTTTTGTTTAGATTATCTCGACGAAAGATTTTAACGCGTCGAGATAAAAATCCTTGCAATGTGGCAACGCACGTAGTCTAGTTAAGGATTTTTTATATTAGAATTATCTAAGTTTTCAATATAAAACGTCGTCTACTGTCAACACACGAGTAGTTATACGAGAAATAATAATGTTGTAGAACTACTGAATGTCGAGGGATTTCTCTGAAGCTCTGGTTTCCTCCCACTTGCCAAGTTGACAAAATGGGTTGTTATGAAAGCGTTCTATTTAAATATAGCTAACATCTGATTGTGTTTAACCAACGTTAGTTGACATAAGATATAATATTGATAAAAGTAATAAACTGAATATGTCGACATGCAACAAAACAAATATAAAAATTGCAAACTCAGAAGTCCGTATCGGCCTGCATGATTAGGCTTAGTTTTGTTTTGTTGTACTCAATTAAGTGAACTCTCACTGTAAATTCATATGACATTATGAATCAACCACCGAACGTCGTTTCCTTTGATGATGAGCCCCCCCGCCCTCCCCCTTACACACAGATTTTAGCTGCGAGTAGGCTTTGAAAGCATGGATTAATGATACTATGAAAATGTACTTTTCAAAACATTCTTTACGTTTAGATGCAATGAACACAAAAATAGCGAAGAACGTCGTGAGAAGAAAACGAGATGAGGCGAAAGAAGGAAGTCAATTTAACATATGAGATATCTATTTTTAATGATCTGCAATTGAACGCTTGAAGCACACTTTTAACATAGAAAGTGAATGTATTGATTATACGTTAAAGAATCACATACTTTAACAAAAAGTGCTTCATTTTACACGACTGACATTTTTACGATGACACATTTGTTAGTATGAAGTATGAAGTAAAACTGTCTAATGCATTTCCACCTGGTTCGTCTCAAAGAGCGTTGTTGAGATATGGCACTCGCACAGGAACATTGTTATCAGAAAATCTGTTTTCGGCCTGCGTAAATAGTTACCCAATTTCTAATTGAGCAAATTTTGGAACATTGACCAAAAAATAAAAAGTATTTTGCGGAATATGGTTGTGTGTTACTCCTCCACAGCAGGCCATCAGAAAAGCATCTTCAACGAAAATTCTTCATGTACAACTCATAAGGAAAAAGTTCAAAAAGATAGATTTATCAAAAGCAGTTTACTAAGATCCTGGAAGCAGCACGTACACGAAGTTCAATAAGGAGGCATCAACAAAGAGAACTAATCTATAGTTATCTTACCAAACAAGACAAACTTTTGGACACACTCTAGGTATGTCGAATTCATTAGTAGTTTTTACAATCAACCACATCATATCTTCAAACTTACATTACTAACGTTTCTTCTAACAATGATTCCTGCATTAATTTCGGCACAGAGATGTGAAACTCTGAAAACTTTCAATAAAATCCTATGATAGCACAGCAAGCAATTTATCTTTCATTGTTTAAAAGACGTGGACCAGGATTGACAGCCCAGAACATAATTATACACTACAACATGTATTTTTTGGTAGAAGTGTAACAGTTCTAAACGTCGTCTGTTTTTGTTACCAATTTCCTACTGATACCATTTTACATGTTACTTATGCTCAAAAACGAGCATTTACATATACTTACGTTATGTAAGTATAAAATTTATTAAAATCACAAATGTCTGGAAGTTAATGAAAAATAATTCATTTGAAACGAAGAATGTAAAAACAACAATAATTATCTGGTAATGAGGAAAATCTTTCTATCTGTAAAGTTTCTATTCACTTTATATCCATAAATTTTACATCACTAAGAAGAAGAAAATTCCTGGGTAAAGGTCTTGGGGCAGGAGAAAGAATCTTAAATTGTTGACGCTCCATATCAATATCCGTTCTAAATAAAAATAACACTTGTTAAATACGTCAAAACCTTATGTTAATTTGAAAAATAGGATAGGGATTTTCATGGACTAAAGCCTCTAACAATAATTAAGTCTTGAATTATAATTATTTTTGTTTTGATTTTGAAAGTTAGATGGAGTGTTGCCCAACAAGAAACAAATAACAATCGCTTCAATTTACGTATAATGCATATGTTACTCAACCCATTGTCATACATGTTACAATGGTCATACAATGGTTATACATGTTACAATGGTCATACAATGGTTATACATGTTACAATGGTCATACAATGGTTATACATGTTACAATGGTCATACAATGGTTATACATGTTACAATGGTCATACAATGGTTATACATGTTACAATGGTCATACAATGGTTATACATGTTACAATGGTCATACAATGGTCATACATGTTACAATGGTTATACATGTTACCCAGTCCAGAAAAAAATATGAAAATGTCGCCTTTAATCGCCCCCCCCCCAGTATACTAAATTTATCCTTACATAACAATATATCCAGCTAAGTTCGTCCTTAATAGATCTTCGTCAAGATCAGTGGCCATACTAAGTCCCATGACACAGTGGAGAAGATCTTTTCCTGCATGAACGATAAAAATTAGAAAAAAGACTCAACAATGTCAGGTACGCAAAATGCATTTCCTACCTGGCTGCATTGGAACTAGCTTTGTTTCAATATCATCTTTTTGCATTCCAATAGGTAAACAAGAATCGGGCACTGCAGGCGCTTTAAAAAAAACAAGAATCGGGCACTGCAGGTGCTTTAAAAAAAACAAGCCTGAAGCTAGAAAATGTTTAACCGATAATAGAGCTGTGCATCAAAACAGGAGGGTAGAAAACGGAGAGCTGAAAGCAAAGTTCAAGTCTAAACAAGAATTACGGTAGTATTCATTAGTGCAATTGTGAAAAGTCGAGAGAGTCGAAACTCCAACGTAAAAAAAGAGAAAAACAAAGATCTTGACAAACCTCCAATTTTAAATATTTTCACGTCGGAAAACTTCAATTCAAACGTGTGAGGATAGAAATTATTTTTCACTCCATAAAAATATTGTCGTATTCTTTCATTTCTTGAATGTTTCCTAAACTGTTTACTTCGAGTAACAACCTGTTGAAAGTACATAATATACCATTTAGTACAGTGAAACTTTAGCAAACGCAACGTGCCATCGAAGACATCGATAAAAATCAGTAATAATGGTATAAAGACGACTCCACTCTATTTTACGTCATTAATGACGTCAGAAGACACGTCACATTTACTAAACTCTTTATGAATAAACAACAATTGTTCCTACCCCACCAGACTTTGGAAGATGAAGAACTTCGACGTCATCGTTAAACTGTTTTTTCAATTCATTATAGAGACGTTCTTGGTCAAGAACTACAATCACGTTAACTATAAACACAATAAGTTTTAAATGCGTTCAAAATGTTAAAAATTAGATAAAGTTAAAAACTGCTGTACAGAAAACATCTATCTTGCTGTGCAATGCAGACAAGAAGTCGAAAAATAATTAGACATTATACACAGAAGTACGTATGGATGTAAAAACATCATATTTCATGAGTAAATAAGGAAAAATACTCCATAGCTGATTGAAAACAAAATCTTTATTCTCTCATCACCCTGTACATTTAATATCCTATTGTTTCACAAATTATTTCAAAAACCATTATCTTAAGCTTCAAGATCTATACGTGCGTACGCAGATGTGCGTATACACAACATGTCACACAACAAACTTGTGTGTGGGAAATTAAGATATCTAAAATTACCATTAAAAACTTTTGCAGCATGAACCAACATCTTATAACCCCCACCAGTCACCCATCCACAAGTATTTATCACAACACCTCCAATTCGAGCTAAATAAATGTAAAAATGGAATAAATAACAGAATTTGGCAAAGCTTAGTTTTATCCAAAGTGATTTTACCTTCATTATTTTTCTCAAATCTTTGTTGAACAACTTTGGCAATTTGAGATGTTAAAACATCGTAATATTTCAAATTATCAGCAGGTGTCACATGTCCAAAATGATAAAATAAAGGCGCATGAACAGGAAATCCTAAAGACAAATTGTATATTGGAGTTAAAAAATAAATGAACAAAAGTGAAAAATAAATTTCTCATGAAACAGAACAACAAAGTCATATGTTAGTTATATTTACTATAATCCGTTATACATAAAACTTGTTTATAAACCTTCTTCAATATCTGCAGGTCTTTCAATAAGAAGTGCACCTAACATAATAAAAAAATGATAGAAATATTTCTAAATTGTGACCAGACTGCAAAGCGAATTGTAAATATTTATATTTGAGTCGTTGACCTCAAAGACCTGTCGGTGATCATTACCTGTTGAACCAGGAATAGATATTGTTCCCTAAATACAATAATCATAAGTAAAACGTTATTGTCTAGTGTTAAAATAAACACAGAGCATAACAATATGAAGATGGTATTTTAACTAACCTGACCAACATCTAAATCACAGTATATAGGTCGTCTTCCCATTCGTACAGCATAATTTAATAATATTCTACACAAGGTAGACTTGCCAACATCAGCAGGTCCTGTTATCATAATCTATAAAAGTTCATAAAAGTTCAAATGTTTTCAGTATTTTTATGATAAAAAAAACACAACCAAACTTGATTTATAAGAGAAAGAAAACATACTCTTGGTCCAGTCAAACCAGGATTCTTGCGAGCCTTTTCTCTCATTTGATCAAGGGCAGCATGAAGATTAAGATACATCAACATTGGCGTCTCCCTTGAAACATATGCTCCTTCAACAGCTCCAGTTATTTATGGTAAAGTTAAAGATGATATTACAAAAAATATTTTCAGATAAATTACAGTTTAAAAATTGATATGTTTATAACAAAACAACATACAATTATGAACAACATAACAAAAAGACAGAAAAATATAAGACAATTGAGGATATTTCAATAATACAGCCATCCCAAGTGAACACAGCAATCTTTGATCCAGGTTTAAATTGTACTTTCTTATGTAAAACTAATTCAGTTCCAAAAACCTCTGCTTGTCCTTTTAATAACTAAAAACATGGAAATATTGTCTTATAGTTCAATTAAATTTTCATTCTGTAAAAATCCAATCATTATATAATTTAAATATAAAATACATTTGTACACATGTCACACATGGATACTTTAATAAAAAGAATTCAATATTTATGTATATTCTAGCTTTTCCATAAACTTAAAATCATTTTTAGTTGCAAGAGTTAACTTAACTTATCCAAACAAGATTGTCATGAGGAAGGGTTAGAGATAAAGTGTGAAAACGATAGACTTGATTAAAGCTAAATAAACTTTATAATGACGTACAGCTAATTCAGCTGACAGACTGCCAAGAGAGTCTCCGGGTTCGGGAACTTCAAATCTTAGTTCCTGCTCACGTTCGAGATTCCATTTACCAGTCTATAAAAATTCATATGCATCTGGAATACGATCTTAAGAAATTATATGTTTGTAAATGTAGACTGTCTAGGTTGGTATAGTCCTGAGAAGGGCTGTTTTTGTTGTTGTTGACTGACGTTTCGACAACCTTAGCTTCGACAACTCTGAAGATGAAGATGAAGAAGGTTGTCGAAACGTCAGTCAACAACAACAAAAACAGTCCTTCTCAGGACTATCCCAACCTGGACGATCTACATTTACAAACATGTAACGATACTCCCAGGTTCAAACCATTTACTTTATTAAGAAATTATATAATAAAGACAAGATTGTCTGTTCATATTATACAGCAAGAATATGAAATGAGGTAAGAAGTCATTCAAATGAATACTTCACTTGCAGTACTTGCAAGTGTTTGGGAATGGATGTTTTTGACATTTTTGCAGCGGATATTTTGATATTTTATCGTCTGTTAAGAACGTTCAATTATGGCGAATATTTCGTCATACTACACTTTAAATACCTCTTCCAATCTATCGTTCTCTTCACCCATCTTGATAAAAGATTTTCAAAAAACCAACGATTTTCAAGTATTTTACGTCGTCATTGAACATAATCTATTTATTTTACTACAAACAACAAATAACAAAAATTCGCCATATTCAATTACGCTGTACATCAATACTGCTTGCTCAAGCTCAAACAAATTTCAAACCCAGTCCTCCAATGGCTCCAAAGGAAAATTACAACTACGAGAAATTAGCGGGAAATTAAAAAATATCCATTGTTTTTGTTATTACATGGTTTAAGAAACGTATTTCTTTTAAAACGTATGCAATGGATTCTGCTTTATTCTTAAAGTGTCGAATCTGTATCATTGTAACCAACCTCTCAACTTGAAATTCTGTCGTATTTTGTGATGATGTGGAGTGAGATAGGGCTTTCTTGGACAGCAAGTGAAGAATGGATCAAAGGATTGTACAACTGCTTCTATCTATGGCGAAATGTCATTCCTACCAACAATATAACTTGTGATTTTCATGCACTTACTAAAGGAAAAGTATCAGGAATAATCGGCTCCCTATTTATACTGATATTTATAAAGATAACATTACTTCTGCTTAAATATTTATTTTATGGTAATGAGCCAAATTGTACAAGTATTTCAATGACTTTTTAAATACCATGATAAAATATTTTATATTATATTATGGGGACAGGCTAAATTTACGGTTCAAAAATCATAGTATTACTTGTAGTATATACTATTACATATATATAAAATGAATTATGTGTCCTTATAACTTTTAATTCAGGTCACAATAAATTGCAGAAAGAAAAATTACAGATTCCTCAGTCTGTGTATGACATGGCAAAGGTGAAAATTTTTTTTGAAAATGCTGATACAATTTCAGTGTAACATCAATGTTTATATATTTTTTATTTTTTAGATGGCCTACAAACCTGAACATTGCAATGCAGTGATACAATTTATAAAGAGGAAACCAAATGTTGATATGAACAAAGAAATGCCAATTCTTGATACAACTGACACGAAAATGACATTATTTTTGGTAAATTTTTTATTGATAAAAGATAGTGAATTACAACATTAGAAGATAAAGAGTGACAAAAGTTGATAGTACACTAGAATGCATGACAGTAGATGACAGGGTAAGACAGTATATTGTTAGGTAAGGCACTACATAATGAGGTAAGACTGAGGTTGACAAGGTAAGACAGTGGATGACGAGGTAAGATGATGGATGATTAATAGAAAAGTTCATTCAAGTCTTAGACCCACTATCATATGTATTTCACTCACTTTAAAAACACTAAAATAATTTATGTTCACAAATCAATATTCCCTTTTTTTTGTAGTGTGCTTGTTTCTCGGGTAGTGAGAGATTGCTACGATTTTGTTTATCTTATGGTAAGTTAACACATCATAAATGACTGAAGAATATTGCCAGAGATGTGTCACAATGTGTTTTTTTATTTAACAGCATTGTTCTTCAATTTGTTATGTGTTCTGAGTAATTTTTCTTGTTTCATCAAGGAGCAGACATTCAAAGAAGAACAAAATGGGCAGATACACCTCTCCATCTTGTCACATTTGCTCTTTCTAGAAGTCAATGTAGGAACTTTGGTTCAATGGATGTTTTGCTGCGGGCAGGTAATTGATAGGCTAATTTGTGATCAACCTAAAGTTTGAAGTGTAGTTTTATTAAATGCAAATATATTTTTGATCCAATTTATTTCACAAGCATACAGATTAGGGCACAAACATGTGAAAAATAGTAAATGACCGACAGTGTCAGAGAGCAAGGATAGTATTGTGGAAATTTCATGAAGAAAACTACAACAATTGTTTATGGTGAAACCACAACAATTTTGAAGTGTTGAATGTATGAACGTTAATGAGTAAGAAAAATACTGTAGGCAATCTTGAAAATTGCTTTAACAGATCTTGGGAGATTTAACATTACGTAGGTTCATGAAGAGTCAGCATGATAATGAGGCTCTGATTCAAATGTTATGTGATGCTCGTTAAAATGATACTTTACATTAAGTACTTTATTTGCTCACTTGAAAGATATAAGACATAATTTCCCTTCATGATTTACGTTAAGTATCATTTTGGAAGTCTCGTCCTGTCTCGGTTTCCAAAAAGTTATTTTGAAACAGTTCTCTAATGTTAAGTATATAAAGACATCTATATTCTGAGAATGAATATTCAATTTGTTTACATGACGTATTGAGTTGTTGCGTCAAGTACGTGCAAGATGAATTTAGTATCTGCTTTTTATTCATTACATTTATATGCGTTCTGCACGTTGACTTTTGCAAAATGTTAAACACACCATGACACAACAAAACACCATCATTACTCAAGTCGTACTTTAAAAAATCTCTTTAAGGTTAACTGCCAGCTCTTGCTTGCTTTGGAATGTAAGAGAAATTGCTTTATCGTCATGTCCTTATTTGACTCTTCCTTCTTGCCTTTTAACTTTTGTGCTTGTTTTCAAGAACATTGACAGAACATATCTCTCAAAAATTGAACGCCTCACATCACTTGCTACGCACATGTTGCATTCAACTAGGTGGCTGTATGTCATTATCTATTTTATCCGTTATATATGTATTTGTTTTCATTCTGAATAAAAATAAGAATTAAGACCGCTCAGGGATAACTGCTTCCTGCAAAAGAACCCAAAAATAAATGAGTGAAGTCAGTTTTTAGACTGTAGAGGTAATATATAACTGACTACACGTGAAGTGTTGGAATTACGATAGACTTTAGATTAAACCTTGGATAACTTGGTCGTTCAAACGTGCGTACGTACCTATGACATTGTGTTTGATGGTAATGGCTACATGTTTATAACTGAAGTACTGCATAAGTATGTGTGTTAAAGCTCCATGTATTCTCATATAGGTTGTGATATAAATTGTAAGAACTGGATTGGAAACACTCCTCTCTGTATTGCAGCGTGTCATGGAAATCTTATGCTCATTAGATATCTTTTACGTAAAGGTATTTGTCATATACATATACATATATAAAATGTCCATTTAATTACTTGAGATATATTACCCTTGTTTCGACTCATAAGCATTAAGTTTTTAAAATTCTAAAATGAAATTTTCATTTGTTTAAATGTGTACTGCAGCTGTGTATTACTGTCAAATTGTTCAAGTTGATCAAATGATATAAAATCCTAAAGATATTCATCATTGTTCGTTCTTAGATTTTGCATATGAAAAATAATGGTTATATCTAATGAAAGTTCGCTATTTTTTGATAAAATTTTGCATATTACTCTCAACAGGAGCTGATCCAAGCATTGCCAACCGTAAAGGAATCTACCCCATTGATTTTGCAAACAATGCAGGTTAAATGTGTTTTTTTGTGAAACAAAAGTCCTTTGCCTCATTGTGATATCTATGCAGCAATTATTGTAACAGTAATCATAAATGGAGTACATCTTCTTTTTCACATTGATTTCACACCTAACTTCTCAATGATATCCATAGTAAATTGGCTCAACATTATATTTTTACAACAATATACTGTTCTGAGCAAATAGGTTTACGGTATGAAAATTATAATCGGACGAATCAATTCATTTGAATATTTAGCTTTAAACGCGCTAGGCAATTTGATAATTTGAATAATGTACGGCACGATTAATGAAACTAAAGTTTTATTATTTTCTTTCACCAGATGATCACCGTAAGGCGTGAAACACGGTGTAGTGAATGGTTTCATGATAGTATTTATTTTAGTTTTAAAAATTTGTATTTTGCTTGTGTAGATAACAGAGAAGCTGCTGATCTACTGAAATTTCATGTCTCGAATTCCCATGTTTGGGAGGTCATTGATCCTCATACTCCTCCAAAAATCAGACTAGGCTTACAAAGTCCATCGAAACAACATTTGATTGATTCTACGTTTACAAGAAGAAGGTCAATCAGAGAAAAGTATGTCAGTTAAAATCAATTTAATGTTGATTTGTTTTATTTAAATATGTACATAATATTTATTTGTGTAGTCTGTGCTGTGCATGTATGCATGTATATTTATGTCAAGGAAAATATAAAAAAGCTTTATTGGTGACTTTAATATTTGTTATATATATATACTATAACTGTTTCATAATTTCTGTAACGGAGTTTTTTTGAACGCACGAACTTTTCTGCATCAAAACTGACCATCCGTCTATTTGTTACCCTGCTACATATGCGCTGAATCATTAACATTATTCATTTCTTTTTAAAGTGACTTTATTTAAAAACTGACAGTAAAGGCCAAAGAGTGAGTGACTTTAGTTCTGGTCCTTACTTGCGACATAGACATAGGATTATCAAAACTCTCCGTTCCTCGTATGCGTAATTATATTTTTGCTTATGTTTACTGCGTTTTATTGCAAGTGAGGACACTTATGCTTATGGTTATGCTTATGCTTGTGTTGACCTGTGTCACAAGCGAGGACAAGGCTTAAAAACTCGTTTGTGTCTTAAATTTTATGCTTTGTGTCTTTTGGAGCAATATTTGTTTAGAAATAGTTAATTCCTCGTATAAAATTAGTTTAAAACATGTGGAATGTTGTTTTGACATTGAAAACATAGAGTTTTTCAAACATTCCAATCGCAAATAACTTAAGGTGAATCACTCTTGGAACTTTTATGGACTTTCTTTGGTATTTTGTATGGTAAGCATTGTAGAGAAGATTAAGGAATCAAGGTTAAGGCCCGTTCACACAATCCGATTTGTCGGATCCGATTGTTTCGGTTCCGACTTTTCGCTGCTTGTTTAGACGTTTCGATAATTTTGTTGATTTTTAGATTCGTTTAGATATTTATAGTCGTGGCGGCAATCATTTATTTATCCAGAACATTTATCGACATATTTTGCTTATTTTTGTTGTTGTTTCTAAGTCTTTTTCACATCTAAGTTTTCACACCCAATCATATTTGAGAAGTATTGAGAGTGAGAAGTCTTGGGCTTGTTGGCTTCCTAAGGCCTCTTTCAAACGTCGAATTTTGCATGCGTCGAATGCAATTATTACACGACGTCTTCGCTTTATCTCGTTCCAGACTTTGTTGTGAGTAAAACGCGAGTTCCAAGTTGTGTTCGACACATGCAAAATTCAGTGTGTGAAACGACGTCGCACTTTCGTCGCATAATGTGACCAAAGCGGTCGAATTTAAAGTTAAGATCGACCTCAATTAAAGCAGTCGAATTTAATTGTTTCATACGTCGAATTTTGCATGCATTTATTCCAAACTATTTTATTCTACACATGCAAAATACGACGTTTGAAAAAGCTTGTTCTATTTCCATTCGACTTATCAGATTGACAGATCCGACTGTCTGAGGCTCACTTTATCGTATCGTGTGAACGGGCCTTTAGGAACGTATGATGGGCATTTAATGAAGAGAAATATGGAGGAAACCAATTAACAATATTATAGATCTGAAGATAGATGGAAATGGGCAGACCATGGAAGAGAAAGGTAGATTGTTTGAAGAGAAAATAAATAAAAACTGATCAATAGTAGATTTAAAAATGAATCTTGGAGGAGTAGAATCCAAGAAGTTTTCCCTATGATTGTCAGGAGTAACTGTGGGGAGTAGAGCTGCGTAAAAGAAAAATTAGGAATTGTACGTGTAATATAATTTTTTCGATTAAAGCAACGAAATGTTAATATTAGATAACGACTGACCATAAAATATTCTAAAGTGGGGCCAGTTTCGAAAATGATTCCAATTGCAGATATTTTGTAAATTAATTGCAAATGTAAATGTTAAACAATGTTATAAGTAGTTTTCTTCAAATTTCCTATTGATGCATACAGCAGACGAGAGAGGGTTGAAATAACATAAGTATAAATACATTTTTTCATTTGAAAATACTGTAGAGCTAAATACATTGGTAGTATTTTATCAATTAAATATTCTCTGTAAATTTCTAAACTGTAGTGTTAGATTATATAGTATTTTAAATAAGCAGCTATGTCTGACCTACAGTAGATGCGTCACTGCATGAAATTTCTGCTACAATCTAAGTCAATAAGTTTGCATTTGAAAAATAAATCAGGCTATAATTATCCATCAATGACATTTCTATTGCAAAAGAAGCTTGTGTGAGGGACACAACACAATTTGAGCACACCCATCGCTTTATCGAAGCTCCCTGACTGATCTTTGTAGTTATTCTGTGTTCGTTATATGAAGTCAATTTCGCTTTTTTTGAAGCACTTTTTAAACCTAAAAACTTTAGCGTGTCCTTCTAGAAATATTTTACGTTGTTTTGCGTTCGTTGTTTTATAAATAAATGTGTTTGTCTTGTCTTTTGAAATATTCATAGTTCTTGCTTTTGAAATTGAACGGAAGCTCTTGCGTTGAAGATAAACGCCGGAAATTTTACTGATATCGAACAATTTAGTCAATTGCTTCTTTTGCACAACATGGCAGCATCGCTTTATAATGTATGAGATACATTCTGGAAATTCCTAGCCCTATTTTAGGTAACCAACCAATATGTTTCATTATTTTGATGTCTTCAGTCTGTTATCTGTTCTGTTACTTCTGTAGGATGGTAAGTGATAATATATTGAAATTCATATATTTTTCTTTGCATTTCATCTGACATTCTTTTGTTCAAATTATAATTTGACTTTAAGTAAAGTTTTGAAGGAACATACAATTATTTAATGTTAGCAACATAAAATAATATTGCAATTTTAAAGCGTTATTTACTCAATCTAGTATTTCTTTGTTTACATTTAGAAATATGCTTCTAAGACGAATCATGTCCATTATTTTGTTATGTTTCGTCGTTCTTTTCGCTATAAATCATTCTCATTCTGTTCCAGGTATGTTTATTTAAAACATAACGTTATGAGTACATAAATATCGAGAAAAACATTGTAAACATCACAGTAAAACTCTAGCAAATGCCAGACCAATTAGTGCAACGACGCTTATAGTCTGCTGCACGTTATTTTTCTTTTCAGAGATAAAAATAGCAAAGAAAGTGATTTTCGTTTTTTCTTACATAAACGTTTAAGTGTGCTATAAATGTGTGAAATAGCTTGAAACGATTTTGAACGGTTTTACCCGGTCGCCAACCAGATGAGAAAAGTTGAAAACGTGCTAAAAGGGTGTTCTTAGGTATTTGTGATATTTAAAATGCTCAGTGTGATTCCTCATTATAACAATTATGTTGTGTTTGTAGCCTCTTGTTCATATTACCATTTTAATTGGATATTTTGAATCGATGATTGGTTAATCTTATTTGTTATTTGTGTGATAGCTAATATGTTGGTCAGTTTGGTTTAAGTGTAAACTAAATCTCTCTACATCGACTAATAATGAAAGGTTTGTGTAACCGTTCAATCTTTACGTCAAGTAGCAAATTTGTCTGAAGCTGCAGATGTAAGTCGGAATATATATACTTAAAAAAGCCGATACTAAATTCCTCAAAATAAAGTATAACCATTCTCACAAAGACAGTTTATTGTTTGAAAAATTATGAAAATAATATCGCTTTATAACTGCAGGAAGTTTTTTTTTACGTCTTTGATCTTTATGAAATGCAATTAGCAAATATTTAAGACGATATTCAAAACTACTTTTTTACAATGGATATTTTAAAGAAACATTTAATGGAAATCGGCTGTTTTTGTCTCTGTCACACTGAAGCATAGGCGTACTGGCGTACGAAAACTTTTCAAAACTTTACAAAATTCGGAAAAAAAATACTCGAGAAAAGCGGGGAAAAGCTGTATATAGTCATGCGGTTTTTCAATAAATTTTTCTTTGTGAAGTACGATGTTTGTGTGCCAATGTGTTGTTTTACTCCAAACTTGAACAAGTCGCGAAAGTGAGTTTCTTACTTTATTATTAAACCAAAGCTGGCAAGGAAGTTTGCAACCAAAAATATAGGCGTAGGGATACGTTGCCTCTCAAACAATTGAAAAGAGGCTATAAATTTATTTATCCATTCCAAATGATTCCCATTAACTCAATTGTATTACTCATAATATCCATCCTGTATTTGTAGTTTAGTCTATAAACAGTCTTAAGACTATTATTTTTTTTTGCTTTCCCATTCGTAAATAAGGCAAATTGCTTATGCTCTCTACTATTCTTGACGGAGCGTTTGTACGTATTTCATTTTTATGCAATTTGTATTATATTTTCCTTACAGTTTCGGTTTGTAATGATGTTATGATCGTAAGAAAAAAATATGTGTCTTCTCCCAACTACCCTGACAACTATCCTGAAAATTTAAACTGCACTTGGATAATTAAGTCACCGAAATATAATCATGAAATTGTCATGAAGATTCGTGATTTGGAAATAGAAGCTCAGGCTGTATGCCAATTTGACTACATTCAAATTGGCAGCGGTGAAATTCCTGGTAGAAATATTATAGTTAATAGACTCTGTGGAAGCAGAAAGCCTGGTCCTATCAAATCTGACAGCGGTGCATTGTGGTTAAGATTTGTGTCGGATAATGAGAAATCTTTCCGTGGTTTTCGTGCGACATGGAAAGCAAAAAAAATCTCTCGAACATTTCCATATCCTGTGGTAGACGAAAAGAATGGTTAGTAAATATTGTAATTGCATGAATAATGACTATAATCACATCCATGATGACATCAGTCAGTAATAAAATAAGTTACACGTATTACACCAGTAACCATTGAGCAACCATTAGCATGAGTAATACAACTTTAATAATGACATCAACACTGCGTGCTTGTTGTTTCCCTCGTGGAAAAAAAAATATGTCGACAAACAATGTCGAAGACGGTCGATTTAGTGTCAGAGAAATTTCCTTAAAGAGCAGTTTTGAATCTTTCAATTTTAAAATAGCATTATTCTAACTAAAAGTAATTCATATGCTTGTTAACAATTAATAGTAAGTGGTATAATGTAATATTCGTCTTCATTTCAGTCTGTGGTAAAACTAGATTAAATGGTACAAAAGGAACAATCAGATCACCCAAGTTTCCTCGACGATATCCATATAATGAAAGATGTAATTGGATAATCGAAGGTCCAGTTGGTTATCAAATCGTTCTGAAATTTCTATATTTTGAAATGGAAAGCGCTTCGCAATGTCGCTTTGACTATCTTCTCATAAAAGATGGGTTAAGTGAAACGTCCAGAATCATTGGTCGTTATTGTGGTTCAAGTAAACCTGCCACAATCATTACATCACAGAACACAGCTCTGCTTCGCTTTAACTCAGATTCTTCCATAGCCCGAGGAGGATTCTTGATTGGTTGGAACGCCATTTATCAAGTATTGACAAAACCGTCAAAAAAACCACCAATTAATACAACAGAAATCGGTAAACCATTATAACATTGTAAGATCTATCTTAATTTCTTATTTGCGGTTCACAAAACTCTTTAGTTTGTCATAACATATTACATTATAAATTACCAAGCAATATACTATGCGACGTGCATAACTTTTGTTTAACCTTTGAAGTAAAAAGTTAAAAGTTATTCAATGATCAAGGGTACGTTTGTAAATGTCGATAGTCTGATACTTTTGTGTACAGCTTTAAAATGGAAAGAAAGATTTTCAATTGCATTGAACAAAGTGAGATTTTTCTGTTTAACATAATCTTGTGCTTTTTATTTAGAGTGTGATGAGCAGTTCACATCAAATGAAGGAATTATTCAAACACCTGCATATCCCAATTTGTACCCCGAAGATATCCAATGTTCCTGGGTTATTAGTGTTCAAAAGCCGTCCAGAGTCCGTTTGTTGTTTGATTCCGATTTTGATTTGGAAAGTGAGAAAAATTGTGTCTATGACTTTGTCAGCATAAAAGATGGTGCTAACTTAGATAATAATGAAATCGGGCGATACTGTGGACAGGATGCTCCTGCAAGTATTACATCATCTTATAGCAGTGTTCGTGTGATCTTCCATTCAGATAAATCTCGTGTTGGTAAAGGATTTCGTTTAAAATGGACTGCCGTAAACATTCAGTTAACTACTGCAGTACCAACTAACACATCGACTTCGGGTAAATATTATTTATTAGTGAGTATAATAAAACACAATAACTCCGAACTGTTTCTTTCGTTGTTTGACGTTAAATGGCTATTTAGAGTGTGGTGGAGAGTTAACTCAATCATCTGGTATCCTTACCTCTCCTGGTTATCCTCAGATGTACACGTCAAATGTTCACTGCATATGGTTGATTTCTATTGCTTCAGGACATCAAATACGTATTACCTTTGATAGTTTTGACTTAGAAGAAGATATAAACTGCGCATTGGATTATTTGATCTTAAGAGATGGAGCAAATGTTGACTCACCCATCATTGGAAGATTTTGTGGATCGTCTGCATTTATCCCTCAGCAGTATTATTACTCATCTGGAAAATATTTATGGATAGAATTTCGTTCTGACGATGCAGTTTCCAAAGGTGGTTTTCATTTGTCATGGGACACTATAGTTCCAGAGACCACAAAATCCACTTCAATAACGACACCTTCAGTTCTTGGAAAACATAGAGTTATGACAGGTAGGGGAATTTTATGCTTTTCGCCCAGAATACAGAAGTATATATACCATTACATAAAAACTGCTTTTCGTCTCGTATCGTCTGAACAGTATGGCTTGCAACATGACTGAGCAAAACTGCTTTTATTCTCAAAATGATGGAAGACTTATTTTCTCCGTAAAAAATTTGTGTTTAGAATAAAAATTGCAAATCTAAAAATTCGATTTTCTTATTTTTGAGTAAAAGCTGCACAAGCGCGATGATATTTATACTCAAGTTTTAGTAATAATTTTGTGTCGTAGTTTCATCATGTCGTAGCAATCATGGTGACTGGAGTATTTGTTGCATTTTTCTAGGTTGTGGTGGGGACTTTGAGCTTGTATTTTACAGCGGTACAATATTCTCTCCGTCGTATCCCCTTGATTATGCACCATTACTCACCTGCATTTGGAAAATATACGTTGACAAAGAAAGTCAAATCGCTCTTTCCTTTAATGAATTTGAACTTGAAAATTCCAATCAATGCTCTTCTGATTACGTCGTCGTACAAGATGGTGTTTTAGCAAATTCTACAGTTCTAGGAAAATACTGTGGAAATAAAGTACCAGTGTATTTAATATCAATGGGAAACCAGCTTTCAATCACATTTCGTACGAATAATGCAAAGAGTGCCAAAGGATTTGAAATATCTTGGATGAAATACACTCCACAACAGTTAGGACCCATCGTTGGAACAACACCTACCGGTAAGACGGTGAAGTCTAGGGTTTTTCTATATAAAAGACAATGCATAACAATGAAGTACAGTTTCAGATTGTGTAGAACAATGAAGAACATTTGAAAATGTAGTATTTTGGACAGTGTAGGATAGATTTAGCTGGATTGAAAGCTTTTTATGCTCTTGTAACCTTTTATCAATAAATTACTTGAATCTGTGCAGTGAGATAAAGTAACATATATATATTTAGAAAAATGCTATAACTAGCAAAGATGCCACGAAAAATTTTACAACAAAGAGAAATTTCCCTTCGTCGTATCATGAAAAGTATTAAAGTTCTCTGATTTGTTATCATTGTAGAAGTGAATTTAAAGGCTGCAACGTGCAAAAATATTTTTGGCGCCCTCACTGGAAAGTCCTCCATAAATGTAAAGGATATTTGTCAATGGAAGCTACGTGGGAAAGAAGGCAGCCAGATTCAAATTAATTTTGTAGATTTCAACTTATTTGACGATATGTCTAGCTGCAGCGAGGATTTTGTCGAAGTAAAAAATGGTTTAACAGAATATGCTCCAGTCTTAGTGAGATTTTGCAATGGTAGTGAGCCGTATCCTATCACATCGCCAGGTCGTTTTCTTTCAATAAAGTACGTCATGTCAGGAAAACGTCAAACTAACATCAAAATTAATTATAAAGAAATCGGTGGTGAGAATAAAGATGGAAATTCACCAATAAGTACAGGTAGAAAATATCACTAGATGCACAGGTTTCTAGTGTTATTTTAATGGGTGGTTTATCACAAATTACCTTTTTATTAAAGATAGGATGAGACCAAGACTAGTTTTAAGTCTTTTGATGGACGTTTTACTTTGATAGACGATTTGTTTTCGTTATCTTGTGCTCTTTCCTACTGCTTTGCAAAATTATCAGTCAATTTTTCTTTTGAAAGTTAACGACATTCATTGTTCTCCAGAGATGAACAATGAGTTGATAAAACATTGACTAGTGATTGTATCATTGTCATAAAATATGTTGGTGCTTATAATAAAGTGATACGAAATTTGTTATTACGTCATATTTGGCTATGTGTTGTGCCAAAGAAAGAATGCAAAACCGAAGTCTGCATCGATACATTATAAGAATGTATAACATGTTCAAGAGGAAATGTTCTTTGCTGTTTGTTTGTTTGTTTTTTAGTCACATCCATTTAATTCTCTGATTATAAGTTTTAAGGTACTAAGTACTAAACTCTGGATGCAATGTTCAATGGTTGAATTTTCTTGTAGAGAGTTGTGGTTTCTCAGAATTTAGTTATGAAGAGCTTGACAAAGGAAAGAATCGTCGATATAACAAGCGAGGTGATTGGCCATGGCAGGCAGCTCTTATAAGAAAAGGAATGTCCACCGTGACTTGTGGAGGCGTTTTAATATCTTCGCAATGGATAATGACAGCAGCGCATTGCGTAAAGAGGTTGAAATCTTTAAATTTTCCCACAAAAACCATATTCTATATTATGTCAACTTTTCAATTTTACTATTTAGAAACGCAAAAATTTCTGATTGGAAGGTTAAACTTGGCTCAGTGGATGTGCAATCTGCGGGTGTTTACGATCAAATATTTGATGTTTCAGCCATTCGAATCCATCCAAATTATAACAGTTCAAATAATGAAAATGACCTGGCATTAATAAAGTTACATACATCTGCAAAACTGGGAAAATATGTAAACAAAATATGTTTACCAGAGAAAGGTGCTCTTTATGAAAAAAGAAGAGTTTGTTATATTGCCGGTTGGAGAACTCATGAAGCTTTATCTTATGTTGTTTATCCATTATCAACCATGATTGCCCCTATTGTACCACATAAAGATTGTAATACGTTTGATAACTTCAATGTCACTGAGCGCATGTTATGTGCTGGATCTATTGGTAAAGATGGGACATGTGAGGGTGAAGGAGGTGGTTCATTGATGTGTAAGAGTAGGAAAGGATATGTAGCTGTAGCAGTGAACAGTTTTGGAAAAGATTGTCATAATTCTAAAGATTACAGTGTATATACTGATGTTCAGTGGTATCTTGATTGGATACACGTTCATTTGACTACAAGATAATAAAGTTAGACTTTATATTTATTACAATATGTTATATAGTTTTGACTTTACTTTAAACATTGCTTAGTGAAGCAATAAATTGTTTCAGTTGTGGTTAAATTTTTTTTTCTTTATATTCTTTTTGTGATTTGCTAAACCTTACAAAAACTTTGATTTTGGGAAGTGATGAGATTTTATGTACAATTTAAAAATCACTATTCAATCAACAGAGTTATCTCGCCAATTGAAAAACACTTCCTTGAATATGATGACTCTAAAGAAGTGATTTGGTAGCTGTCTATTACTGGACTAAGAATGCTTTCCACGATATCATTTATGTGGAGATAGTTTACGTCAACGTCTATACGACATAATACCAACATGCTGGTTGTTGATCATCAATAGAAGTAGAGATTTTTAATTGTGTGTTTTTAAATTCTGTGTAGTTATTATATCATAAACATATTTCCATGTACAATAAGTTTAATAATAACGTGTGGATTGTGCTAGCGACTGTTGCTTAGAATTGCACTCCTCTTCGAAATCGATAAATATTTGTCAAAATTATTCTTCTGTTTAACACTGTTTCCTTGACACACTGCAAGTAAATGTAATTACATCAATAAAATCATTACAGTACATGGACTGACACTCTGTACTGACCATGGCCACAGTATAGAGAACATACAGTAGAGCCACTCCTTTGAATTTTTTCGTGCCATGCATATCTTACTACGCATGTGATTACCATATTGGCAGCAAGTAAATTGCATTGTGTGACCAATAGGATTGACGATATGGCAAACGGCAGCCAGTAAACTAATTAAATATACAGCAGCCAGTTGCTCAGCGAACTGGCCTTACTGTATATTCCCTATACTGTGCCATGGTACTGACTGGTACTGACTCACTGACATGGACTGGGCACGAGGTACCGGAATTACATCTATTTTGTTTTTCTTATTTGAAGTATTTGTCATAGGTATCAAACATGGCCGCCGAAAAGAAAGTCAATGACACAAACACAGATTTAGGACTTCTCGAAGAGGACGACGAATTTGAAGAATTTCCAGCAGAAGGTTGAGTTTCTTCAATTCAATTATGTAGAAGTCCAGGAAATTATTCAAAATATTTGTAATCTAAACCAAATAAGTGGCAATCGCATTACTCCAATAAGGTGCATTCCGGAGAAATTATCATCTTGGCGTAAAGGGCGAAATTAGTTATTACTATTGATTATTCACATTTGTTGTAATGGTTAAACTAAACATGAATACTTAAGTTTATATTATTTCTTAATTCGGCTTACATTGGGTTGGCGGGAAACTTCAACATTTTGCCGTAAAAAAATATTATTTTCAAACCTTCGGCGTGGTGTTTACACGGAATGCACCCTGACTATAATACCACTCACTCACTAGTTAGTACAAGTGTACTACTGGGTAGTACTATATACCACTCACTCACTAGTTAGTACAAGTGTAGTACTGGGTAGTACTATATACCACTCACTCACTAGTTAGTACAAGTGTACTACTGGGTAGTACTATATACCACTCACCCACTAGTTAGTACAAGTGTACTACTGGGTAGTACTATATACCACTCACTCACTAGTTAGTACAAGTGTACTACTGGGTAGTACTATATACCACTCACCCACTAGTTAGTACAAGTGTACTACTGGGTAGTACTATATACCACTCACTCACTAGTTAGTACAAGTGTACTACTGGGTAGTACTATATACCACTCACTCACTAGTTAGTACAAGTGTACTACTGGGTTGTACTATATACCACTCACCCACTAGTTAGTACAAGTGTACTACTGGGTAGTACTATATACCACTCACTCACTAGTTAGTACAAGTGTACTACTGGGTAGTACTATATACCACTCACTCACTAGTTAGTACAAGTGTACTACTGGGTAGTACTATATACCACTCACCCACTAGTTAGTATAAGTGTACTACTGGGTAGTACTATATACCACTCACTCACTAGTTAATACAAGTGTACTACTGGGTAGTACTATATACCACTCACTCACTAGTTAGTACAAGTGTACTACTGGGTAGTACTATATAAGCAGCTGTTTGCTTATTGGACTTCAAAACTTGTCATATGGCGTGCTCGAGGGAATGCTAAATGTTCATTTTCACATATAATTAACGCTATGCAGCACATGTATTGATAACTGTTTCATGTTCACTATATTTAGACAAATTCACTTTTTGATAGCAGCTTCATTGAACAAAGTATATATGACAATGTTTATATGTTGTCATGACAAATTGTATATCACGAATTGTTTTAATTATTGATGTTGAAACCTTAGAAAATCACTAATTTTTTAGCATGGGCAGAAGCAGATGAAGATCAAGATGAAAATAATATTTGGCACGATGACTGGGATGACGACAATGTAGAAGATGATTTTTCTAATCAGTTGAGGTAAATGATTGTTGCTGGTCGTCAACTTTATACAGTAACTTATCTTTGATTTTCTTTCTTTTAGAGCTGAGCTTGAAAAACATGGATACTTGAAGTGTGATCAACCAGAGACAATGAAGACATGAACTGCATCAGCATACAAGTTTGAAAATCTTACAAACTTTCAGTTTTGGAAAATTGTTTTTTTTTAAACATCCATGGTTACTTTACAATATTTTTCGAATGTGATCAATTAAACTACCTTAAACTGAAAAATTTAGTTTGATTTCTTTAAATATATCACACGACTAAAGATGTATCACCACTAGAGATGTATCACCACTAGAGATGTATCACCACTAGAGATGTATCACCACTAGAGATGTATGTATCACCACTAGAGATGTATCACCACTAGAGATGTATCTTTATTAACCTAAGGGTATACCCCAATTATAGCTTAAACATTTGCAATATTTTCTATACTTGAATACAAAGTCATCAATTGTTCGCCTGTCGACGACTATAAATTATTCCTTTTGGCTTGATAATCTGGCTGAGTATAGTTTCCGACCTTTTTTGCTTAATATTACACAACTGACTAATGCACGGTTCTCTGCGGTACGTCACTTTCATTAAGTCTTTTAAATACTTGACTAATTTGTTTGAAAGATGGTTTTGAAAGAGATGAAGAAGATGAAGCAATAATATGAAATTGTCTCAAATTGTGTACTATTTCACGTGTTTTCACAGCAAATTGCGAACTAATCTTTACGAATGTCTTATTTCCACTCAAGTTAAAGCACGTTTCACAATTTTCCGAAAATCGTATGATTTAAAATTGTAAAATGCTTCCCATAATTAAAACATCCCATGACTTAAACCGAAACAATGTTAGTAACTTCTGTGACTGAAAAAATTCCCCTTTTTAAAACGCTATTTTTTAAAGGTTACACATTGGTTTACATAGTGTATTGTATCGTATGTATGTACCAAGCCAAATAAATACAATTAGACACATCGCAGTCTTTCAACTCAGGCTCTGGCAGAGATGCAGTTTTTAAAACAAGCATTTTCACTTTCATGATGCATTAATTCAATAATCATTATAACTTATTTCCTGTGCGACTCAGTGGGTAATCCCGGTAATATCAAATGTCGTAACACAAATGACGATATATTATATTTAAAGCTTAAGTGTTCTTCCAAGAACTAAAGACGTCGGCAATAAATAGCTGCGCATAGAAAGAACATAGAACATTTAGTGCAACAAAACATTGAGCTACGTACGTCAACTGGGGAAATCATTAAAGTGCAACAAGTTAATGAAGATGAGTTCATTCAACAAAAGCTCCAGGTAACGATATTAAATGATTTCCATCATGTCCAATCTTCGTGACCAGTTCTTAGAAAGTCATTCTTAGGTAACTCTTTCAGACTCTTCTGACATCAATAAAAAAATTTCTTAAATAAAATGTTAAAAAACCGGGAACAAGGCTGTATTTACAACATTGTTTATTTTAGTGGCAACAAAAACTTTCCTCACGACATAAAAACCCAATCAGGACTAACAGCTCTTTTCAACGAACGAGTTATAAGCTCACAGCCAGTGGAGCGACCATTAGAAGGACCAGGAGGAGGAAAGTTTGGTCAAGGAGGAATTGCCGCAGCTAACTTTGTTGGAATCAAAACATCTTATTCCGGAAAAAATGATCGCGCAACACATTCGGGTAGTTTAGTGACAACTAGTGATGGCAAGCAATATTTAGTGCATAAAGGAGATGGTTTTGGTAAAAGTAGCAACACTGTTGTCACTGATGCCAAACATATGAGTTCCAAGTGGAAACCAGCTGGACCAACTACTAACGTGGCTGGACGAGCTTCAATAAGCGATTTTGTCAAGGCAGGAGGCAAAGATTACAACGTAAGAGGCAAAAATTGCCACAATGCAACCAGTAAAATGCAGAATCTTGGCAAGTAGAGTGTTGCAATCAACCATCAAAAAAAAGAAAGTTATAGTTTAATGTGGTACTACTTATGTTTGGACATAGAATGTTGTTGTGTACACAATAAACAAACATATTACGTATAGTTAGTTTTTGTGTATTTATCAATAAATATCTATGATATTGATTCAATGATATTCATCAAAAAATTGACAAATATTTCAGTTTTCGTTGTGAGTTACAAGATGGTCCAAGCACATCACATGACTACCTCTGTGTCCAGTTCAGTTTTTTATATTTTATATCTCATCCTCATTTAACAACATATTAGGAATGCCATTCTCAACTGGAAACTTTCTTGATGTTTCTGGACAAACAAGAAAACCTTTTTGTACTTCAACCTAACAATAAATGAAAATTGAAAAGTACCTTTATTCTGTCATTTTAAACAATCAAGCACAAATATTCAACACATCAACTCTTTTCCTTTCACAATGAAGTTTCAGGGGGTTTTAAATAATGAAAAACCTTTGAGCAATATAAAAGAAAATTAAAGTTCATCTGTTTTGCTTTCAGAATGAAAGTTTTATGAAACAATGGGAAAATCCTCATCACTTTTGCTTCCATTAAGGTATTTTGGTCATAGTGCTAAAAATGGAAAATTTATAATTTCCTCGTCAGAGCTTTTGAACAATAAAATTACCATAATATCCCATATTATCATGTTCACAATAAAACCTATTAATCAATGTTTATAAAATTCTTCACTGTTTTAGTTTTACAGAGTGTTTTTGAGTGATAGTTAAATTGTTTTCAAAATGAAGTTTTCAAACAATATCCAAAAAAATTATTACCTCCAACAATACATGATGCGCTTTCCTTAAAAATTTCTCATCATTTTCAAACTCAGGAGCAAGTTCTAGCGGAAGATTTTCTTCTTTACCAAGCTAAAATGATAATGTTATTTCTCACTTTGAGTCAATTCACTCAAGGTTAGTGTAGTTAAGTGTTTAGTTCATGTACAAGAAAGAATCTGGCAAAAAAATGGGAAATTATTTGTCATAATGTCATAATGATAAGATTTGGTTAGAATATACTTGAGTGAAAATATATACTTTTTGAAAAATGTCTAAGGCATACTACCAAAATCATACAAAAAAAAAATGACCAGTTTTAAGTTGTATGTATATTTAAGCTTTATTTCAGGTACGTGTTTCTGCCCAGTGGCAATAGTAAACATAGCAATATATGTATAATTATGTTCAAACAAATGACGCACAATTTTAACTAAATTAGTTCATGCTGTTGCTGTTACACTGTTTTGAGTTCTAAATTTAAACAGAATTTTCATGTGATAGTGTCAAGATCAGTGAAAATAACATCAAATGCAAGAGTAAAAAGTTTCTTGTGTGCAATTTTCAGAAAACTGGGTTCTAATGTGTTCAGATTTCAAACCTCGGGTGCGCATTTAACAAATTTTCCATTCTGGTGCAAATATGACTGAATGATGATTTGACAAAATATTGAATGACTGTAGACAGACAGAAAATGCAATACCTGCTTTGCTGCCTGAAATACAGCACTCCAATCTAATCTTGGAATCATTCGTGAGATAAACTCAGGGTTAAATTCAACTTCATTAACAACAACATCAACAGCCTATGTATGACATAGTAGCCAATAAATGAATTTAATAAATGCATAGAAGTACTATTATCAATGCACATTTAATGTATAAAAGTCAACATTTATGAAATTTTTTATTAGTTTTTTTTTCCATTAAGTTTTTAAGCAATAGGACTGCAACAATATGGGGGAAGAAATGGATAGGATAGGACAGAGCTATCTATTTATGTATGTATGTATCTATGTGTAGGGGTGAGCTCCGGATGGGATAGCTGGGAGAACTATTCCTTAAGCATGATGTACATGTTACCATAGAAGATGTTAGATTATTAGACTTATTGGAAAGTTGATAGAAATAATATTGTTTACAAAAATAAATGAACTTAACCACCAGTATAATTGGAGAAACAAAAAAATTAAATATACAAACGAAATTGAGAAATGTTGCATGTTTTGTGGATGTAGATCGTCCAGGTTAGTAGAAAAACATCAACAACAAAAGTCCTCTTCAGAACTCTTCTAATCTGGCTGGACGATCTACATGCACAAACATGTAAGGATAGCGGGTTCAAACCATTTACTTTATAAAGGCATGCTTTGTTTACGTTTTGCCGGCGGGCAGATTTGGTCGAGTACTTTTAAACAACACTAACAACAATGGTTAACCTCTCTTGGGATCAATCTGCCTGCCAACAAAACGTAAACAAGGCAAGTCATCTGTACAGAGAAGTGTGTCAAAATAAATCATACTTTGCACCTCAATTAGCAATGGATAGCCATTTTTGACGCCTTTGATATTAGACATAAGCATGTTGTGCGTAAGTAGTCTCATTTCGCAAACGAAAATACCAAAATCGATAAATTTTCAGTTTCAATTTGTGTTGTAGAGCAGTTAGAGAAGAGGAATTTCAACACGTTTCCATCCTTCAAACAGTGAAAAATAGAGCCATGTGGAAATGTGTGGCAATGTCTATCACATTGAATATTCATTAATACTTTAATCAATTGTGTTGAAAATGAGTAAAAAGGTTGATATACATTCCCACATATTACCAAAACAATGGCCAGATCTAAAGAAGGTTTGTGAATTAAAACGAAACAATGTATTATATCAAATGCAGTATCTTTACTCCCAAGACTATAGTGTGTACGTTAATTAATGAGCGCCATGAGGCTGGGGTGAAGTGCAACAAGTTTTGTTGGATAATAAAAAAATGTACAAAAATAAAAGCTTTTTCCATTGAGAATTTTCAAAATTTTAATTGTTGACATTATAAATTGCTGTAACTGTCAATTGTTGTAATATTGGTGGTTAAATGAACTTACAATGAAATATGCAGATTGGGTGTGGAACAATTAATAAGAATTATAAAAGAAGTGCATTAATTTAGGAAAGGTAGATTTGGTTTGAACAAAATGAGAAGAAAGTGAAATGTTAAAAAAACAAATATCTGGATTTATCAAAATATTTGGATTTATCTTCTGGAATTTCCTGTTCAATATCTCTTGCTTGACTATGATGTTAGCAAGTACCTAAAAACAGCAATGATCAAATATTCCAATTGACCAACCAGACTGAAATGCAATAAACTATAATATAAATAAAGAATATAGAAATAAAAGTGAAAGAACTGACCAAGATGATAAATAAGTGAACGGGCAATCATAGGAAGTATGTACGTACGTAGATACTGAAAAATTACAAGGAAACAGAAAACATGAACATATTTCTTTGGAAATTTGTAGCATTATTTTCATAATTTACAGATCTGAAATATAGGCATTACTGAAAAATAGTTTCATTTAAAGGATCAGAATTTTGTTGTGGATAAACGTCAAATATGATGACTTCTGAGATTATAATTTTGCAATTGACAAACTTTACACAATTGTGATTGAGTAGAAATGATCACATTGCAGACCTAAAGTAGCATTCTGATTTAAACACAACTTAAGTTAGATAAGTTGCAGACAGATTATGAATTGAAGAGATGCCTTAGAATTGATTGATCTTACTAATAAGACAAAAAGAATTAATGCCTTAATGATTTGGTAAATGCTGCTGATTGAGCAATGTACATATCATTTATGGTAATCACAAAACTAATTACGAATGATAATTATGATAAGTATGATATTTATTATAGAGATATGGTTATGGAGGATTTATCAAATTATATCATCATTGTCAGGTATATTCTACCATTACTCTTGTACATTTGATTTCACTTGCTTGAGTTATGATCATGTCTGAGATTAAGTTATGAAGAAAGAAAAGGGGCTATTTAAGCTGATTTGTTTACTACATGATTTCATTTTTCATTACTTATAAAAGGGCAAAGCTGAGATGTGGAAAGATGAAACTTTGTTTCGTGTCATTGATCAAAACTGTTGGTGCTCAGAAACTAGAATTACTGAAATGGACAAAACAGGTTAAAATGTCTTTAATTTTATTTTAACATTATATTCAGTACAAGTTTCTTCAAATAAGTGTGTACAGCATGGAAAATTGGAAACACGTAATACGTAATTCTAGTGATATACATACTGAATTATTTTTGTACTGTAGGTGTAACAGTTCAAGCTCTTTCAACAGTTCCAGTAATGTTTAACTATTGGGTAATAAAATTATAAATTGTGACATGACGCTAACTTTTTTACTGAACAATAATTTCATTGTCCATATTTAAGGCAAAACCTCTAGATACCCTTGACTTGTGTAAAATATTGAATGATGATATTGCACAAAGAGTTGTCAGTCATCCTAAAAGATTTGTTGGCCTTGGTACTTTACCCATGCAGGTTCATGATAAGCCGCAAGGGCTACACTCTTTACTCTTAAAATCATTTAAAATAAAGCAGACATTTGTGAATGATTTAACCAAGTTACAGTAATTTTCATACAGTGTCCTGAGTTAGCTGTTGAAGAACTTAAGCGATGTGTCAATGTAAGTAAACTGTAACTAAAATATATATCTAGTTGTAATTACGCTGTGACAATTTTGTGTCATTTAGGAGCTTGGCTTTCCAGGAATTCAAATTGGTTCGCATATCAACGATTGGAATTTAGATTCTCCTGAATTAAATCCTATTTTTGCTGTAAGCTGTAAGCTAAACAAAAATTGCTGTTGTTCAAATTTTGACGATTTATCTCTTAATCGCGGCTATTTAATGCATATTAGTTATCTATTCGGTGTATTACGTATGTGGTTATACTGAACTAAAATTTGTATACCATTGTCCATTGATTTGATCTGGATGTAAAACTTTTTTTTCTTGACGATGGCTGAAGCAGTGAAGCGAAAGCTGTGGTACATTTTCTGGCCTTTGCGATTTATTTTAAATAGCATATATTCGCATTTTAGCATCTACAGCGAGGAAAATTTGCTGTTTTCGCAGTTTTATTTCTGTTACACAACCTTACGTAAGATGCGCGTAATTTACATAAATTCATAATTCGAAATGTGATTGCGCACGCGCGAATTATGTCAAATCAAATCTAAGTCTAAGGCTTAGAGACGAAGCTCAGACATGAAAAAAATTAATGGTGATCTGGGAAAAGAGGGTGGGGACTTAAGGGAAGGCTGGCTTCATCCAAAACAAGACAGCTAAACTTGAAAATTGATGTAAACGTTACAGGAAGATTTAAAATTCATTCAACCATTTATTTATTAGAGAGTTTTCATCAACCTAAATACGTAATCTGAAAAGATCTAAAGATAGAAAGAATATATTGCTCACTTTATTTGTTAATATGTACCTGAAGTATGGAGAAATTTTTATTCCTAATATTTGTATTTATGACACACTGAATTAACTTTAAAATTGCTAAAATTTTGTGGGCTGTCTAAATTCGAAAACTCGAAGATCTACTTAATCAATGAGATCTTATCAGATGCTTAAACAAGATGATCTAAAAATCTAAAAAAATTAATTTGTGATGTTCCTAGGCAGCAGAAGAACTAAATGCTTGTATATTTGTTCATCCTTGGGATATGACGAGAAATGAACGAACTGAAAATTATTGGTTACCGTGGTTAGTTGGTAAGATAACAATAAAGTTGATTCTTTCATATTATAATGTTGCTCAACGTATAAAGTTATTTGAAGAGCAAGGTTGAAAAAATAGTTCATTATTTTATAATTTGCGTAAAAATGCCGCTCGTGGTCACATAACTGGCAACATTTTGTAATATAGTTTGAATATTTTGTAGGAATGCCAGCAGAAACTGCTACGGCAATATGTTGTGTTATCTTTGGTGGAGTTCTTGAAAAATTTCCGAAACTAAAATTTTGTTTTGCTCATGGTGGTAATGGATCAATTAAATTCAATTATCTATTGAAACCAATCATTTCGTAATAATACAAAATGTGTCAAGCATAACTTGACAGTGATCTCGCCATCATGAAAATGTAATGGATAAATTCATTTCTTTTTTTCGGAGGTGGCTCATTTCCTTACACAATTGGCAGGGTTTGTCATGGTTTTGATGTAAGACCGGATCTTTGTGCCCAAAAAAACAATGTTTCTCCGAGGTAGTGCTTATGTTTTTGGGTGAAGTGCAGATCTCAATTTTATCCATTCTTACTTCTTAATTTTCCTGCAGTTGTTACCTTTTATATATTCAAAAAAATTTCCCTCACTTTTGAGATACTGAGCCTTGGCTGATGTCTGACAAGGCTCCTCCAACTGTCAGAGACCACTAATGAACGTCACGCTACTGCTGTCAACTAACTACCATCAAATTTACTTGGTTGTTAAGCCTTTAAAATTCGAACCATGAGATGTCCATTTGATTGCACAAATAATCCGACATGAAATATTTTTGTTAATGCTGTTTATTTTTCAATGTTTTTTTTCAGGAATTATATCGGTAGAGTTTATACAGATTCCTTGGTACATGATGAAAAGGCCTTAAAGTTTCTAGTTGCTATCATGGGAGAGGTATAAAATTATCTTATTGTTAATGATAAATAATATAAATTAATATAAACAGTGAATTAAGTTTAGTGATTTAAATACGTGCATGCTGGCATGCATAAATTGGTGTTTTTTTTATAAAAACAACATTGTGAATGGTGTAAACAACCAAGAAGAATCTTTACATGTTCGTACGTACGTAGATATAGATTACACACATAAAAAAGTCCTGAGAAGGACTGTTGGTGTTGTTGTTGGTGTTGGTGTTGGTGTTGGTGTTGGTGTTGGTGTTGGTGTTGGTGTTGGTGTTGGTGTTGGTGTTGGTGTTGGTGTTGGTGTTGGTGTTGGTGTTGGTGTTGGTGCTAATGTTGGTGTTATTGTTGGTGTTATTGTTGGTGTTTGTGTTTGTGTTGGTGTTGGTGTTGGTGTTGGTGTTGGTGTTGGTGTTGGTGTTGGTGTTGGTGTTGGTGTTGGTGCTAATGTTGGTGTTATTGTTGGTGTTATTGTTGGTGTTTGTGTTTGTGTTGGTGTTGGTGTTGGTGTTGGTGTTGGTGTTGGTATTGGTGTTGGTGATGGTGTTGTGTTGGTGTTGGCGTTGGTGTTGGTGTTGGTGTTGGTGTTGGTGTTGGTGCTAATGTTGGTGTTGGTGTTGGTGTTGGTGTTGGTGTTGGTGTTGGTGCTAATGTTGGTGTTGGTGTTGGTGCAAGTGTTGGTGTTGGTATGATGCTAGTGTTGGTGTTGTTGTTGTTGTTGGTGTTGGTGGTGTTGTTGGTGTTGGTGTTGGTGTTGGTGTTGGTGTTGGTGTTGGTGTTGGTGTTGGTGTTGGTGTTGGTATTGGTGTTGGTGATGATGGTGATGGTGTTGGTGTTACGTAGTATTGACTAAGGTTTCGACAGCCTTTGCGATAGTTGTCTTCAGAGTCAAATTTGAATATCACTTAGCTTATTCAGAATATGTTTCAATTTATAAACATTAAAGTAAATTTGTCTACCATGCAGATACGTATCAACTACAATGTCTTTTTATTGTATCCAATTAACAGGTGTGGTATCGCGTCGTTCTTAAATGAAACTGTTGTAGTAACTTATGTTTTTTGGCTATTTTTGTTTACTTATTATTTGATTTTATAAGTTCCATTGATAATACGAAACACAAAAGTCATCAGTATTTTCTACTTTAAGGATAAAGTTTTGCTTGGAAGTGATTATCCTTTTCCTTTGGGGGAGCATTATCCTGGGAAGTTGATCCACTCAACATATAGAGATCAGAAAGAGATTAAGGTATAATGATAAAATATGTTTGACGAAATTTCTAAACTAATTTACAATTTTTACTCGTTTTGTGTTCGACCAAGACAATTTTCTATATTTTCTTTGATTCCTAGGAAAAGCTATTGTTTAAAAACGCTTTTGAATTTCTTGGCCTTGATGAATCTAATTATTGAAAATAAATGAATACATGTGATGGGATAGCCAGAGATAATGGCTTATAAAAACTTGGTGTTTTATTCTGGATTGATGTATGATGCCTTTGTCATTTGTGAAAGGCCATGGCAAGTTGGTCTGCACTCTGCAGACGACCATTTCTATCGTTGCTTTTACAAATCCTCTCAAGATTGCTGTTTGTGTCCATTTTCAATTTTAGTTCACTCCGTTGCTGTGTTTTCTTTACTCAAAAAAATCAACGTAATATTTAGTTTGGAAAAATCAATCTGTAAAATAGACGAATAATTATTCAAATATACTTTTTACACCAAAAAGTCAATACTAGTGTATCTTAGCCTTGTCATAAAACATCCGTATTGCTGCTGCAACACCAAGGCAGAGAATAGTGTCAACGGTTAACACCCAACAAAGATGGGAGGAGAAAATCAACCTTCGTCATTGTTTCTCATATCAAATTAATGAAGAGATTGATAAAAAGTAAATATTTAATCATTGTATGACATTTGGGTGGATTATGGAGTGCCAAAGCTATAGACAAATTATACTTTTTGATGTTTACCTTACTTGACAAAATAAGAAGTATTTGTGACTGACTTGCTTGAAAAACATCACATGACATTTATTACAAAACTGCATAAAGGAGAGAAAAATATCTTTATTTATTCATTCCATAGGAGGAACACAACTGATAGAGACAAGTTCGAGACTAAGTAGCAAGATGAAAAAGATTATAGTGGCTTTTCTGATAATCTTTGGTGTCGCGTCTGTGTTTGGTATGTAGCTAAAATGGTATTTTTTTGCTCTAGGTTTGAAAATATAATCAGTCTCTATATCCGTCAAAATCGAATGAATGTGAATACAATTATTTTCACTTGCAAAACTAGAGAAAAATTCATATTTCTGTGAAGTAATTTTGCAGCAAATCAGTCATATTTTGTTTCAGCTTCACCATCTCAACGTGAAAGAGCAAAATGTCATGGGAAAATGGAGGTAAATCAATTATTGTTTATTGTCAGTCTCAATTTTTTCGCTGTCGAATTCATACATACTCTAGATGAAGTAAATAACTCATGAATTCTTACAAAATACAGATGTGCATTCTTGTTTGCTTAATAAAAAGATTTAATTATTTTGTAGAAAGGCTTTTTGTCCGACATGTTAAAGTGATTGGCAAGTTGTAAATTAGAACAAAAAAAATTTTGTATCAATTTCATTTTTGAATTAGAATATATTTGGTTTGAAATTAATTTTGTCTTCTTTCATACGTGTTTGATATACTCAATATAAATGAGATATGATCTTCGCACTTAGCTGGACAATTTAAGCAATCGTCTCAAGACCTGAAAAAATCAGGTGACTCAACGGGATTCGAACCCATGACCTCTGCGGTGCCGGTGCAGTGCTCTGACCACTGAGCTATGAAGTCACACAGTGGTGAGCAGGTCAATATTGTTGGGCTGATGTTTTCTCGTGAAATGAATGTTACATGAATGTTTTTGTCAAATCCACCAGCAGACGACTGATACGAGCACGGATTAACGACTGTCACAGACGAATCAACTATTACATCAAACAACAAGAACAAAGACTGAACAAACTGAAGGAACTCATACCAACGACAGTAAGTGATACTTTACTTTCTACCATACAAACTATTGCAGAGAAACGAGCAAACAAGACAGAGACACAACACCAAATCAAACAACAACAAAAACTTGAACGTTTAAAACAAACTAAAACACGTGCAAGACATAAACATGACGATAACTGGGTGAGGAATATTTCTTCCCGCCCATTAGACGAAACTGAAACGCGACTACTATCTTACGGACTAAAACATTCCATAACACCTAGACAAATCCCGACTGAGACGATAGTATCAAGTGTCGAGGCTGTCCTAGCGTATCAAAGAGACTTGTCAGAGACAACAAAGACGAGATCAGAAGCAGGATAGCCTCCACTTTACAATCGTCCTCTATACGTGACAACAACTTGACAAAAGACGAACAACAAGCACTCAAACGACTAAAACACGACAACAACATCGTCATTTTACCAGCAGACAAAGGACGCGTGACTGTGGTCATGGACAGGAATGATTACTTTAACAAAATGGACGCACTTGTTAACGACAGACAAACTTACGAACAACTCAAACGAGACCCAACACCATCACTAGTACGCAAACTTAACAGCAAGATCTTCTCTATGAGAAAATCTAACATTATATCTGAACGTATTTACTATCGACTCAGATGTTCAGTACCACGACCACCCAGACTATACGGACTACCAAAACTTCACAAACCACAAATACCCATGCGACCAATTGTATCATTCTGTGGTTCGCCTACTTACGAACTTTCAAAGTACTTGACTAACATACTGCAACCACTAACAAACAAATCAAAACACAAGCTACAATCCACTGAAACTTTCATTAAAAAACTGTGCACTATACAAATACCAGACAACTATATACTAGTGTCTTTTGATGTGAAATCACTGTTCACCAGTATTCCACTTAATCTGGCACTTACTTGTACAAAAACCCTCATTACAAACACCACGGACGTACTGCCATTACCGACAGAAGACATTATGGAGTTACTAGAGCTCTGCCTCACCTCGACTTACTTCCAATACAAAGGAACACACTACAAACAATTACATGGGACAGCAATGGGCTCGCCCGTTTCTGTAGTAGTTGCTGAAATTGTAATGCAATCTATAGAGGAACGGGCACTCATGACTTACAAACATGCACTACCTTTTTGGTTTCGCTACGTAGATGACACAATCACAGCACTACATGCAGACGAGATTGATGACTTCCATACTCACATCAACAAACAGAACAGCCACATACAATTTACCAAAGATGTCGAAGAAAACGGAACTCTTCCTTTTCTCGACTGTTTGGTAAAACATGACAATCAAAAACTAGGAACAACAGTTTATCGCAAGCCAACACATACTGACCGACTACTAGACCAATCATCTTACAACCCTACATCTCACAAAGCCACCACAATCAGAACATTAACAAGACGTGCACAAATCATATGTGATTCACCGGACGCTCTACAAAACGAAAACAACTATCTCAAACGTGTTTTTGACAAAAACAACTATAACTCAGACTTTATCAAACGCAACACTTACAAACCCAACGAACCCAACGAAACGAACAACTCACTGACAACAGCAACGATACCTTACATCAAAGGTACGTCTGAGACTATCTCGCGTATCTTACGACCATACAACATACGTGTCGCACATAAACCAATCACAACATTACGACAAGTACTAACGAACATAAAGGACAAAGAACAACCCAACGAACGACAAGGTGCAGTTTACAAAATAAACTGCTCCGACTGCCACGCCTCCTATATCGGGGAAACTGGCAGGAACTTAAACATAAGACTTACTGAGCACAAACGAGCTACTAAGAAACAAGACAAAACTAATCACATTGCCGAACATCACCGAATCACAAAGCACAACATTGACTGGGACTCGGCAAAATGCATCACTTACAGTACTGACTATAGACAACGGCTTACATTAGAAAGTTGGTATACCAACTTGGAACAAACCCTGAACAGATCACAGCAATTACCGGCACCTTACAAACGACTTATTCACAATACAAACAAACGATCAACTAAAAACATTACACTTCAAACTAATTCACAATGACAATACACAATTGACACCCACACACTACAACTAAAAACGTCACACCTAAATCACACATCACAACTAAAAATAAAATATTTCACTTCACATCAATCCACAATGACAATACACATTTCCTGCACATTTCCTGTACACACAATACAATGACGTAAGAACCAGACAACAAATACGGCTAACCTGACGTTTACTCCTCATTTGACTCTGAAGATGACTACCGCTAAGGTTGTCGAAACGTCAGTCAACAACATCAAAAACAGTCCTTCTCAGGACTTTATTAACCTGGACGATCATCATTTACAAACATATCCTATAAATGTCAGCATTAATGCAAATATGAATAATTGATGAAGGTGTTAAAAAATGACATTTAGAAAGTAAAACCCAAAAAAACGTACGATTTGGATGGCTATTGTTTGCGTGCGCAAATCTCCAAAACTTTGTTAGTTGGATAAAAATGAGTAGTATTTTAACCGTATGTGCTCCAATTGCTTTTGAGCTTCTTCATTTGTGTTTGCAAGCTATTGCTATAAGCAAAAAAATGCTTGACGCCATCTCCAAGGTAAATTTTGAGTTTGGCTTTATCCGCTCTTTGCCCAGACCTCATCGTAGCCCTGCATTTTCTCGGAATATGACTTTCGGTTAAAACACATTTGTGATTAAAAACATAAAAGTGAGAAATAATGCCGTTTATCTAAAATATTTATCAAGCGTCGTGCTACTAAGATCATATGGTAACATCTTACTTATTTTTGCCCTTTTTGCAGCAAAGGACTAAGGTCGTTGTTAAAATTGACACATCTCATTTATTTGTAAATGAAACATTTTGAGTCCAAACAGTATCATCTTGAAACAAGATTAGTTAATGTTGCGATATGTGCAGCTAAAGTCAAAAGTAGATGTTGGCAAATGACGTCAACACTCCAGGTGGCTCCGTTTTTAAATTAGGTGTGTATAAAAAGTACTTCCCCTTTTTGAAAACTAATTATTTTACATTAAACCTTCAAATAACGATGAAACATTTATGCATAGTTAAAGTGACGTTATAGTTACCTAAAAATAATACTAACTCTGATGTAACTCAACGGACTAAAAAATGACCAAAATGCTTATCGTTCACAGTTGGCCTAACAAACAGACATTTCCCAAGTAAGGCTCGACCACGTATACGACTTTTGATCGTTGGGCGTAGCATTATTATGATTTCTTAAGTTTTGTTTTAATTTTTGACTTTCATTTTCATTCAAGTTCTTCTCGAATGTTAACATAACGTTTCTTTGAAAGATATCCCTAGGAAGCTGCAGTTTGTGTTATCAAGGAATCTTTGTTAGTAAACTTGCATCTTAGTCTGTTTGAAACACTTTCAAACTGACACAAATCCGTTTCCCGATTACGTATGTAATGACATAATTTATATATTGATCAGGTTATAAATGTGTTGTTCCCGATGAACGTTAATGTCGTTCGTTTGTTTGAAGTTCTATAACAGCCGTTATCAATATAAATAAATTATGTTTATTTGCTACCCTTCCAAGTTACTGGTCAATGAAATGGCTTCTGGTAGACTGTTGGTTTTAACTCTTGTTTTCATGACGATTGTAAAAGCAAAAGGTAAGTTAATGGACTTGACATTTTAGTCAAATGTATATATGGGGGATATTTAGAGTAGGATTTATTAATATACTCTAATAAAGTTAATGGTTTGAGCCCAGGAGTGTTGTTACATTTATGTAGATACAGTTTGTCCAGATTAATAGAGTCCTGAAAGTTAGTGTTATTGTATTAAGAAATCATGGAAATAAGAATTTCAATGATGATAAGATAGTAAAAAGTCCACGGTTAACTCGTATGCTTGTGAGTACAATGATTGGGGTTAATTAATTAAACATTTCTAACCATTTTGTCAAAACAAGATGTCAGAAATATGAACAAAAATTTTTACAGTACCAAGTAAGCCATTTGAATTTTAGTAAAAATTACTGTTTCAGGAATGGAAACTTAATTTGCAACGAGTTGTTTCTCTCCAGATTCTTTGATGACCAACACTGTATTAGTTCATTTCTAGTCTTCAAAGTTGTCTGTCCATAGTACAACCTTCTATGCTCTGCAAATTTATCTTACTGTTTACTTATGTCGCCAAGGGACTAGATTTCTCGTAATTTTTTGTGATATAATCAATGTGCAACATTACAACATAACCGATTACTTTTTTGGTGTACAAGTACAAGTTTGGTGTACAAGTACAAGTAAGTGGCAAACACGACCAAAACTCGCTGAGCAAGAGATAATTGCATTAATTGATAATGTGATAGGAAAAATTAAATGAAAATTCCATAGAAGCTAAAAACTTTATTTTTGTGGAAGTTATAAACAGTTATTCACACGTACACCGGAACTACACTAACCTGTGACATCGAAATAAACAAAGAGTTTATGACGTTTTTTCATGCATTAGCATAACCAGGAACAGTGAAACACTTAGGTAGCAATGTGGTATGGCATAAAACAACGAAACTGATTTTTTTTCAATCTATGTCAGTTTCAATAAATTGTTGAATTTTTTTGCTTTTGTGATAACTTCTTGCATTCGAAAAAATACATACGAGAAACAACGAAAAATTTCGACGGAAAATTCTTTATATCATTCTCTGTGTCACGTGTTAAAATTTGTTCACATAAGTTAAAATTTTGTCGTAAGAAAACATTTATTGTAAGCTATCGAATCATTTTGATAACCGTTGATAAAAAGTCATCCCTTAACAGCTTCTCTGTGTCACGTGTTAAAATTTGGTCACGTAAGTTAAAATTTAGTCGTAAGAAAACATTTATTGTAAGCTATCGAATCATTTTGATAACTGTTGACAAACAGTCATCATTCAACAGCGGTACTGTAAATATTGTAAGAATGTGTACTTTTCCTGTAACGTAGCAACCAACAGTAACATAGCAACCAACAGTAATTCTGCAAAAAGAAAAATGCAAAAATTTAAAGTTGCAACAATAATTTATCAACATTAACAAGTTGTGTTCGTATTCCAATTTTTTACCTTATATGCGACGTTTGCAAATTCTGCAATGCTTACGAAATACTCACGTGACTAACTGCACTACACGTGATTACTACGCTAAATTCGCAAATTGCGTTTACGCAATGGTTTACGCTTCCTTAGGGATTGATTGTTCTCCCGAATGTACGACTTAGTTCGGTTATTAAACTTGGAACAAATATTAATGACTTTTAAAGCAAATATTCTTGGTACCTCGCGAGGAAATAAAGAAATGAATGAAGCTGTTAACTTGTAAATTATGTTATTGAATTGTTTCAGTAAATCCAGAATGTTTATAAATTTACTATGAAAATACATATGATAGTTAAATTTTTGTCGAAGTTGTTGATGGTTGATCACTGGTTTTCACAAGTTAGTGACCGAGGAAATTGCCAACGCGATTGAAAGACGATTACCATTACCATTCATAGACATACATTTTGGAGCAAGAATGAGTTAAGGCTTGAAATAATGAGATTTGCGAAGAAGTGACGTCTTTGTGTCTCAAGTTTTAACGATGTAACATTCAAGCAAGAGAACTATCGGCTTGGTAAACTTGTCCTCGAACGAAGAAGTGTGCTTTAATGAACAGGCAAAAACCAGAATTAAAATTATTTAGCTGCAAAAATTTAAGAATCAAGCAAGCTGACTCAATTTCTACGCAGTTGCAATAGTCAAAATAAAATAAAGCAGTGTTGACATACTCTAGATCTGCCACTGTTTCTACTAGCCGCTATAATGAAATGGGGAAACAAGACGTACTAGTTTTTATATAAATTAGTTATGTTGGTTCTAAACGTCTGTCGTGAATTTATTGTCGATGAGAGATATTAAAATTGGCAAAATACTGAACACTTTGAATGATAAACATGATTATTAGCTATATACCAATTTGCAAGTCGCGCGAGAGTGAAGTGTTTCCTCACCATAAGCTTGAGAGTAAGAAAATGTTATCGCGTTTTGCATTTGCACATATATTTTTACTATCGCATGTGTTTTAAAATCGCATATGAGTGGTGTTCGAAATCATGCAGAGTCGGTGAAAATTTTTCATTATGCAAGCACGTGTCTTTTCACTGAAATTTTTATCCGAATGTCTTACTGTAATTTTTATCAATCGTATTTACTAAATTCACTTTACCCAAACTTTCACGTACATCTCCATGTTATGGATTCACTACCATAATTATCAGTGTACAATGCTATGGAGTTTAGCTTAATATCCTTGACATTATCATGAAAAAAGTGTTCAAGGATTTATAATTTTTGCGAAATATATATATAGAATGGAACACGTGACAGTTATCGTTGTCGTTGATTGGCTCCGTAGTAGATTCCTTATTTTTGAAGATATCTTTTTTTTGTTTCTCACATTTTATGTGACCATATCAAAATATCTAACATCTTATTGAATTATTAAACAGAGCAATTATATGCCGTCAGACTTCAAGGACCAAAAAAGGACTATGGAACGGGACGAGTTGAAATATTTTACAATGGACAATGGGGAACAATTTGTGATGACAGCTGGGATTTAAATGATGCTGAGGTTGTTTGTCGTCAACTTGGTTATGGAAGTGCGTACAAAGCTTTACAAGGAGGCTATGTTCCTGATGGTAAAGAAAAGATATGGTTAGATGATGTTAGGTGCAATGGAAGTGAACAAAATCTTTCAGATTGTTCTCATCATGGATGGGGAAGACACAATTGTAGACATTCAGAAGATGCAGGTGTAGATTGCTCTCAGGGTAATAAATCATTTTGTTTTACTTGAAAAACGCAGTTATTGAAATATTTCACGATTACGATTTATAAAATAACACAATGAAACGCGTGCGCTGATTGGTCTAGATCTGCGTTTGCATTAGCCTGTGCAATGCACATCTGAGCTCAACCAAACAGATCAATCAAAACAATCAATCAGTCAAAGAAAATTTGAAAATCGATCATGAATACAATTTAGAAGAAAAATTAAAACGTTTACTCTAAATTTGTCTGTTTTCCATTTTTGTTATTTTAAAAAAGAAATAAAAGATGTTTGTCGTGTTTGCACTGGCTTATGCAAACCTCGAAGACGTTTGTGAGAACTCTCGAGCATGTGCGACCTTCGATCTCGGGCTTGCACTGATCTGCTCTCGAGTTCTCCCAAAGGTCTCCTCGGTTTGCATAAGACCGTGCAAACACGACAAACATCTTTTATTTCTTAAATGATACATGAATAACACTTTTCAACAATATTGGCGAAGTCTTTAATTGTGCTCAGACAGTGTACACTTCTTGTTAATAATAAATAATGAACAACATAGAATTTCATCCTTATGTATAAGCGATAATTGTGAAGTAACCGGATATAAAACTGGTCTTCTCTCAATGAACTCGGTGGTCAATGAAAATATTAAGCATTTCAGCCTGCATGATAAAAACTCCGATCCATTGGAATCTTGGACGAAATAAAGTGACAAAAGAAGTTGATGTTCAACCCACAGACGTCAAAAACGTTGTGACGAAGTAATAGAACTATTACCATCTTAGGAACAAACAACTGTTTCGTATTTGAAAATAATATGAAGGGAATTGGCGTTTAAGGCGATGCAAGTTATTGTACCCTCCTCGTTTAATGGGAATTTGAATGGAATGTTGTTAATTGTAATTGTTTTACTGCGGGTACGAGAGAAAATGTTAATCTCTAGATGTTATCAGCTATGCCCAACTATAACGCTTGGACCCGAGAATCTCAGAGAAAAGTATTTCCAGAAGAAAAAAACAAAGCCCTGTCTTTGATTGGGAACGCCATAGCGTCGGTGAGATTAGAACGGATCCATTCAGAGCTATTGACTAAATTTATAAGAGAGGGGGGGGGATGATTTCTTTACGTGACTGTAGTCATGAAATTGTAAGAAATGCGTGACGTCATCATATGACATTATCATCGATGTTCATAACGTTTAACTGAAATAACTCACAAATGACACATCATAACTCATAAGTCTTGTCATACCGCGTATGTGTGACGGGGCTCATCATATGTGTGACGGCAGATTAAAACTTATAATTCTGTAAGAAAATTACTCTGCTACAGTAACTTATGATTTAAAAATGAGGGTCCTTTATAAAACTGAGACGATTACATCAAAACATCATGTATAATTGTATACTAAAAATACTATTACTTTATACACTACTAGATTCCTAGCATTCTAAAACATTAGTGAGAGCCTCTCAAAAGAACGTTGGTAATAATCTAACCCTAATAAAAAGTAAATATATATCAACAGGTTAATATGTTATGAAAATAGAAACTAATATTTTATCACACCTTATCCTTTTATTAATTAACACGTATCATGTATCTTATTATAAATTCAGTTTGTAAATAAATTTACTTCATTCTTATATTGAAGATGACTTAATGTAAGTCGAAACATGTTTATAATAAAAAAATTTGTCGTTTATTTTAAATGCCTAACAAATAGAAACATTTAAAATGGAGAATCGAATTCAGATGATTTGATTCTCCATATTGTGTGATGATCATAAATGTTGTTTGCCTGTTTTACTATAATTTGTAAGTGCCTGTGATTAGAAGTCTAGTAATAGGATTCTTCTTGTTTTAAAAATATTTCCCTTTGGAGTTTTATTAAATTACAGTTAAGAAAATAGAAACTGTTAAACAAAAATGTTTTGATTTTAAAATAACTTCTCCTTCAAGATGTCCCAAGATTGTCAATCAGACTTCAGGGATCAACAAGCTCCAATGCCACAGGTCGTGTAGAAATATTTTACAAAGGAGAATGGGGAACAGTATGTGATGATGACTGGGATATAAACGATGCTAAGGTTGTATGTCGTCAACTTGGTTATAAAACAGCTCTGGCAGCTCTTAAAGGAAATGTTGTTCCTAGTGGTAATGGTACGATATGGTTAGATGATGTTAAGTGTACAGGAAATGAATTGTATCTTTCAAGTTGTTCACACAGATACTTTGGAGGTCATAACTGTAATCACTCAGAAGACGCCGGTGTAAAATGTTATGAAGGTAAACTTTTTTTAGCTATTATAAATCATTTTTGTAGACTGTTTTGGGACAACGCAAAGTTTGCCTTTAAGCGAAATTTACGTAGCTAAAAATCGAAAAAGATTTGAAACATAATTCATTGTTTCTATTAAGCAAAACGTTTTGTAGTTGAATCAAACAATATCATACTTTTACTTTGTTAATCTTATCGTATTTATAACACAAGTTAATGATTTTATTCATAGACGTTGATGAATGTTCTCTTTCTACTGATGATTGTCATGAAAATGCAAGTTGTTTCAATACAGATGGATCATTTTTATGCAAATGTAACTTTGGCTTTTTGGGAGATGGAAAATTTTGTTCAGGTATGTATTAAAACAGTCTAGTGAAAATCAGTGATATTTTTGCAAAACTATCATATATTCCAAAGTCAAAGCGATTTAGTGATAAATAATGATAGTGATAAATATTCATTATCATTGTCTATCATAGGTTGTAAATTATTAACTAAACAAATCTATTTTTTTTAATAGAAAGAACTGTTGCAATTCGTGGACCAAAAAGTGAAAATGGTACTGGTCGTGTAGAGGTTTTTCACAATGGAGAATGGGGAACTGTTTGTGATGACAGATGGGATGTATATGATGCTGATGTTGTTTGTCGTCAACTTGGTTATAAATATGCCAGCAAAGCTTTACAAGGAAGTTTTGTTCCTGATGGTAAAGGAAAGATATGGTTAGATGAGGTTAGATGCAATGGAAATGAACAAAATCTTTCAAGTTGCTCACATAACAAATGGGAGAATCACAATTGTGCGCATTCTGAAGATGCAGGTGTAGAATGTTCTGAAGGTAATGAATCATTAAAACATGTGAATATTGTGAGAAAAATTCCTTAAGAAACGCTTTGCTTGAAACAATTTGCAATTAATTTATGATTCATATATCATTTTTTCAACAATATTGGCGAAGGACTTTGATTGCGCTCCAAGAGTGTATACTCTTCTGGCATTGAGAATATTAAGTGAATTTTTTCATCAATATATTGTGAATTATGATAAAGCCAGTCAATCATATATTTTATACATAGATTTAGATGAATGTTCCCGAAACTTACACGACTGCAGTATCCATCGCCAGTGTGTAAACACGTTTGGAAGTTATAGATGCTTGTGTAAATCTGGTTATACAGGAAATGGAACTATTTGTAATGGTAGGTTTCTATATGTTTTTGATCTCTTAACATATTGTGCAATTGCTTAAAATCACACGAAAACGTCGTGCTAAAAAGGATTTGGAAAAGTATTTTCATTATTATCTGCCGACAGGGAGCCAGAAGATTTTAGTTCTGACCGCAAGCAACTTCATATTTGCAATCTCTTCATGGTGTGCTTGTAGCATTATTGAAATCGTATGGAGACCCTTGTACTACGAATTTTGTGCTACCTATACCGAGCAAATGAAAAAATTAAGTGAACTAAAGTTTTATTTTTATTAGATACAGTATTGAAGTAATAAGGCTTAAAAATTGACTTGCATATCTTTTGCAGAATATAATCCTTATGCCCAACATTTGCTGTCTTTTCAAGTTTTTCAACATCTGATCCACTGATTATAGTTTCATTTTTAAACTGTAGACATCGATGAATGCTCTGTTTCTACTGAAAATAACTGTCATGAAAATGCGACATGTATAAATACTTTGGGATCATTTTCATGCAAATGTCTCGTAGGCCATTTTGGAGATGGAGAATTTTGTACAGGTATAAATTAAAACAGTCTAATGAAAATCAGTGATATTTTTGCAAAACTATCATATATTCCAAAGTCACAGGGATTTAGTGATAAATAATGATAGTGATAAATATTCATTATCATTGTCTATCATAGTTTTTAAAATTATTAACTAAACAAATCTATTTTTTTTAATAGAAAGAACTGTTGCAATTCGTGGACCAAAAAGTAAAAATGGTACTGGTCGTGTAGAGGTATTTCACAATGGAGAATGGGGAACTGTTTGTGATGACAGCTGGGATTTAAAACATGCTGATGTTGTTTGTCGTCAACTTGGTTATAAATATGCCAGCAAAGCTTTACATGGAAGTTTTGTTCCTGATGGTAAAGGAAAGATATGGTTAGATGGGGTTAGATGCAATGGAAATGAACAAAGTCTTTTAAGTTGTTCACATAACGGATGGGGAAGACACAATTGTGGACATCATGAAGATGCAGGTGTAGAATGTTCTGAAGGTAATGAATCATTAAAACATGTGAATATTGTGAGAAAAACTACTTAAGAAACGCTTTTCTTGAAACAATTCGCAATTAATTTATGATTCATAGATCATTTTTTCAACAATATTGGCGAAGGACTTTGATTGCGCTCCGAGAGTGTATACTCTTCTGGCATTGAGAATAATAAATGAAGTTTTTTCATTACTATGTTGTGAATTATGATAAAGCCAATCAATCATATATTTTATACATAGATTTAAATGAATGTTCCCGAAACTTACACAACTGTAGTATCCATCGCCAGTGTGTAAACACGTTTGGAAGTTATAGATGCTTGTGTAAATCTGGTTATACAGGAAATGGAACTATTTGTAATGGTAGGTTTCTACATGTTTTTTTTCAATTCTCTAACATATCGTGCAATTGCTTGAAATCACACGAAAAGGTCGTGCAAAAAAGGATTTGGAAAAGTATTTTCATTATTATCTGCCGACGGGGAGCCAGAAGATTTTAGTTCTGACCGCAAGCAACTTCATATTTGCAATCTCTTCGTGGTGCGCTTGTAGCATTATTGAAATCGTATGGAGACCCATGTACTGCGAATTTTGTGCTACCTATACCGAGCAAATGAAAAAAATTAAGTGAAGTTTTACTAAAGTTTTATTTCTATTAGATACAGTATTGAAGTATTAAGGCTTAAAAACTGACTTGCTTATCTTTTGCAGAATATAATCGTTATGCCCAACATTTGCTGTCTTTTCAAGTTTTTCAACATCTGATCCACTGATTATAGTTTCATTTTTAAACTGTAGACATCGATGAATGCTCTGTTTCTACTGAAAATAACTGTCATGAAAATGCGACATGTATAAATACTTTGGGATCATTTTCATGCAAATGTCTCGTTGGTCATTTTGGAAATGGAACGTATTGTTCAGGTGAAGATTAAGTTCTTTATGAAGCTATAATAAGAATAAGTACCAAAAATTAACGTCCTGTTTTCCTAACAACATGCATATCATGCACGTAGATACAGTACCGACCTCGAGTTAACAATCTAAGACTGTTAGAAGAAAATCTTTGAGACTTACTTTGATTTTCTCACTAATTTCTCTATAGTCTCTACCGCTTTACGAATTACGTTTGTGCCATGAAAAATTTGAAGATATTAAAATGCTTTTGTAAAAAAATTCAAAAGAATTTAACGTCATTAGGTCCCGAGGTATTGCTTCAAATGAATAGTCGTTTTGCTCTCATGTTAGGAAAGAAATTTGGCAGTAATTAGCTACTCTGTTGTTATAACAACGTTGTCTTTATTTTTTTCTTTAGATCATCCTCAAACTGTAAGGCTTCAAGGACCAAAGGCTATTCATGGTACTGGTCATGTTGAAGTGTTACATAATGGAAAATGGGGAACAATTTGTGATACGAACTGGGATTTGAAAGACGCTGAGGTTGTATGTCGTCAACTAGGTTACGTAAGTGCATACAAGGCTTTAAAAGGGCAATATGTTCCCCGCGGTAGAAGAACAACTTGGTTAGATAATGTTTATTGTAATGGCAAGGAATCAAATATTTCAAGTTGTTCATTTAAAGGATGGAAAGTCAGCTCTTGTAGTTCGCGCAGGAATGCTGGGGTTGAATGTTCTAAAGGTATGAGAGTTTTATATTTGTCGTTATTTTATGAAAGAACATTTTAATTTCTTTAGAAATTATAATGTTCAAGTGCTAGAACTTCTGGAAATCTCAAAATTTACCTCAATAGATTATTACAATCAAAAGTTGTCTAATAATTTCTTTCGTGAAACAAAACAAAACAAAACAAAACAACTCTTCGCGTATTTAGCAAAAATTATTTTTGAGGAGGTCAGATGGGCCTATCGAGTAATTAGTGACCATAGATAACAAGGTCTAATAGTGTTAAACCAATCAGCTCCTTGATTGACATTTTGTTCTATGAGCCAATCAGAATGCGTTTAATAATCAAAACAAAACAAGCACAATGTTCAACGAAGTTGCTGCAATTCGTTATTATGTTTTTTTTTTGACAAAATTACGTTTGCATATGGTATAGTGAGCTTTTCTCCTCAATTTTGCCGCGGTAATTTTTTAATTTTTTCTACGTAGATTGCAAAATATTTAAGGTCAAAATAAGCTATCTTTTGGCGTGTTAATTATTACACGCTTTCAAATATAGAACGTTTATTATATTCTATGAAATGATCGGAACTTGTCGCATTTTACGAATAAATATGATCATTTTGGCAAATTTCGACTTATTTCAGCAATTAAAATCACAATTTTCATGTAATTTGCAAATAATGTGGAGACAAAGAAGCGTTTAGTGTGAAAGTCAGAGTGGAGTATTGAATTTTGCGACTTTATGTGAATTCTGTGATGTAGTGACAATGTTTAAAAGCTCTATACTGGACGTTGTTTGTTGTTATGACTGAGACATACAAGATGGAAGAATAGCTTGAGTGAGGGAAGACCTCTCAAAATGTTAAAACTTAAAAACACTGTGAGATTGTTTATTGCCAACAACACTTTCAAATAAGAAATTCTTTTATAAGTGACTTGTGTCTGATATACCGTATAGGTTTCTCTCCTAAAACGTTTATAGGTGTTATGATATATCAAATATATCGAGGTTTCTTTGCGACTCAAAGCTCTGATTATTCATACAAAATTGGTTTAAAATCCTGAAGAGTTAAATTGTGGATAATTTAGGCATACCATTATATAATGTAAAACCATTTAGAATTTTGTATTCGAAATGTAGCTTAACATATTTGAGGTTGGGGCATCAAGAATATCTTTTTAAATTTATTAGAATCTCTTTCTCGGTTTGATAGATTACTGATTATAAATTTAGTTTTGCAAGTTTATGTTACTTTGCTTTACCACTTCAGGTAGCTCATTGAACTGAATAAAAATGAGAGGCTTTTATCTGCTAAAATTTAAAACAAGTAATTTGACTAGTCCAAATCTTTTAACGCACGGTCAAAGGAAAGCTCGTTTATGACAATAAGTTAGAATGAGGGATTTTACCCCCAGACACGCCAATCTTGGATGTAAAGGTAGCCTTCCAGGTATTTATTTATTTCAATGAGATAATGCAATAGAAATGCCTCAGGATTCCGCGCTATGGTCAGAGACTGTGAAATTCCGCCTGCTGCTTATTTGTAAAAATATAAATGATAAGAATTTTTTGGTATTCCTTGTTTGCCTTGCCAATCGTTGTAGTTTATGTATGTTTTTTATAAAACAGCATTTTTCCTTTTTATATGTGCACAGACCAACCTCCTTTGATCAGACTTAAAGGACCAAGAAGTACAAATGGATCTGGTCGTGTGGAAATATTTTATGATGGAAAATGGGGAACAGTTTGTGATGATTACTGGGATATAAATGATGCTATTGTTGCATGTCGTCAACTTGGTTATCAGTATGCATCTAAGGCTCTAAAGGGAAATGATACAACTAACGGTAATGGAACAATATGGTTAGATGATGTTGATTGTACTGGAAATGAGATGTATCTTTCAAGTTGCACACATAGAAAATGGGGAATACATAATTGTAAACATTCTGAAGATGCTGGTGTTGAATGTACGAAAGGTAAATAGTTATTATTCAATAACATCTTTGTTTGTAAAATAAGTTAGTTCACTTACAACTCATATTAGGGTAAGTGTCACATCCGGCACATTGGCGCTCTTTGATTGGCTAAAAAACATGTACAATAGGCGTAATTTTACAATTAAATATAAACAAACTTTGTAAATCAAACAGTAAAATGCAAAAAAAAACACAAGAAAATCTTATGCAATTGTGAGTTAAAGGAAAAACATTGAAGTTTCTTTATCCAGTTTCAAACGGGTTTTTTACTGATGAAAACTAGAAAAGTGAAAGCCAACCCGTAAAAAACAGCGAGGACGAGAAAAAAAGAAAGCAAGCTTCGTTTCACTTCAAATAATGCCATGTAATGCACTATTTCCTAATCTCGCTTTCTCCGTCTTTACTGAGAACTATCGGACCTCGGTCTTTTTGTACAAGCTTCGTTTCACTTCAAATAATGTCATGTAATGCACTATTTCCTAATCTCGCTTTCTCGGTCTTTACTGAGAAATATCGGACCTCAGTCTTTTTGTACAAACCTCGCCCTACGAGCTTGGTCTGTACTAAAACACCTCCGTCCAATGTTTCTCCGTAAAGACCTCGCAGCTCGCCGCTCGGTTGATAAGTGCTTAGTAACAAAACGAAGTAAAAGGTGAAATTGATTCCTTATTTCTGCAGACACGACACAGTGAATTTTAATAAATTTTCCATCGTTTTTGTGTAGCCTAGACATGAATTGATAAGTCAAAAGAATATTTCCGAAGAATGTTTTGGTGCAATTTTCTCCAACTTGTTTCGTCATGGTTTAATATAAACAAAAAGTGAATTAATTGCAAGACTAGGGATCATAAGTCACTTTCGCCGTAACGATTAACGATTTTAATAAAGGTTATATCTTATATAACTCCCTGCTTTGCTTAGTGAAAGCAAACTTCTGCAAAGAGTACGTCATTTTGTGTGCAAAAATATTGTTGTGAGTATATTTTGACCAAAAGCATGTAGCCGTAATCAATTTGAGTCCTATGAGTATATTATGTTTTTTTCAAAACTTGTAGTCGTGACAACTATGTCTTTTAAAGCAAAGAAAGTCCTTATACTTTTTCATTTTGTAAGAAATTAGTTTGCAATACTTTTTGAGGCTTTACTTCAGTATCTTTTTTGAGCTCAGATGTACATTTAAAACGAAAATATGACCTGCTTTACATCCATGAATCGTGGATGGAAAGTCACGTGTAAACAAAGTTGACGAACTGTAAAGTATGTACTACAAATATATGTATAATACATAAAATGTAAGATAGCGAAGATTTTTCTCCATAAAATGTTCTATATTCTCGAGAAATATACATCCAAATTAAGCTATCATCTTTAACAAAAATTTGCTTTCTGCCTGACTAATCTGTAACTACGAGTTTATATTATATAAGGACATTTGTTATTTGTTTTGATAAAAGTAGCTTATCTTTAGTGAGTCATTTCAGATATTTTATCTTATATACTTTGTCTTGAACATATAGTTTTGAATGAATGCTCTAAATCGTTACACAATTGCCACTCCAAAGCTCGATGTATTGATACATTGGAAAGTTTTAAGTGTGAGTGTCGTTCTGGCTATACAGGAAATGGAGTGAATTGTAATGGTAAGTTGTGATTAAAAATCAACGAGAAACTTCACTACTCATATGTTATATTACTGCAGAGACAAAGTTTTCGGATAATGATTTTGAGCCATTTTATTGAATTATTCATTTCTATCCCTTGTCAGTTACGGCGTTTTGAATAAACATATTATTTTAGTACTATCTTTGATTTCAGTGTCATTTCGGCTTAACGTATAATTTTTTGTAACATTGAGCTAACTTTTTAGATATCAATGAATGTTCAATTTCTACTGAGAACTGTCATGAAAATGCAACGTGTTACAATACCTACGGATCTTATTCATGTAGATGTAATTTTGGTTATTTTGGAAATGGAACATATTGCTCTGGTAACCCAACATTTTTGTGACATGTAATTGCATACAGTTACTTTTACGTTAAGGAAGACATGCTAAAGAATTTTTATCTTTTGTTTTTGAACAAAGGTCCTCCTGTCAGACTTCAGGGACCAAGAAGTTTAAATGGAACTGGTCGTGTGGAAGTATTTTATAATGGAGAGTGGGGAACAGTTTGTGACGATGGATGGGATTTTTACGATGCGAAAGTTGTTTGTCGTGAACTTGGTTATCGATTTGCTGTTAGAGCTTTACAAGGAATTTATGTACCTGATGGTCGTGGAAAAATATGGCTAAATTACGTTGGTTGCTATGGCAATGAGGAGCATATTGCACGTTGTTCACATAGCAGATGGGGAACGCACATTTGCGGACATTCTGAAGATGCTGGTGTTGAATGTGCTGAGGGTAAATATTGTACAACTTCGTAAATAAAAGCAGTACTGCTTATTCATAAGTAATACTTACTACAAGAGTGATTTTTCACAAAAAATCGACTCATTTTAGTTAATTATTTATATATACTTATTTAAAACATGAGTTTTGAAACAAACTACGTATAAAATATGAAAAATACAATTTAAACATTTCAATAACCTTTTGCAGTTGTGTTTTTTAGAGTTGCAGCAAAAATTTGCAGAGTACCATGTAAAAATTTAAGTACTTAAAAATTCATCCATTCATTTTGTTGATGAAAGCATGTTTTGGGTTTCAGTTACTTATATTACGTACGTAGTCTTTGGATTAATTATTGATATTGTTATGTAACTGCAGTTGGTTTAATGGTGTAACGAGTTGTTCGTAAGAATTTGATAAAACTCTTTGGCATTAAAGTGCAAGCAATTTTTGGTGACCGTACACTAACTCAGGCTTTTTAAGCTTATTTGAGCAGCCTGACATTACCTGTTCATTTTAATGATTTAATATGAGAGTCCAACACATGATTTTGCTTGGGAAAGCAAAATCATGTGTTGGACTCTCAAAAATGTCTGTTCAAAAACAAAAGATAAAAACTCTTTAGCATGTCTTCATGTGTTTTGAAATCTGAGCCTAGAAAATTGACAATTCTTTCAGTGAAATAATTCAGAAAATTTAATTTTAACAATATTTAGTTTTAGATGAATGTTCTTTATCACGACACAATTGCCACTCTAAAGCTCATTGTATTGACACCAAGGAAAGTTTTAAGTGTGAGTGTCGTTCTGGTTACACAGGAAATGGATGGAGTTGTTATGGTAGGTTGCATAAGAACATTAGCGATAACTTTGAGTAACTCTAGAAATTTTTTTTTCCGAAAGATAAAGTTTTTATTAATGGTTTTTGAGCCATTTTTTTAATAATCTGTTTTTAACTCTTTAAATTTTTTGCGCTTTGATTTATTTCCTTAAAAAACGTAAATTTTGTTGTGATATGTTTATCCTTTTGTAACATTAAGCTAACTTTTTAGATATCAATGAATGTTCACTTTCTACTGATAACTGTCATGAAAATTCAACATGTCAAAATACACCGAGATCATATTCATGTACATGTAAATCTGGATATTTTGGAAATGGAACAATTTGCACAGGTAACCCATTACCATTTAATGGCATGCTGCTACTTTTCTTATGAAAGAGATCAGTTTATGCTTACTTTTCCATCAAGAACTTTGATTCTTTATCTTTGAACAGACAAACCTCCTCCTATCAGACTTCAGGGACCAAGAAGTTCAACTGGAACTGGTCGTGTCGAAATATTTTATGATGGAGAGTGGGGAACAATTTGTGATTATGACTGGGATTTAAACGATGCGAAAGTTGTTTGTCGTGAACTTGGTTATCGATTTGCTCTTAGAGCTTTACGAGGATTTTATGTACCTGATGGTCGTGGTAAAATATGGCTAAATTACGTTGGTTGCTATGGCAATGAGCAAAATCTTTCCAGTTGTTCACATAGCCAATGGGGAAGTAATAATTGTCGACATTATAAAGATGCTGGTGTTGAATGTTCTAAAGGTAAATATCACTCCTTATTCACAATGCATGGAGTACACCATCCCCAGGAGAATATAAATATGGAGAGAAAGATTGTGTGGATATTGAAAGAAAACAATAGATTATATTGAAGAGCTGTGGTAGTTTATTGAAGACTTATAGGAAAGTAAATGTTTTGAAACGTGAGAAATGAAATGGGAGCGAAGAAAAAGTCCAAACTCTTAACGGTTAACGGCAAAGTTGATATCGTACCGCACACTTTTTATTCATAACATAGTAGTTAGCCGTTCAACGCGCGAGGACGGGCAGTTACAAACAAAAATTATATGGCAAGTAGAGCTGAAAATCGACATAGTACAGACTATAGCTTTGTAGTTAGTAGTACAGACTATAGTACAGATTATAACATAGTAGTTTGTAGTGACAAGTAGAGCAGACAATAGACGTAGTACAGACTATAGGCTTTGTAGTTAGTAGTACAGACTATAGCATAGTAGTTAGTAGTGACAAAGCATTATCAATATGAAACTAGTATGATTCTATTAATTAAGAAATTAACTGGGGTTGATTTCTTTGTAATAAAAATTAAATGTCCTCATAACAAATTACTCTCCAACTCTTTATTACATAAGGAAGATATATGTTATTTGTTTTTATCTTGTTTTTACAAACTTTTGACAAAAAGTAGCAATTCTTTCTGTGAAGTAATTCAGAAATTTAATTTCACCAATATTTAGTATTGAATGAATGCTCTAAATCGTTACACAATTGCAACTCCAAAGCTCGATGTATTGATACAGTGGAAAGTTTCAAGTGTGAGTGTCGTTCTGGTTATACAGGAAATGGAGTGAATTGTAATGGTAAGTTATGATTAAAAATCAACGAGAAACTTATCTACTCATATATTATATAATTGCAGAGACAAATATTTTGGCTAATGATTTTGAGCCATATTATTGAGTTAGTCATTTTTAACCCCTTACAGTTTTATTTTTACTCATAATTTTTTACCGTAACTGTGTAAAAGCACTATTGATAAAGTGCATTTAATAAATACGACAAGTTTTTTTAAAATAAACATGTTTCAACATCTCATGATGCCATCTTCAGTGTATAAAAAAGAGTATTATGTTTGTGATAAATATATATGAGTAATATGATACAGTTAGAATTAATGATGAGCGTATTCATAGGCTGAATATAGTGTTGAAACAAAAATCTTGAACGTTGAGATTAGGGCTAGTTTTGTTAATGTGAAGTGCTTCTTTGCTTTTGAGTGCGAATGTAGTATCTGCAATGTCGATTATTTTAAAGCAAGTGGGTGAATAGTAAGTTAGTTTTGCATAAAGGTGATTTTGAAAGTTGTCGATAGATAAGTGAGTTTTTGTCAATTGTGGTGTGTTTCCTGATTCTGGAGGACAAGTGACGGGAAGTTTCGCCAATGTATCGGGAATTACATCCCTCGATTGAATTGGTGTACCACCATAGACTTAATAGAAACAGGGATAAAACCTTTGAATGAAAATAGTTTTTGATTTTGAAGGAAGTGAAAATTTGTCGGATGTTAATGTCAGTGCAGAAGTGTTTGATGATATTTGTAAGTCTGCGTTGTGTGTGTCGTGAATGATGTCCGATGTCTTCACTAACGTACCACTTACTGAAATGATTGGTCTAGCCATTGACGCTAATTTCACCGACAACCCTAAGTTGAGCATGACCAAGACAGACCTAACACAACTGTTTTTAATAGCAAAGGCACAAACACATTTTTTATTTGATGGAAAATTTTATGACCAGACTGACGGTGTTGCGATCGGTTCTCCCCTAGCACCTATGCTTGCAAACATTTTTATGGGCTCACATGAACGAAAGTGGATTACCAACTACAAAGACACAAAACTATTTTTCTACTGCAGATACGTTGACGATATTTTTTGTGTTTTTTACAAACGAGACTGGGGCTATGAACTTTTTTAGTTACATCAGCAAACAACACACAAACATTAAATTTTCTTTCGAAACTGAAAAACAAAACCAACTACCTTTCTAGACATTTTATTAACAAAATCACATGACACCTATACAACGCCAAGTTATCATAAACCAACCTACACCGGACTATTGAGGAACTACTTCAGTTAACAACACCGACAATGGCTTTCAACAAGACCTAAAGAACATCACATCTATTTTATTACGACCACGACCAACAACGACGAACAGTTCTTAAAAACTTTTTACTTTAAACTACCGTACATGGGACATCATTCACGACACACACAAACATCATCAAACACTTCTACACTGACATTAACATCCGACTAATTTTCACATCCTTCAAAATCAAAAACTACTTTTCATTCAAAGATCCTATCCCTGATTCTATTAAATCTTAGGTGATATACCAATTCGATTGTGCGAGATGTAATTCCCGATACATTGGCGAAACTTCCCGTCACTTGTCCTCCAGAATCAGGGAATACACCACAACTGACAAAAACTCACATATCTATCGGCACCTTTTAAAGTCACCTTCATGCAAAACTAACTTACTATTCACCCTTTTGCTTTAAAATCATCGACATTGCAGATACTACATTCGCACTCAAAATCAAAGAAGCACTTCACATAAACAAACTAACCCTAATCTCAACATTCAAGATTTTCGTTTTAACACTATATTCAGCCTGTAAATACACTCATCATTAATTCTAACCACTATCTCATCGTAATATTTATATTTATAATTTACTCGTAATTGTATAAATTGTATCACTGTATCTTATTACTATATATATATTTATTACATACAGAATACTCTTTCTTATATACTGAAGATGGCATCATGAGATGTTGAAACATGTTTATTTTAAAAAAACTTGTCGTATTTAATAAATGCATTTGATTTTTTACTCTTATAAAACATAAATTTTGTTGTGATTCCTTTTCCTTTGTAATTTTTTGTAACATTGAGCTAACTTTTTAGATATCAATGAATGTTCAATTTCTACTGATAACTGTCATGAAAATGCAACGTGTTACAATACCTACGGATCTTATTCATGTAGATGTAAATCTGGATATTTTGGAAATGGGACATATTGCTCTGGTAACCCAACATTTTTGTGACATGTAATTGCATACAGTTACTTTTACATTAAGGAAGACATGCTAACGAATTTTTATCTTTTGTTTTTGAACAGACAAAGGTCCTCCTGTTAGACTTCAGGGACCAAGAAATTTAAATGGAACTGGACGTGTGGAAGTATTTTATAATGGACAGTGGGGAACAGTTTGTGATGATGGCTGGGGTTTAAGTGATGCAAAAGTTGTTTGTCGTCAGCTTGGTTATAGAAAAGCTAAGAGGGCTCTACAAGGAGGATTAGTTCCTGATGGTCGTGGAAAAATATGGCTTGATGATGTTCTTTGCTTTGGTTATGAAAAGTATATTTCAAGTTGTTCACATAGGACATGGGGAAGTCATAATTGTGGACATTCTGAAGATGCTGGTGTGGAATGCTCAAATGGTATATTGTTTTTATAAAACATTTGTGTTGAATGGAAATTAGTATGGATATATCGTGCAATTTTTTTATCGAAAACAAATTTATCGTCAATTACAAATCAGTTTCAATTTAATTTTACTTATAGAATTCGATGAATGTACTGCAAACGTACACAGCTGTAGCATTAATGCAGAATGTGTCGACACTGTACAAAGTTTTAAATGTATTTGTAACTCAGGCTTTACAGGAAATGGGAAATATTGCGATGGTAAGTTTATTTTTAATTCTATTCTTCGTCAGCCAAAAGATGGGAATTGATACGATATAGTGCCTACATCTCACAAGAACCAATATAAATTTTTTTCTCAAAGCTCATATTTACAAGATTAAAAGTCAGTTTTTTTGAATGTTTATGGTAAATTTCTCGAAAGGTTCGGCACCTTGATCAAATTGAGAAAATTTGTGAAAAATTCATTATTATATACCAACTGCCATATATTTAAATAGGCCGTTTTCCTGCGAGTGACTTGAAAATCAGATAATGTGAAAATGCTACTCTTATCCGACCTTCACACAAAACAAAACACACTGTTTCCATTGGTCTCAGTCAATAAATGTTAAATGTTTTTGGCCTTAAGATGAGAATTTGAAGCTGCTCTTATACTATGTGGTTTATTGGAAAAGCTTATAAGAACTTACTGACAAACACTGATAGTTTTCAAAACAGAATAAACACATCTTCATAAACATTTGTTAAAGCAGGTCTTCTAAAAACATATTGTAACGTATTGCACATGCCATCTCTTATCAGAATATTTGCTAACATGACATTAAATACCCTAAACTTTGCTTTCTACAAACATGTTCTAACACAAAAGAATTTTGAAAAATATATCATAAAACATTTCTTAGCAGAACATTCTCTAAATAGACATGAATATATTATTAACCTATGTTTTGACAGAACATGTATCATGTACTGTCAAAAAGAGTGCGATGGCAGAACATGTTTCAAAAAGGCCTCTGGTGTTATGGAAGACATCAATTTTGGCTTTTCAGAATTGCCCTTGCTTTTCACTGTGTCATCAGTTTTGCCTCTGATGTTGCAACTGATAGCAATATTGTACTTTCAGAAAGGACTTTGTTGCTAACCATGACATCCCTTATTTCCTTTCAGGGAGGCCTTCTGATGTTTACCATGACATCCCTTGTCTCCTTTCAGAGAGGCCCTCTGATGTTCATCGTGACTCATTTTTCCCATTTCAGAGAAGCCTTCTGATGTTTGCCGTGACTCATTTTTCCCATTTCAGAGTGCCTCACATGGTGACCATGAGTCAGTTTCCTTCTTTCAAACAGGCCTTCTGATGGTCACCGTGATTAGTTTTTCTCCAATTAGAGGACCTCTAGATGGTCATGGTGACTCATTTTTCCTCTTTAAGGGAGGCTTTCTGATGTTCACTGTGACTAATTTTTCCCCTTGCAGAGAGGCCTTCTTTTGGTCACCTTCACTCAGTTGTCCTTTTTAAGAGAGGCCCTCTGATGTTCACAAAGACTTATTTTTCCCGTTTAAGAAGGCCTGAAAATATAAAAAATTATTTATGTATTTACACAGGCACTGTGCAGTGAAGTTTTTAGTATTTAAACAAGCACTGTGTGTTACCAACGTGACATATTTTTCTAGGTTTCATCCAAATGAGTTTTTCAATGTAGTCATTCACATTCACAAAGTAAGTGTTGAATGAAATTGGTTGTAGACGTGTTCCTGGTATACTTTGGTTGATATTTGCCATAAATTGAAAATTACATTTTGTTTAACTATATTTCATATTTTCAATAAATATCACTTGAATAGTTGGACGTCTCTGTTAGGCAAACAGGTCAGTTTTTTAATCTAAAATATTGAAATGGTATGTTGATTGTGTACAAGACCATTTGCCTTTTTCCTTCCTTCCACTTTTCAACGAGAAATCATAATATATAACTACATCAATCTAAATTTGCATCGCTTTTGCGTAGCTCGATATTATCCGGATTTATTATAGTTCCCAGGACTTCGCGCTGTCCGTTTCTCTCGCATATTTTGAAATTGTTGCAAATTGGCGGTAAATAGGTCAGCAATTTTGAATTCGGTCGGTGTGTGCAAACGTTGTTCGGTTTTGTTTGAATATATATGTCATAATTGGGACAGAAATCGAAAAAAAAAGAGCAAGACGGACTCCTTCATTTGGACTGATGATAAGTTTGAACTCTTACTGAAAGTCACACTAGAATTTAAAACATCCAACGCTATGTAGAAAGTCGATTGGAATCGACTGAAGCAAAGTCGACGACATTTTAAACGCGCTATAATAATTGCTAGGCATCTTGTTCAAAAATATCCGAATTTACCGTCCACACGCATTCAAATTGTTTTCGGATACGAAAATTTTCACTCCAGAGAGCGGATTCAAAAATTTCCGGATAACCCGCTCAAATATTCGGATGCGTGTGGACGAAAGGGTTATTCGCAACTTTTTTGTTGCGAATACGAAAATATCCGTATACGTGTGGACGGGGCCTTATCTAGATGGGTGTGTCACATTTTAATTCTTTTGTATTTTAAGTTGACATACTAATCAATTCATCAAAGTTACCGAAATTTTTAAGGCATTTAGGATATCTTCCCTAATGAATCTCTAACTATCCGGCATCCAAACTTGCTTCCATGTGACGAGTAATTTTTTACTACAGCCTAATTGTTTGATTTTTAGTCTGCATGTGTGCATTGCTCATTTTCTAAAGGATTTATTTATCAAGGTGTACAATACAATCGAAGCTTTTAAGTACTTTTACTGTCTGTATAATAATATGGATACATTCTGCAAATGAATTTCCCTGAAGACAAAATTATGAAAATTGGCAATGGTAGTACACCTCTTACTTCTGAAAGAGGCAATGAGATAAGTTTAGTCGCTGGTTTGTTGATAAAGCCAAAATGATTTGCCGTTTTTTTAGGAACTAAAAGTTTAGCAAGTGTGACGAGATATTCTGTTACATGCTTAAAATAATTGTCACTGGGTTGTAAAAAAAACTTTGCAACGAAAGAGATAAATGTTGAAGGACAAGTTGTTACATACTTGAACTCTTGTTCTTAAACTCATGTATCTTTTTTTACTTATGACTGCAATGACATTTGTATAAACAAAAGGTTTGGTGGGAATGGAGAAACGACAAAAACATCCCGTTACCTGGTGTTCTTAATGTTTATCGAATTTTCTAAAAAGTGCGAGGCACAACAGAGTTTAGACTTCCCCACTTCAAATTAAACTAGAATTTAAACACTTTTATTTTCTTTACACAAGCGAGAAAATTGAGGCATTTACGAAGTGCTCTCGTCTCTTCGATTTTCTGAATGTTTTACTTTTAGATAAACTATAAGATGCCAAAATACATAGACGTTGACAAATTTTTGCGAAGTTTTTATGAAATGATAGTTTTCTGAACATTTTTAACTATATGACACAATTCAATGAAATATCTTAATATACAATTCGACGCATCTTCTTATTCGGTTTTGAAAACAAAAAAATTAGTGAATTTTCTTGTACATATCTGTTAATGTTACAGGTTTCAGGGAATGAAACAGTCTAGATTTGATTTGCTCGCTTGATTTTGTTCAATAACGTTTGATGATGTTAGAGGAAGATCTAATTGTAGTTGTGTAAAATGCTTGTGCAATATTTTGTACTCCAACAGGGCTGTTATTGATTGTACGTACGAGCAAAGTATAAGCACGAGAAAGTAAAACAGCTGTATGTAAAAATGTCTGATTTGAAGGAATTCCCTAACTATAGAAAATTGGCTACAAAATAAAAATTTGTTCCTACATGGAAGTGTTCATCTATACAGTGATACTTGAGAAAGAAAATAAACAACTGAAAGACGAGGTTTAAAGCAAGTTTGAGTTATTTTTCTTGCTACTACAAGAATGGAGAAATCCTTGCTATGAAAATTTGTTTTGCTGAGCTATTTGCTAGGAAAAATGAGGATAACTGCCCTTCCAGTCGTGATCATCTGTTAGAGATATTCGACAAATTCCATAAATCTTAGTACTTATGCTTGGAGCTTGCTGCAATAATTGATGCAGGATGTGTTTTGTAAATGCCATGTATTACTTACAGGGAGATGGACCACTCATATTTACTAGTTATTAGTGGCTTTTGGTTTTGGCTTTTTCCCATGCAGTAGCAGTTGATCACTATTCCTAAACTTCAGCTGTTAGTCTTGAAAAAGCTGGTAAAGATTTTTAACTCCGCAGATAATTTATTTCATAAGCGAAACTATGTATCACCTGCCTGCCGTACACTTCTAACTGCAGACATTAATAGTGCTAGCATTTAAAACTACACGTCTTTGCTGCCCTGTGCGGATTCAAAACCCTAACAGAAACAACAAATATTGTGTTACTTAGTTTCTTTAGCTAATAATATTGCATCGTTTACGAGGTAATCCGTGCTATGTCATATATCATTAGTATCTTGTATAGATTTTCCATTATCTCGTATTCATTCCAATCTTTCAAGTCTGTTGCAACCGTAAGCTAAAGTAGTAGTTGAATTCAGAATTTTTTTTATCATTTTTAATGAAATTTTTGTTTCCATCTACATTATCATTTTGCATTTTTACAATTTATTTGTAGACATTGACGAATGTTCTCTTTCAACTGATAACTGCCACCAAAACGCAACATGTATTAACAACAAAGGATCATTTTCATGCAAATGTAACTTTGGTTATTTTGGAAATGGAACCATATGTTCAGGTAAAGGTCAATTTTTTGAAAGTATTCAGAAAATATAATTTCAAGGTTTTGATGATCATCTATAAATAATTTTTTGATATCCAGAAGCATTGAGTTATTTTATTTTTTAACATGATCAAGTACCTCGTCTAAGATTGGAAGGACCAAAAAGTAAAAATGGTACTGGCCGCGTTGAAATTTTATATATGGAAGAATGGGGAACAGTATGCGACGATGACTGGGATTTAAAAGATGCTGAAGTTGTTTGTCGTCAACTTGGTTATGATTATGCAGTAAAAGCTCTACCAGGAAGTCATACACCAAATGGTCATGGAAAGATATGGTTGGATGATGTTAAATGTACTGGTAGTGAACCAAATTTAGCAAGTTGTGTAAAAAACGAATGGGGAAGTCATAATTGTGAACATCATGAAGATGCTGGTGTGGAATGCTCTAACGGTAAAGTTTTCTTTATCATTGTACTTATAAATACTTCATGATAGATTTGTTGTTTGTATAAAAAATGATGAAAATCAATGTTATCATCTTTAAAGATTTTAACCGTATTTACAAGAAGTTGCATACCAAATCATCACTATATGATATTAAATTAAATAATAATTTTACATTAGATTTTGATGAATGTTCTCTTCAGTTGCACAACTGCAGCAGTAACAGTCAATGTATAAACACAATGGGAAGTTTTTCATGTATTTGTAAATCTGGATATACAGGAACAAATTGCACAGGTAAGATGCCTTCAGCAGGAACACCATTTCAAGAATTTCTAATTACAAAATGTTTTGTGTCATTTGTAGACATTAACGAATGTTCTCTGTCTATTGATAATTGTCATGAAAAAGCAACTTGTATGAACACAGAAGGATCTTTTTTATGCAAATGTAAACATGGTTATCAAGGAGATGGAACGTTGTGCTCAGGTAGGCATTGATCTTAATGACTGCGCTTTAAATACTAAAAGAAATACTTTATATAATATTGCACTGTTGACGATATGAAAGTGATTGGTAAGTAAATGACTGCTTTATATGTAGAAATTATGTAGATAAAATTGATTTGACATATTTGATGGAAAAAACAAGCTTTTGTATTGTTGGTGGACCTTTTAGAGAAAAATATCAAATCAAATTTCACAAACGCTGCAAAACTATAAACGAAACATTTTGGCTGTGGAAAAGTTTTATGGTACATGTACCAACATAAAGGCTATCCAAACTTTGTATCTATTGAGTGAGCTTTCTTTTAGTTCAATGGCAAGTAATTAAAATTTCTTTAAGAAAAGTCTTTGACTCGAATGTTAGCGTAAATCTACTTTTAATATAGGAAAAGGGTTTTTATTCCTTCCATATTAAACATACGTTTAGGTATTAAATTTCCTGGTGAAGTTGTGAGTTTGTCTATGCCTGGAAACCATACACTTTTTATTAAGAATCTTTTGGTTTTCACGATGCGTTAAATTATCTTTATAATGTACGGTTAGCTTAACTTAAGACTTTCTTTTTTTACGTAAAGTTTTCATTGATTTCAGATTTCTTGCAGGTCTTAAAATATAAATCATTACGCGATTTCTTTAAAACATATTTTGACATTATAAACAGTGTTTTGATTTCACGAATGCTGCAATGTCTGGTGAAATCATTTCTTGTGTGACTTTGCAGAGAAAAATGACAAAAAGTACATGCTTGAGATTCGGTTGACAAATCACAAGTTTTCTGAAACTTTATTGAATTCATCTTCCAACGACTACAATAACTTGAAGAATGAAATAGAAAGAGAGGTAAATATTTTCTTGTTTTCAACTCAGACTTGAATTTTTGTGCTTGTAGCAATACATAGTTTGTAATTTTTTTTTAGCTCGACAATATATTCAAATCGTCTGATAAAAGTTTTTGGTACATTGATGCAAGAGTTCTTGGATTTCAGTAAGTTCAGATTTAATATTTGTTTTTCTTTTGCTTTCATTTAAATGTTTTATTCTTGCAATAATTATAATATTTATGCTTCATAGGAAAGGAAGTACAATTGTATCTTTTGTCATATCCTTGAAACGTCAATTTAATTTTGATCCTCGTGAACTTATAAAACAAATAAACAAAGTTGACACAATTGCTGGATACAGTTTTGACAAGACTTGCACAAGATTGAGAGGTATTTTATGTAGATAAAATTGGTTTTAAATTATAAAACACACTTGCCAAAAACATCATCTTGTAAATTCATGATTTGAGTTACGCAGAGACACGATTTAAAACAACATATCGATTTTATTTTAAAATTACTATCAATTGTTTACCCTTTAATTCTCTGTCGGTCGATTGTGTGTATTCTCTATTCTGCGGTACAAATTTTCGCTGTATAGATGAGTTTGCTAAAGCGGTGCATGGTGAAAACTTTTTTTTTCTATTTTTTAGCCGTTGATGTTAAGGTGGAAATCAAACTTTCAAATATAACCTTAGACAAAGATGTAAAGAATAAATTTTCATTGGCTTATCAAAAATTGAAAGAAAATGTTAATGCAAAGGTATAATTGCAAAGGAATTATAATTCAATTGACAAAAATAACACATAATTGTTCAAAGAATGTTACAGATGTTAAACTGTAAGATCTGGTCAAAAATTAGTGTTGTTGTTTTTAGTTTGTTGTTCTTTACATAAACATTTGGATGTGTACTTTGATTTGCTATATTATCTACAACAGACTAGTAGACGAGAGCATGTATTATAGCTGTCATGTCCTTGAACATTTTTTTACAAAGAGCTTTTTCTATAACGTTTATCCAAAGTTTTTTTCGTGATTGATCAATAAATTATGTCATGGTCGTTTTTTTGGAATATTTGACGTTGGATATATCTCCATCGTCATTTCTAATACTACGTATGCATAAACTAAAATATATAAAGCTGTGTATATTGATGTTTTAAAGGAAGTTTGATAAAACTAAATTACAGTTACACCATTAGCATATGTTTCTCATCTTAAATTGTCGATGTATCTGCTTGTATCACGCAAATTGTTGAGAAATAAATTTTTCATTTAGCTTTACAGACTTTTCAACAACACACCTGGATTTAATGATGTGGATATTTTAGAATTCAATGAGTGAGTACAAATAGAGTTGAACGTAGAAGAAAACAATTATAGAAGAGCGAAACATTTTAAGTAAACAAGAATTTTTCAAATTGAACATTTTGGGCATTCCTTTTCTATCATCACTACATACAAGTGATGAAATATATTTATTTGCAAACGGATTTATAGCAGGATATGTGAATACAAATATTAAACAAATTACAATATAGTGGAGAAAAAAATAATGCTTGTAATGTTTGACTACAAATGTGTTGTTCGTATGCTTTGCAGAAATGATGGTATCACAGTGAATTTTGCAGTCAGTTTCTTTAAAACACCAAATGAGACAATAGATGTTATTGCATTAAACGTTGGTCGTAAGATTATCAAACAGTTAAAAACTGGTCACATTGGCGATTTCAAGGTCAACACAGAATTTCTAAGATTAAAAGGTAAACATATTGTACATTTTTGTGAAAAACGAAAAACATGTGTTTAAGAAACGATTGTGTCATTAAGTTTTTAAATAAAATTTGTCGATAAATATTTTGCTATTGTTTGAAACAAAATATAAACTTTTTCATTTGTGTAATTTAAAATCTTCAAGGAAATATAAACAAGTGTAAGAATAACCATTAGTTTTCTACAATAAACTATAATTTCACAATTCTTTTTTTACAGTTTAGCATTTCATTAAGATTTTATATTACACACTAGAGAACATTCATTTTTTTGTTTCAAACACAAAAGTATTTGTCAATAATTTTCTGTTTGTGAGGACTTATTGACACAACCTCTGTACTTTTTAATCAGTGTTGTAGCCGACGAATAATATTTGGTCTTGTTGAAAAAATTAAATCAAATACTGAATATTGTGAGAAATCCTTTATTACGGGCATTTAAAAACAGCATTTCTGGCTTTTCGAAGGACATAATGGTACATATGGCTTTGAAGACCACGCCAAACGAAAAATCGACATTAACAATATTTCACACACCCACACGATAAATGCTGCTTGCATGTAACTGCTTGCTTTAACCCAACTAAAATATTGTTCTTGTTGAAAAATTATAACTGATATATGGCCCAAGTATTCATGTAAACGTTATTTAATTACTATTACATTTTTTGGAAAAATTTTATAGCTAATATAATTCCGTCAAAATGCAATCGTAGAATTTTGTTTCGTACTCCAGCATTGATGGATATTATTAAAAAACAAATAAATATGTCGTAAAAATTTAAATATGAGAAACATTTATTGCAAAAACATCCAGGATACAGGAGAAGAAAACAAAATTTCTTTTTTACAAAAATTTGGTAACTGCGATGTTTAAAAAATTTGATCAATACTTGCTAAATTTCTTTACACTTTAGTTCCACCTCCTCCTCCGAGGAATGTAAGACCTTCTCAAGTAAAAGAGACTTTCATTTATCTGGAGTGGGAACACCCAGATCTCTATCAATATTTTTCCATTCGTTCATACTACATCAATTATCGTAAAAGTGGTGAAAATATATGGCTCAGCAAATCTTACAGCGCTGATCTTACAACGAAAATGCAACTGAATAGTTTAAAGAGCAATGCGATCTACGTAATTAAGGTGGTTGCTAAGAATGATTACAGTTTTGGAAAAGAGAGTGAAGAAATAGAAGTAAAAACTTTAAAAGAACAAGGTGATTTATTTATTTTTAAAATCCCATAGAACTAACGTGTTTCATAAATATCTGGTATCTATAAATGTCTGACAATCAAGAAATCCATGTTTATCTTGATTTTTCAAAATATTTTCTACTAGAAAGATAGTTTAATAACACTTTATAAATATTATATGAAGGAAATGTCAAATAAATTGTGAATGCAGGAAGAGAATAAAATTATTTGCATTGCAGCTCTAAAAATGCATCTTGATTTCCATAACATGCAGCCAAAATGCAGATAAAACGTCCTAATCAAAGCTAACTCCACATCATTGAGCAAAATATATAAAGTGTACTGTATGATTTTTAAAAACTTTCGTCCATTTGATTTTTCAGCGTTGCTATGTTTTTGCAGCAAATAATACCAGAAAATATAATTTATTAAATTTGTCCTTCTAGGAATGTCACAGTGGTATTATCTTGCTCCAATTGTTGTTGTTGTCTCTTTAATTGCTTTAATCGTCATTATATATTTGGCAAAATGTACGATTTGGAAAACAAGTAGGCGTCGTAAATTTAGCAATGAAGAAAAAGTAAGACACGTTTTCAAATATTATAAATTTATATTTCATTTGCTGTTTTACTTGAAGTAGGTATTGCCTTGTGTATTTTTTCTTATTATATACGAGTTTGAAATTTATGCGCTACAAACTGGTGAAATAAAAATTATATGCCTAAAATTTCCGAGCACCTGATTGGACATATCATTTTCTTCACTAGTGAAAAATGTCGTATCTCCATTGTGATTGGATATACCATTTTTTCACGAGTGACAAAATGCATATCAAGTTATATCAGGTTTCATCCCTTTTTATGGCTTGTTTTTCGAGTGGCTGTTCAATTGATTATTCTTTTGTGATGTTTTTTAGAAATTTTTTGAACTCACTGAAGTGCCAGAAACAAATAAATCGTTGAGTTCAAGCGACACAAATATGGAGACGCCTTTAACTGCTAACGTTTGATGATTTTTTTACGTTTTTGTTAAGTTTAACTATGTTTTTGTGTCAGAATGATATGATGAAAACGGTCGACATGCTTACGTTGTGATTGTTGGAAATTATCTTTGTTTTTCTTTATTATTTTTATGGAATTTATCAATTTATTTGGTTAGTTTGCTGCAACCAAAATTTCTTATCTAGTTGAGTTATTTCATTCAGTTCCTCTTAATAAAATTAGTATGAGTATGATGAACAAATAAATTTAAGTGTGCTTCCCTCTTTTACTATTCTTGACTTGCAATTCAGCCATGTTGTTTGTGGTCCGATACAAAAGAATATTTCATCAGAGTTATTGTTGGCACCAGCCGGCGTGGGCGAGCAACATTGTTTCGCAAATCTCAAGAGAACGGTTGCAAGTCAAGAATTTATTACTTTAAAACATGTTTTTGCATACAACATAAATTATTACTAAGTCACTTTAATGATAAAAAAGTTGTATTCTTTTATGACTTATAAAGATTCACGATAGATCGTCATTGAGCTTTCTCTGGGGCTTTAATTTTCTGGCAGTAAGGTCGAATTTTCGTCATCTATAAAATTACATTATATTTTTACTGCTAATTTTGAATAAGTTGAAATTTAAAATAGTCAGTCTCAAATGTGAATCGTTTTTTAAATGAAGGTTTGATGAGTTTAAATTGAATTGTTGATTTTTGAGGTTACGTTTACAAAATATGTTATTACAGTAAACACAAAAACTAGTGACTATTTAACAATTATATAATAACCAGAAAAATTTGAGCAATTTCATTGGTCGAGAGGTATGATCTATAAGATGACGTACGAACGGAATGACGTCACAGAAAATTTGATGTTTATAAAAACAAACAAATGGCGGATATATTTGAAAATTTATCGCAATACTTCCTTGAATGGGAAAATAAAGATATTCACAAAGACCCAGTTGAGCAAAAAGAAAAGAAACTAAACTATAAAACTAAACAATCGAAGTTTCAGAAAAAGAATGTTTTACACCGACAAACGTTAGTAATTTTTGTGAACAAACCTTTCTTGTGTGAAATGTGTGAAATACATGTTCCCCCGTCATGTTTCTCACGTGAGCATTTCTCGAACATCACGCGTGATAAACATGTAGTTTTACCGTTGTGTTTTTTGAATTTCGATCCTGAATGTGCTATGGGAGGTTTATCTCTTACTGGTATCGCTAATCTTTTTGAATTTTGATTGGGACTTAACTACAATGTATTGCTTAGCGTTAGTTTAATCAAAATACATCTGAAGTCCGATAAGAGTGATTTATCAAGCATTTATCAATCTTGACAGAATGTCCGTTAGGAAAATAACTAAGATAAAAGACACTGCACTGCATCCAAACTTGACGAAACTGGGACAAAATCTTATTTTGTCATCTATAATCATGAAAATGTACAATAATCAACGAATGCTTTAAAGACTCGACAAAAAAGCATGCAAGACGGCAAAATATGGCTGCACAAAACATGTTTTGGAGAAAGGTAGGTAAATTATAGTACATCGTATGTCTACAAAATAATGTCAATGGCCTTCAAATAATGCATGATTATAGTGATTTAAGGGTTATTTTTTGTCTTATGTGATTTTTTCTTTGAAAATATGAAAATTAAATCTCTGCCAAGAATATTTGTGAACTTATGAAAAATTTACATTAAACCAGAGATGGTACATGGTAATTTTCTCAGTAAATGTTCAACTTATGTAAATTTTTTCTTCCAATGACCATCCTAAACATGAATCTTATAAACACATTAAGCATATCAGAAAAGTTATTTCTTTTTGTATTTGGAAGTTATAGCTATGTCAACACTGCCATTTCAAGGCTGTCTCAATGTTAACACTTTCGTCTACGATTTAAGATAAATACCATGTTGTTTGTCATGGTCATTTTACATAAAAACAGTTGACATTACTTTTAGTAAATGTAATGCATACAAACTCTTATACAGGTCCTTGACTACATGTAGAAAAGTGCAGAATACAAATGGCATTAAATAGTTCCAAAAAAATCTGTTTAACTGGTGAATGGTTTTAAACCTCTCTCAGTTTAGTGGCATTTCACAGTCACCAATATGACACTAGCATGGTTAAAACAGAATATTGTTTCTACAGGATGTTTAAAGAAGACTTGTAAAAACTTTTGTTATTTAGTTATTTAGAAAATAGTTTATTAGACTTGCAATGGTACATCTGACAGTAATATTGTGGTTAATAATAAATATTTTTCCAATGAAAATTTTATTTTTGGCTTAGTTTCAAATTGCAGGTTTTGAATTTTTGTTTTTTTTAAATTTTATCAACTATCCCATAAATAAAGTAAATGGTTTGAACCCGGGAGTATCGTTATGTGTTTGTAAATGATGATCGTCCAGGTTAATAAAGTCCTGAGAAGGACTGTTTTTGATGTTGTTGACTGACGTTTCGACAACCTTAGCGGTAGTCATCTTCAGAGTCAAATGAGGAGTAAACGTCAGGTTAGCCGTATTTGTTGTCTGGTTCTTACGTCATTGTATTGTGTGTACAGGAAATGTGCAGGAAATGTGTATTGTCATTGTGGATTAGTGTGAAGTGAAATATTTTATTTTTAGTTGTGATGTGTGATTTAGGTGTGACGTTTTTAGTTGTAGTGTGTGGGTGTCAATTGTGTATTGTCATTGTGAATTAGTTTGAAGTGTAATGTTTTTAGTTGATCGTTTGTTTGTATTGTGAATAAGTCGTTTGTAAGGTGCCGGTAATTGCTGTGGTTCAGGGTTTGTTCCAAGTTGGTATACCAACTTTCTAATGTAAGCCGTTGTCTATAGTCAGTACTGTAAGTGATGCATTTTGCCGAGTCCCAGTCAATGTTGTGCTTTGTGATTCGGTGATGTTCGGCAATGTGATTAGTTTTGTCTTGTTTCTTAGTAGCTCGTTTGTGCTCAGTAAGTCTTATGTTTAAGTTCCTGCCAGTTTCCCCGATATAGGAGGCGTGGCAGTCGGAGCAGTTTATTTTGTAAACTGCACCTTGTCGTTCGTTGGGTTGTTCTTTGTCCTTTATGTTCGTTAGTACTTGTCGTAATGTTGTGATTGGTTTATGTGCGACACGTATGTTGTATGGTCGTAAGATACGCGAGATAGTCTCAGACGTACCTTTGATGTAAGGTATCGTTGCTGTTGTCAGTGAGTTGTTCGTTTCGTTGGGTTCGTTGGGTTTGTAAGTGTTGCGTTTGATAAAGTCTGAGTTATAGTTGTTTTTGTCAAAAACACGTTTGAGATAGTTGTTTTCGTTTTGTAGAGCGTCCGGTGAATCACATATGATTTGTGCACGTCTTGTTAATGTTCTGATTGTGGTGGCTTTGTGAGATGTAGGGTTGTAAGATGATTGGTCTAGTAGTCGGTCAGTATGTGTTGGCTTGCGATAAACTGTTGTTCCTAGTTTTTGATTGTCATGTTTTACCAAACAGTCGAGAAAAGGAAGAGTTCCGTTTTCTTCGACATCTTTGGTAAATTGTATGTGGCTGTTCTGTTTGTTGATGTGAGTATGGAAGTCATCAATCTCGTCTGCATGTAGTGCTGTGATTGTGTCATCTACGTAGCGAAACCAAAAAGGTAGTGCATGTTTGTAAGTCATGAGTGCCCGTTCCTCTATAGATTGCATTACAATTTCAGCAACTACAACAGAAACGGGCGAGCCCATTGCTGTCCCATGTAATTGTTTGTAGTGTGTTCCTTTGTATTGGAAGTAAGTCGAGGTGAGGCAGAGCTCTAGTAACTCCATAATGTCTTCTGTCGGTAATGGCAGTACGTCCGTGGTGTTTGTAATGAGGGTTTTTTGTACAAGTAAGTGCCAGATTAAGTGGAATACTGGTGAACAGTGATTTCACATCAAAAGACACTAGTATATAGTTGTCTGGTATTTGTATAGTGCACAGTTTTTTAATGAAAGTTTCAGTGGATTGTAGCTTGTGTTTTGATTTGTTTGTTAGTGGTTGCAGTATGTTAGTCAAGTACTTTGAAAGTTCGTAAGTAGGCGAACCACAGAATGATACAATTGGTCGCATGGGTATTTGTGGTTTGTGAAGTTTTGGTAGTCCGTATAGTCTGGGTGGTCGTGGTACTGAACATCTGAGTCGATAGTAAATACGTTCAGATATAATGTTAGATTTTCTCATAGAGAAGATCTTGCTGTTAAGTTTGCGTACTAGTGATGGTGTTGGGTCTCGTTTGAGTTGTTCGTAAGTTTGTCTGTCGTTAACAAGTGCGTCCATTTTGTTAAAGTAATCATTCCTGTCCATGACCACAGTCACGCGTCCTTTGTCTGCTGGTAAAATGACGATGTTGTTGTCGTGTTTTAGTCGTTTGAGTGCTTGTTGTTCGTCTTTTGTCAAGTTGTTGTCACGTAGAGGACGATTGTAAAGTGGAGGCTATCCTGCTTCTGATCTCGTCTTTTGTTGTCTCTGACAAGTCTCTTTGATACGCTAGGACAGCCTCGACACTTGATACTATCGTCTCAGTCGGGATTTGTCTAGGTGTTATGGAATGTTTTAGTCCGTAAGATAGTAGTCGCGTTTCAGTTTCGTCTAATGGGCGGGAAGAAATATTCCTCACCCAGTTATCGTCATGTTTATGTCTTGCACGTGTTTTAGTTTGTTTTAAACGTTCAAGTTTTTGTTGTTGTTTGATTTGGTGTTGTGTCTCTGTCTTGTTTGCTCGTTTCTCTGCAATAGTTTGTATGGTAGAAAGTAAAGTATCACTTCAAGTTGGTGTTGTTGTTGGTGTTGGTGTTGGTGTTGGTGTTGGTGTTGGTGTTGGTGTTGGTGTTGGTGTTGGTGTTGGTGTTGGTGTTGGTGTTGGTGTTGGTGCTAATGTTGGTGTTATTGTTGGTGTTATTGTTGGTGTTTTGTGTTTGGTGTTGGTGTTGGTGTTGGTATTGGTGTTGGTGTTGGTGATGGTGTTGGTGTTGGTGTTGGCGTTGGTGTTGGTGTTGGTGTTGGTGTTGGTGCTGGTGCTAATGTTGGTGTTGGTGTTGGTGTGGTGGTGCTAATGTTGGTGTTGGTGTTGGTGCAAGTGTTGGTGTTGGTATGATGCTAGTGTTGGTGTTGTTGTTGTTGTTGGTGTTGGTGTTGGTGTTGGTGTTGGTGTTGGTGTTGGTGTTGGTGTTGGTGTTGGTGTTGGTGTTGGTGTTGGTGTTGGTGTTGGTGTTGGTGTTGGTGTTGGTGTTGGTGTTGGTATTGGTGTTGGTGATGATGGTGATGGTGTTGGTGTTACGTAGTATTGACTAAGGTTTCGACAGTCTTTGCGATAGTTGTCTTCAGAGTCAAATTTGAATATCACTTAGCTTATTCAGAATATGTTTCAATTTATAAACATTAAAGTAAATTTGTCTACCATGCAGATACGTATCAACTACAATGTCTTTTTATTGTATCCAATTAACAGGTGTGGTATCGCGTCGTTCTTAAATGAAACTGTTGTAGTAATTTATGTTTTTTGGCTATTTTTGTTTACTTATTATTTGATTTTATAAGTTCCATTGATAATACGAAACACAAAAGTCATCAGTATTTTCTACTTTAAGGATAAAGTTTTGCTTGGAAGTGATTATCCTTTTCCTTTGGGGGAGCATTATCCTGGGAAGTTGATCCACTCAACATATAGAGATCAGAAAGAGATTAAGGTATAATGATAAAATATGTTTGACGAAATTTCTAAACTAATTTACAATTTTTACTCGTTTTGTGTTCGACCAAGACAATTTTCTATATTTTCTTTGATTCCTAGGAAAAGCTATTGTTTAAAAACGCTTTTGAATTTCTTGGCCTTGATGAATCTAATTATTGAAAATAAATGAATACATGTGATGGCATAGCCAGAGATAATGGCTTATAAAAACTTGGTGTTTTATTCTGGATTGATGTATGATGCCTTTGTCATTTGTGAAAGGCCATGGCAAGTTGGTCTGCACTCTGCAGACGACCATTTCTATCGTTGCTTTTACAAATCCTCTCAAGATTGCTGTTTGTGTCCATTTTCAATTTTAGTTCACTCCGTTGCTGTGTTTTCTTTACTCAAAAAATCAACGTAATATTTAGTTTGGAAAAATCAATCTGTAAAATAGACGAATAATTATTCGAATATATTTTTTACACCAAAAAGTCAACCCTAGTGTATCTTAGCCTTGTCATAAAACATCCGTATTGCTGCTACAACACCAAGGCAGAGAATAGTGTCAACGGTTAACACCCAACAAAGATGGGAGGAGAAAATCAACCTTCGTCATTGTTTCTCATATCAAATTAATGAAGAGATTGATAAAAAGTAAATATTTAATCATTGTATGACATTTGGGTGGATTATGGAGTGCCAAAGCTATAGACAAATTATACTTTTTGATGTTTACCTTACTTGACAAAATAAGAAGTATTTGTGACTGACTTGCTTGAAAAACATCACATGACATTTATTACAAAACTGCATAAAGGAGAGAAAAATATCTTTATTTATTCATTCCATAGGAGGAACACAATTGATAGAGACAAGTTCGAGACTAAGTAGCAAGATGAAAAAGATTATAGTGGCTTTTCTGATAATCTTTGGTGTCGCGTCTGTGTTTGGTATGTAGCTAAAATGGTATTTTTTTGCTCTAGGTTTGAAAATATAATCAGTCTCTATATCCGTCAAAATCGAATGAATGTGAATACAATTATTTTCACTTGCCAAACTAGAGAAAAATGCATATTTCTGTGAAGTAATTTTGCAGCAAATCAGTCATATTTTGTTTCAGCTTCACCATCTCAACGTGAAAGAGCAGAATGTCATGGGCAAAATGGAGGTAAATCAATTATTGTTTATTGTCAGTCTCAATTTTTTTGCTGTCGAATTCATGCATACTCTAGATGAAGTAAATAACTCATGAATTCTTACAAAATACAGATGTGCATTCTTGTTTGCTTAATAAAAAGATTTAATTATTTTGTAGAAAGGCTTTTTGTCCGACATGATAAAGTGATTGGCAAGTTGTAAATTAGAACAAAAAAAATTTTGTATCAATTTCATTTTTGAATTGGAATATATTTGGTTTGAAATTAGTTTTGTCTTCTTTCATACGTGTTTGATATACTCATTATAGGTGACTGAATCTTTCATTTTGCCTTTAATCAGGCTCCGACGGCCTTAAATTTCAAATTTTGCAAGAATAGTTTTCATCCCCCACCCAACAGTTGAAACGGCATAGCAAGGTTCCCAAATCGGAGCACGTCCGAATCTAGTCTAACATTGTATAATCTAGCATCTCCTACACAGAGTAATTTTTTATTAGAAGTATTCTCATGTACGATTAATAAAAATTGGAACTCTAACCAAATTTGTTGTTGTTCGTCACCGACTGCCTCGTGGAAAACCTGTGCGTTTACAAATTTATGGACCTCTATCCAATTTTGTTCTTGTAGTTTCAAAATCATGTTTGTCACCGACTACATCGTGGAACATTGCACAATCTAGCACCTCTGCCTCTATAAACGGTAACTTTTTATTACAAGTAGTTCTACTGTACGTTTTACAAATTTTTGGACCTTTATCCAATTTTGTTCTTGTAGTTTCAAAATCACGTTTGTCACCGACTACATCGTGGAACACTGCACAATCTAGCACCTCTGGCTCTATAAACGGTAACTTTTTATTACAAGTAGTTCTTCTGTACGTTTTACAAATTTTTGGACCTCTATCCAATTTTGTTCTTGTAGTTTCAAAATCACGTTTGTCACCGACTACATCGTGGAACACTGCACAATCTAGCACCTCTGGCTCTATAAACGGTAACTTTTTATTACAAGTAGTTCTACTGTACGTTTTACAAATTTTTGGACCTTTATCCAATTTTGTTCTTGTAGTTTCAAAATCACGTTTGTCACCGACTACATCGTGGAACATTGCACAATCTAGCACCTCTGCCTCTATAAACGGTAACTTTTTATTACAAGTAGTTCTTCTGTACGTTTTACAAATTTTTGGACCTTTACCCAATTTTGTTCTTGTAGTTTCAAAATCACGTTCGTCACCGACTGCCTCGTGGAACATTGCACAATCTAGCAGCTCTGCCTCCATAACGGTACCTGTGCATTTACAAATTTTTGGAACTCCATCCAATTTTGTTCTTGTAGTTTCAAAATCACGTTTGTCACCGACTGCCTCGTGGAACATTGCACAGTCTAGCAGCTCTGCCTCCATAAACGGTAACTTTTTATTACAAGTAGTTCTTCTGTACGTTTTATAAATATTGGATAGGAGTAAAGTAACGCTGTTTTTTCTTTTCTACATTGTGGTGAAAGTTACACACATGTACGTTTGACGAGCTTATTTTTAACGTGTATTCGCTGAACAAATTCAACGATCATTGGTTGCGATCTCTTGATAAACATTTGACGATATCCTAACTGTTTCATTTCTTTCTAAAGTATTTCTAAAGTGTTCTGCTCAAGTTATCTGTTTGTTAAGCAGTTTGTTTATCAGTTTGCTAGTAAAGAAGAATAGAGATATTCCAATATTGACATTTCTGCTTTCACACAAACGATTCTTGCTTACATTTGAGTGTCATATTGATGTTTCAGTGACCAGCTCTATAGTTGCAATAATTTATGGAAGTTGTTCGAAATACATTTATGTAGAGCATCGTGCAGAGCAAAATGCATGAAAACCATTAAAATCATTTTTCATTTCCTTTCCAATATCATCAGTTTAGCATTTAGTTTAGAGTATTTGTTGACCAACTTGTAAATTTCATGTCCAATTTCAAAAGTACTTTTTAGACAGTTCATCTACTTGAACGAATCATTAATGGCCAAATTTAACATGCGCACATAGGTGCCCAAAAGAATAAGCTGGCGAAGTGAATCTTTGTAAATTGTAGCTTTCACACATCAGCGAGCGCAAAGTACAAACTTGGTTAATTTATTTTCTTGAGTAGATCTAAGCTGCATTCACACTTTTTTTCATTAATTTTTGTGTTTTTCTCAAAACCACGAGGCCTCTTCTGACGGAAAAAGCCAGTATGAATTAAATAAGCAAAAAATAAGCAAAAGATAAATAAACTTATTCTGTCTCCATCACCAATTCAAGAATTCCAACTGTTCCATCAGTGCCAATTTTGTACCACAACAGTTGTCATGGTCGAAATATCCAAGTATATAAGCATCGTGGGTTAAGCTTTTAGTTATAATTACATTATTAATTCTTTCTTTGAATAAATTAGTAAGTGACAAATGATTCCCTGAATGAAGAATCTATTACATATACAATAAGTTTATACCTGTTCCATTGTTTTCAAGGTCAAAAGAAGATTTGTGGTCACGTGGGATGCACATGTTATTATATAAACGACCCCTGTCCTCCGTATCTATGCAGTTGTTCAAAGGAATTTTACTGTCCATTGAAAACCAATAAACCTTGCTGTTTGAAATGAACACCTATAAACATTATGACAATCGTAGACGACTTATGATCATTTTAGTTTGTAGAAGAAAAATAAATTGCTGCTGTCTGCAAGTTACGTGTTTTTGAAGAATTGTTGCGCTACATTACTCCACACTCTTAAGAGCTTCTCTTAGTGGGAACAAAAAAAACCTCTGCCGGAATCTTTATTGCTATGTCCTTAAGTGCTTTCTTCATAAAAAAGTCACGTTCCTAATCTTTTATGAATATTATTGCTCAGCAAAATATACCTAAAGACACCAAACATAAAACTTGTATTTAAATAACACCAACTTATACCTATAAGTGGTTCTTGATTAGCAAATGGGTTAAAAACTTAAATCTTCTGTCAATCGTTTCCAATCAAGCTTTATGAAATTTGTTAGTAATCCCTTAACTTTCTGATGGGAGGTTACGGAACACATACACATTTTAGCTGGACTTTTTGAGTAAGTCTTCAAACCACAGGTGAAAACACATGTTTAACATTATCATATTAAGATCAATTGTCAATACGAAACTTCATTCACATGAGTAAGTTGTCGGTTTCGCCAGTTGTTGTTTGTGTAAAGGTAAAAGACAGTAAATTCTGACTTGGAAAATCTTAAGAAGTGGTTGATTGCAAACAAGCATAATACAGCGAAAACAAAATATTTTATCATTGGCCCAATGATTGAGCCTTTGTCCTAAGTCTGATCTAGCGCATACGCTGCACTCTTTCTCGTACACTTGTTCTCATGTTTCTAATTCTAATCAGTGGTTCAAATTTGCATAATATGCTGTGCGCATGCTCAAAGACTGTCTAATGAAAGGGAATATAATCAAGTGTACGAATATTTTGTCTGTTGAATTTTAAAAGATAAAGATTGAATTGTTTTAGCACTGAATGCTCCCTTGTTTATTGCGACAAAAAATTTTTTTAAAGACTTTACATTTTTCCTTAGTTTTCAAACAAGCTCTAATGTGCAGAAGAAAGTCCGTGCAAGTATTTCTAAAGTTTTAAATTTAAACACACGTGTATTTACAATCATGGTCAATACTAAAGAAGAGATAATTGATCAGTTAAGAGCGTCTGTGAAAGAACAGGTATCTAATTTAAAAATTAAATAATTTTCGAAGTTGTATATCATTCAAACGCTTTAAAATTTATAGTTGTGTCTTTCAATAAGTTACGTGCTGTTTGGAAAGTATTTCACGAGTTTTGCATTACCATAAAATTATTGGTGTGCTTTACTTACTTATTATGTTATTAGCTCACGATGCAGATGGAAGTTTGTACTGTATCACTATTTAGGTTAAAGATGTTTACCAAGATTGATATATGTGAAATGAAACGTGTTTTGAATAGAAAACTTGAGTTGAATCATCATTTTTAAATTAAAGGGTGACCTTGTGAGAAAACTAAAGGAAGAAAATGCTGATAATATTCAAATACAACAAGCTGTTCGAGAATTGAAGCAAAGAAAGAAGTTACTTGAGGATAAGGTTAAATGTTACATTTTACTTAAAGATAATGGTTGACTCTAAGAGCATTCTTAAATATGTACCAGTTTATTCTACTGGCATATGCTCAAGAGCATTGATTTAAAGAAAAGGGTCAAACAAGATGCTAAGCAGCTTTGAAAATGTGATTGTTACTAAAGGTGTAAATGCACCCCATCCCCTAACCCTGTTTTTTTGTGATAAATCTGGTTTCATAATGAAATGAAAATGAATATCTTACCTTTAAATCTCACTTCACTCAGGTTGTGGTCTACTAAATTTTTTCTGACTTAATCATTTTGTTCCAATCTTTAAGATAACATCTATACATGTGTATATAAACCTGAAGATTGGCAATCCAGGCATTATTGTTGAAACATAAAAGTTCTCTGGATTTTATAAATAATTTTATTGAGCTTTCGACGAGGTGCTTCAAGCTTTCTTCAGAATAAGGAAGATATGAAAATACTAGCTATTTACATTGTTTCTAGCTTGTAGATGTTTAGAGTGTCTAATTGGATTAGCAGGTAGATTAATATGATTGGATGGTGTGGAATGCATTGTTATGGGTTTTGGTGTGTTGTGAATGGGAATGGTGTTAATATTATTAGAGTGTGTTGTTTTAGTCTTGGTGTTGTTTGTAGTTCTGTCCTTTTTCTTTAGTTGTCATTGTCTTTACTGTACCAAGCTTCTTTAAATTCGCTTGCGTGTTTAGTCTGTGCGCATCTAAGTGCTTAGTTTCTGTCAAGTTGAATGTGTGATTATTTGCATGGGTATGTTCTGCTGGTAGTGAGTTTGGGACATGTGTATAGGCTTATGTTGCAAACTAAAATTTTTCATCATCTATAAATATCACATTGATATACTTATTCCTGTGAATTGTTGTTTAAAGTGAAATACATTTTGTTGTACTGCCTAATATTTAATTGCTTGTTAATGTATGCATCCTTATGTAAGTCAGAGCGATCTACAAGGTCTTGTTTGTCCAACCTCTTTTAGTTAAACTTTTTTTGTTATTTGTTAGGATTTTGACTGTTTTTTAATGACATTTTTCTCATGTCCGTTTGCTGATGCCGTATGGTTATTATAAGTAAGATTTAAAACAGTGATAGGTTTGTACATCATAACTAAGATTTGAATTAGTGAATTAATGAAGTGGTTTACTCTTTGTGAAACATTATTTGTAAATAACAAGTGTTCACTCCAACATTAAGTTGATTATTTACAAGCTCTACTCAAACAAAATGCCTACCTGGGGTCATTCAAGGCACAAATACAGGTCCAGCTAAAAAAATTAGAATGTTGTTTTAACAGCTGTGATGATTATCTCTGAATATTTCTTCAATTCAAATGTGGTAGAAAAATACAACTAGACTGGAGGAAATCTTATGGTGTAATACATTGATAAATTTTGCGGCTGACACCTTTGACATGACAAAAACACAAGGGTAATTTCTCAGCTCTGTATTTAATGCTAGAGTATTTTGCTGATTGACAAGTGAATTTTAGATTCAAGTATATATAGAGAATAGGGAAAATTTATCATTATTTAAATGTAAAACACAGGTGATGCAAGTTTATTTGCTGTGCCCTTACGTTAATGGTTATTTGGCTTTTTATGGCAGGAGTTGTCACTTGATACAAGATTCTCTAAATTTGACCGACCAAAATTTGAGGATTTCTTAAAAAGAAGGTTCTTCTTTGCATCAGCCTTCGAAATTTATGGAGGTAGATGTTTGCAATGTTGAATTATGTCATAATCAATAAGATCATCATTGCTGTTCAGTAGCAAAACCACCCTCCCCTCTCCCTTTCTCATGAAAAATAAAGTGAAAAATATCTGTAGAAAAAGATAGTCTTGAGAAAATGTTGTTGTTGATCTTTAAATAGCCGTTTTAGTAAACTTGACAATTGGTAAATGTCAGTGGGATAGATAACTTTTTGAGTTTAGGAAACTCTCTGAGGTTGCTATTGCTTATTATGTTCCATTTTAAAGGAGTTGCTGGCTTATATGACTATGGTCCATCGGGATGTGCTATCGAAGCCAATGTTGTCAATTTATGGCGATCTCATTTTGTATTGGAGGAACAAATGTTGGAAATAAAATCAACACAACTGACACCTCATGCTGTGCTAAAGTATGTTATGTTTGTTATAAAACACGCTCTAACCTTATAATGTTGAACAAAATGTTGTTTCTATATACGTTGACGTTTTAATTTGAACGTTAGAGCCTCAGGTCACGTGGACAGATTTACTGATTATATGGTTAAAGATGTTAAAACTGGTGAATGTTATAGAGCTGATCATCTTTTGAAAGGTTCTCAACTTATTTGTTTATGTATGATATATGTTCTAATTAAAATCTGATTGTTATTTAATTGTCTTTTCAAGCAATTCTTGAAGGTTTGATTAAGAATAAAAATACTTCTGATGATAAAAAGAAAGAATGTGAACTTGTTCTTGCTCAGGTTAAATTTTCAATTTGTTTATGGTTTCATTTTTTTTATGAAACATGGTCTCATTTCCACTTTTTACCTGAAAAATATTACATTTTTTTTTATTTCATCTTTCGTCATGTTCATGTAAAATGTCTTTCCAGCCAAGCTTAAATTTTATTAATATGTAGTTTATATGACCATGCTCTATGTTTGGGATGAACTTAATGAAAACGAGGCCTTGTCGAAAACAAAAATTAAAACTCTTATTCCACGAATATCGAATCAAACACCAATCTGAACATAAATAAAAATAAAAACTGTTGGAAAACGCGATGTGAAAGCCAGTAGCTATAAAGATTCATAACAAATATTTGTTTTTTATTTCATTTACTAATTATGAAGGATTAAACAGGTAGAAAATTCACAGAATATACAATAGCGCATGATTCAATGATATTATGACTACTATTATCAACCAACTCATTTTACTTGCTTGCTCACATCTTGTTCATATGGAAAGTTGTTTTGTTTTTCCTTTTGCATAATGAAGCATTGTGTTTCTTATGTAACCCGTTTTTGTGATGGATTTTCTTTGAATGAAAAGTTGCTAATTTTATGTTTAACGTTTCCTTTACAGCTCGACGATTTTGATCAACCAACTTTAGCTGCTAAACTCAAGGAGTACGACGCGAAGTTTCCAGGAACAAACAATGAAATTACTGAACCTTCGGAGTTTAACCTCATGTTTGCCACCTCTATTGGTCCGACAGGATTACTACAAGGGTTTGTCATTAATTTTTATGTTTCCTTTATGTTAGGTTAATAGTATTTTTTGTTTTGTGTAAAAAGTATTAACGACGTTAGTGTCTGTCGTTTATATTGTGGTTTTTATAACCAGGATCATTATGTATGTAGTATTGACTATATTGATGTTTGTGTAGTAAAGTAAAGCCTTCTTGTCTATATAGTGTTATTTGTTGTTTTAGTTATTACTGCAGTCGCTGTTAGTGTAATATTGTTACATGTTTTTTAGTTATCTTCGTCCAGAAACAGCCCAGGGTATCTTTGTCAACTTTAAACGTTTATTAGAATACAACAATGGCAAGTTACCTTTTGCATCTGCACAGATAGGTGGTGCGTTTAGAAATGAAATCTCACCTCGATCGGGTTTGCTTAGAGTAAGGTAAATAAATTGACAACATTTGTAGAACTTGAATGTTAAACTATAGCCGTGTTATATATAGGTACATGAGTATATATTTGTGATAACAATTGTGTTTCAGTCCTTTATGTATGTGTGTGGAAAAATGTCGAATAAATCGATCATACGTATGTAAGAGATTTGTAATTTTAGGGAATTCACATTGGCTGAAATCGAACATTTCGTCGACCCTGACGATAAAAGTCATCCAAAGTTTGAGAATATTGAGAATGTTGTAGTTACAATGTTACCAGGATCTTATCAAATGAGAGGAGAACCAGCATTTAACATTACTTTAAAAGAAGCTTTTGAGACGGTACGCTAATGATTGTTATGTACATACATACGTAAATACATACATAACTAACTTTTTTTAACATTTATATATTTGATTGGTTGATTTTTGTTGGTTCTGTATGTAGATCTTTTAATGACGAATTTTGTTGATTGTACATTTGCATTCTTCTTCGCTAAAGAATACGTTATAGACACTCTTCAGCAAACATATTTAACAGTTTACTACAAGACGATCGAGGAAAATGTATTTTGTAGTAGTTTTGTCAAACAAATGTCGCATTTAAAAATTTATGAAAAGGAATATAATTTATCCTTATGATTACCTGACTCATGTTCAAAGTTGGGAGTCGGCAGGGTTAGCAAGGAGAGGGAGAGGGATAGGATGGCTGGCGGATGCAAACGTAACGTCAGTGTTGTTCATCATAGTGGTGAAAATTTTAGTTAAAATAATAATTATAAAATCTCATTATTGTTTTTGACTTTATTTATACACTTAACGTTGTTTTTTATTAACAGAAAGTCATCAATAGTACAACAGTTGGTTATTTTATTGGCCGCGTTCATCTTTTCCTTTGTAAAATTGGGATTGATTCAAGCCAATTGCGATTTCGTCAACATTTAGCAAATGAAATGGCTCATTATGCTTGTGACTGCTGGGATGCAGAAATTAAGAATTCTTATGTGAGTAATATAGTATAATTTATATGTATATATACAACATTTTATGCAATTATTATCCAAATATGGAGGGCTCATCCTAGTAAAACGGTAGATACTAGTAGATACTAGTATCCTAGTAGAACGATAGCAAGAAATGTTCTTGTGAAATAAGTAATAAGTTTTTTCCTGAAAGATAATATTATTTCTGGAACGATAATCTATATTTTTTTAGCAAAACGCTAACTTTTTCTTTCACGCAACAACTTTTTATTCAAAACTCAAAAGTTTGTCAATGAATTTAAGTTATTTTGGTCGAATTTTAAGTCATTATACGCTCAATTGTAGTTTTGATACGACAATGACAAGAAGTGTTTAATAAGGCCTAACCCTCAACTTCCTTCAACAAGTTTCATGCGTGTGTTCTACAACTTCAGAAATAACCATTCCTTCGCCATATGATTGCATTCTTTGACTTAATGAATGAATGATATCAACAGGAAAACGACATATGATTTGCAACTGTTTTTTTTGACATATTATTTGATAGGGTTGGATTGAAAGTGTTGGCATTGCTGACCGTGCTTGTTATGATCTTAGTGTTCATACAAAATGTAGTGGCACAAAAATGGTAGCTCAAGTTGATCTATCGGAACCTGTATCCTTATGTTCAGTTTTGTGTCTATATTGTATTGTACGTACGTACATTGTTGTACAACCATCATTGTACGTACGTACATTGTTGTACAACCATCACTGTACGTACGTACATTGTTGTACAACCATCATTGTACGTACGTACATTGTTGTACAACCATCATTGTACGTACGTACATTGTTGTACAACCATCATTGTACGTACGTACATTGTTGTACAACCATCACTGTACGTACGTACATTGTTGTACAACCATCACTGTACGTACGTACATTGTTGTACAACCATCACTGTACGTACGTACTTTGTTGCACAACCATCACTGTACGTACGTACATTGTTGTACAACCATCACTGTACGTACGTACATTGTTGTACAACCATCACTGTACGTACGTGTAATGATTTTTTACGTATTGTTTTCTTAACTCTTAACCCCTTCATGTGCAGAAAACTGTTAAAGTTGTCGAAGCCATATTAAACAAAGCACCAATTGGAAAATATTTTAAAAAGGATGCGAAACAAGTCACTGAATATTTGACTAATCTTTCTGAACAAGAAGTCGATGAACTAGAAAATTCTTTAAAAGAAAATGGGTGAGTATGTACGTAATCGTTAAAATAGAAAACTATTTTTGCGATAAAGCCAGATATTTTATAACAGTACGATATATGATTCAAAAATAGGAAGCTGCTTTAAATTTTAATTTTTTTACTTTTTCTCCAACAATCATTTGACATTTATGGTTTATTATTTTCAAATCTTTGCACCTGGAGCCGGTGCAATTTTTATAAAAGTTGTTTGTATTTTCTATACGACATAGAAATTTTTGTAATCTTGGAAGCAATAATTTCTTTTAGTGAATTCTTATTTCAAATCTTATATTTTCTCTGTTTTTATTCCAAAGCCATCATCAGAGATTATACATAATATAAATCTTAAATAATCGTCCAAAAAACTTTGCTATTTAGTGGATAGCGTTATTTGGTCTTCATGCAACCGGCCCCATTATTGTGATACATGTAATAAATAGATGTCAAGGTTGGACCATCAACGTTAAAATACTTCATTTCTTAAAATAGGAATTATGTGATGAAGATTAATGGACAAGAATTTATTGTTACCAAAGAAATGATAAAGGAAATCAAGAGATATGAGAAAGAAATCTATGGTACGTATGTAGGAATTTAGTATAGTTAGCATGACTACGTAATTATAAAATAATGACGTTATTTTTACTTTCGACTAAATTTGTGAAGCTAGCTTGCATGTTTTGTCATGCTATGTAAATTTCACATCGTAATCATATTAATTTCTATAGAAATTCTATTGTTTTTGTAAGTAAGCAGACGCATAAAAAATCAATAGTAGGAGTAAGTAATTGGGCTGGCTTTGCTTCCGTTCATAGATTTTACTTGGAAACATATCTTAAATAAGATATGAAAAGATAAGATATAAGATTTCTGAAAAGTTTGCGTTCTTGTAATATTTATAAAAGGTTATTTAACAGTCTTTCAGCATAGCAAAACATAAACCTCTGCTATATTTTGTAGTAAGGGAAGTTGAACACACGTTATTGAACAGTCTTTCAGCATAGCTATACATAAACTTTTGCTATATTTTGTAGTAAGGGAAGTTGAACACACGTTATTGAACAGTCTTTCAGCATAGCTATACATAAACTTTTGCTATATTTTGTAGTAAGGGAAGTTGAACACACGTTATTGAACAGTCTTTCAGCATAGCTATACATAAACTTCTGCTATATTTTGTAGTAAGGGAAGTTGAACACACGTTATTGAACCGTCTTTCAGCATAGCTATACATAAACTTTTGCTATATTTTGTAGTAAGGGAAGTTTAACCACACGTTCTTGAACAGTCTTTCAGCATAGCTATACATAAACTTTTGCTATATTTTGTAGTAAGGGAAGTTGAACCACACGTTATTGAACCGTCTTTTGGTATTGGAAGAATTATTTATTCATTACTGGAACATAATTTTCATGTACGCGAAGAGGATGATCAAAGAACAGTGAGTACTTTATATTTTTATCAATAAACGTCAATGTCATACAATTCTCTATTGATAAATGTTATATTTCATTCAGTGGCTTTCTCTACCTCCACTTATCGCTCCTGTCAAGTGTTCATTACTTCCTCTCAGTAGAAATAAGGAATTTGATCCTTTTGTCAAAAAATTATGTAAGTATGCTTGTAAAGGATAACTATATGTAGTCTCGAAGCATAATTTTTTTATACGTATTCTATGGTTTTTGTTACGAATCACTGACAATAATGTGCTAACTAAAAACAGACATAAATAAATTTTAATGCTTCGTGAGCAAAACTGTATATCTTAAAAATCAATACAGTAATCGATGTAAATGGTGCATGTTTGTTGAACATTGGTCATTCGGCATGTTGCAAAGGGACTTGTAACCTGTTTGTCAATTTCAACGTTTGTGATTTTCTTTTCATGAAGCTGCATTATTTCAAACGTTACTTTGTGCTTAATTGTTATTTTATATGAAGATAGTTTAAGGCTACATTAATGATCATAATCATTTATACTTGATGTAGCAAATGGTTTGAATGAATTTGATATGAGCCATCGTATTGATGATTCAGGAGGTTCAATAGGAAGACGTTATGCACGAACAGATGAAATAGGTATACCTTTTGGTGTAACTGTTGATTTTGATACGGTGAATCAGAAACCATCCACTGTAACTTTACGGGAACGAAATTCAATGAAACAGATCAGAATACCGGTAAGTTGGGACGTCATTCATTTTTAATGTCATGGATAACATAAAATATGGTTGAATTTCTCGTATAAGTACGTACTGAGCACATTGATTATGAAGACGTTCTTGGAAGTGACTTTGAAGTTACTTTTTTCTTACAATTGAAAAATTGTAGAATGTTTTATTCGTCGTAGCAATTTAGGGTTTTCATAGTTACAAATATTGTAATTCACTTTTACTGTTTATGTTCTTAGATTGACATTTTACCAAGGTCAGTAAGTGATCTTGTTCATGGCAGACGTTCGTGGCAAAGTTTTGTTGATGAATATGGATACTTCATGGGTCAAGAATCAACGAAATGAAAAAAAATGAAACGCTAAAACATATTTTTAATAGTTATACATAAAATTATTTCTCTGAATTAAAGCTTCTCAATAACTTTTGCTTGTGATTTCAGCAGAACAACTACTTTTTACGAATTTTCTTTTGGACAAGGTTTTCTAGGAGATAACATTAAGATTTTAGTGCTATGCTTCATTTTTGTTTCCTGTGTTAGTGAGTTCCATTTACCTGTTGCATGGGTGCCAAACTTTCAAAAAAGGCAAGAAAGAAGACAAGTAATGCTCAGTCTATTTGTTATTTAGTGAACTTTTAGGAATCAATCGTGCTTCACAACAGAATGTATGAAATGTTTTCAACCAAATTATTGTTCCAGTTAACCATTTATTTCTTATCTTTAACATCCCAGGAATAATTTTTGACCAGTCCAAGACAAAAAATTTGCGTAGATTTTATAGCTCAGAAATAATGCAAAGCGCATGAAAGTAAATTATTTCTTACAAAAACTTGTAGTACAACCTACGTGTAATGATAGTACATATTGAATATATAGAGTAATCGGCTGTCGAGGCTTGAATATTTTTCTACGAATATCATTTCTACAACAGGAGATTAACTTTTCATGACTCGAAGCTCTGTAAGTATAAAGGATAACTTCACAGTGTATTAATGCTTCGGTCATTGTTTTTTGGTACGTTATTTATATTTTATAACAACAAATAAATTAACATTCGTAGTAGAGTAGTATGTGTACGTACGTATATGGTAATAATTTTAAAAATCACAAATTTAATGATAGCCTACATATCTATATAGAAAAACAAGTGTAAAAGATGCATTCAGCACAAAATCAATAATTTAAGCGTAGCTACATAATACTTAGAGCAAAGATCGTAGGTATTTCACTGATCTGAGTCTTGATTTGATATGAATAAAGACATTCCTGAGAAAAAGTTTCTAGCGGATGCAAATATATCTTGAGGTTTTCTAAAAAGTAAATACTGTAGAAAATCAGCTAATATTGCTTGAAACTCTGGATGCCTTCGAAGATACGTGTTGTGTTCATCAATTAGTTCGTCCTTAAAATAAAATACAAGCTATATGTAAGTATAAGGTTAATAGTCATATATCATTTCTAAGAACGTATTTATTGCATTTTTCACAACTTAAATACGCAGGCAGCAGCTTAAATATGATCAAAGTTGATTTGTGAGTTGTGTTATTCTTGAAGATGTTGTCTAACAATGGGATTTTTCCCTGTCAGTGAATTTAATGTTAAAGAATCAAAATTTCGACATACTTTCCTGTCCAAAAACTCAGAAAAAAGTTGCATATCTTCTTGCCAATTGAGCGGCGTCATAACGTCAGGTTGCTCAGCTGTAAAATTTTCCATAAAATGGTAAAATGACATACAGAATATGATGCCTTGTAAAAATATAAACGTCTCTCAGTCATTCATTCAGTAAACTTAAATGAACATTTTCTATGTTTAAATTAAACTAATTGTAGTAAAACTTACTCCTTGTCCTATTGTTCGATCTCCAATGTATAATTGACTTATGTTTACAAAGAAATGCAAAGAACTACGTACGTGTAAGAGATCTTGGCGACTGCAACTGTTTAAGTGTAACGTTACTGTTCTCTTCAGTTCGTAACATCAAACGTCTACATTGTGGTAAAGAAATCGACTTAGTTCAGTTCGTAACATCAAACGTCTACATTGTGGTAAAGAAATCGACTTAGTTCAGTTCGTAACATTAAACGTCTACATCGAGGTAAAGAAATCGACTTAGTTCAGTTCGTAACATCAAACGTCTACATCGAGGTAAAGAAATCGACTTAGTTCAGTTCGTAACATCAAACGTCTACATCGAGGTAAAGAAATCGACTTAGTTCAGTTCGTAACATCAAACGTCTACATCAAGGTAAAGAAATCGACTTAGTTCAGTTCGTAACATCAAACGTTTACATCAAGGTAAAGAAATCGACTTAGTTCAGTTCGTAACATAAAACGTCTACATCAAGGTAAAGAAATCGACTTAGTTCAGTTCGTAACATCAAAAGTTTACATCGAGGTAAAGAAATCGTCTTAGTATCTACTTGAAACAGGAGATTATTCCAGCAGAATATGAAAACAATTTTTATAACAATCGGATGGAAATTTATTTACCCGTCAGGTATAAAAAAATGCTTCCTAAGTGAATCTTGTTTCATTAAGGATGATAGACTAGATTCGATAACCTTTGTCATGACTGTTCTATTTTCTACTATTAGTTCTTTGACACCCAACACTTTCTAAAATATTCAACATGATAAGTTCTTTTGATCAGTTGCTTTAAAAAGCTATTTTGGCTTTCATTTACGCACACATTTATTTTAGCTAACAAAGGTAATTGCAGAAGACAAATGCGATGAAAGATAGATCAATTTTCATTATCAGACAGCAATCCCAACTTACAAATGACATAGACGATATATTTGTTTCACTGTCGAAAGTTAAAAATACAGCATTTTCTGGAAACCCTTTTTTCAAGAAAAATCTTTGAAGAACAACATGACAAGCTGTAAAAAATAGTATAGTGTAAAGACAAAAGGAAAAAAGAATTTTGAAGCATATATTTAACGAAATGATTTTTGCTAACTATCAACCTTCACAGATAAAACCCTCCATTTGCGTTGTAGAAAACGTTTCAAGTGTTTTCCTTTCACACTGAATAAAATATTAGAAATAGTGAAATTCGCAGACCAGTTCGTCTTGAATGATTTACGTAGATAATAAATAAAATGTAATTTTCTCAAAGTTTTCGTCATTTCTTACATTGTCTTGGGATACTGTCTTTTGAACAACATATTTTCCAGCTTCACGAACTATCAAAGTTTTTACGTCCATTGTCCGTTCAGGAATCTGCGATGGAAAAAACTTAAACATTTTCTGTATCTCTTTGTTAATAAACATCTATTTATTTACGTGTATAAAATGAATGCCTTGGATTTAAGATGAAGTAAATTATAAGAACAATTATTTAAGAATTGAACATAAAATCCATTAAACAGTCTTACAGTTGATTGTTAGATCAAACAGCAATATTTAAGGCAGAAGACTGCGTAATTGAATGTGGGAAACATTTTTATGTGAATTCAACTATCTGCGAAGCCACGTTCATACCTTTATATATTCGTGTGTACTTTGCTCGAGCAACGTGAAGGTTTCGCTAACATGTGCTATCGAAAAGCCAAAATTATGAATTAGGGGGAAGGGAGTGATGTACAAAGTAGGCACTTCACAATTACATTTGAAATTTAATTGACTCAAAATCTGGTAAATCATAATCAAGGGCAAAATAAACATTAATTTTATAAATATTAGAAAAAATCTGTGTTTCTTTTTATGAACACATTAATGTGGCAACAATAAAGATCTCTTTAAAGATGAATAATATTGGAACAAGTCCAAATAAATTTGCCATAAAGAAAATTTTGTCATCAAAAGTATGAAAGTTGTAAAGTTACTACCAATAATGCTCATCAATTTAGGGGCATCAGCATCAATATTTTCCTCAGTAAGATGAATCATATAACATTGCATGCCACGCCACTCTCCATCACTGATTGTTAGCTCAAATTCACCATAATTCTAAGAGATCAAAAAGCAATTGTAAGAGAGTTTTGTTCTAAGCATAGTCTAACCGACTGGTTCATAAACAATATTATTTTATAAAGTACATACATAAAAGAATACAATGAGGGAACTTGACCATCAATGATCTAAGTTTCTATTAGTAAAAAGTCATCACTGTTATACAGCTGAGATTTTTACCCCAATATTCTTACTTTATTTCCACACATTGTCATTAATTTCTCCGAGAAACAAAGTCCACGCCAATCTTCACGACCTGTGAATGTATTAATGAATGACTTTCAACATTGTTTTGTTGAAATGTTGAAAACTGACTACACTACATCAAAACTCACTCAGTCTAGCCAAAAACTCTACAGCGGCAGCATTGGCTGTGAAGTCAAATTTCTGCCTCTCTTCCCTAAATGAGCATTCTGTGTTAATTTATATTTCAAAAATACATAGATGGGTTTGAAAACATAATGTTCTGTCTTCACAATTACCACCATTATGCCAAGGTGAAGCAAGCAAAACGATGTATTTAAAACAAAGGCTTGTCAATATTATCATTGATTCATTTTAACTGCATTAAAAATAAAAGAAAATAATAGATCATTTACATTGTCTTTTTACTTTCTTCGGAAGATTCATCCATTTTACTTATTCAAGGCATCATGTCTCTATGGAAACCTTTAACTGACTGCTATAGACAGTCGTAAATTAACTGGAGTTACTGCACAGCAGCAAAGACTGTGCTGACTGTCAATGTGGAATAAAACTGCATATTATTCTTATTTTGCTGGAATATCTATCGGAGCAACGCAAAGGTAAGTTATTTTGAGTTTTCTTTTTGTGGGCAATGTATTACTCGGTATTATAAGCGTATAAGTCAGTTAATTTGTATCTAAAATGAAGTAAAATTTCATAACATTACTTACAGTTACATAAGGGTTGAAACTGTAAAGTAGAGTTTAGTTTAGACTATACGAATGGCTTAGCTTGCTAAAAACTTTAACTTATACGCAATTATTTTATTTAAAATTAAATGAGAGTAGGAAAGCAAATCCTTGTGTGTTGCCAATTGCCACAAATGTTGAAGAAGCCCACAGATCATGGATGGTTATGTTCATAATATTGATGTATGAAAGTAAAGGAGAGTGTTTTATTGTAAAAGATATCAAATAATTAAAATTTATAAGTCAATATAAGTCAAAAAGGCAGAGGTTTTTTGAACCTTTACAGTATCCTTGGTTGGTATAGCTACATATATATCCTGTGTATTTTATGAGAAGAACTCTTGTAAACAAAAGAAAATTTTCAATGTAAAAAATTCTGTTCAGGGCCTTTGGGCCATGCCTACCAATACTCCGAGACAGCTGAGCAATTGAAAGCATCACATGTTAACATTTCAGTAAAAATTTTAGCTCCTATCATGCAATCCCACTGGGAATGTCAATAGCACGCTTTTTTATCCCATTTCACCACTGAGATGGTATGAAAGGAGAGGAGCTTTGAAACCTACACGTGAACTTCTAATCCACTGCAACAGAACATTAAGCCTTACTTCTACATGGATAATGTAAAGGCCACTCAACAATGGTGGTATGATTTTACTCATTACCACACATGCTCAGATGATTTCTTTAATAACTTTTGTCTGAGTGCAAGCTCTTATCTCCAAAATCAGCACTAGTAGATCTGTGGTTGGTGTTTGCATCAACTATGTTCAAACTTGAACAGTTGGTCAAGTTGACTGTACAGCAACAAGAAAACAACTAGTTATTTATGTTATTGCTTTTGGTTTTAATTAAAATATCTAATCAAAATAAAATGGAAGTTCATGGAGAAATGAAATAAATATATGAAACATTTTATGGTTGATACAAATTACGAGTCAAAACGCAGTAATTGCTTAAAAATTGGTTCCATTATGATATCTATTTTTTTCAACTACACTAATGCAGTAAGAAAAGAAGTCAAGAACAATTAATCTTTGTTTCAAGGACAAGACATATTTGTTCTTCTTTGATTTGTACTTCAAAAAACATTCAATGATCATCGTACTTTCATGTCTAATTTGCCTTTTTTGTCACTATTTTTTTAGGCTTTTCTTAAGAAATTACAGAACTACACAACCATCTACGTACGTACGTACATCAATGAGATACAAAGGCCTGAAGTAAGTTGAAAACATTAATTTAGAAATCTGTATTTTTCCCTACTGCAGTATATACACTTACTGTAGTTCACCAGGTTTTTTGAAAGTACATTTAATTGTAAAACGCGTTAATCACGAGCAAACTGTGAATGGATGACGACGTCTTGACTTGATTACTTTAAAATGCTTCATAAAATTAACGTAAAAGACTCGAAAAAATAATATATTTTTTTAAATGTTTCGACTGAGGTGAATGCACGATGTTATTTTGTGTGTGTGTGTTGTCGTACTATCTTAGACTTTTTTTGTTAAATACTATTTATCTTTTTGTTATGATTTGGAATTTTTTTAATGTGTGCTTATTTAAATGCTAACATTGTGTGGCATAATATGGCGAGGAAATTTGCACCCCTTTTCACCCCATCCAACCAAGGCTAGGAGGGGTGTACAACCTTCCTCTCTAATCAAACATGGCAGCTATGACGTCAGGTGAATTCGCTTGTTGAACCGGTCACACTTTGCAAATGAATATTTTGTTGGCAAAAAGCTGAAATGAAAACAGAACAGTAGCTAATCCAGCGTTCATCAAAATAAATTATAGCTCCTTAATTTTAAATTCAAAGTACTTTCAGAAAAAGATTATTGGTTTTGAATTTCTAAAGAATATAAGTTCACCAATGGATATACCTCTAAGGGGCTTAGAAATGTAAATATATGCTAAAATGTGCTGCAGTAATTTATTGTGACTTTTGCTAGATCCACCACTGAAACTGAGAATCGGTCAGAAGCGTAAATGTCTGGTTGATACATGTATTGTCAAAACTTTCTTCGAGCTGTTTGTGGTGCCTGTAGTTGATTCATTATGGTAGAAAATTTGGAACCTTGGTGTTTTCCACTGAGAAAGCGTGTTAAACTGACCGTAAAATCGATTTACTTGGCACATGCTTTCACTAAGACGGAAGATGACATGGTTTACTATACGTACAATATTGTCATGGGAAATTTTTGATGTGAATTATCTTGGCAATGTAATACTACCCCAATGTATTGTGTAATATTTTCTTACACTAAACATGAAGAACTCTATGTATGGTAAGACATTTACGTATCAATGCTAACGTACTGTACTACAGGCTGTGTCAAAAAAACTGCAAACATATAAATTGCATAGCAGCCAGGGGCAGTTATCACACCATTGCCTTTACATATTTTACACTCCTGGGGTTTAATACATGGTGTATCAAGACTAACCTTTAGAAATTGACGTATTGTGAAGTTTTAATAGCTACATACGTATTGTAAATCATTATATAGAGCTGTACGTACATATAAGTATCGCATTCATATCTTCGTTACAAGCAAAAAAACATTTCTGCTCCTGAGAATTTCACATAAGTCCAAACTGCAAAATATGCACAGTTATGTACCAGTTTTCATACCCTGGAAATTCTACGTAATTCTGGAAAATGATTAAGTATAAGATAATGCTGTGCATGGGTACTACATTGTACTTTAATAACCAGTTCGATCACAAATTACAGCTACTGTTCATTATAAATCCCAAACTAAATTTGCTTTAAATTTTTTTTAACGCCTTTTTTAGCATCGGATAATGCAAATTCTAAATATCGAGTGATTTTAAAGGTTGTAGTTTTTTATACAAACTTTTATACAATTCGTCGTAAGAAAGTACATTGTTTTTTACATAAAATCCCAGGAGTATACATTGTGTCGTAAGTAATGATGATCGGCAGATCTGCTATGTAAATTACACGGGTTAACGCTGAAAAATATGAAACAAAAGAAATAAATGTTTGTTACGTAACATGCTTTGGTCCTTTTAAAGACATGTCGTCATTCTTGAGCTTAATTAAGAATAATTTAAGAAATAGTTTAGAAGAATTGTAAAAATTGATTTGCTGATTTGTAAAAGTGTAAAAATTTTAAAAAGTTTGCAGATATACACAGTACCCTCAGTTTGTTCGACATACTAGACTTTCCCAACCAGAGAAAAATATCAAAAATTTGTAATTACTCCTTTGTCTTCATTCAATAATTACTTCAGCTATTGTCTCCATTCATTTCAATAGGAACAGTTTATTTAGTGCATCTTATTCTTCACTTGGAATTACTAGCAATTCGGGCAGGTGCAACCCGCGACTATTGTTGTCTCGTACTTGCACTGATCTGCTCTCGAGTTCTCCAAAGGTCTCCTTGGTTTGCAATAAGCCCGTGCAAACACAGTAGACATCTTTTATTTCGTAATTAGTTACGGTGTGAACATATTGTATTTTTGTTCAAAATCGAAAAATCTTATATCAAAATTATACACTAAGATTTTTTCTTTCTTCATAACTCTCTAGATTAAAGAAGTGGGCTATTGTGTGCTTCATCATGCAGAATGAATAAAATTTGTACCAGACGATTAATGTAAAGGTCAGTCTTAAAATCATAATTACTATTTTTATACGTTTAGCTTTTCCACCAAGTAAAAGAAAGATTGAAATATTTACAAGAGATTTGTGCTCACCGTCACGGAATAAGCAGAGAAAATATATTTAAGAAGTTAACTTAACAACTTTGCAGACTATGTACATAACGAAAACACCATAAAGTTTATTTTTCCCTCATTTTCATTGTTCTCAAAATTATTTCATTAAGCACAACACAATGAGATTTGTCAGGCAGATAAAATGTCCTTCGCAATATTTTCTAACATAACAGTAGAAAACAATGGCAAACCACATACGTGTATGTCATAAAACTTTATATTATGCTTTTAAAATGCACGATAACATTATAACCCCGTTGATAACGTTTAAAAATACAGCGATAATTTGCTCAAGTTTGTTCGAAGAAAGATGCCAGTTCACCAACAGTTAATGGAACATTTTCTCCGTCTTTTCCTTGCATACAACAGCTAAATATTGTAAAATTGACAAGTGTTACATATATTGACTAGATGTAAATTTCAACTAAACTTTCTTTAAATTATCTCAAGGGTTAAAAAGGTTTTATTTATTATTTTATCTGGACATTTCCCACATTGATATTAACACGTTGACATATTATTAATTGGATGGATAGTCAAAACTTCCTCTTTGAGTTTAGATCCCCAACATTAACTAGAAACAAGATTAACTTCATCTCTAGTCTAATCTTAGCTACGTACTTTCCACGACCTAATCAAAATCCAAAACTTTACTAAACCTCCAACCATTGTCATTTGATCGTAGTAGCACGATGATTTGATATAAATGACATTATTTCTCAAAGAACGTACTGTGACATAATTTAGCGCAATACATGTTTGTAAATGTAGATCGTCTAGGTTAGTAGTGTCCTTAGAAGGACTGTTGATGTTAATGTTGACGAACGTTTCAACAACCTCTTAGCGGTGGTTACAAACATATGTATAACGATACTTCCGGATTCAAACCATTTACTTTATTAACGCAATTCATTTTCACACAATGATATACATGACACAAACAAAAACAACAACAACCTTTTATCTATTACTTTAAACTTCAATACATAGTAGGACACCTCTCACAAATTACCGAAAAGAAATTGAAAACTATTTCTCTGACCATTACTTTCTACTTCATGTAAGATAGATTATTATCAGCCTCTTTTCTTCGACTCATTTCACAATTTTTAAGAAAATCGAATAAAAAATTTACCTCTTTCCCGATTCCTCTTTATTTTGCAGGAATTTCACAATCTTTTCTTCCACAGAACTTTTAATCAACAAACGGTGAACAAATGTTGCCCTAAACAATCGTGACAAACATGTTCATAATGGGGAAATGCACGATAAAGATGTACATATAGTTGATGAATGAATGAATGAATGAATGAACGAACGAACGAATGAATTGAGTGCGAACTCAGGTGCCTTTCTTTATTTTTTATGTTTGTTAGTTCAAACATAATTGCACAAAAATTCTGTTCCGTAAATATAGCAAAATGCTTTGGGAGAATGGTTATTTTTTACTAGAGTGTGGATAAATTCTTTTCACCTCAGTTTGCAGGTAACTTAGAGGTAACACGACTACCTTATGTACATCTAAACGTCTGACACTTATGGTACATAATTGAAATGTATGTAAAATAAGAATGTTATATGCAGTGGGTGTTTGAATTTAAATGAAGATATGATCTTCGCACTTTTACTGGACAATTTAAGCAATTGTCTCATGAACCTGAAAAATCCCGTTGAGTCACCTGAATTTTTCAGGTTCATGAGACAATTGCTTAAATTGTCCAGCAAAAGTGCGAAGATCATATCTACATTTAATTTAAGGAAATGTATGTGATGGAGATCTAGAAGACAGGAAATGTACATCTTTGGAAATGTAGAAGTATAATCATACTTAGTCTGTCCAATCCTGTGAATACGACTGACAGCCTGTCTCTCTAATGATGGATTTAATGACGGTTCAACAAGTATCATATGAGTTGCTTCAATAATGTTGAGACCATTTGATCCAGAATGGAGTGGAATCAATAATATGTGGATTTCTTGCGATCTTTTAAATTCCTCCAAATTCGACTAAAAATGAACAAACTATCGTAGCTCAAGATATTGATGATTTACACGGCCGTCATTAAAGAATGAATATTTGTATTTCATATTTCCTTTACACTCCTTCGTAACCTTAAGATACTATCACCGTAAATTCCTAATATACTTGTAACAAACTATGTAAGACGACAATAAATCCCTAAGGACAGCTTCCATACCTCAAAATCTTTGCTTTTCTTGATAGCTCGATACTTCATGTTGTTCTCATCGAGAGCATGCGCAATAACATCAAGAACATCTTGCCACTACACAATATTGTCAGCATTCAAGCTTTGGAAAATCTTTTTGAAAGGATCAAGTGCTGTACATTAAAATCAAGAGCAATATTATTAACATTCCGTACCGTAGAAAACACTAGAGTCTTTGCACCAGTGTCTGTTCGTTGAATTTTTATTAATGTTCGCAGAACCGCTTCAATTTTGGTTGAATGACTTCCCTGTAATAGAATAAAAATGATTATTACTGGGAGAATCGCACAAGACATACATAAAAATGTATAACTGGTAAAAACGCAAAATAATTGCGCATTAAATACGTACACTATGGTACAAATACGTACACTATGGTACACAAATGACCTTAGCAGTATTGTTGTTTTTAATGATAAAACACCAAAATCCAAGCAGGGGCGGATTTTCTGGGGAAGTGCTGGGGGATGCGCATCCCCAAGAAAAATTGTAAAATGGTATTACAAACTGTAGACTATTAATATGATAGTATTAGAGGTTAGGAAATTGCACAGCAAGACTTAGTAAAAGTAGAACTTCTCATTTCATAGACAGTTACATATTTTATACTACCACCATTTGCAATCGAGTTACTAACATGCGCGCTTTTATTGAAACATTAAAATTGAAATTAATTACTATGCAGTTATTAACAAAAAAACATATAAATTTTTTTACAATGCTAATAACACTTTCTTTACTCAAGAATCACTCATCTGTAAGCCAAAAATCTACAATAGTCCTGTATATACGTATTGCCAATTTAAAAACATCATAAAACAAACCTTTACGTTTATGTCTTTATCTTCATCAGTAAGTTGTCTTGCGGTACTAACATACGAAATATCCTCGACCATCGTCACATGACGACACAATGGACAACGCACATTGGAACGATTTTGAAAAATAACTCGTGGTTGCTCCAACAACACCCACATACACTCACAACACAGACAGTGACCACAGGAGAATACACTCCACTAAAATATAATGGACTCAAAGTAAGATATCAGAGGAAGGGGAGGAAAATAATTTATGATGAATAAAGTACAGTTTTGACAATGAAGTATTAATAACATACTTTAACATAAAATAAACGTAGATATACGTGGGTTAAATGATCACTTTGTCAATTATATAACATCACAGATTACAGCAGAAATTGTTCGTTTGACAAGAATTGTTGGAAGGAATCAATGTTTCTATCACATTTTGTCAAACTTTATGAGCGTTGACATTCATAGACAAATTATTCACACAAATTATTACAACCTTATAAAATAAACTGCTCTTTAATTAACATCACTCGTTAACTCAATAAATGAATACCTGATAACCCAATACTTTAGTGCAAACTGGGCAGTTATCAGTATTTTCTCCTCCTTCAGTACTTTGTGTCTAAAATGAAATTGTACTATTATGTTTTTTAACTATGTATGTAAATGCAAACTTTATGATCACAAAAATAAAAAATCAACTACCAACTATTGCTGGGCAAACTACGGTTTTTCAGTTCCGGTTCCGGCTATTTTATAACTCGAATATATGGTTGTGGCTGGTTAATTTTCCAAGACACTGATTATTAGTAATATTTTCAGATCTATTATTAGTAAATTTTTTATATGTGAAGTTAAATTTCCGCACTCCGACTTTTAATTATAAATTAACATGCGTGAATGCAATCTATAGCATCATGTTGTGTTTTGCATGAAAGTCTGACAGTATTTTACAGCACGAGCAACTGCTGCCGGAGATTAAGAAACTCCGGTTCCGGCAGGCAAAAATAGCCCCGGCCTAACTCCGGTACATAACACTACGACCAATTCTACATGATTGGTCATTTGTACAAACTTGAAGCGTTATTTATACGTATTTAATGCAAAACCTTTGCTAAATTTTTTAAGTACAATAGTTGACCCAGAGACTTCCTCAAACTGGAATGAGCCAGAGTTTTGTCAGAGCAAAAGCCGAGTTTCGTCCTTTCAACCTAAATTTGCACAAAAAAGAGCACAAAATTGAAGATTTTTACCGTTCAAAAAGATCGAAAATAGGATTATAATACGTAGCATTAAAAAAAATCAAAACAAACCTCTGTTGGATCAACAATATAAAACTGATTCTCAGGAATATTTTCACCAGGAAAGCGTAAACGTAACCTCATTGTACACATGGAAAGCTCGTCTAACGCTGAAACACGTTGATGTAAAGAATTCCAAAGTTGACGATACACCTGCAATAAAAAATTTTAGAAAACTTTTATTAAATGATGGAAAGTATAGATCACTAAGACTAGATCTAACAAAGATTATCATGAAAAAATATCACAAAAAAGAGCACATAAATACTTTAAAATTCTTCCTTATGGACTCAAGATACTCCATATGAAGTTGAGCTTGTTGTTGTAACTCTATGAAAGTTATAAATAAGAGAAGATTTAAAACAAAACTTACGCACACACACATTATGTTTACGTATTGTGAGAAGGAGAGCTGCATACCGAAGTAGTCTTCAAAATTACGTTTATTTTCACTCTTAAAAAAAGCATAAATTGATTTAAGAGCTCGAAATACTTCTGTCTCAGCCCTCAAACCAGTAATGCTAAAACGTGATTGAAAAATTTATGTAAGAATTTTCTTTTTTAACAATTTGATTACAACTTATTCACAATTCTTCAATTATTTAATCTTCAACTACCTTTCTCCATCAGCATCTTTATAACCTTGATGTGCAAATATTGACGATTCGTAAACTGACAACAAATTATTTACTTTGCAAAAACAACAGCTACATAAAATAAAAAAAGACACCCAAAAATAATATAAGAGAAAATTGTGAATATTATAGATCTCATACACACGATATAAGCATATATTAGTACATGTGTATATGATATTTACTTACGTTGGAGCTGAGCTATTTGCAACTGGACGTAAACAACATTCGGCAGCAGACTGTACAATGTCATTCGTTGGTTCCTTCATTATTTTCTTTAACTCAGTGAACAAGTTGATTTGACTGTCCTGTTGATAAAGAATAACATATAATATATTTGTTTCAGTTGTATAGGGTTGTTTGATTGCAAGTCAAACCTCAATTGCGTCCAGTTTTTGAAAAAGAACAAGTTGTAAGCCATGTAAATCAGAAAAGCTACATAGAAGGTATGTAATTCTCATTACAAAATAAACAACTGAAAGCATTAAATAATTTTATGATAAACGTATCCTGAGTAACCTCAATAGTGATAAAAATACTCAGGCAAGCCTTAAAATAGAAAATGGCGAATCTCACACCGAAATCAATTTTGTTGTGCAGTTCGCAAAGAACAAAACAAAATTTTACTGCTGATGTTCGATATATTTGCTAGAGAATTTTGTGATAATTTTGCATACAACAAAATTACATATGTCGTATATAAATTTACCAATCTGCCAAGTTTATTGAATCAAATTCTTGTGTATTCCTAACAGCAGCCAAATCAAACTTAATTTTCTCTAATAAACGTTGAGCTCTTATATTATGAGCAGGAAATCTTTCATCTAACATCGTTCGTATATATGACATCCACCATGGACATTTGAAGTCTATCTGTAATAAATTTTGTCAATTGTGAAAGAGCGTTTTTATAATGGATTTGATCTGCATGAAGAAAATGAAGGAAAGTTTGGATAGCAAGATGTTGATAGATGTGTTAAAAAAAGCAGGAGTGTCAGATCGACTTTTGAAATCAAAGAAAACGTTGGTTTAGAAGGCAATGATAACGAAAGTGAGACAGCATAGTTATGGACTTACAAGATGGATGGTTGACATGTCATGAGAGATATATTGGAGTTTAAAGTAAAGATTAATATGAAGCAAGATTCACCAAAGAAGATATGGAACTAGAAAGTTGAGATGCTGTTGCTTGTTTTGAAGAAAAAGAATCGAGGAAAATAACAACGTAGTTGTCACTCTCACACTGATAAACCCACGCAGATCAGATGCAATTCATTCAAATACAATAATCATTTCTATCACAGTATAAGCGTATGTTTAAGCATGTCTACACAAAAAATCATGAAACAAGTCAAACCTTTTGTTTCAATTCATCATGAGCTTTCCAAGCATTACTTGCATCATTTTCAGCGTTTGTAACTTGATACGATCTCTTCATCAAATATTTCTCTTTGATCTCGAACGCCTGATAAATATTTATTAACACAAATTAAATGAAAAGCTAAAAATCAACTTTTTGACTTGTGTATATTCTTCATTATCAATGTATGTTCTCACTTACTTTTTGTCGTAAATCGTCATCGCTCAAAGTTCTGCTACATTTTTCGTTCTTTGTTAATATGTCGTCAAGATTGTACAGTGTATGCAGTTTCTAAATTCAAGGCAACGTCAGCTTTTACTACTTTTAGCTTATTTGTCAAAAGTTGTTTTAAGTAAAACATTTCTTGTTTTCCCTAACTTCATTTACGTGATGTAAAGTTTGGTTGTTGTTAAGATTTGGTTTTTAACTGATTAACATCTCTTTAATTGTCGTTCACTGAAAACTCTCACAAACTAAAAACACAGAGGAACTTATATTCCCAGAAAAAGAACTTGATCTAAAAGTACGAAGAAACGGTCATCGTTTGAATCAATTTAACAAAATACGTATTTCTTTGTTTTCATACAACTAATTTCTTCGACACAAAAATCTTGAAATTTCATGTTCTTGTTGTGACGAACTTTATCGAAATAAGAAATTTTTGTCTTTGTCGTAAAGTGATAAACTTTATACCAAAAATGTTTCATAGTTAGAACCTGTAGTGAATCCGTTTTAAAACGTTCCTCATGTTCTTTCCATGAATCCATAGCTTCTCTGTAAATATCTACTGCCTCTTGATACTAAACATCAAATATACATCATGGTATACTACCATGTACAACTTTGTACCATGTTGTACTATATACGCATATACCTTCTCTTGTAAGATAAAAATTCCCGCCAGCCCTATAGTAAAATAATTAAATCAAAATACGTGTAAGTTTTGAATGAAATATTTTATAAAAAATATGAGACAATTTACCATTTATTGCGCACAATAACTGTCTATGTGCTTCTTGACACTCAATTTTTGCTTTATTTGTTAAACTATCGAGAAGTTGATCCATTGTAATCACACTAAATAAAAAAGACGAAAAGTTGTAGAAAAAGTTTGGTTCATTTGGCAGTTTATTTTTATGAATAAATTTTTCTTCAAAAACACGCTAGCAAATTTGACTTTATTATTTGTGAAATCAAAGTATCTCACTTTTTCTTGATGGCAAGGTAACCGCCACGAACGGCCTGGGGATGACAGCATGCCTGACGTAGTTTCAGTAAAGGCCACATGACCTGCAGAAAATAATTTATTATAGAATGTTATTGTCATTTATTCAAAAAATCCATGTATAACTTTCCACATTTTATCTTATCTCCACACAATAAATATTGTACACATTTATCCAACCTCCACACAATAAATATTGTACGCATTTATCCAACCTCCACCCAATAAATACTGTACATATATCCAACCTCCACACAATAAATATTGTACTTGTCTATCCAACCTCCACCCAATAAATACTGTACATTTATCCAACCTCCACCCAATAAATACTGTACATATATCCAACCTCCACACAATAAATACTGTACATTTATCCAACCTCCACCCAATAAATACTGTACATTTATCCAACCTCCACCCAATAAATACTGTACATATATCCAACCTCCACACAATAAATATTGTACGCATTTATCCAACCTCCACCCAATAAATACTGTACATATATCCAACCTCCATACAATAAATATTGTACTTGTCTATCCAACCTCCACCCAATAAATACTGTACATTTATCCAACCTCCACCCAATAAATACTGTACATATATCCAACCTCCACACAATAAATATTGTACATATATCGTCTCATACGTACAATATATAATTTTCACCTTATGAAAACTGTTTCTACCCAGACTACTCAATTCCATTTCAGACTCCTGGAATTTTCGCAACTCCTACACAAAAAAATAATTCTTTGAAAACGCAAACAGCAAAATTTATGTATTATTACCTGTATAAACGACATAGATGTGTTTAATGTTTCAACAGTATAAGTAGTTTAATTAATTTAAAAGTTATTACACTCAGAGCAAACTTGGAGCAATCTTCGTATTGTCGACGGTAGAAATGATATTCTACAGGAGAAAAGTTGAGCCAATTCATTAATTCATCTTGATGAGGAAGTTTTACCTAAAAATAGAAACAAATACAGTTAAAAAGTAACCAATAGCGTTTTTTTACAGAATCTACACACACCAATAGAAAAACAGATAAATTACAAGACATTTTAATAAAACAAAATGCGATTGAAAAAGTTGTAAGTACGATAATTCGATGCAGTCAGTTGTTTTAACACTTTTAATATGAAAGAGTTTTCTACTAAACCTGATCAATAACATCAATCTTGGCCGTTCTCCACATAATTTGATACAAAATTTTTCTCAATGGTTTAATATCTCCTCCCATGAACGGTTCATGTAATAATTTCTTCCACCAGTGCTTTTTGTAATAAGGTGCAACCCCAAGAAACAGGAATAACCCATAAAGATCTAAAAACCAACACTACACATTACAATTTTGACTGTCGAACAAATGACATTTTAATAAGATATGAATATCTGTATCTAAATTTTATGTGGATTTCTTGAATGACTAACCATCCACACTTTTTTGGATCGGTGTCCCTGTAACACACCACCTATGCACAGCGGTTAGGTGTAGAGCAGTTTCTGTCGTCTATAAGAAGAAAGATACACGTTGGTCTATAATTGTGACAAGTGTGATATTAGTAATGTAAAACAGAAACTTTCCAATTTAGTGTGATTTAACTTTTAACCTTTGCTGTTGTGTTTTCAACCATTTGTGCTTCGTCGAGACAAATCTACATAAAATGATAATAAAGATCTCCAAGTATTTGAAATTATGTAGATTGTAGGAAATATTACATAACTATACACAATTTCTTGATAAATAATTTCTCGCTATGTACATACATGAATATAAAACAATGAAAAAAATCAAAAATAATCATGATTTAGAATAAGAAAAGAAGTAAAATGCATCCTTTTGCTCAAGATGATAATACGACTGACGTCAACTCACCCTCCAAAATTGAATACAGGTTAGTGGACAAGGCCAAGCCACATATCTCTTAGGTTGGCGATGGCTGTAATGGTCTAGAAGAATTGAAATCATTTTCAATAAACAAAAAATGGTTTCTAACAAACGAAAAATGATTTCCAATTAATGAAAAAGATTTCCAATAAAGGAATAATGATTTTCAATGTTAAAGGAACAATATACTTTTCTTGGATGCTAAATGATGAAAGTCTCTTTTTAGCACGTCATAAGTCGTTAGAATGATATCATTTCGTGCTAGCATTGATGAATAAATGTATCCATGTTTTGCAACTCCTTTGTAAACCTAAATTGAAATAAAATATAGCTTAGAGATAAATTCATAAACTTAGAATAAAACAGCTATAGCTAATATTGGCTGCGTAGTGACCTACAAGAATGTGACATGTAGCAAAGTAAAACTCAAAATCATTGCACAAAAATAAGATTACCTTACCATAACATTAAGACTTTCACATTTAATATGACGATGGATTTCATCAAGCCATTGGTAGGCAATAGGAACAGGAGATATAATAAGTGTAGTATTGGATTGAAGTAGAGGCTACATAAATCAATATTTATTATTAATATTTGGCGACAACGTACGTACAATAACTGTTTTTGTAAACAATATTGTAAACACTACTGTCTTATTTATGTCGTCTTTACAATTTGTTGGGCTACATTAACTTATTGCAAAATACAATGCATGAAAATTATTTTTTATTTTTTCCCTCGCAATATTACATTAGTATGTTTAAAATTTAGTAGTGCACACAGCGTATAACATGAACGATAAAAAAATAAAACTTTTTTATTAAAACGGAGAAAAACAATCTTTTATGCAATATAAATTTTTGAAATACTAATCACTTGAAATCAATGAAAAAAGCCAAGTAGAAAATCAATTATCTTTTACAAATGTTCATATTTTAGTTGCTGAGAGGTTCGAGGCTTCAGCTAAGTGCATTTTTTTTCGTGGCTTAAAAATGACAGTATGTCACAATCGTGAACTGCTTCGTACAAACTGCTTCGTGAAGTGGCGCGCGAGGAAAATAATACCACGTGATAATAATGATACAGTCCTTACCATTTTTGAACAACAATCAGGACATACATATTGCTTCTGTGATTTACTTTTCCAACCAACACAAGAAGGATGTTGTGAATGTTGGCAAGATTGACAGACAAGGATTGTTTCATTTGGACCAAAGTCAGTTGCACCACAAATACATCGCATTTTAATGTCCTTAAATTGATTGGTAATTTCTGACACATCTGCAGATGGCTTCATTTGAAAACAATCATTTTCACTTAAACCATTAAATGTAAATGGGGAATTGTTATCTTCGGACAAAGAACATTCCTCAAATTTAATTTTCTTCTCTGGTCTTGGCATCAAATCATAATCACAAACCAGCTGATGTTTACCATGACAAGGGAAATATTCAAGGTTGTCATTCGGAGGGCAATCTACCTGCATTGATTCAGTAATATTTGACATGGAAACATTTAAGTCAATGAGAGACTTAAGTTGATCTTTCTTATTGATCATGGAATTTTCTTCTTTGTCAGAGAAATCATAAGGAATAATCTTTTGCAACAATCCTGAGTCAGTCTTGAATTTTCTAGGATTATTTAGTATACAGCCAAGAACTTCCACAGTTTTGCCAAGTCCCATTTCATCAGCGAGAATTCCACCAGTAGGAAGTAGAAATGGTGAAATCTCATTCTCACTAATTCTAAAATGTACAAAATTAGCATGTTTAAAAATGAAAATTTCAATATTGAATCAATGATGGATGTGATTGAAGAGTAAACCTACCTTCCAGTGTAAGGATTATACCAAGCTTTTATTTTACCAATATTGATGGTTTGCCAAAGCGGATGACATTTCTCTAAAATTAAAGAAAACTTTTTCAACCAACTGCTTGCAATAAAGCAAGGAAAGTCCACTGCCACCAATAAAGTGTTCAATCGACGAAAGAATTTATTAAGAATCACAAGACATATAAAGACATAAATATTATTGTATATGGTTATTAAAAAGAAACAGAAAACCATAATGGCACAACTTAAAAGCAAAACTTATAGGAAAGCAGAGAAATTCTTTAGTACTAGTAAATACTCTCTAAAAGTTATCTTCATTTGATAAAACAAAAATGTTCTGCACAGTTCATATTAAAAATACAGCTATAATAAATTTGCTCCAATTTATGCTGACATTTGGTTGTATAAAACATATTAGCAATTTATTTTATTTTACTTTTAATGGCTTTAAAATCCTAGTTTTACTAAACTTTTCAGGAAAGGCTTGCAGTTCAAGAAGAAAGGATCCATTATTAAAAGAAAATGGTGAACCTGCTATTTTGTCTTTAGCATTTTCTTGGTCAATCATCCATTGTATGGCTTGCTTCTGATAATCTCGTAATGATGGTATCAAGAATGGATGTTGAAGGTATCCACATAGTTTTTGATCGTTAAATCTCTTGTCTTTCAACTGTTTGCTTTTCAATGAATCAAAGACTGACTGAATAAGATGATCAAAATTTTGTCCATTTTCTGCGGACCAAGTATCACGTTCATTTTCAGTGAAATAAGGACCATTAAGCCATTCCATAACAATCTTTAATGATGTGTGTATTTTTTTCATGCATGGATGTTCATTGGGATCATCTACAGCTGTAAATCCTGATTTATTCAAGTAAACCATCAATTTACATTCTGTATTCGCCTCAGTTGAAGTATCAACATCTGAAACAATTATAATGACATTTTTCTTGTATAAATATGACAAGCTATCTATTTGGTTGAAATTCGCGGATACTTTGATAAATGCATTAACACCATTAGAGCTCAGAGAAGATTTCTTTGTACTGTCATGTTTGACCAAACCAACAACAACATTAGTATCAGATAAATTCGATCTTTCTTTCGATGAGCAAATAAGCAACTGTCCAGAAAAACTGCCAATAATTCCAACAGCATCGCGTAGACATACTTCATGAGAAAGCATGAACATATACCCAGTCACACCAAGATGACAGTCGTTATCTACAATTCTCATGTTAACATTATCAGTTGGATCACTTCCAACGCCCAGAATCTCGTTATTTTTTGACCTCGTATTCCACAAAAATTGTTCGACTTGGTCACCTTGTCGTCGTTTTGGAGGCTCTATGTTTCTTTTTCGTCTACTCATAATGATAGGGAATGAATCTTTCAAGATATTAAGTTCGTTTCTCTATCGACGCAATGACAATATATCACCTGCATAGTCAGCCGCCATATTTCTGCACTGTTTCTCATTCATCAAAATGCTGTGCCGCCAAAAATAACTATAATTTTCCAATAAACGCCTCGTATCAAATAAACGTCCCTCAATCCGCAATAAACAGCCCGTCTCTAATAGACGCCCCCTCCATATTACCACCATGCAATGTTGTTAAATGAGTCGTTTATTGTGCTCATAAACTGTACATTTAGTCTTAGGTGATAGAAAACTGGTAGAAATTATATAAACGCCTCTCTCTATTAAACGCCTCCTATCTATGTACATTATATCATTTACAGTAGTCTTCTACTATATGTAAGAGCCATGTTTTGGTCCAACCTCCCCGAAGACATTGCTGTTGATAAAGACAAATGTGTAACGTTTCTAAAGACATCCTTTTTGCACAAGAAAATATCAAAGAATAAACGTTGATTTAATGGTTTCGATCTTATAAACCTCTGACTATTAGCCAATACGCAAGAATTTGAACAGTTTAAACCATGTTCAACTTGATGCAATGGTGCAGTAAACATTTCATTTTAAGTGAACGATTGCATTCACGTGTTTTTGACTTCAAATATTTACACCATTGTATATATCTTGCCGAATTAAAAAAGAACAAAAAGAAACTTACGTCGATTTACTGAATATGAAAGTGCTCGCTATAAATTTGCGTTAATGAGCTCAAGAAATAAAACGTTGGAGTTTTTTTTTTACATTTTTTTTAAATAACCTTTGTAAAGTTTCTTGGTATTAGCTTGAATAGATTTTCTGTTTGAAAATGCACTGAATCAATTGCTTGATGCAGTTTGAGGAACACGAATCTCCAAATAACGAAATTTTACAAATGAAATTTCTTTCAATATATACGACAAGTAAACATGAATACGCAGTAATGAATCATTATACAATTTATTTCAACTGAACTTACTAGACTTAGCAGTATATGACTTTATATCAGATTGCACATGCTGCAATAGAAATTGATCACTCCTAATTAATGTTATCAAACAAATGCTTCAAAAAATCGTTAGCGTTAAGTCATGATTAAAAACAAAACCAAAGGAACAGATTGAATATAAACCTCAAATTTGTTATTCGCCGATAGAAGTTGTGGTTAGACAATAATAATAGTATATTGTAATTAACACTGGCTTTATATACAAAACAACGCTTAAAAAATTATAATCAACTTTGACATCTTCATAAGAGAACTCAATAATTTAATGATTTATATCCTTAAAAGTATTCAGTTACAAGCTATACAGTCTATTTTCATTTTATTTTGCTAACTAAAATATTGAAAACGTATGACCGTATAGTCTGTTCCTTGTAACAGAGAACTCTAAATATTCGCTCACTTAGCTACAAATAATTTAGCTGAGATATATATATAGATATAAAATGAACTAAAATAAAATGGACAATTGTTGGCTGTCGCTACTCGGAGCGACAGCAAACAATTGTCCATTTTATTTTAGTTCATTTTATCTTACACTCTTCTAATATATAGAATATTGAGTACTATATATATATATATATATATATTCCTGTTTTTTTTATATTTTTATTTATATTTATTGAAATAGAGAGCTTGTGTAGCATTACTCCTTGGCTTGTGTGTAATAGTGTATCCGATTTTGCTTTTCATTGACATTGTTAATATTGTTTATCACTGTCAAATCTTCTATGTTAGAAAATGGTGAAATACGGTTTTGATAGCTACCCTAGTTTAAGACACATTTCACATGCAATTTTCCATTAGTTATTACAAAAGAATTTCATTCATTTATTCTTTAATATAGTGTTGAATTATATAGCATGTAATCATCTTGTTGATCTATTTTGGACGATGATGCACTTTGAGTTTGTCACAATGACAGTTAACTCTTACAACGACGTTGTACTGAGCAAGTTTTTGTTAAATTGTTTTGATATCTCCACAATATGTTGTAAAAAATTTTATGGAGCGTGAAATTCTGTTAGAGAAATCGATATGAGGAGATAAAATCGCAGTTTGACGCTTGGGCTAAAGTTATTAAATTTTATTGTTTTAAAGAATAGCTAGGAAAGCGTTTTTACAGAGTTATTTAAGAGGTCCATCATCAAAAGAATACCTAAATTATCCTAATTAAAAATTAGCTTTGATCAGATCAATACGATTGCCGAATTGTGTGATTAACTATGATTTTGTATGTTTCTTCTTCGAAGTTTAAAATGAATGGTGTCTTGGTGCAATAATCGTAGCTTATTCTGTATTCATTAAATCCTTGAAAAAATCAATGGAAATAAAATGACACTTCTGCGTGCTGCTAAAATTTTAAAAGCTCAAAGGGAACGCGGTAATCAGAATTTTTGCCGAGAGCTAACCCTTTTATTGTTTTCACATAATGCAAGGCTCAGCAGTTTCCCTATCAGCCGGTCTTTTTGAGTAAATCTACTTCAAAGCATCCGTCATTTATAACTTATACCAAGGGTTATTTTTAATTTACCGAAGATGATTTCAAACAAAACACTTACATGACTATAAATATATAGCAAACTAACTATAGTTTATATTGCGATACTAGATTTTATAGTTTATTTTTAACAAAAGGAAAAAAACAGAAATAAGAATGTGTTTGATTTATATTCATGTTTTTGTAGGAAAAAAATACAGCTTTTTAGTGTCATATTTTTACTATTTTTGTTGAAAAATCTATTTGATAATGATAATTAACCTCTTTATTAGCTATATTTATTATAAAACACAGAAAGGTTGATCAACAAGAAATCAGAATTATTTTCAACTTGTGACGTCAAAAGGACGTGTCCGCTGTTTCTTGGTCTAAAAAGGTCATAATAACTTTGACTTTCATATATGTTTGTACATAATGAGAGTTTATATGGTAGTAAAACACTAGTGTGTAAAAGTTAAAGTCACACTGATTTTGTTGATCACTGTTATTGTACCGATATACTCCTGCAGTGATCGGCTATAGTTGATTAAATTACCGCGGGGAACTAAAATAATAACTGTATTTCTAAAACTTGGCGTGAACACTACAGTCACAATAATGATAACAATGTTACTGTCGGTGACAAGCAGACACGTTAACATGCATTCGTAATTTGTCTTGAATTTCGAACGATTTTGTACTATGAAGCTCTGTGTTTATACATAAGTCATTTCTAATTATTTCCGAGATAATTTGCACAAGGCCTATTTCATCTGATTGGCCTTGTTTTAAACATTAGCGCTTAACATTAGAAAAAAAATATAACTACACTTCATTTAATAAACTTGTAGAAAGCCGCAACCAATCAGAGATCTTGAGATAATTAGCGCCAATTGGATATAGGTATTAAAAGTCCTTTGCGTTTGTATTAAAACCATTAATAAGCAATGTTTGCCTAAAAACGTGTTCGCCATTCAGTAATACTTTATAGGTTATCTCAAGCACTTTTTATAGCTCTACTAGAAAAGTTATGTCCGAGAGCAATAAGTTAGGTCGTTCTTCGTTTTGCATCGAAAGCCTTTTGAATCTTCCTCGTGCTCCTGTAATAGAAACAAAGGCAGAAAAAACTGAATTGTTCAAATCAGAAACTATGGTAGCGACATCTTTGGTGTCAAATGATAATATGTCATTGAAAGAAAGAGAAGGTACGTTGAAAGGATAAAAAATTTTAAACACCATGTAATCATTACGTGTTAATTGCATTTTTCATATTTCAACACTTTAAAACTCTCTTTCTTAAGTGATAAACGATTTAACATTAAGTAGATAATAGCAATTTTATATCGTAGGTGATCTTTTATAATTTCTGTTTTTTCGAATGCTATGTTGATCTACATGAATCAATGACTTGAATTGCTCGAAATTTTAAATATACTTATATTAATGCTTGAAAGTGCTATTTTAAAACATAAAATATTGCGATGATGCCTGCAAATGAATTTGAAATTGTAATTTTACTCTGGTTTTTTCAAAAGATTTTTTCAACCAGTTCATCATGCTTATAATTTTGAAAGGATAAATCTTTTCATTTAAACAACGTGTTTCATACAGCTTTTCTGTCAGTTGGGGGTAGAACTTGTCGGTAATTGCTTACCACAACAAAGATCTCAAATAGTTATCTATTCATTTTGTGTTCTTCAATCATGTTCTTGCAAACGCAGACATTCAAAACTCTAGCTTATACAACAGCTGATTCATGGCTATCAAATGTAATCTAGTCCTTGTACAAATTTGTTATTAATATACTTGTTCATTGGATAAAACCATTGATATGAATCATACGAACTCCTGACTGTAAAACAGCGTGACTAATATTGTGAAACGTTGATATAGCAATAATCTAGAAAGTTTGAAAAGTACAGAAGTACAGATAAAGTTTTCAATCAAAACTAAATTGTGAAGTGAAGATTTTAAAACTTTTTACATTTATGTTGAATATGAAAAATAACTTGAAGATAATCACCTAAAAATGCTAAAATGGTCGTAGCACTTTTTATGTATAGACAGAAAATTTATAGTTAATCTTATACCAGTTATAATTGTTAATAATTTGCATGACAATCTTTATATTTGCATAAATCCAATGATTCAATGATCCTCTGACAGACATTGAAAGAATTTTCATCTATTTACACTGAACTATGCTGAATTGCTGATGTGCAATTAGTATGAAACAATTAAATTTATTCTATAAGTTTAACTTTTTCACAGTGCAACAATAAGAAAACCATCCATGCTTTGTTAAAATCTTTTTTTCCTTCATAACGTTTCAGTAAATTACAAATGATGTGAAATGTGATTTTAGGTGTAAAGACGAGAGAGAGTTTTGAAGACAAAAAAACGAATATTAATGAACGTAAAAGACCAAGAACGGCCTTCTCAGCTACTCAAATCAAGGAACTTGAAGAAGAATTTGAGAGAAATAAATATCTTACGGTTGCTCGAAGGATTGAAATGTCTAAGTCTCTAAAACTTACTGAAACACAGATAAAAATTTGGTTTCAAAATCGTAGAACAAAATGGAAACGGAAGATGGCTGCTCAGATGGAGTACGCTCATAATTTGTATACTCAGAGTCTATTTAGTCATTCAAATGGAATGCCATGTTTTACGACTGGAAATTTACAATATTTTGATGGAAGCTACCGTCCACCTGAAAATTTCTATTGTTGTCATCCTAACAATTTATTAAGAAAACAGTTTCCCATTACAAAACCATCTTATAATTTAACTTCGAACTTCTCCCAAGGATATTTTCCCAGATAGTCTACATTGTAAATGACTACTAGGTGGAAATAAAATATATGTACATTAGCAATTATATCAAATCTTTAATAAAATGGTTGATTTTCGATTGGCAATTAGTGCTTTTAATCTAGATGACTCTATAATATAAAACAAATTCGGAAGAAACAAGACATCTTGAGATTGCAAAATATGAATCAAAACAAGACGAGAAGTAAACTGTAAATTCTCGACTTTATTTCAAAGTCATCCTCAATCAGAATCATTCTGTCTGAGGATGACTTTGAAATAAAGTCGAAAATTTACAGTTTACTTCTCGTCTTGTTTTGATTCATATTTTGCAAACTCAAAATGTCTTGTTTCTTCCGAATTTGTTTTATATTATACTTCTTTAAATTGTCGGCTGTTCTAGATGACTCTGTTTAAAGCAAATGACTCATTTCCCATTTGATCTTTTTATTATATAATTTATTGCATATACTTATTGAACTTTTGTTTTCGCCTCTTAAGTCAGGGAGATGCAAACTAATCGTATGATTAGTAATCTTTAGAAGGGAGGACGTCTTTTCTAAAACAATTTTTGTGCACTGAGGCTGTTTTATGAAAGTTTGGAATTTTTGTTGATTAGTTTAAATGTATTGTGAATAAAATAACGCATAACAATCTGTTTATAATGAATAATTACATTGATTATTGACATTTCTTGTCACTGATTGTTCCTTTCAATACATACACCTAATTTTTCTCTTTTTCTCCTTGAAATCATCACAAAGATCTTTCATCATTTGAATAACTTCAGTGATACATGTTTTTTTGCTTTTGCAGGAGTCTTTCCGCTTAGAGTTAAATTTATTTTTAAAATTCGACATTATGGTTTGCAGAGTAATAATCCCCATGCAATTTTTTTATTTCACAAGAAAATGAAATATCGCATCATTTTGCATCATGACGCATCAAAAAAGAGTAATCACAATTCCTATCATTTGAACTTTGTTGAAGTAGATGCTTTAGTTGAAGCCTGTAAATTATGCAAAGTCTATGAATTTATTTTTAAGGAATGATGGTAGCTATATAGCTCTTTTATTGACTTGCTCTATAATAATAATTTATTTGTTTCCATGTTAATTTTTGCAGCAAAAGCTAGATTATTCTAGTTGGTTAAAGACTGGTTTGAGTATTAAAATTCTGTACACAAACATGGGAATATAAGAGTTTTTAAATCTCTTTGGAATACCTAGTGTGTTAAATTAAAGGATGGTAAAATGCTGTATAATTTATACATGGTCTTGATCATTTACAGCAAATTAAAGAGTTTTTAACACAAGACTTCACGTGCATAAAGAGGCTGAAGAGCTCAATGCGATCTAAGTCATCGCTATGATATAATTTAACAAGCTCGCCTCTGGATACGTTTGAGGTTTTTACTGAGGTATGTCAGTAAGTTATATTGGAATACAAGGGCACTTTGTCTAATAAAGTCTCTTACAACATTTTCAATGGTCTTCTTCTGTAACGTTAAGTTACGGCACTGATTTTGTAAGCAGGAGACTCCTAAAATGACAGAAATTCAGCCAGTTTTTCTTTTCTTGCTGATGCTATTTATTTAGGGACCCAAGTCACTATAAGCATGCTTAAAAACTTAACTACGTTGGGAAACGAAGATATTGTCAGTATTTAGCAAATCAAATGCTTTTCTGAAATCTAGTCAAACCAAAGGTATTTTGTCAAATTGGTGAGTACATCAACTATTTTTAGTACGGATGTTATTTCTTTAGTCAACGAATTCTTGTGCTATCTTACAAAGTAGCTATAAAGGTGAAAAAAATCAATCTTATATGTAGAGGGAAAGTGACATCAATCTGGTCTTTGTATCGTGGTATTTCCAGGATGAAGGCAGGGTAACTTGCAAAACATTGCATTAATGATCTTTTTACTGGTTTGTTTTAAACTTCACTTTGTTTAAGAACCCATGTTGGCAATTCATCTCGGTGAAGTGTTTTTTGAGTTTTGCAAATATCTTCATGGTTTGAAACGACCAACTGCCAATAAATGTTGACATAGAAGGACAAATGCCTGATTTATAAGGTCAGATAGTTCAATAAATTCTTGTCCACAATGCATTGAAAATTAGAAGAAACAGGATTTATTCTGCAGAGGATTTTTAAATGTTTCCTTGTGAGTAATGGCCAATGACTGGCCAAAGTATAAATTTGCACTGTACTTGTTCATATATATAAATAAAACCCAACACAATATAAGGAAATAAGATTTACTACGCAAAATATAATTTTGCACACAGAAATAATTACATATAGCACTTTTTTGTTGTTGCTTAACAACCGTAATAGATGTTTGTGGATGTAGATCATCCTGGTTAGTAGAGTCCTGAGAAGGACTGTTGTTGTTGATGTTGACTAACGTTTCGACACCCTTAGCGATAGTCAACAACAACAACAACAAAAACAGTCCTTCTCAGGACTTTACTAACCTGGACGATCTACTTCTACAAACATGTAACGATACTCCCGGATTCAAACCATTTACTTCAACCGTAATAAAGTAAGAATATATGACCGAAATCAAAACCTTGTATGTATATTTAAATGTATAGCTATATAGCAAGGTATTTCAATCTACGAACATGAACCATCTTAGGCTTACGGGACGGGGGCAGTGAGGAAGCTCCCAAAGAAAGTTTGAAATGTTGGGCAAATTTTAAATGTCCGTCGAGCGAAAATATGGCGGAACCTTTATTGTGAGGTTCATAAACAGCAATTTTAAGCAATAATAATTCGGTGCGTGCGAGTTTTCGTATGTACGTCATCTTTTGGAAAAATTATTGCTAACATTGAAACCAAAGTGCAAAGATGTCCTGTCGTATTTTAACTTTTTAGTTGTTTGTCATAAGATTAAAGATAATTTCCATTGGGCTAAGGTGTGATGATATAACTGCATTGATATTTTTATATAAATATGGAAAACGTTTTCTTTTTCAGCAATAAGTATGTTTCAGTTATACTGTTTTATAAAATGGATTATTTTCAAGAAAACTAGAACAGTAAATATATTTATTCACGGTTATAATTTATTCATGTCTTTAACATTAACATTGACAATCAAAATAACTTATATTAAAATAATAAAAATTTATACAACAAGCGTTCTATCACTTTTAATATTTTCTACATTTGCAAAATTTTATCCTAAGATCTAGGTACATTATACGATCAAACTTGCTTACTATTTCTTAGAGATACATTATGGTGAAATTTTTTTGCTTCAGAAGCTTATATAAACAAAAAGATTTTATAAACTATAACAGATATGTTTAAAGCCCATATGGACGACTAAGTTACGTGCAATCTTATTTGGGTGTGTTTGAGAACAATCCAGGCGTACCACAGCTGGCCTGCCTACACAACTGTTATGTATAATTGAAAATATAAATGAAATAAAGCTATCATATTGCTGAGCTTGAAGTCTTTTTATTCACTATAAATATTGAATTTTTCTGACAAAATTTTTATTAATAAGCATCTAAGTTAAATGATTAATTTTACAAGGACAAGCGTTTGTAGCTTTGTTTGAACTGTAATTAAACGTAGCAAATTAAAAATTCTAATTATACTTGACGAAGTTAATTTCTGTTTTCTTTTATACTTGAGAAGCAATCATGTTGTATTTACAGTGTCCAAATATATAATAATATTTGCAGCTGGTTTATTTCAGCTTTAACTTGGTATCTAAAGGCTGCTCTTAGCCTCATGAAGACTGGGTTTTTTCAGGAGTTGCTGACAATGGCAGCCAATAGTTACATCTCTTAGTCCCTCCTAAATAAATCCGGGCATGTGTACAGCCAACTTTCTATGTTGTTATGCTGCATTTTATCACAGCGAAATTTTTGATCTTTGAATATTGTGTTTATACGAGTTTAGCTTGATAAGAGACTCGTGCCTTGTTTACTCTGAGCCGTTTTCGTAGAACGGAACAGCCATATTGTTTAAGGAGATTAAAGTTTTGTCTTTTTTTCTAAATTAAGAGCTCGAGTAAAAGCTTTGCTAGGCTTGTATGGAGGTGTAGCTAAATCTGTATTCAAATATAGATTCGATATTTCTACCAAAATTTTCATGGAAAACATACTGCAAACATCGAGAATTTTAGCATACTCAAATGATACTATATAATATAGCTAATAATCAGTACATTTTTATATGAAATACTTATAATTTCAAATATTTCAAATTTATTGAAAATGCATAAAAAAACTTGAAGAAATCTGTTCATTTGATATTTACACATCTTACTTTTTGATTGAGATTAATTACATGAGCAATTTTTTAGATTGCTTGCAAAGATTATTTCATTTCATGTGTTTTTATCGTCTGAAATGCTTCAAACTAAGCGATCGCTATCATTGCGCAGGAAATCTTTCTCAGACAATCATTTCCATTTTGTCAAAGACTATTTACTTTTTTTTTCAAGAGAAACGAAAACATCAATTGATAATTGATTTAGTGAACACAATTTGCGTTTTTTTTTTATGAAACAGTCGTGTTAGGTATCGTTATCTCATGCATTAAAATAAAAGGCTTTTTGTGCCACATGCTTGTCATTACCGACAGTAATATGCTATAGAATTGGCTTTGGCCTATGAAAAGTAGAACAATGTTAGATCGTAAATATATTTATTTAATTATGCTTTGCTTATGATCTTTTCTTTTACTTTTATGGGGATGGTTGCTAAAGATTTCATCATATTTAGAATACTGCCGAGAGAAATAGATCATGCTCTTTCAATGTTATATTAATAAAATTTTCATTATGTTATTCAACAATAGAAAACGTTTGCTAATTATATTTTAAATTATCAAATTATTTCACCATGAGCACCGTTTTATACAATCGTTCTTGTGCCATAATTAAGGAAGGAATATTTATTTGTAACAATACGAAAAAGTCTTAACAATATATGCTAGAATGTTGGATTGAAACTTTTAAAGCTTTGTCTTGGTTTGAATACGATCGTTTCTCGTATGGCTAAAAAATTTCAATGGCGAAATACGTACGAAATTATGACTTGTTCACAAGTATTTTTCACTGATTTTATATGATAAAACAGCATAAGAAATGAGCCGACATGCAGCTTTCGTTTGACGGTTAAATCATCTAAAAGTCAATCTCGACTGATAATTGAAATATTTCGTCGTGTTTTTACTGATTAACACCTGACTGCATTTAAACAAGATTCATTGTGTCTTAAAAGCCGTCCCTTTAGATTGAAGCAATCACTTTTCAACTGACTCTTAGTAAGCTGTTCACTTTAGGAATGGAGACAGATAAAGGGTTTTATATAGAGAATATTTTGAAGGATTCGAAGTTGACAACTTTATCAGGAAAACCACTTCCAAAAGATTCTTATGTCGAACTGCAAAGTGATGATTTACAAAATGAAGGAAGAAAAAGTGATTCGTTGAATCCATCATCAACAGTTGCCTCTACAATTTTGAACACGTCCCGTACAATGTACTCAATTATAAACGACCAAAAAGCCTACATTGGTAAGAAAAATAAATTTGGGAAATAATGGACTAAGAATCTCAAATTTTAATTACGCACCAGTGAGAATGTTCTATATTTTCAGTCATTAGTAATCAATACTTTAAAAATAGTCTTATGTAGATTACATTTATGTCTTGATCAGCTTCAACAAAGTAAAACTGTTGTGTTTTCCTGACAATGATAAATCTTTCAGGAAAAACGATGTTTAAGTTTTTATTTTGCGTTCAAAGTCTTCTCATTATTAAGATATATAGTTCATGATTGATATTTTAGAAATATTTAATGGTGTTATAGCATGGAACACTTTTACATCATTAGAAAAGCAGTGAATTTTAGGCATACTATGGTCACCAAAAAAATTTTAAATCATAACAAATCCCTGATTTAGAATGCATGGTTTATAATATATATTAATACAAAGCAGTGTTTTGCTCAGATTCAAAAAGGTTTTTCTCAAAATGATGAAAATCGTCATTACATATGTACTTTCAGTAAAGTTGACTGAGTTTGAAGGAATGCAATTCTACATTTATAACAATTTATAAAATAAGGGTGCATAATTAAGGTCTTTGTTGTCCTATAATTGTGCGTAATATGTACCTTGTTCTTTCATAATACTGAAATAAGTTTTTGGTTTCTTCATTAGCTTCTCCTGTTGGTGTTGCATCAAATACCCAGACAGAAACTGGAGTCTCACCTAATATGCCAAAGAAACGCAAGCGCACTGCATTTTCATCACATCAGATTAAGGTTCTTGAAGAAGAATTCGAAAACAACAGGTACCTTAGCGTTTGTAGAAGAATGGAGCTTGCCGCTGGCTTAAAACTATCCGAGACTCAAATTAAAATCTGGTTTCAAAATCGAAGAACAAAGTGGAAAAGAAAAATTGCCGCTGAACGCGAAATGGCGCTGGCTCAATCTCATTATGCTATTCATAGGTCACTGAGAAATACAAATGTATTCCTTTCACAGAATTACTCACTAAATTCATTTCATCCCAATGTCCGTTACTCATTTTGCTCCTTGCCAGGAATTTATAATGACTACTAGTGTACGTGGAGAGTGAAAAAAGAGAAATTTCTTCTTGGCTGTCGACATCAAAACATCTTTAACTGATGTAGCTATTTGTAAAATGTTAATGAAATTACAATTTCGTGTTGAATTTTGTTCTCATAACACGGTATATTTTATGTAAATTCTCGAAAATACTTTTTTATTTACCATAGTGTCTGATACTTATACTACACTGTAGAAAGTATCCAGTTCTCTTCTCACTTTTCATAAACAATGACATTAGTCCAACATTCTCATCATCTATAATAAAAATGAATCTATGATTTGACTTATCGAAGTTTAGATTTAAAGAATCCTACAAAAAAAGTTCTTATCTTTCCATTGTAGAAAAACTGCATATTTAATTAGCTAACATATTTAGGTTTAAATGAGAGGTTTAGTGGTGCTGAAAGTCAAAATACATCATAAAAGTGTTTATTGTTGCAAGTCGTTTTTATCAGTGAAAGATTCTTTTCTTATGGTGAATATACACAAACACTGAGACTTTGCTTTATGCCAACTGACTTGGTGAGATCACAGCTAATTAACTTTAAAACACAAGGCCTGGCTTTAAAATTTTTAAATGTAAACAAATTACCGAAATATTTTGCATATTATATATCTTACTGTAAAAAGTAAGCTCTAAACAATGAAAAAGTACTTTTAATTTTAGAAAATTAAACTTAAAAGCTGATTGAACCATTTCATGGTTAGTCGTAGATAGTATTTTGCCCTGTTTTATAATAACAACAACTTTGACAAAACAAGTAATTCGATTGGTCCAAAGTCATAATCAAAAAAAGTTGATACTTTTTCATTTTTGCTGCGTTTGACGTCATAATGCGTGACTAACTGAAAAAATCCTAAAATTGTTCATACTTAAATGCAAGTATTTTACACTTGCTTAACAAGAAAAACAGCCCCTGAACTCTGTACATCAGTTTAAAAGTTGGAGTAAACACATTCTTTCATTGACAATATTTTACAACATATTTAGAAAGGAGTGTGGGGACTGGGAACTAGGGACTGCTTTAAAAATTATGACAAGCAATAATTTGTAAAATTGTAGCTTTTAACAAAATTCCACATGAATATGTTCATTTCTAATTAAAGACGTTAAAGTTCAATATGTTTTTGTCTTAGTATTTTTGGTGGATGGCTATTATACGTAACAATATATTTTGTATGTAATTTAATAATAATAACATGTTATCTTTATATTTAATAACATTCATTAAAAATACATAACAATTACAATACATGTATGTTATTGTTATTAGCTATTACCATTTGCGTTCAACTGGTAACTGCCCCAAATTTTTTGCGTTTGTTTACGTTTCAAACGTCACGCTCTTTCTTATATTATATGCTCTTTCTTATATTATATGGTCAACTATCAAACTTTACTGATCGCCTAAGGTATACAGATGTAATTTTCAGTTGCAACAGCATTTTATCATTGTAAAATCGTATAAACATGTTAATCACATGACCAAAACCTGTTCAAAATGTTCCTCAAACGTTAAACATTCCTGAGCAAACGTTACACATTCCTGAGCAAACGCTGCACATTCCTGAGCAAACGTTACACATTTCTGAGCAAACGTTACGTTTCTAATTTGAAACACGGCGTTTCGTCGACAAACGTGACGTTTGAAACGTAAACAAACGGGAAAATTTGGGACACTTACCAGTTGAACGCAAATGGTAATAATAAACATGAATGACTTGCAAAGTTCGAATAAGCAGGCAAAATAGAAATAGGCTCTGATTCCAAAATATTTCAATAAAAAGAATAAACCAGAAACGTTTTAGTCTTCATTGAAAAAATTTCAGCTATGCTTTTATGGTTTTGTGAAGACGCGAAGAGGCGGTTTTTAATGCAAGATCAACGTCATCAAATTGAAAACATTTTTACAAATGCTTTTGCTGGAAAAGCAATACGTTTTAACAGAAACATTATCACAAATATGAACCATATGAGCACGCTGTCATATCTAGAAAAATTTTCTCTGTGACATCGAAATACGTGTAAATATTTACATGACAGAATTTCCATCGCGTTACACTTGGAAGGATATAATTGTTTGTATAAATCACGTGGAATTTTGTGTTAATTAATATCTTTATATTTTTCATGTCTTGAACACTCATATATTTCCTGTGGCCTTGACTCTTTCAAAGCTTCTTGAAACTCAAGGATTATTAAGTACTTGATATCATCAAAATCAAGTACCTGCCGACACGAAACCATTCATATGTACTTGCAAATGACCAATGCTGAAGAAGACAGATTTTTACTAAACAATATAACACGCTTAGTCACAGTCTTACGACGAATTTTGTTTTCATCATTTAATGATTTAGGATTTTGCGTTCTCGTGCGACTAAATGCACACTTGAAACATTTTCTATTTTTGGAGCATAGCAGGTGCGTTCCTTCTTCTGTTTTATAAAAACGTGTTTGTTGTCTGCTGACGTCAACAATTGAGAGTACACAAACACACAAAGTGTGACCACGACAAATAATCCCCCATGAACTTCTAGATGTCACGACATCTTAAAATGTTATTTATTTACTGTCAAATTTATAGCCTAGACTATTTATCCTTTACGAAAATAATTTTATTTGTATAATTTTTTTGTATCAGCTTCACCAATTAATAAATAAATGAAGACAGCGTGTAACCAGAAGTCAACGGTATAATTAAAATAAGAAGTATAATTGTATAATCGGTTGTAAAACTGTTTAAATAGTTTAACAATTATTCCTTTAAACTGCTCTTTTTGTCACTTAGTATGTGGAGATGTTGTAATTATCACGGAAGGAAAATCATAGAAAGCCTGTAAAGAATAAAACTTATTTGGATCATATATTTGCCTAAATCATATATTTGCATAAATTTTCTTAACAATGTCAATGTAAAATCATCCTTCAATGTTTCCATAGCATTTCTATCAAAGATAATGTATGATATTGTACATGGGAGGCTTTGCATTTGTTATTGACGACAACAGTTTCATTAAAATACACTTTCGGTAATTTGAAAGCATAAAGTAAATGGAATGTTAACATCATATGTTGAATTCATTTGTATTTGTTTTGTATAGAACGTCAAAAGAACATTCTCTCACCCACACATATCTCAATTATTCCACATTAAGCTAATTATATGTCTAAAAGCTTTTTCAAAATCTGCTAAAACGGAAAAACATCATATTGTAAACGTATTTAAAAGTTCAGTTTTATAAATTTACTGCTCGAAATTATATTGTATGCTATTTAGCCTTTGCTATAAAATTATGTATTAAAACTTGAAATTGATTTAATTGAGATGCATACTAAATGTGCGAAATAAGGTATCAGTTACTACATCTACACCAGTCAAAACATTTTATTGATTTCGTTAAAAGTCTATTGCATTTAGTTCTTTATTGACTTAAATTTCAAAATGAAAATAACTGAATATTTTTATTTTGATAGTTAGATTCTAAGGCCAAGACTGTATGACGCTCTTTCATAAAAAGCTCTTTGTGTTTCAACACGTAGCTGTTTTGCTAAGCTGATTGTAAATGATTGAATTCATTTCACAAAAGGTATTTATTATATTTAACATAGAATAACATGGCTGTCATATCTCGTTTATTTAATTTTGTAGTTTTTAAACTGGACAATCGTAGTACTGTAATTAGAAAGTAAAAGTATTATTGCAAATATATTTAATTGTAATAAACAGCAGCTTATTTATGTTTAACTCACCACTAAATTGCTTTGCAAATAATGAAAAAGTTTGTATTTTGTCTTTGGATTACTACCTTTTTAATTGCCATAAAAACTATTAACTTATAAACGTTCTCTTTATAATTGATCAGGCAATTAGTAATATTTTATATCTAAAGTATCCTGTTGAATTCGCAAGATAACAACATTTTATGTGTCTTTATCAAAGATACGCTTTGTAAACATAGTCAAAAAAATTTGCATATGATTTGCTGAACTGAGTAGTTAAATTACCAATGAGTGGAGGTATGATTCAAATAATTTCTTTCCACAATTCATGTGATAATAAATTGCTTTATAGTGAGTTTCATTACTAACTCAAATCCTGCTACAGCAATTTTAACACGCTAAAAGTTTTGAATAGCTTGGGAAAACTGCCATAATTTTACTGATAAGTAAAATTTTAGGTACATGTCGTTTGTCTTAGATATTATATACAACAACCTTTGTTGATGCATATTATAAATGTCATGTACATAAACATTTCATGTATTTCTCGCAAGTAAAGCTCTAGACGTTACATAATCAATAGATTTATTTAATTAAGTAAGTGCAATGTTATAGATAGCCTTCATAAGCTGTAACAAAACGCTTCTCGATCAACAATTTTCGAATTAGCAGAAACAAAACATGGAAAATATTTTTGAATACAAGAACGTCTTACATGTCAACGTTATATACTGACACTTCTCTCATTATTAAAATCACCTATCTTCATGTTCATATGTTTCTCTAACTTATCTTGTACAATTTCTTAAGACTGTAAAGAAATGTGGCAAAGTGCTCAATAAAAACAAATATCGAAGTGGAGTATGTCATAAAAATTTCTTTTTGTTTGTGTACGTCATATTCAATAACGCCAACAACGCATTGTATGATAGTAATATCCAGTGACGTACCACTCGCTAGCCACATATGCTTAGGTCAACAACTAAGGGCTATGACAATTGGGGGCCTCTTTGGCTACCTAAAGGTATGTTTTATTGAACACATGTATAAACAGCTGCAAAATGAAAAATTACTGAGAGTCGAAAGAAAAACTAGGTCAGCAATCACTCGTCTAATAGAACCATGAAAACTAATAGCGTACTATATACTTGTGAACCACAATTGCACGAGTATTATGCAAATAAATATTTCATTGCGTTTTCAAAGCTAAAAAAATTAGAAACTACCCCGAATTTTTATAACACGACAATTTTGGTGGCTGGCTACGCAACCATAGCGACAAAAGTCAATATGTAATTCCTCCCCCCTCCCCCCACTTGCAAGTAGAACTAAGGCTCCTATCTTCCTCCGCTACGCAACAGGCAATATCTTATATAGTTTGAGGTCTGACAAACTCAATATGAAAATATTTCCAGTTGTGTCATTATGTTGTATTTGACTGAAGCAATGTTTGTTAATTTAGACATCTTGTATGTCAATGTTTTATTCAGATGTCTGTTAGAAGAAACATGAACAATATTTCACTTTCTAGATTGAACAATGAAATGTGTGTTGTTCAGTGTTCTCACATAAATGTTTTGCAACTTTGTCTTAATGATTTTCTGATAGTAAAGAACCACTAGCTACTTGTCCGATAGTAAATGTTGCGATTAGTTATTTACACTGACATAAAAGTATTTAATGACGTTGCATAATGCAGGATTGTCACGAAGATAAAATGATTCAATGGATGAACTTTTTTATTTAGAAAGTTAACATCCACATCTATATAATTTGAAAATCTCACTGAAAAAATAATATTTTTGTCGAAATTTCACAATCAATCGTTGAAATAACAAATTGCAGATTTTTCGATTTGAAACTCTGCTCTTGTTTTGTTATGATGAGAACAATGCATTATTTTTTGGCGTAATTGTTCACTTATGTCTAAAGCCTACGTACTGAAAGTGATTTCTAAGGCTAGCATATGGTGTATACTTATTTAAAGATGTTTAACTCTTACTATGTATGTATTCATTTGAAATTTGTTGTGCTGTCATTTAACTCTCATGAAGATAATGGACCACCAATTATACGATTGCTTCGATCTTCACATGAAAAATGCAACTTTACTTCGACAAATTGGAAATGACACCAAAATAACGAAATTTCTTTAAAAATATTTGATAATTATCATTCAACATATTTTGTCCATATTTTGTTCAACCATTTTAATTATACTGTTTTTGATAATTAAATGGCTAAATATGGGAATTTTTTCATTTAACTTTTTTCATAAAGTTCTCTCCAAAACACGAACGAAGTAATTGAAAGTTTTTGTTAAATCGTATTGTGCACATTCTGCTATAACCACGAACTTTTTTGCTATATTTATTCAGCAAATTTTAAATAATAACTTTTATGTGTTCTAGAGCAAAGCCTGTTTGCCACATTGCAAACACGTGAAAGGCTTGCCGCTATCAAATGTATCTCAATAGCAAGTTAAGATTTTAATCAGTAAAAGTGTTTGATTAAGAAAGACAGTTGACAATAAAACAAAATAAATGTTGAATATCTTTATCTATCGAACACTTCGATTCTTGTTGATGAATTATTCACATCATTGAGCGTGCTTTTTTCTAAGATAATGTTCATATAATTATGACAATATGGTTAATAAAATATTCACAGGTAAAACAGTCACTGGCTCACTGCTTGCTTGTTACTCATGACTTCGAGAATATGCTACTTTGTATTTGTGCTTTAAATTTCAATTATTTCTTTTCATATCTAGTTACTTCTTTGAATAAGAAAAAAACTTTAAAATAAAATGATTGCTAAGACATTTCCATGATTAAAGAGACGTAGCTATTAGGCTTGTAATAACTAATACTTAGAGCTTAAATGAGTGAAAATGTATTGCTAAATCGCCGTTTAAAATTATTCTATTTTAATGTCATGTTGCTTCACATAATATTTTCCATTCATCAAATGATATAGCTACTTCATTCAAACATTTGATGACTATATTTGACTACAAATAGTTCTTTATATAGTTACCTAGTCCTTATTTCTCTTTCAATATTCAACGTCTTCTGTTTTCTTACTTATATTTAAAAAAACCTCCTCAGCACATAGATATTGTTTTTGTACATGCATATGTATGCAAGGTTTAGTTTGCGTTGGGCGGGAAAACTTTCTCGTGCAATTGTGATAATTCTCTGTGTATAAACAGTGATAATAACCATAATTTGCTAACACTGCATTAGATATTCCAATTGATCGTTAACTCCATTCACCTGCTGAGTCTTTAGTCTAGCCACTTTGACACAAAACCAAGTAAGAATTTTACAGTAAAGTTCAATATCTGCTTTTGATGTGAAATTTTGCTGATAATAGCTCTATAACTGAAGTCAAAAATAGTTCGGAATATTTATAAAGTTAAATCATCTAAATGACGAGTCGTTCAATTCAACGACACATCAGGTGTCTGAGAATATTATTGGTAGAAGTGCATTAAGGACTTATGTTTTGTTAAGCATTTTTGGTTGTCAACAGACATACCGCTGTGTGTAATCAACAGAGTGTTTTATTTCTTTGTTTTTAGAGGCACCAGCACGACTGAACCTCACGGCAATATATTCATAATCTCCAACATAACATGTAGGGTGTATTCTTTCACTTTCTTGTCAGTATAAGTCTTTTTCTTTTTGATATTATAATTATATGAATACGGTTTAAAAGTCATTTGTCCAATATTTCGTGATACGAAATATAGCTATTCGAACTTTTTACACAACTGAAAAATATTGTACAATATATGTATTTTCTCGTCTTCATTAGCAAGTATTTTTTTGAATAAATTTAAAATGCACACGGTTTCCTGACAATTCAGCTATATCTTGCAAAAGCATATATTTTCAGCTAATTCTAAAATCATAAATATTGTGGATTGTTTTTCGAAAAAAAATTAAAGCTTATTGATAACACTGTGGTCTCAGGAGTTTTGTTGAGACTGAACTTTAGCAATGACTCTTGCGTGCACAATAATGAAAACGGATGTTTCGATAAAGTTTTTCATGCATTACACGATCGAGTGAAGTGAATATCTATATATAACTCAAACCGTTTTGTGAGTTTGGATATATTTTTCATTTGAATCATCACTCTCCTCTTTAATAAATATATCTACATCTACATACAATTATTTTGTTGCTTGATTAGTTAAAGTTTTGACAAATGTTATTGTCTTATTGTTCATTCAAGTAACGTCGACATTGATCACGACAGAAACTTCACTTTTTAAGTGCTCTTCTCCGTCCTTTATAAACAATGTCATATCAGCAATATTAAAGTTAGCTCAATATCTTTATTCTAATATATTTACAACGAGTGCAGAGAATGGTTCTCGCCGAATTACGACCAAAAATTGGTCAGTTGATGTGAGAAAACGGTAATTCGCTGATGTTTATATACTTTAAATGATTTAAAGTCAATAAATAACACTAGTTAAGACACTGTTTATAAATTAATAATTTTTCTCTAATGTCGCGATTGAAATGCTGGATAGTCTATCGATGGAGTATGTGCTAGTGACCAAGGATCCGAGTCAGGGGAACATGAATTAATATCGTTCTCGGTTTTTGTTATGTTATTGTTCCATAAGTTATTTGTGTTTACATTCTGGAGTGGTTTTTCCTCTGGAGTTATTTCACCGTCATTTTTACCCTGTTTCTTCACTTTAGATCTTTTGTTTTGAAACCAGATTTTTACTTGTGTTTGTGTGAGGCCAAGTCTTGCCGCTAGTTCAGCTCTTTCTGGTAATGCAAGATATTGTGTTCGTTCAAATCTTCTGTTTAGTTCACGAAGTTGAAAGCTAGTGTAAATTGTTCTTGGTTTTCGAGGACGCTTGCCTTTACTGTTTAATCTTGGTTCGTCGGAATGATCTGTAAAAAAATCAACATTCTTTTAAGGATGTATAATTTTCGATGAGTAAATATTTGAAAATGTTGTTTGTTTATAGCTTAGCTATAAATTCTTCCTCAATCAGTGCGATGTTCATGGTCGTCGTTCGACTTAAATAACAATACCTTTTGATCGACAAAATCATGTCAGTTTGTACAGCAGTTTATGATTGCTACAAACCCGGTTGAGTACATAGCTTTAGGTAGCATATAAGATTATTGTTGAACTGCTTTATTTTACGATCGGATGATTTTGACTGGCTTGGTTAAAAATATTATTGATGAATTAGGCTATCAACGTCTTAGCAAAATATTGAGTTGAAAATATAAATTTCTCAAAGCTTAAGTACCAAAAGTGTCATTTCTTTTAGGATTCTTTTAGGAATAGTTCTCCGTTGAGTCAATTATAATGGTCGCTCATTTTTTTCAAACATTAAGTAAACTAAGCTCAGAGAACGTATACTTCACATCTCCTTGAGATTGCTAATACAAACTATATCACGTAATATAGGTCTTAAAAGATTATTCGATCCAATTTCAACATTTGATTGTCTTTTCTTCGCTTACCTTCATACATCTCTCGTGAAACATACGGAAGATATGCATGAGAAGTTGGCGGAGCTGGTGGTCCAAGATGATTCACTTGTAATGGAAAGTTCATTCTACTGCCGTAACTTGGTATATTATAATCATTTCTTGGTGGCGTTACACCACATCTTGGATAATAAGGTGCATAATGATGACTTAACGGTGACATATTTGAAAAATCCATAAAAGGAGGCGGCTTCTGTAATTCAGGATGATCAATAGCAAAGTTCATAGTAAATCCAAATTGAACCGTCCAGGATGTGTGTGTGCTGTTCAAGTGGCTGTGTGCTTAGACTAATGTAGTAATGTGCTAGCTATGTAGAGGTTTTTATTGTTCCTTGTAATTTATGCAAAAGATGAATCAAACAGCTTGCAAATGATAGCTTTAATTGGCTCTTATAATAATGACTTGCTAATTGCACTGTTTCCTCGCAACCATTAGTAAATTCAGTTGAAACAAAGAAACTTTTATCATCGAACATATGTTGAAAGCAAAGTGCGCTTGCTTTTGCTCTGAAGATGTTGACTCATTCCACTTATGGAATTTTATTTTATTTCATTTTATTTTATTTCTCTTTAATTTCAAAAGTCAAAAGCTTAAAATACTTACCTGTTAAAGTATTAATTGAGCTATTTGCACTAAACATGCAACTTGTCCATAAACTGTCGCAACACCTTCGCACGAAAACAAAAATTGCAAAATGTTTCATTACAGTAGGTTGAAGTGCAGCGAAGCAACGAATATCATTGCAACGAATGCATAAAAATAAATTTTCACTTGCTCAGATCGTCAAAACTGAATTGAAATTGTGCAGTTAAATTTATCGAAATTTTTTAAAATGGTCACTTATCTCCATTAAAGGGACTCTTTAGATAATTTTTTATGATTAACACCCTAACTGCAATAATTTTTTCTTTCGTTGTCTGTTTGTAGACAATTCATATGGTCTTACTACCATGATAGCAATTTCTTTGGTAACCTGAGAATTTCGGCTTCCTTGTATTATTTTCATTCGCAATATATGTTGACAAAATCGATAAGGTTATTGTTTTCCTTGAAGAAAAATATATATTTATGCATGTTCAAGTATGCCAGAGGCAACATGTTTTACAATAGTCTCTCATGTCAGATTTCTCCCTAAAAATTTTGTCTTCTGTGCACTATTACGATTCGTGGATTGTTATTAATTTTATTCATGACAAGCAGATTTCATTCCTTGATTTTACTAACCACAAACTTATATCAAAGTTTTGACCTACCATAAAGAGATATTCAGAAAATGAATTTATTGTGTTTCAGTGTATATAAACATATGTGTGTGTAGAGTATACAAAGTAATTAAATTAAGTGAGGTTTTTATTTCAATTTTCATATCTTTTTGTATTATTTCAATATATTCAGTATACAAGTTTTGATAACTGTACTATGTTCATAGTTAGTATACATGAAAAGATAATTTTGCCCTCTATTATGAAATTGGCTGAGGTATCGAAACTTTTTCGACAAACATTTTTGTGTTGTGTTTTGGCAGACTATTTAAGATAAGGAAGTTTTGAGATGAAAGAATATTTAGTAATGGCCACAATGTTCCTTAGTGAAAGAGCTCTTGATTCAACAGTGCATGCACTTTCTTTTTTCCTTTGACTTCCTTTGACGCAATCTACATTGTTCTATATACTTTTAATTTTTGGAATATTTTCTCTTGCATGCTGAGAACACATAATCTAAATATCAGCTTGTACCTATCGTAAAAGCAACTTGCGTATAAAGAATTGTTAGTTATGTATTACATTTTCTCTCTATAATAACTTGCATATAAAATTGTCATATTAACTTCACACCACATTAGACATCTTGCGTTAATGAGCTTTTTAAACTTGATTGCTTGCTTCATCTCATCATTTGATGTACTATCATGTTAAAGTGCCTTAGATGCTGTATGCAAAATACTTGACAGCTGTTGTCAACTTGTGCACAAATTGAATGCATGTATGTATACCACGTACTCTTCAAACATCATTTTTATACATTACAAATTTTCCTTTTTATTTATATTTTATTTTTTCAAAAATGTTTCCCACATCAACTGACCTACCTTATCAAAGCTTTGCAATTTCTTTCATAGATTTGTACAAACAAGCAATAAATATACGCAGAATAATTAGCAATTAAGTTACAAGGGTTTTTCATTATTTGAAGAGCAGACTGGTTGGAATAATGACGAAAATGAAATTTTCCATAAATAGTGACTATAAAGATGATGTATTGGGAGGGTAATGAAAAGAAATAAACACTCTTCAGTCAATTGATCCTATTTTTGAAAAATTAAAATTGTAAAATGCTTTAGCTACATTGCATTAGCTTCATTTATTTCTAGTATTTACAGAAAGAAAATATTCTTATTGATAAATACTTTAGTTTTTACATTTTTTCATAATTGTTGAAAACACTGATAAAAAGCGAGTTAAAGACCTTTGGACTGTGTTTTTTTTTCGCAAGCAAATCAAACGAAAACAATTTGAATTCCTTGCCACCTATCCTTTTAGAAAGGATGCGTCGCTTTCTAAAACTGTTTTTTCTCATGAATAAATTATATTCAATTAAAATCAGGTGCAACGAATTCAATCTAAAATAAATTTAATATTGAAAACTAGGTTTCAATGTGTGGTAATTGAGTTTTATCATTAGTCTATCCCCGAAATTTCAATCTTGGCTTTATTTTTAACAATTTTTATGTGTAGACACCATGCAAGCTTTGAGTTGAATCAATTTTCTCGCACAAGAGTTTTTTGCACGACTATATTACATCTAAAAATGTGCGAATATTTCTTTAATTTTCTTATCAAAGCAAAAATTTTAATACACCAAAAGGATAAAATGAGGTCATAACTTCTCAACTTTAGATTATAATTTCTTATGATTTGGATGAAACTCCAAGGTTATATTTTTCATTATCCGTTTTTTAACTAGACAAAAATTGCTTATTTTGTTCAAGTTAGGTTAAATCCTTAATAAAATACTTGTAACGTAGTGTGAAATAAAAGACAAAATTTCAGATAGTATTCAAATTATGTCTGTTTTTTCCAAACCTCGCTTCCTTTTCATAATTTGATACGGCACATGTTGTAAATGGGTTATAATGAAAAGAATATTGACCTTATACCTCAACAATAGATGAAAGTTTTGAAGTAATTTTTTAAATTTTGTGAGGTGATTGTGTTTGTTTGACAAAACAAACTACGAAATAAGTATATTGCATTTATAATGAACAGATGTATTAGTGTGAAGTGCGATACTATATTTGGCGTTATTTGTATTGAATGTATTTAGCTGTTGTTTATATCCTACTTAAAATTTATATCTTCATCGCAATTGAGAGTTGATTGCTACAATGTAGCTAAATTCATAGTAAGTTAAATATAGTTTATCAGATTCATACCTAAGTACAAATTTGTTGTAACAATTGTAAAATAGGAAAAATTCTCTTGATTTTGTCAGAAATAAAAGTCTCGATGCTCTTCAGGAACAGCATGTCAATAGCAATGATATTATATACCGTTGGAGTTGGAATTGGACTTCGAAATATTAGTCAACTCTTAATCATGCAGTTATTGAAAATAAATCATTCACTGAAAACTACTTTTATAACAAGCATGTCAGTAGAGCTTAAACTTCAAGGATTTTAATTGTTTAATATATACATATGTATTTCTCAATTTTCTACTAGGGACATCAAACTCAAAGAGTTTAGTGTGAAAGTTGTAATCCAGGAAACAGCATTTATGTCGTAAATAAAATTGTCGATAATACAAACGAAGCTTCTTAAAATGATGCACTCAGTAACTTAATTTCTATAAAACTAGAACTTAAACTCCAGGAAAGACTTTTCGAATTCTGATTTATTAAAGAGTTCCCACTGAGAGCGAGGTAATTTTCTTTATATTTATCTATTTGATGTGTCAATTAATTAGGGAACGATTAATGGATATCAAAAATCATGTTTTCAATGTTTCGATGTTCTTTATTATCATAAATTCATCCCTATGTTTCAGAACGTCCACAATATACAAACATTTAAAACCAAAATTGATGTAAACTTTTGTTGGTTTGTATTTCATCAAATTTTTTTTAACTGAGGAGGCAATGTTGCTTTTGCAGTAAGTACATTATGCTGTTTTCGAAAATTTTTATATACACACATGCCAAGCTAGATTTTCAAATATTTTTACATTTGTTATGAAAGTTGTTTCTTTACGTCTATATATTTTTCAAAGTGTAGACGGACGTCTGAAGCGAACAAAAATGTTATAAACGTCTCCGTTTTCAAATGTAAACAAAATTCTTAGTGTGTAGGAAGCTTTAAGTAAAAGCAATTTATTAGCTAAGTGTCATCATCTTTGCTTTTCATAGCGCTATAAACAACATAGCCAATAACGCTTGATGCCATATGCTTGCACCTTATGTAAAATAAAATGAATATTTCCATCTTGCAAAAAAATGTTTTAACTTACAATAATGAAAACTGTGCAAACAATTGTATAACCATGGTGAAAATATGTATGAAGACAAAGACCCGCCGTTTAGAAAAATCAAGGGACCTGGGGCACAATCAAACATTTTGGCTATTGCTTCGTGACCCATGGACCTTTTGACCGACATTACAGTTTTTGTTTGCCTTCCTATTTCATACCCCTACACTTCCTTTAGTTGTAGATTTGGAAAAAAGTATCCCCTTTCTCAACCCAGTGATCGCCCATGCTCACTCATGTCTTGAGAATTTTGAATTTTGTCATGTGTATTGGAGATAGCTACTATATATACCAAGGACCTTAAAAAATGCCCACATGCATGTTGCCACAAAATACATTAACTCAAGAAAATTTAAACCTTTCATTAATGGAACCTTTATGAAATACAGTGCCTATATATTTTCCAGAGAAATTACAGAATGTTGGATTTTATTCCATTTTGAGAGCAGCTGCCATCAAGCAAGCGAATATTGTCATAACCATTTTTGAATTTACTTCCACAATATCTTCAGGTAGAGCATAAACGCGAGCTCCAATTTTTCGTGCCATGGAAATAGCAAACTTTGCATTGGACAATTTAGCTTCATCAATGTCTGTAGTTTGAAGAGCTTGATAGAACACAGAGTTGGGTTTAATACTGTCAATTAAATCAATTATTATTTGTGATGATGAAATTGTTTGGTCTTTGAAACTTGTTATCTTTGATGTTTTTTCATGCTTTTCAAGCTTTTCGTTAACCCAAGCCACAATTACTTCATCTTTAAGAGGTTTATCAGATGAAGCAATGGATTCCAATAATGACAGAGTGTAAAAGTGCATAGCTTGACTCACCAAGCCAAGAATTAATTTCTTATTTCCTTCGTAAATATCCTGACCGCCAAGACCAACAACAGACAGTTTTAACTCGTTTGCAACGGAAACTACATAGTTGCAATTTTCTAATTTTTTCATTTTCCCAGAAAGTTTAGGAAATGGTGGCATTGATATGGATTTCCAATTTACAACTCCGAGTTTTATCTAAACAATATTTTTTGAGTGACAATAAGGATGATGTGTCATAACTGGAGTTAGTAAAGTTATTTAAAAAGCAAGTTAGCTTTTATCTAGTTTTGAATCAGATAGATCGTTGAATTGACTAGAGTTTATTTTCACGCGTGGTCATACCGAAAACAAACCTGTGTTCATGCTTTATAAGTATTAGCTTCTAGCGTGAGTTACTGAATAAGGCTTTATAAGTATTCCTTTGTAAAGTGTTTTATGAGTGCTGATGATCATGTAATTTTGACGGTTTCATCTAATGACTTACGCATGTGATATACAGAAAAACACTAAAAATTGTGAGTATAAAGACAGCACCAAAATCCTTGGGTTTTTTTCATTTCCTACACTTAAACCCTTCTTTTCTTTCCCCATAACACCATTTCTTTCTCACCCCAATACCATTGTTCCATCACCACAAAATTATTCATTTTTCACCATAGCACCATCATTCCCTCATTACAACACTATTCCATCCTTACTACTAATCATAATTCCCCCACCCACCGCAACACCATTTATTCCTCCCTACAACACCATTCCTCTCTCCCATAACACCATTCCTCTCTCCCACAACACCATTCTTCCAACACTTCATCCATTCATTCATTCATTCATTTTTCCACAACACCATTCTTCCATTCCTTCCTTCATTCTTCCACCATTCTTCCACACCATTCCATCAACATTCTCACAACATTCTTCCTCAACACCATTCATTCCTCTCCATTCTCTCCATAACACCATTCATTCTTCACCGCAACACCATACTTCCTCAACACAACAATGCCATTCTTTCCTCACAATAACACCATTCTTTCCTCGCCACAACACTATTTTCCCATCACCATAATACCATTCGGCTTTCTTCACCAAAATGTAACACTTCTCTCGGGCAAACACCCTCTTTCCTCATCCTAACATCATTCTTCTCTAGCACCATTATCATTAATTTCCTTTGTAACTGTCAGGAAGCATTGGCTTTATTTCTTTTTAAAAGTTTGTACCTGTTCAAAAAGCTGAGCCAGAGCAATACCATCGGATAAATCAGAAAAAAGATGGTGAATAGGTGGTTTTACACCTAAACTATTTATCCAGTTTCTCAATGTCTTTTCCTCTCGTGTTTCTTCAATGTCCACTGCATCAGCATCATCAAACTCAAGAGATGGATGTGTATTAAAAAGATGACATGAAAATGCAAGATTTAATTTGGGATGTCCTTGTACAATATCGCTGGCCCGTACAAAAGAATCGCAGTCCAGTTTCTTTGCGTTTTCTAAAACTTTTTCGGCTCGCTGTGTAAGATCTTTTTCAGTAATGTGAGGCTCATCAAGTATGATGTTTGGAGGAGCAATCTGTTATTTTATTGGGGAAAGTTATCAGTATTTCATCATACTAAGCTTTACAATTTTATAAAATGGATTGCCATGAATTTTATCGCTGAGTAAAATTTTCTTTAATTTTCTTTATAGAAATTGGACTTGGTAGCATGATTTCAATTATAAAATCTCTACATTAACATGCCTTTCATTCTCACCTGTTTCAGTAGAATACTGTAAACCACAGAATCTTTAATATCATCAGAAAAATTCTTCACAACTTTGCAATATCCTGTCTCGCGGATGTGATAATTGATCCAACGTAGAATTATGACATCTGGTGAAAGTTTGCTTACGTCAGCAATAGTTTCATCTCCTTCAAGAAGAGCAGCAATTCCTGGGCATTGTTTTATGTTGATTCTGTTGAACAATCCAATCTGAAACAAGCGATGATATCTTCCTAACTTAGTGATGGAGGGGGGGGGAGGGGAGGGGAATTTAGTTGAAATTGTAGAAAATCATGTATATCTTACACGAATTATTTGCCAAAGTAGCCCAAGAACAAGATGAGGTTTACCATTAATAAGATCTTCAGCTCCAATGTTGACAATATTACAGCCAATTGCCATAGCAGAATTCAGAACCAAAGTTTGGTTTTCATGTATTGTATAAACAGTCAGCTTCTTTGTATTCATAACACGCTCGTCAATGGTGTCTTCCACAGCCCAGTTTATTAACTTACACAAAATGATACCATTGCTAATTGCAGAAAATATTGAGTTTGGCTTTTTCGGATCAATAGGGAGATAGTCTGCAACAAAAATTAATTAAAAAAGAATTATCAAATGATCGCCATACATACATATGTATCAATACTGCCATTTACTAAGATAATTTAAGAGTTTTACTAGCTAGTTTTTCTACTTTACTCAGTAAAGCACAGACATTGACTTTATTTTGTTGGAAATATCAATGTATTATCATCTTAACCAACCTTTGAGTGATAAATCATTTTTTAAACAAGTATTTATCCACAGTGAAAACATTTCTTTCTCAGCATCAAGGAATGAATGTTTAGTTCCTAGTGCTGATGCAGATGTTGTCGAGACAGTAATAACATTTTCTTTCTTATCAATTGCTTGCTTAAATCTTGCACCAATTGTCTTTGTGCTTAACTTGCTGAAGATTTCAAGAAATTCAACAAAATCCAACTCATCGCTTTGACCTTCGGCCTTGCGCTCACTTACGATTTTTCGTAGTTTAAACGGAGGTATTTGCGAATCACAATCTTTTACAAGGTCCTCAAAACTCTCAATGCTGATTTTCTCTGATTCATATAATAAATATTTTTCAAATTTTTCATGAAATTCAGAGATTTCTTCAAAAGATACTTTTTGTGTAAGTTCAGCCATTATTATCGCTGACTTTGCTAAGATTCATGACATCATTTAATTCAGTGAACGCGCGCATACATCCATGCCAACAAAATTGTCTTTTTAATAGTAATTAAAATGTGGTTGATTCTTCGACATTTTCAAAAGAATTTATTCATAAATAAAACAACATATTTAGAATAGTAATTATTTGTAATTCAAGTTCGAAAGCTTTGAAATATTAATTTTCTTCTTTTGATTCCACTTTGTCTACATCTTGTATTTCGTCAGTTTTAGGCTGAAATAAGAAAACAAAAAATTACTGACCTGCCTCAGGATAAGGTGTTAAACAGAGTTAAGAAGTTTTTTTTTGTCATAGAAAAATTCTCAAATAAACTTTTGTTTATGTGTAGTCACAGCAGTCTTGTTCTCCTACCTAATAATAATTCGTATAAGCTGTGCTCCCTACTAACTTGTTATGTTCCATAATTGTTTTAGTTGATTTTCGAATTTACCTGAGTGTTGTATATCTCAGTATAGATATTTTCATCATTATCGTCATTATCAGATACAGGAACTTCATAATATTCATAGTAGCCTTCTTCATAAATATATTCACCAAACAATGATCTAAAGAGATTATAACGGAAAATCTTTTAAAACATATCATGGTCTACAATAAGTGCAATAATTAATACTTGAATATTTTATAATCTCTTCATAATTTTGTACCTTAATTGAACCCAAAAGTTTAAAACGGTTTGTATTATTTGTTTTGATCGTTTGAATGAATACCATGATCCAATGACAACAACAAAAGTACCCACAAGACCAACCAATGCTCCAATTATTATCGACCTTCTTGACCGAATTTTACGTGGAGGTTTTTTTACAATATCCAGTATTCCTGAATGCAGAGCCATATGAATGATAGCAAATTCAGAGAAAACGTAAAATAAAAAGTTTGTTATTATTTTGCTGTATTTTTGATACAAATATCAAAGTTAAATATCATTGAAAGTAAAAATGTATTAGCATTACCAACTGTGCATCCATAAATTTTCAAATTAATGCATAATTCCTCTTCCGTAGTTTTTGTAGGCAATAGACGAATGTGTCGAGCAAATATAAGGGATGTGTTACCAATCCATACGAGCGAACCATCTGTTGTAAATATACGACTTGAAAATTTTGATTCAATATGGGTCAGAATACCATTTGTTGTTTCACTCTACACGACAAAATGATAAATGTATGCACTGTGATGAAAATACTGGTGTCCATTGCAACAAAACTTGATAACATTTGTTTTTGATGATGAAAACACTTCGACAACCAAACCTCAAGATTTTCATCTGTTATATTTTGTCTTATTCTAGGTGTTGCCCCAAGTAACTTCCATCGACATCCATCCAAACTATACATAAAACGCAAGCCAACATTTTTATTGCTATCAGAGTTCATCTCCATCGATATTTTAATTCCTTTTATTCTTGTTAAGTTCAGAAGGTCCACATGGAAGTATGGTTTGGTTTGTTCAAGAGATATACATAACGGAACTAAACAAATGTTTTATAGCAATTTTGAGATTAATGATATAAGTTGTAATTAAGAAGATATTTACTTTTCTTATATTCATCAAATGATACCTGATGCTTCTGCCATTATTTCATAAATATTAAAGGTGTTTTCATCATTTATTTCACTGTCAACTACTGGAAAACTTTTGTTTTCATTTTTACTCTCACCAATAATGTTAGCACAATCTGAAATTAATTTCGATGAGAAAATGTCATTTTAAGATATTAGATCTAACACATGCAGGTACTATTTTAGTATCGTTTCATAAAACTAGAGAACTCGTCAAAAATCATACCACTATCAAGTTTTGTTCTTATTCAAAAAAGAAAAGGAGGGAAAATTATACCAAATCGCTGCAAATTTTTATTGTTTTCTCATCGCCACAAGAGATAGAAGATAAACGCTATTCGCTGATGATTGTTAAAATAGAAAACGGACACTGAAATATGAAAGGCGAACTTTTTTTTGAGATTAAAAAAATTACCTGACTGCATCATGTCCATGACAGCTTTGAATTGTGCAATAAGTTTTCTAGTTAAAGGTATCAACGTCATTTCATCATAGCTCTTTGAACGAAGGATATTTTTTCCTTGACCACGAATCACAAACTCAATAGAATTTCCGCAATTTCTGGAATTCAAAGCTTTAACTGTATACACACCAAATTGTTCCTTCAAAATGTTCTCAATAGTCAAGATATAGATAATATCTTTAGCTGTGTTTTTTTGTGAGAATGCCATGTTTGGCTGGTCTGGTATTTTTTCTATTTCTTGTGCATCATGTATCCAAACAAGTCTGTTTTTTGGGCTGTCTGTTGCCAAGGCCAGTCTGATTGTTTTATCTGGTAATGTGATTGTTAACAATGGAGAGACATTTTGCAATCTTGGTTTTCCTGAAATTTGCAAAGCTTAGAATTCAAAACTGTATCTATATTTTATTCAAGTTAAAGAACACAACCGTTAACTTTGGTAAATAATAGCAGCAACTGCGATGAAGTATTTTTACAATATTAGCACAAGCAGCAGGAGTATTTTTCGTGTCTGGGCTATTCATTAAACCTACCGCTAACCTGCTACAAAAACTCTTGCTTCAGCTGTTTCTGCACCATGTTTCCATTTTACTTTAACATAGATAAAAGCTGCTTCCTTAACGGCTATCATTCGTCCATCCTCACTGATCTTGATAAACGACGTTTTTAACGTTACCAAGCTACGAGTTTCATTCTGTTTCTTTGAGTAAGACCATTCTATGTCTTTACTGAAAACCTCAAACTCTCCATGTATTTTGAGACGAAAAGTTCCTGTGAAAGCAATTTTTTCATTAAATCTTAGTCCTTTTCATAGAGCTGTATATTTGAAGAGGGCAGACGTACCTTCTTGAAACTCACAAATGTGAATGCTGAGTGGATTTAATGATATTTTTAGTGGCTTTCGGATTTCAATATGAAATAGTTGTGAATAAGTACCAAGTTGAAGTGTTTTATCTGCTTCCTCAAATTTGTACATAAAGTAATATTGTCCTGTATATTGACGTTTTACTCTATCTCCTAGGATCAACCGCGACATTCTTGGTGCAAGTTCAACCTCATTCCTCCATTCCTAAATTGTATGAATAAAAAATACAAACATGGTGTTTATTGAATGTGCGTATTTTTCTAAATATATCATCTCATTTGACAGCCAAATAACTTTTTTCGTTCGCTAAAACTATGCTATACATGCACTAAAAGCTAAACTACTTAGACTACTTACTACACCTAAACCATTAAAGCTAAAGGTAAACAAAAAAGCTACACTTTTACCTTAATAGCATTTTCTTTTCGTTTATCAACTGCTTTGATTTTTAGCCCGCTTTTCAAGTGCATACCAAACGCGTAATATTTAATCACAACCTTGCTTCCTTGAAGGAATACAAATTTTCGAGGTTCTTTTGAGCTTTGTGTATCAATAACAATGTGATCATCTTCGTTATAAAAAAGAAACCACACAGGACGAACGGTACATTGTTTAATGCGACATCTAAGGCAACAAAAAAATGTAAAAATCACAATTTTTCAGATGCAAAAGATGGTTTCCCTCCAAGGGCCTGGTCATTTTTCTTTGTATAAAAAATTGATCAAGATATATTTATTGCACATTGGTATTCACATTTAAAATCTTTATATACGAAAGAACTACGTACATATTTTTTGGAAGAATTTTATGCAAAGTCATGAATGGTATTAAGAGAAAGTTTTGATTTATTTTAAGGAACAAAAAATTACTAATTGCAACAAACCGTGCAAGAATCATGTATTTTGCAAGGGTTCCGCCATGTAAATCAAGGTTTGGAGTTTCAAAACTGCCTGGTGCTTTTGAAACAAAGCAACTAGGTGTCTTGGCTGTTTTTTTTCTGTTCCATGGAAGCACAAGTGTAGTCACACACTTGTTTTTTGTATACCACGTTGTATAATGATGGGGATCAGAGTGAGCCATATAACATTTACGATACATTTTCTTCCCTCCTGGACCAGTGTATCTAAAAATATGGAAAAGTATGACTATAATAAGTATAAGTCTAGTGTTGACTAGAATATATTTATATCCTTTCATGACGCCTATTCCCCTTTAAGTTCAACTTTTTCCTCTCTATAAAAAAAAAACACAAAAAAAAAACACGACCATGATTGAGTATCATCATCATTAACTTTCATTTAGAATAAAAGATTTCTGTTTCAAATATGTTTTTATACATAAATGAAACTTAAAATGAGATAAAAGATAGTTTGTGAACATGAAGATGAGAACAACTGCTCAAAAATGGAAACATGAAGGAAAAATAAAATATAAAATTGGAGAATAGAAAGTTTTAAAAAAGAGTGAAATCTCTAGTCATGATATAATTAATATACGTAGTGTCTTTATTATGAAAAATATCAGAGTTACACTTACGTTCGGAATGTTTCCCGTACGTTACCAGTATATGCTGGAAGTTTAAAGCTATAAGGGGAAAGATTTCCTTTACCATCACCATACATGCATGGACTACAATCTGGAACATCACAAGCTTCTAATTCTTTCACAGGTTGGGCAACATCTTTCTCATAATATCTCGGTGCTGAATGTTTTAAACATTCTGGAGGGCGAACTTGACCTGAATATATATAATTATGTACAAAAGCACGACAATAATTATGTTCTCCAAACAACAATAGGTGTTCTTTCCATGTTGCACGATGAACATGTCGGCCACCCCAAACCATGGCATACTTTTCGGTTGCTTTATCTCTAGCTGCTATGTTTTTTGGTTTGGGTAATGTTCTCTTCAGTTTAAGAAAGTAATAGCGATAATACGTGTTCCAGTACTGACATTCCTCTCCTGATACATAAATATAAAATCAAAAATTCAGGGCAAAAAAGATAATTTACGGCATAAAACACTTAAAGAAGGTAAAAACTTCAAAGTTCTGAAGCAAGTGGCATATTTAAACATATCACTGATGTAATTTTGATAAAAACTCTCACCAGATTTTGTTTTGGATCTGGTGCCTCTATATCCTGGTCCATGATCTGGCATACATTCAATGCGAAATTGCCACATTAACTTTTCACAATCACCTTTATCTCCACCACAAATGATTGGATCTGTAGGATAACCAAGTGGTGAATGTAATCTGGTAACTATCCATATTCTTTCACCTATAACCTCTTTATTATATCCATTTATTCCTTGACACTGGATGAGGGCAGCATTTGTTTGAAAATTCAATAGAGATATTTCCATCAGCCAAGGTTTATCTCGATACGTCTGTTTCATGTTGTTTTCCCAGGAAAATATATAACCACCTGTATGAAAGCATTTTTTATTTTATTCAAAGTTCATTAACTATAAAGGTTTTTATGAATTTTCTACGTGAAAGACGATTATCCATCAAATATAGCAACAATGAGTGGATTCTATGATACTATAATGCATTATAAAGATTAGCACAAGCATCATTACAGAAAGCAATATAAGCGAATGAGTAATCTATTGTTGATATATTTACAACCTTACTCAGATTCAATAATGTACATCCTTATCGCTTGGCAAGATAAAATAGAAAACAAACACAAAATAAAGAAAAATACATTAATGAAGAAACACAACATTAATAACAATCATAGAAAAAGTTTTTTATACCAAGTGTCTAGTGCTATTAACCTTTAGAGATTTTATACAAAATACCAATAAAGGTAGTGTAAACTGCTAATATCTAAGCAAACCTTCGGAAATTTCTTCTTTATTGATGCTAAGCCATCGATATTTAACTGCTCCAGGCATTTCACAGTCTAGCGTCCCATTATCTACTGTACCAATATAGTATATATGCTTAAAAACTCTTGTTACGTAAGGCGGAAATTTGCTTTTGACTACCACGATCTTTTCTTCACGAAACAAGGCCGCTGTCTGTTGTATGAAGATAAATGCCATGAAATTGATTTGTCCAATCTTCATGTTAGGTCATTTATCTGTCCCAAATTTTGATAAAAGTTAAAAATAAACGTAATTTTTTCCAACTCCTGCAAAGGCTCTTTTTCTTACAAAATCAGTTTTTAAAAATACTCTTCATATTTTTTCAAATCCAGAATTAGTTTAGTGATAAGAATAGTACTTGCCTTAAAAAGTATTTTAGCCACTGCTCACGTGAAATACGAAATATGTATTGTATAAAACGAAATCATTCAACATGAAAAAAAATCAAAAAAAAAATATATGACGAATCACATTCCCACTGACCTATAAAACGCTGGAAAACTATAGTCACTCTACAGTTTCTTTCGTGTACTAAGAGAAACAAAACAAAGATACATAACGAAAATGGTAAGCAAATAGCATTTCACATGTTAGTTTGATTTATCTTATGTAATCTATATTACAAGGCTGCAAAATTAAACAAAACGCTAAAGCATGATTCAATTAAAGGAAAGTAAGAAATTAAAGAAAAAAATAATCATCGTAATAGCAATATATGTAGAACAATAAAGTACAGCTACCTTTTGGTTGATTTTAGGGATTAAAATATAACATTTGTACGTAAAAAAACAATCACCGCAAGTAGCCATTATCTCAGAGCAGACCAAAAGCAACCACAATCATATTGATGAAGATGCTTTGTACCACTGTGACATCGCAAGTAAAGTTGAAACAATGTCATCACCAGTCAAAGTACGATGAGATTATTCTCTCAACACTATTCCAGAACATGTATGGAATCCTCACCAAATCGGTCAGCAACAAAGAGTCAAAAATAAAAATTGAATAACTTCTGCAAGAAGACAGAAAAACACACCTTGAAGACAAATTACATTCAATCGATTTGATCAACTACTAACATCACCTTTTTAAAAACAGACTAAAAAATTCAATGGTCTGATCCGACCAATGAACTCTACATGAACTCCTGTACTCTACATGATCCGACGTAGGTGTAAAATAGGGGGGATATGTTGCTGTGTAGGTGAAAAGTAGGAGAAACAAGGAAAATCATCGTAGGGGGAGGTAGGGGAAAATAAAGTTTTGGTAGGTGAAATGTGCATACACAAAGTGGCAGCACTGCACAGTTGGCAAAAATGACTTCTCGAAGATTGTAAAAACACGCGAGATGAATAAAATTTTGGCGAAATTGTACAAATTTTTCTGAATAATGTTTAAAAAGTTAAAACAAAAAATAGAAAGTGAATCAGAAGGAGAGCAGAGTCCTGTATCTAAGAGTGAAAAGTTAAATCGTCGTTCAAATGAGGTTAGCTATTTTCTAATCAACATACACTATTGGATATAGATCAACAAACTTCGATGAGTTTGATGATACAGTTTTGAATATTTTTTCTTATTAAAACCGTAACCAGTACAATCATGTTGCGATGTAACGCAAATTCTTTAACATATTATTTAAAGAGAACCTCCTCTGTGTTGAAAAAGGACAACGTCTCTGGCAACCAGAGTGATGTAACATCTCCAACGGTCGAAGATGATCACAATACCACATCATCCCAAAATGTAATCGCACGAGTTCAACATCTTCTTGAGGTAAATTCAAAATACCAATAGTCTTGCTCTGTACGTGTTAGTCCTTGCTTAAAGTGAAAGTGAAATGATAGAATTTTGTTGACATTTTAAAATAAAAGTATAAATACGTTCATATCATACGTGGCACTATCCAACATTTTTATTTGTTCTCCTATTTCTTTTAATTTGTATATTTTTGAATTTTTATTATTCTAAAAATTGCACAACCCAAACAATAAAGGCTTTTTGAAATTTTTTCCAGTATTTACTTAAGTTATATGCATCATGTAGTAAAAATAATCATTGAGCATTTAATTTATTTTTATATGTTTTTCATAAGCATTCTAACATATCTGTCTAAACACATTTTACATAAGCAATGATAGCTTCAAAATATGCTGTTGAATGTCATAAATAAGTTTTTGACTGTCTTGCGAAAAATGTTATGAATTGATTACATGAACCAACCAATGGACGAGAAATATTAAAACTATCTTTGACATCATTCTTATCTCATTTCTATAAATATAATGATTGCATTTATTTCTTTTTAGCAACCGTGAACTTAGCATTGTTAATTAAAACTTGCACTATTTTTGATACCAAGTTAAAATTACATATTGTGCAACTTTAGGTTGGTCGTGCACAAAATGATGGAATATCAAAGCAGAAATCAGACATATCTGAAAATTCAAGTGAAGCTACTAAAGCAACATCAACTATATCATCAAAAGATACAACATTAACAGCTGTGACAACATCAGTAACAACTGTGACAGCATCAGTAACAGCTGTGGCAACAACCCCAACATCAACAGCTGCTTCTCCTGTAACAACAACACCACTACAACGTCAGTTTTCTGTGCCACAAAGTCCTAAATCTGACTACAAGTCTGATGATTCTGAGTCTGATAAGAAGTATGATGCTGCAACAAAAGAAGAACTTTTACAGCTTGCAAAAAAACAAGAAAAAGCTTTAACCCGTTATAAAACAAAGTTTTCAGAGGTTAGATTATTATCACAAGTTTCTCTATTAAATATCGATCTGTAAAAATCCCTGTGAACAAAGCATGTTACTTTACTGTACTTAATCTTTGAAAGTCAACAGTATGACGATACATGAATGATTCATCCTCACAAATGCCTTGATCTGTGCAGAATGCTTCCCCCTGTTAAAAATGCTACAATTATTTAATTAAGTGGTGCTGTCCTAAGTTCACCAGTGCAAATGTGGTAACACATGAGATTTTTGATTTTGTTTTAGGTTGTTGATGCTTATAAAAATTTGCAAAAAGAAAATGAAAAGCTTCAGGTATTCAAATTTTTTACTTCATGTGTATAAAAAGCTTCAGGTATTCAAATTTTTTACTTCATGTGTGTGTATATACTTATTATTTTATCTAAATCCTCTTTAACAAACTAGAATTCAATAGAAGTTTAACAGAGATTTTTTTTATCTTAACTCAATTTACAACTGAACAATGCTGTGAGTGCAGTTTCTTTTACCTATGCTAAACAAATTTAAAAATTTGTTTTGAAAATTCTTGCAACCGTCAAGGAAAATAGAAAAAGTTCATGTGTTACTCATGTTTTCTCCAAATTTGCACTGTTTGTTGTTATTGTACCACAGTATTAGCTTCCTACATGTTCTAAGTATGCACATCACATAAGTTGTGTTATTCCATTATTGAATTTAAAAGTCCAATTACTTAATTTGCTATGGAAGATACAAGTACCTACAATATGACGGATTTACGACACTATTATCATTGATTTTGCTATCTTCTAGAATAATCTTACTCAAAATCAAGACAAACAAATCAGAAAAATCTCAGAATTGAAAGAGGTCAGTATATAATTTCGTTTTTTAAAATATTTAAAGAATTCATTTTACATTGATTGTAAAATTATAAATAATGAAATTTCTTTCTCAGGTTTTTTTTTACCGTGATGTATTGATATTTTGAGATAAATTGAAGATTTTTTATTGCTTTTAGACAATTGAACTTGAAAAAAAGGCAAAAATGCATATTGCTGATTCATTTCGTGTTACTATTGAAGAAAAGGATGATCTTATAGAAGTTTTAAAAACTCAGGTACAGTTGGTTAAGGATGTAGCTACATACGTACGCATATTGTGAAAAAGTTATTTAGTTTTAACAAACATCGACATTCTTATTTCTTTACGTCATATTTCAGTGTAACGTGAGTCTGTTAGTGGTTAGTGGGTAGGAATAAATGCATATTATTTACTTCATCCAGCAAAACGTCCGTTAAACTTTTGACGTAGGAAGCGACTTTGCTATTTTCTTATAGTTTAAACTTTACTCATGTTGAAATATTCGTGTTAAAATCCAGCAAAACGTCCGTTAAACATTTGACGTAGGAAGCGACTTTGCTATTTTCTTATAGTTTAAACTTTACTCATGTTGAAATATTCGTGTTAAAATCCAGCAAAACGTCCGTTGAACTTTTGACGTAGGAAGCGACTTTGCTATTTTCTTATAGTTTAAACTTTACTCATGTTGAAATATTCGTGTTAAAATCCAGCAAAACGTCCGTTAAACATTTGACGTAGGAAGCGACTTTGCTATTTTCTTATAGTTTAAACTTTACTCATGTTGAAATATTCGTGTTAAAATCCAGCAAAACGTCAGTTAAACTTTTGACGTAGGTAGCGACTTTGCTATTTTCTTATAGTTTAAACTTTACTCATGTTGAAATATTCGTGTTAAAATCCAGCAAAACGTCCGTTAAACTTTTGACGTAGGAAGCGACTTTGCTATTTTCTTATAGTTTAAACTTTACTCATGTTGAAATCTTCGTGTTAAAATCCAGCAAAACGTCCGTTGAACTTTTGACGTAGGAAGCGACTTTGCTATTTTCTTATAGTTTAAACTTTACTCATGTTGAAATATTCGTGTTAAAATCCAGCAAAACGTCCGTTAAACATTTGACGTAGGAAGCGACTTTGCTATTTTCTTATAGTTTAAACTTTACTCATGTTGAAATATTCGTGTTAAAATCCAGCAAAACGTCCGTTAAACTTTTGACGTAGGAAGCGACTTTGCTATTTTCTTATAGTTTAAACTTTACTCATGTTGAAATATTCGTGTTAAAATCCAGCAAAACGTCCGTTGAACTTTTGACGTAGGAAGCGACTTTGCTATTTTCTTATAGTTTAAACTTTACTCATGTTGAAATATTCGTGTTAAAATCCAGCAAAACGTCAGTTAAACTTTTGACGTAGGAAGCGACTTTGCTATTTTCTTATAGTTTAAACTTTACTCATGTTGAAATATTCGTTTTAAAATACAGCAAAACGTCCGTTGAACTTTTGACGTAGGAAGCGACTTTGCTATTTTCTTATAGTTTAAACTTTACTCATGTTGAAATATTCGTGTTAAAATCCAGCAAAACGTCAGTTAAACTTTTGACGTAGGAAGCGACTTTGCTATTTTCTTATAGTTTAAACTTTACTCATGTTGAAATATTCGTTTAAAATCCAGCAAAACGTCCGTTGAACTTTTGACGTAGGAAGCGACTTTGCTATTTTCTTATAGTTTAAACTTTACTCATGTTGAAATATTCGTGTTAAAATCCAGCAAAACGTCCGTTGAACTTTTGACGTAGGAAGCGACTTTGCTATTTTCTTATAGTTTAAACTTTACTCATGTTGAAATATTCGTGTTAAAATCCAGCAAAACGTCCGTTAAACTTTTGACGTAGGAAGCGACTTTGCTATTTTCTTATAGTTTAAACTTTACTCATGTTGAAATATTCGTGTTAAAATCCAGCAAAACGTCCGTTAAACTTTTGACGTAGGAAGCGACTTTGCTATTTTCTTATAGTTTAAACTTTACTCATGTTGAAATATTCGTGTTAAAATCCAGCAAAACGTCCGTTAAACATTTGACAAGCGACTTTGCTATTTTCTTATAGTTTAAACTTTACTCATGTTGAAATATTCGTGTTAAAATCCAGCAAAACGTCCGTTAAACTTTGACGTAGGAAGCGACTTTGCTATTTTCTTATAGTTTAAACTTTACTCATGTTGAAATATTCGTGTTAAAATCCAGCAAAACGTCCGTTAAACATTTGACGTAGGAAGCGACTTTGCTATTTTCTTATAGTTTAAACTTTACTCATGTTGAAATATTCGTGTTAAAATACAGCAAAACGTCCGTTAAACATTTGACGTACGTAGTCAGGAGTGTAATGTGTCTGATGATGTGTTATTTAAAGACGAAACGTTAAAAATAATAATAAATAATTTCTTTAAAAAATGGCTTTATTTCGAATTTCATATTGGACAATTGTGTTTTTAACACAAATCCGTTTTCCGCCTGGCAAGTCTATCGCTTGTTGAAAATTGTATGACTGTGTAGTGTAAAGAATGTTTTACTCTACATTGTAAGATTGTTTTTGCGAATGAATTTCTTAACAAAATCATTGCAAGCATTTGTTTTCTTTATGTATTAGGTTGATTGTTTGAAAAACAATCGTAAGGCGTCGAACGACAACAATGAAAACGATGACAATGAAGCTGGTTAGAAAATCATTATAGTCCTACGTATTCTGTGTTTGTGTGTTTTAGCAAGCTAACAAATGTGGCATTACCTTGGCATTTTGTACACTGTTTTTCTTATGCATTGATAGCTACATAACTTACTCAGTAGCATTACCTTGGCATTTTATACTGTTTTTCTCATGCATTGATAGCTACATAACTTACTCAGTAGCATTACCTTGGCATTTTATACACTGTTTTTCTCATGCATTGATAGCTACATAACTTACTCAGTAACATTACCTTGGCATTTTATACTGTTTTTCTCATGCATTGATTGCTACATAACTTACTCAGTAGCATTACCTTGGCATTTTGTACACTGTTTTTCTTATGCGTTGATAGCTACATAACTTATTCATAACTTTCCACTGAACATCTTGGTTAAATTGCTTATACTGCAAGCCAATTATCAATATAAATGTAACTACATACAGCATGCACTGTCAATTATGTGACTCTACACAAATGTCTGTGATATCAGCGCACATGCATTTTATTCTCCTTTCTAAAGGGCAATTTCTTGGAAATATAATTTGCCAACCAGCAATTTATCCATTTTAATGAACGAGTAATTTTTGTTTAAAATGATTTAAAGTGGTTATGCAACCAATTTTTCACTGCCTATTTTATTAGCTTAACTCTCTTTTCTGATTGTATATATGAAAACAGATTTAAATTTGGCATTTTGAAACTCGTTCTGCAGCCACTCAAAGTTGCGATTTTTTTAACTTTTTCTACGAACTTTTTATTAAAGCTGTGACGTAGAAACAAGTACCGCCCAGTTACCGTTGCTTATATAATTAATAGAGGCGAGCAGCCTCACGGAGGAAGACATTGTATTTCTGGCGGCCCATAATCAGTTGCGGTAATAATCATTATGCTAAAGGAATAGCTATCCATATGTTTCCTAATGCATAAACTGATCCTCAAAGGCGAAGGAAATGGGTGATTTTTGTACGTAAACATTGACCGAATATTGTAGCAACGGTAACATCGTGTTTATGCTCTGCTTAAATTCATGTCTGACTTAAATTTTGAAGGAAATTATGAAGTTTTCACCGCAAAAAGCTTGCAAAATCATGGAATATACCCCGTACGCTATAGTAAATACTATTAATTATTGGGGGGCGGTATTTCTACGTCACAACGACCAAACGTGGTGACGAAAAAGTCGCACAAAATGATCGAGTTTAGAGCTAAAATTAGATAACTTCTACTTTGCGCACAAAAGTTCTACATTCACTAAATTGCTTCTGAAAAACCATACATTCCGATTAGCCAATAAAAAATGTAGGTAAAAATTCGTTGCACAACCACTTTAAAATTTGATAAGTACGATTCACTATGGCTGCCTAATACGACTATGTAAGTGCTGTATTCAGGAGTTTATTTAGTTTTCAATAATTGGCAAATTTATGAATATGATGGACATTACACCAGATTAGACATTCACATTAATATTTTGTTTCCTTGAATAAATTATAGTTTCCTTGGTAACGGATGTAGCATATTTGCAATATCCGTTAAAATTTCCGTCAATTTTTACTATGAAAACTTCAAATTTGTGACTAAATATAATTAGAAGGCATTTTAAACTCAATAGTAATATTCAATATGATACACTAACTTCAAACATAATATTCTATTGCTCTTTTCAATAAAATAAAAAATTTTCCTCCTGCATGCTTATACAAAAGTTGCATTGAAAAAACGATTATTTGGGATTGTACTTGATTTCTTCTTAGAATCAATTTCAAAATTAACATCAAGTGCATTTAAACAAGGAATTGCCCTGAAGTTGCCTAAATTTATACGCGAAACTAATATGTTTGCATGGTTTGCTCAAGTTTATGATTGAACTTACATTTTAGCTATGTTGTATATTACAGCAGGTTTTTGCTTTCAATCTTAGTTAGATTGTCACTGAATGATTTTTAACTTGCTCAACGTTTATTTTATCAGGTGATGCAGATGTGGAAAAGCAAAAGTTAAAAGAAAAGGTATTGCTACGTACTAAATGATTGTTGATATTTTCTCTTTGTACATACATTTCTCTCAACTCATATTTGTCATTCATCGGTCGTAGTGTATAAATTTTAATTTTGCTTTGTTGTTTTCTATTTTTCCAATAAGTACAAAACAAAAATTCAATATGAACAACGCGCACTTTGATTTGATATACAAATAGTTAATATGTATATGGCAGAATGACATGGTCAAAGATAACTTCTAAAGAAACCTTTTGAATAGATCGATGAACTTGAAAGAACTGTTGAAAATCAGTCAAAAGAAATGGAAAAAGCAAAGGTGCTTATTTTGAATTTGAATAATTTTTGTTGTCTACATACATACGTAGTAGCTATGAGCACGATACTGTAATAAACGTCGTTTATCTAAAATATGTTTATTATATCACAATTCTTGTTCTAACATACACAGCGCGGTCTGGATAACATCCCTAAATTTCATGATTTTAGTTTCGGTTGATTTAAGCATATGAATATTTTGTTTCTCATCATTGACTTTGCTTTACAGTGTACATATGTGTTGACATAGAAAATTTTATAAATGAAATATCTTCACGGATTTCTGAACGATTGCGTTCAATAAATATGCTATTCACTAGGCTAAAGAGACAAGCTTTGACAATGAACGTAACGATTTACTGCGTAATGTTGAGCTTGTACAACATGAGAAACAAACTGCAATTCAAGAAATGATGAACAACGTAGAAAATATCATGAAAGAGAACAAAAGTCATGTTGAACAAATTAAACAATTGAATGATGAACTTAAATCCACGACTGTTCTTTACGAAGACTTGAAAGTTGAAAAAAAAGAAAGTCTGTACGAATTGAATAAAGTTTTGGAGGAAAGTGAATTAACTCGAAAAAAAGCGATTGATGATTTACGTGTGGAGCATGAACTACTTATTGATTCAATGATAAAGGATCACACGAGTATTGTAGACGATTTAAAGCGAAGCAAAACAGAAGCTATTGATTTAGTTAAGATACAACATACAAAAAGAATGAGTGATGTTTTAACTGCTAAAGATGAAGAACATAAAAAAGAAATGGAAGAAAGAAACAATCAATTAAAAATACTTACAGAAAAAGAAGAATTGATGAAAATTACTTATTCTGAAAAGGTGAAAATTTCATCACTATCAAGTGGAAATTTTTATTTTATTCTTTAAATTACTGTATTGTTGTACACAATTAGTGTAAGTTTCCACTTCATATTTATTTTTTCTTGTATAACAAAATTATTCTACTGTGATTGAAATGTTTAGTATAGTAGTTTACTACCAAGATAATCTTGTTAAACTTAATCCAGTAGCTGTACTTTTTACTTTTGAGTATGGACTGAATTCAGTTCACAAATCAGCTCTCCCCAATAAGATTGCAATATGTACATAATAAAATTAACAATTACACGGCCATAATACATGAAATTTTTTTTCATACGAGATTTTGAAACATGATAAAAATAACATTTTCAAATAGTTGGTCATAATCACCTTATTCTTTGCCTTAAAATATAAAAATATGTTGATTTAAATCTAGTTCGATGATTTTAAAATAGAAACTTCAACACAAGTCGTTTGTAAACTGAATGTATCAGGAAAAATAATCGTTGTATTGTCATTAACAAAATCACTTATGTAGAAATAGTCGTATATTATATATTTTAATTTGTTGAAATATAGTACTGTTGGTGAACGTGTTGAAATATTTGATCAATTTAAATAAATTTAATAAAAGTGTGATTCTTCTACTTCTATGTTAACATTGCAAAAATTCTAATCAAATTTGATTCACAAAAATTATTATATCGAATGACCATTCACGTCTCAGCTGTAAAATTGAAACTCCGTATAATTAGATGTAAAATGAGCGATGTTTTCCTATAATTAGTTAAAAGTTCTTATTTTTTGATAGGTGAAAGAGGCTCAGTTGGCAGTCGAGGAGCAGGAACTGCAAAAACATGCCATTGTTAAAAGAAAATTTGACGAAATGTCCATTCTAGAAACGCGAATCCAAGAACTGGAAAAAGAGCTATCAATAAAAGAATCTTTGAACCAGGATCTCGAAAGTTGTAGGCAAGATTTAGCAGGTAGATATGTTACACGTTAATTGTACCAATCTCATTCCCAAGCGCATCTTTTAATATATGACTTTCTAACAGCTTATGAGCTATTATAAGATCTCTTAATACAGTTGTATGTTGCTTTATAGAATCTGAGAATAGTCTTAATACCATGAGAGATAATCAGGTATATAAACACATATATGTACGTAGCAATTCTTATTTTAGGTATAGTTAAAATATGTTACAGTTTAAATATGATTTATGTGAGAATCACACTATGTATGCACATGTGGGGGAATCTATTTTGTCATACCATTTTGGAGATGTTTGCATGTGCTTTGTTTTGTTACCTTGTAGAAGCGTTTTGAGAGTATTATATCTGAACTTGAAAAAGAGAAAGAAGTTATGTCTACGAAATGCCATTCATTGGAGAATGATTTATTTTCAATGAAAGCAGAAATGGCAAAGAATGAGAAAAACTTGACGGAGAAAGAAAAACAGAGGGTAGATGATGACCAAAAACGGACGAAAGATTTTGAAGAAAAGTTAAAAGAGGTTGAAAGCAATAAACAAAGTGAACTTGCGGTAATTTTGAAAAAAAACGACACCAAAATATCTGATATGAAGAAAATTGTGAAGGAACTGCGAACTAACTTAACGGAAAAAGAAAAGCAATTGGAAAAGTTGCAGCAAGAACTCAAAGCTGTTGAGGCAAAGAAAGAAAAGGAACTAAATGAATATAAGAAAGGTACAGATAAGCAAGTCAATAAAATGAAGAATATGATTAAAGATCTAAAAGTTAAATTAAGCGAAAAGGAAGATGCTTTAAATTCTTTGAATACACAGATTTCTGTTCTGAATGAACAAAAAGTCGAAGAACAAAAACAACTGATGTGCGAGCAGGAAAGTGTTTTGTCAGAAAAAAGTTTAATGTGTGAGGATTTGATGGCAGAACTTAAAGAAAAAACAGAATATTGTGCTAATTTAAAAGAAAAAATTGAAAAGTCAAAGGATGAATGCGAACAGAAATTAGAAGAACTGAAACAAATACATACTAACGAAATTGATTTGTCGAAAGCGGATTTTCAGAAGAAATTGAGCGAACTAAGACGGGAATTGGAAGAGGAAAAGAACAATGACCAAATTCGTTTGTCGAAGGACGCGGATCAAAAAATAAAAGGCATGAAGGATATAGTAAATGAACTGCGACAAAATCTAAGGGAAACTGAATTGCGCGAAGAAAATATGAAAACGAGTCTTGAAAATGAAAAGAAATCGTTCAATGAGTTGAATATAACTGTGATTGATTTGCAAAAACAACTGCAACAGTCTTTATTGAAAGAAAAAGATTATGAAGATAAATTGTATGTGATGAAATCTCAGATAACAAACCTTTTAGCTGAACGTGAAGAAGCTTTTAAAGAAAAGGAAGAAGAAAAAAGAAAGTTAATGGAAACAATGGAAGAAAAATTTAATGAAAGAATGAAAGAGAAAGAAGAATTTTTGAACAAGACTATTGAGCAACTGACTAAAGAAAACGAATTGAATGTTGGTGATATTGCTAAAAATTATGATTCTATGAGAGAGGAACAACTGAGATCTTTAGAGGAAAGATATGAAGAAAAAATAATTGAATTAAATAATCAGTATGAAAGATCTTTGGCATTTACAAAGAAGGAAGCTAATGAATCTTACGAAAGACTTGCTTCAGAAGCTAAAGACCGTGAGGAACAACTTCTAAAGAAAAATGAGGATATTCGATGTGATTTGGAAAAGGCTCTCAACAATTTGAAAGACCAAAATGATGAGCTAACAAGTAAAGTCAGCGAGTTCAACAAAGATTTGCAATTGAAAGATGAAAAAATTGTTGAGTTTGAAACTATGTTGATGAAACATGTTGATGAAAAAAATGTTATGCAACAAAACATGGAGCAAAAGTTGATGGAACTTGTTGAAAGTCATCGAAGGGAAATGAACGAGGTTCAACGAGAAAGTGAACGACGACTTGAGGAAATGTCTTCAGAGCACGACAATGTTCTCGTCATGCAATCGAGTGAGATGAGTAAAGCACAACAGGATTTGTTAACACAACTCGATAATTTAAAAAATGATCACGCCAGACAATTGCTAGAGGTTAAAGAAGGTTACGATGCAAAACATAGCGAAACTGTTAAAAAATTGCAAAATGAAAATGTTCAGTTAAATGAAATGCTGCTAAAGGAAAGCAACGAGAGAACAAAAGAACGGGATAATCACTGTAAAATGTACGAAACACTTGAGTTAAAACATAATGATACTAGTAAAGAATATGAAAAGTGCTGCGAGTCTTTAAATAAATTAAATGATGAAGTGAATTTGGTGAAACGTGAGCGAGATGAGAAAGCTGAAGAACTTCATAAGCTAAACGAAGTCCATAAGCATACTCTTGATGAATTAATTGGGAAAATTGATGCATTGAAATATACAAACTCTCAATTAGAACAGCAATTAAACGATCGTAATGAATGTGTCAATGAGATTCAAAAACAGAAAGAACAGTTCGAAAAAGAATTAAAAGCCGTTAGTCTGTCGGAAAGTAACCTAAAAAAAAGGAACTCCGAGTTAGAAGATTTTTTAAACAAAATGCAAATTGATTCTCAAAATGAAATGAATGATTTGAAGGAGAATATAACGTCTTTGAATGTTAAAATGAATGAAATGGTCGAAGAGCAACAACGAGAAGAAGAAAGTCACAAAAAGATTGCAACAACTCTGAAAAAGAAAGTAAAAGCTTTATCTGAAGAAAATAAAAAGAAGGATTTAAGAGTAAATGAGTTGAATGATAGTTATGAAAAGACTATCTTAGAACTGAAGCAAGAAAAAGAGAAACTGCTCTTAGAGTTGGCCTCCAGTAAAAATGATTCTCGCACTGTAGATGAACAGATCAAAAAAATTCTTTCTGAAAAACAAGAAATTGAAACGCTAATGAATAATACTGAGGAAATGCATCGTCATAAGTTAGAAGAAACTGAAAAAAAACTTGAACGTGATTTGTTGAGACAGCAAGAAGAATTTGAAAAGAAAATCTCGGAACTTGAAAAAGAAAAACAAGATTCTTTATCAAGTCTAAAGGAAAATCTTGTCAATGAACATAAAAAGAAATTATTGGAAATCAAAAAGAATGGTGAGCTTAAACTTAAAGAAAAAAATAATGAACTTCTTACTGCAAGTGAGAAAATAAAAGATTTAGTTCAACAGTTAGAAACTGTTGATGTCAGTCATTCAGAAAAACTTCAACAAATTTCTGCTGAACATGAAGTCATTCTGAAAACAAAGCTCGAAGAACATGAGCTACAAAAAGGAGGCCTTAAAAACAGTACAAAACTATTAAATGAGAAGATAACGCAGCTCGAAGCAAGTGAAAAAGTTTTGGTTGAAAGTGTTGAAAATCTTCGTGTTGAAAAAATGGACGCTTTGCGTAAACAGGCTCTTTCTTTGAAGGAAGAACATGATGTGGAATTGAAAAAGCTAGAAGATGAACACAAGAAAACTACGGAAAAATTAGAAAAGCGTCTTTTTGCTAAGGTAGAAGAAAAAGATTTTGAAAACAATGCAAAACTAAAACAAGTTATCAAAGAGTTTCAAGTGAAATTAGCGGGAAAAGATCAAGAAATACAAGATACTTTAGCTCAAACGATCGAAAGTCGACAGAAAGAAGAACAACAATTTGTTGTTAAATTTGAAGAAGAAATTCTCGAGTTAAAGAAAGAATTAAAATATCGAGAAGATGAAATGCTTCAGCTTCGAAAGGAAAGTGATGAAAAATTGAAAGAAAACGAAAAAAAGATATTTGATTTAGTTCATGATCATGAAACATCATTAAGATGTATTGAAGAGGAATATAATGCTAAAATAGCAGAATTAACTTCTACACATGAAGAAGAATTGAAGAAATTTACTACAGGTGATCAACTTATTGAAATTGAAAAAAAGTATGAAGAAGAATTAGCAGAGGCACAGAAAGATCATTCATCGGAATTACTTGCTCTCGAAAAGAAACTAAAAAATCAAATGAAAAAGAATCAATCTGATATGAAGAAATTGTTGAACGCTAAAGAAGCTGAGTTAGAAAAGAGAAAAAGTCCTTTGGCCAATGTAAGTTATTTTTATCCTGGTTTCGTCTTAATTTAATTTTCTAACAACCGCTATTTTTCATAAATTGGACTGCATTCTTAAAACAATGCAAAAAATATCGACATAAATTATTTCACATGTTTTCTGTTTTTGAAACATAACACTACCCCTGGAAATTACGGTTTTTAAATGAGCATGGACGCGCGTGACGTGAAAATGGGCATGGACGCGCGTGACGCAAAAATAAGCGTGGACGCGCATGACGTAACACAACTTTTGCAAAGTAAGGTGTACACCTAGGTGTATGTTTCACTCGTAAATTGTTAAACGAATGCAAATGACGTATGTCCTAGCTCGTTTGAAAACTGCAATGAGATTGATTGTCATTTATTGAGTTAGGAACTGATTCTGCCTAGCACGAGGTCATCGTTCTTTACCATTGATATGCATTAAATAGAAAATACATAGTTCGCCGACAAAATAGTAATAGTATCTGTTTTGCAGTTCAATAATATTTTATAAGAGTTTTTGTTTTTTAAACTCAAGCAAAAACCTGAAATTTCTTCGAAGCATATTCTTAAGTAATGACGATTAAAATATATCTTTGTTAGGGAGAAAAGGAAGGAAATGATCAACAAGAAGTAAATGCATTAAAGGTTCGTTATTTTTACAGTGGCTTTTTTATGCATCTTAAAACGTACTTAAGTATGATTAATAATAAACGCTAGGAAACAATTGAACGTTTAAACAGAGAAATGGATTTGTTGCGTGAGAGAGAACAGTTAATGAAGGTAAACTATGATACTGTCATGATTGTAATTTGTTCAATGTTAGTATTTCAATTTTAACTAATAACTCCTATATATATGTCGATATCTATTTAGAGTGATTTAGAGAAACGTAACGGAATGAACAGCAATGAAATAAAAACACTGGAACGTCCTGCGCAGCTTAATGTCACATCAAATCCATTTTCACCCTCTGTTTCATTGCATAGTCCTTCATCAAATCCTGGGGAGACTGAGTACGAGGTAGCTACGTATGTTTGTAGGTTTCAGCTCCATAGCGATTTGTTTAATGATATTTTGCGTCTGTTTTTACAGTATTTAAGGAATATATTGTTCCAGTACATGATGGGGAAGCAGACGAAAGTAAGTCTTATAGGCTTTCTTCCTTATAGTTTTTAATTAAAAGTTTGCAGTATTGTGAATAGAGGCAACAATTTAAGGGATGACAAATAATGTAAACTTTACGGAGGGTGTTTCAAGCACTCATTGCTGACCCCATAAAGATTGTTGTTTTAATTGCAAAATTTTATTGATGTGATTGAGCAGAACTACAAGAACTATTGATGTTTTTCTTTGTAGCAACTTTCGAAAGTTCTCGCAACAATTGTTCGTTTTACACCGTCACAATATCAACAAATTATTCAAAAAGAACAAGAAAAAGAAATATCACAAGTTAGAAATTTGCCATATTTCTTTGTTTGACCACTTAGTGTATTGATATAGTATTCATGGAGGATTGAATGTTTGTGTTTAATTCTTATTTTAGGGTGGATTTTTTTCTCCTTTAAGAGGATAATTCTTGCGTAAGTACTGTTTATACGTAGATATGCCACGTCCAATGGTTGATATATACAAGTTAGGTATATCAAGAAAATACTGGCCACTATACGCACACTTACGTAGCTGAAAGTAACAGGCTTTTTGAGTTGAATAAAACACAATATTCAATGAGTGAAAAAAACTGCTACTAAAATGGCTACTCCTTTGTCAACCTTTAGTAAATGAAATAAAAAATACTTTAAAAATATGTGTTGAAAGTTGAAACGAAACTTATTATTTTTAGACCAAAGCATATCCGAAAGGAAAAAAGATAAACTTGTTATGCAATTCGAATTAATATGATTGAAAAAGGAAATATCTTGAAAATACAGATTGTGGTTTTGATATAGTGAATAAATTAGGAGGTATTTTTGACATATTTTTAATGCAAGTTGCTTCAAATTTCAACTCGTCTGACTATGTAGCGTTTTATAAGAGATATTTTATGTAATCTAACTATATTGGGTTTTTTTCTTCAGCCATGTACATCTGTGTTTGTAAAATCATCTTTGCTCCCTTCCCCATCTTTATTCATTGATTTGAATAAGAATTGAATTCTTATTTAGTTAGCTATGCATACAAGTCTATGTGAAACTCATAGTAAACATGTACGACATTTTTCGATGACTTTTGTCATCATTATAACATAATTTACATCTGAATTTTTGCAAGTTCGGCAGCAATAAAATGATTTTATTTACGATGAAGTCTATGGATGTTCGCCTCATGATATATGAATGAAAAATAAAATGGAAGTTAATGAAGAAATGAAATAAATTTAAAATGAAACATTTTATGTTTGATTTAAAGTACGACTCGAAAGGCAGTGTTTGTTTTAAACTTTGCACTATCCTTGGATCCCTAGTTGCTTTTTGCGTATATTTTTCATCAATGAAATATATAGTTAAGTAATATATTGTACAATTCTGAAAAGATATTTTTCGTGTAGTGTTGTTATTTGTATATGGGTCAAACCACGCGTCATTTACTCACCAAATTTTGGAGAAATTCGTAATGTCTTTTCATGTCATATGTCATAAGTAAAACTATATCTTTCCGTGTCGTAGGTAGCTCTATTCTCACAAACTATTCATTGATTTTTCTTATTTCTTCTCCATTAACCCTTGTTTCTTACCTTTTATCTTTCTTTATTTTTGTTCAACTATTTATTCATTTACAACCAAGATATTTCACACTATATTTAACCATTTTAATTTAATTCTTTTTTATAAACTTACTTCATGAAATATACAATCAAGACAAAACGTCATCTTTCATAAATATCGTTTAGTGACAAACTTTTCACAAGTGTTATATATTAACTCATTACGATTAAAATTCCTGTGAAATGAAAATATTACCGTCTAAATTATGTTTTCATCGAAAAAGAGCTTTTCAGATAACAACAAGATGTCTAAAGCAGTTGAAGTACATCTCTTTTCATTCTCAATATTTAAAGTTTTAGTTAGGAGGAGCGATTTACTCAACTAAGACGCGATGAACATATATGATATCACAATGATAAAAAAACTCGAAGGTTGAAGTAACATCAACAAATATATATCTAAATTTCAATGTTTGCTATGCATTGTGACGTCATTGAACATTACAAAAAACCTCGATGTCTTGAGTATAAAAAGAGATATGGACAAACTGTTTTAGGAAGTGCATTTTCCTTTTAAAAGATTTGTTCAATGAAACTTTTATTTAAATAGCAAAATTTTTGTTTCTTTCATAGGCTCTTTAAACATTTCTGTCATGTTCTTTAATTTTTGGTTTTATTTGTACCAGAACATTATCTCCAGGTATCAACTCGTAACTGTGTTCCACTTCAATATAGTTGGAAACCTTAGAAAACCACATGACTAATCCTGTAGATTGTATAGTGACGTCATATCCATGTGGATAATGTAATTTTTCGTTGAGATAAATAATAGTTGTTTTACTGAGACATGTGTCAGTGATTTGATAAAGAACATGAAAGTGATTATTTTGATGGTTAAAAGAAAGATCTATAACATGACCAGCAACAGCCTGAGGATAAGTACGACTTGTATTGTAGATGCGTGCAGTAGAACTTAGTGGTGTACTGCGTTTTGAACTGTAATATTCCCAACCGAGCCAAGATTGAAATGTGTAGTCTGCACGATTCATTATTTTAAACATTAAATTTGGGCATCCTTTAGGTTGTGTGGCAAACTCAGTCAACATTCCACCACATTTTAGTTTCTCAATATCCTTCATTCTTTCCATGAAGTCTAAATCAACATCAAAATTCGGGGGAACGTAGAAATGATAACTTAAAACACTTTTATTTTGATAATTTTCACCCCCCGGGACGTGGTCAAAACCTGCACCGAAATTCGCCCAAGTGACTGGTTCGAAAAATATGCAATGATCTTTGTCGACCGTTCGTATTGCCTTCGCTAGGTTATCGTAAACTGGAGACAAGTATTGTTTGTCGGCCACTGTTGGTTCTAACAAGAAAGGATTTTTGTAAATATCACCCGGCCATGGTTCGTTTATCAATTCATATCCCAACACATTGGTATAAAATTTGAACGTTTGTGCAGTTTTCACCCAAAATTTTGCCCACTCATCTCTTAATCCGTCAACGTTCATATAAAGGTTTTGAAATGACTTGCCTACAGCTTTTGCAAGATAGTATGTTGATGACGAGAAACGAGCACAATCTTCTGGTGTTGGTAGGTTTGTAGAAGGATCTAGTTTATATGGCTTGTGTAATGGATATGGAAAATTCTTTGCAATATCGGGATCAATGGCCCAATTTGGAAATCCTTCACCGCAGAAGCGAGAAGACATAACGTTTTGATGCATGTCTAGTAAAATATAAATGCCATACTTTGCAGCTTTTTGAACAAAACCCTCCATTATTTTAAGGTATGTTTCGTTAAACTTTCCTCTTTCAGCCATCAAACCTTGCCACATCATACCTAACCGTACACCATTTAACCCAAGAGATTTAATAAGAGCCATGTCTTGTTCTGAAAAAATATCGTTTCCAAAACCTTCTGGATTTGGATGCCACGGAAAGTGCTTTATCACAATATTTGTTCCATGAATTAAAACTTCTCGTCCTAAAGTGTCGATCAGACGTTGACTCTCTGGGTCAACTGATATTTGTAATAAATTACCTTTGATTTGTAGAGCAAAACTTGCTACAATGATCATCCGGAAATACATCGTTTTTGCATTTCTATTTAGACTGGTCATGATTATTAGCAATGTTACAGCAACAAAATCAAACTCGTGTGATTTTTGTAATACGATACTTGAAAATTATTGCAGCAGATAAATTTTACATAATATGAAATACTACTCTCATACTACCCAGAGATATTAAAAGGAAATTTACACCTAGGAAAAGTTTCGTTGAGCACTCGCTGAATAAGTTTCACTCGCCAAACTGTTGGCTATATTGACAACTTTCAATCACAACAGTGTTCAAAAATCCTAACCCTACCGGGTTACCGACGTCAAAGATAACACAACGCAAGTGGTAATAAACAAGCTTCTTGTTTCAACATTTGCTTCAGCGATGTTTAAAATACTTATATTTTTGCAAGTATTTATTTATGAAATGAAGGCTTTATAGGTACATTAACGAACAGCACAAGAAGCACTCCAGCCTATCAATAATTTTCGCATAGTTTGAGTTTATTTCCACATATACATGTTAAATCTGCTTGCAGTCTTTCATATCAAGCTGCAGTGTATTATTTGTCGCAGCTCGGGGTTTGTTCATGCAGTGCACTGTATCCAATGATTTCACGTTGTATCTAAATTTGTTTGTTTACATGACGCTGAGAAAGATTAAATGCATTGGTGTACTTAATCAATCAAGAAAATAGGAGAATACAGAGCAGCTAAAGTGTTAATTGACTGCTAGGGCATAAAAAATTGATTGCTTGGTTAGAGAGAGCATCATTCTACAACTATAATTAAGTTTGCTAAAAATACTATGCCATTGACTAGGATGGAGAACACATAACAAAATTATGTTCAGTTGTTCATGAATTATATGAAGTAACATGTGCAACCATGGGAAAATAATCCGATATAACATAAGGTCCAAGCAGAACGATCATGATAATGTTAGTGCTGGCGATATTTTAGCATCTGAAGTCATACAGTAAGAAGAATACTGTTTGGTAGAAAATATTTGAAAACTGAAGATTGCTAGAATCTTTAACCCAAAATTGATCAGGTATTGTTGTTAGAACATTCAGTACATCAACACCGAAGGACACATAAAGAAAACAATGTTATGGTTATAATTGTTGCCATCCTTGTACTAAACTGTTTGTGAAGAAGTAACTCTTATGCAAGACTTTTCCCAAGTGGAGGAGTGTTTTACTCTTTGATTTGAAAACTAACTAATGGCGCAAGTTTTATAAATGATGTAGAGAGACATATCGACTATATTGTCTTAATTCATTCATGTCATCAGTCAAGATCTGGGGAAGTTTTATGGCATCGTCTTGTGTCGTCCTTGTGTTGAACATTTTACAGTATTTTCATTTTGATGTTTTCATCGGCAGGCATCTTTAATGACGCTATTAAATATGATATTCCGCTGTTTTGTCGATCAGCCATTTCACACCAGATCTCAATACCAATTGAGAAATGTGATCATTTGTGAAGAAAACGGTAAGACGTACTCATACCAAAAGTATTGATGAGTTGGAGAGTCTGGAGACCTATAAACTAGTACTAGTATATAGTCATATATTTACGAATTACTAAACGAACTTGATTTACATATTCACCCAGTTAACATTTATTTACTCGTAATTCTTGTAAACTCGTGCAAACTAAAAATTGCCCTTAAAAATGTATTGATTCTGTATCTCTGGGTTTGTAACTCCGTCAGGCGCAATGGTCAAGCGTCAAGGTCAGACTGGTCAGGGTTCAGTGCAGCTGTTACGTCATTAACAAAATTGTTCACATGACCACTGACCACTGACAAGTTTGACAACAGTTTGGAAGAGTTGGAGTTCGAAGCAAGCATTAGAATTATGGCACCTTCTCCATTACCTAACTACAAAGATCCCAGATATCTTTCACGACAAAATTTATCTTCTAAATCAAAAATCAGTGATGTTATTGCTGGTAAGTACATTTTTAGATTTAGTTTCAATAGTTTGAATTGCTTTGTACTGGGGAAGGTCCCATACACTGCGATGGTCTTTATCAAAATATTTTGTTATACAAAAAGGATATCTTCACCATGCTTACTCCTCCCATTTAGGGAACGAAAAAAGTAATTTTAAGAAGCAAAAAAGGCAGATAACTGGCATAAGGTATGCTACATTTATTCTCAAATCCCGAAGGCGAAGATGTATTGTACCGAACTTGATTACATTACATGGTTTAATATTGACATTTAGCGATTTGCTTGACATTAGAATTTATATTAAACTCCCATTTTCACTCAATCATATCATTTCAATTTTGATTAATGATTTTGTTTTTGGCACTAGAGTGCCATTTTTTTTGCAGGCCTTACCAACCAAAATCTGTAAAATGTATGAGCTATGTATTAGATACATTAGTTACATACTTCTCTGTGTCAAAATATATCTTGTGTGAGTATCTTTGTCATTATAAATTTAATTTTCATATAGAAAGAGTTCTTTGATATAAGAATTCAAGGTACATATTTACCAAATGATACAAGACATTTTTAAAGTTTTTTAAAACTTAATAAATTCTTCTCATTTGTATTAAAGAAATAAAATGTTAAATATATATATTCGTCCTTTAATTACAACTATGTAGTTGGGACAATCATCCTTTAAAGAAAGATATCTATGATCATGGTACCAAGGTTGCTGTTGAGAATTGCAATTTCAATGAAAAGTCAAAAGAATTTTTTGATGTCAATAAAGCATTGGAAAGAAATAGACCCATTTTACAGGAATTTGCAGGTGGAAATGGTTCAGGAAAGACAGAACAAACCTCTCAAACAGAGTCAAAACAACCAAGTGCAACAACACCATTGTTTTCCATAACTTCAAAGAAACCTGCATTCACAAATAATCAAGAGCAGGGTGGTGGTGGTCAGAATGACCCACCTTATGGATCATCAAGGATAATTGGAGGACATTATGTTGAGTCTCCTGAACCTTTCTATAAAGGTGTGATAGGTACCTATACATTTTAATTTTTAATGCAAGTGTTTATTGTTGTTGTGAAATTTATGTATACTGTATACTTTTGAGATTTAAACAAGTTTGATCTTTTATCAAATACCTTTGCATATCTTCGTAAGGAATTTAAAACTTTAAAAAATAATATTTCTCCAACTGTTTTAAATTAAATCATCATTTATTGTTGGTAAATAGACGTAGTAACATATGCAATATATACAATTTTTTTTAGACAAAACTGGCAAAAACCAAAGCAACAGCATTTATGTTGTTTGTGGTAAGATTAATGCAGTAGAAACTGATGGACATCAAGGTGTAGTCAATGCTGCTAATGGTCTGCCCTGGGAAACTTCTCCTCCTCAGGAAACCCATTCACATAAGGAAGATCATTATTCTCAGGAAAGTCATTCTCATAAGGAAAACCATTTTCCTCAGGAAAGCCATTCTCATAAGGAAAACCATTTTCCTCAGGAAAGCCATTCTCATAAGGAAAACCAACTACCTCAGGAAAGTTATTCTCATAAGAATGACAAACAATCTCAGGAAAGCCATTCCCACAAGGAAGATCATTTACCTCTGGAAAGCCATTTACCTCATGAGGCCAATCCATCTCAGAATATTTCTATTTTCATGCAAGTAAGTTGGTAAATTTATTCATTTTTGAATGATTAAGTTGACATTAGATCAATTTTAATTAAAAAAAAACAAAAAGAAAGTTATGTTTGTTTTAAATCCTATTAAATGATATAAGACAATGTATAGAATTCTGTTTATAATTGTGTGCAAATTTAGAGAAGATAAAAATATTTTATTAGAACTGAGTCTCAGCCTAAGCTTATATGGTACATAAAACTTTAAAAAGCATATTTTCCATGATGATTGTTGACAATGCATAGGTAAGTTATTGTTTTCAAGTTAACAGGGCTATGATAGTCATTTGTCCTGTGCACTTATTATAATTTATTTAAATTTCAATCTTTAGGATGCAGTTTTTACAAGTGGCCAATACAGTCATGATGCTCCAAGAATGAATGAAGATGGAGCAGCGAAAATATTGCATCCTATGAATGTAAGTCTTTGAATTTTGAAATACAGAAATTTAATTTCCAAATTATGATTGAAGTAAAAGGAAGTGTATGTATGAAGAAGACAGGACAGTTATTCACTCACGTTAGGGATGCATTTTTGCCACTATATATTTATTTTGTTCCAAACTATTAGTTTTTTCACTTATTAATTAATGTCTTTTATTTGTTTCCAGGAATGTTTTAGAAAGAATGGCTTTTATAAAGAAGGCACAGACTTTGATATCTTTGGTGACATTGGTGGAGGTGGATTTGGAGAAGTGCATAAAATTATTGACAAGTCTTCAAAGAGATCATATGCATTGAAGAAGGTATGAATATTACCTTTATTTTTTTATAATTTTGTGTTTGATTATGTTATTTGTTTTGTCATATTGCTAAATAAATTTGTTAATTTTACTTTGGAATTGTGGGAGTTGGATGTTCATTGTAGAGATGCTTAAGGAAACTAATGTATTATTGGGAACTTGTTACGTATGTATAATGTAGTCAGCACATGTAACCAGCTCTTTCCACATTCTTTTAGATACCGGTAAAAAAATTTGAGATAAATGAGTTGAGCATTTGGGCAAAACTTTTATCACCTTCAAAGCCTGACTTTATTGTAACTCTTCTTGGGGCCTATACTTACAAAGAATATGCTTATGTTTTTATGGAGCTTATGAACGGTAATTTTTCAGTCTGTAATGTACAATTGAATATTTATGAGAAGTCCAATATTGTTGTTTGTTCAGCTGTTTTGATGTAACATCATAGTCAGCCCAGAAATCTGTTTCGTTTAGGCTTTATATGCATGCAATCGATTTAAATAGTAAACATATTCTTTGATTCATGACCAATGTTTATCACGCGCGTCATCTCGCGTGAGTTCCATGTTTGTATGGTTTTAAAGGTCTAAACAAAACAGATTTCTGGGCTGCCAATGGTAACATGAGATTGTCTGAATCCTTTTTGTGTTATCAGAATGTTATATTTGCTTTTATATCAGTTATAAAACTATATATCAGTTAAGCATAAAGCTACGTGTGTTGTGACTGTGGATTTGTCGAGACAGTGACAATAAAGTACAGTTTACTTTATTTTTTCCGTCGATTTGAATTACTATTTTTCTGAAAAAATATCGTCAGACGTACAATGTAGCTAGGTAGATTACCCCTACCACAAATAAAAGTTGTAAATTTTTACCTTGAATTAATTAAGTTATTCTTCTAAATCTCTAGACACTTTAAAGTATGTTGCTTTGAACGGAGTCGCCTTAGAACTTAATCAAAGAAAAGTTCTTGCTCTCATCAAACCTGTTTTGCATGCCCTCCATCATATGCACAAGCAAGGATTTGTGCACGCTGATGTAAAAGGTAAATTGCATTCATCTTTATCAATTTTGTTCGCGTGTTTTGTTTCATGTTATGAATTGTTTGCATACGTGTATGTCAGCCCATAGCAGCCTACAGGTTTTTCTTAATAAATGTGAAATAATATTCGTATTCTTCTCATGAATAACTTGATGACTTTAACAATTTGTCTCGCATTATCGATCAATCTCGCGCGACGTTCGTGTGACGTGTAGTCTTATCAGTTTAATAATTACCCAATAATAATCTTTCATTGGCAAACATTAACATGTTCTTACAATTTTAGCTGAAAATATTTTCATCAGTCAAGATAGAATTAAACTGGGTGATTTTGGTCTATCGGTAAATCTGAACCAGCAAACTTCTAACGTTTGTTGTCGTGGTACAGTAAATAACATGGCCTGGGAATTGTTCTGTGGTGGTCCAATCACTTGTAGTGGAGATGTTTATGCACTGGCCTGTGTAGTAATACACCTGTTTGTTGGTTACCCCCCATGGAATGAAATGCGTAAAGAGCAAATTATTTTTACGGTTTGTTGTCAATTATTATCGTGAGTATGATTTTATATTCTTACGTGTTCTCCTAGTTTGTTTAATCGTTTATTTTTTAAAAATTATAAGAATTGCTCGAGGTAGTATCGAAATTTTACAACTGCTATTGATAATCATTTACTGTACATCAGTCCAAAAACCATGACCAGCCGACAATTTAAAGAAATATATAATATAAAACAAATTCCGAAGAAGCAAGACATCTTGAGATTGCAAAATATGAATCAAAACAAGACGAGAAGTGAACTGTAAATTTTCGACTTTATTTCAAAGTCATTCTCAGACAGAATGTCAAAGTCATCCTCAGTCATTCTGTCTCTGCAACTCATTCTGCAAATCATTCTGCAATCTCAAGATGTCTTGCTTCTTCAGTCCAAAAGTTGTGTTTAATTTTACGTACGTAAGACATATGATAAAATATCTAATGCTCAACTTTCTTCTGTTTTACTGTTTACACACAAAAGCTTTCTAGCAGAGTTTTACCTGAAAATCCACTCTTTGAGGCATACAATTTCACTTCTCCAAAATACTGCTTGTTTTTTTTTTATTTTTTTTTTTTGTAGTCAAGGTCGAAAAACCAGGCCTATACATAGTTGAAACGTTCAACTTCACATGAGCCTACTTATAAGTACCTTAATTAGGATCGGTTCATGTGAAGTTTGACGTTTTAACTGGACCTTATTTAAAATAACTATTGTTATTTTTAAGCATTCAAAACCAATCTCAATTCTTGAGCTTATATATAAATCATCCCTATTCGAACGATAAACTTATAACGTCGTAATATGTGATAAGATTTTACGATATGTGCTGCGGTCTAGGTTTAGATTTTTTTCTAAGATATTGAAAAATAACTTATTATTGCAGGTTGGGAAAGGTGAACTTCCACAGCTTCCAGAAAACTGCAATAGTCAAATGAAAAAACTTCTCCAGGACATGATACAACATGAAAACAGACCGACTGCTCTGGAAGTTTTGCAAAATCCTTTATTTAGAGATACTTCAGGTAAATTAATTTCAACGATTTCATATGAATCAAAACGTTTATTATAGTTTTGTTTAATTAAGCATTGTTTCAATATTTATGTTCGCGTGTTTAATTTATAGGAGAATTTTGCCTTATTTCTCATTTTTTTTAGCTGCATACTTGTGTTTTAGTGTTCATACTTTACAGTTTCTCGTTTTAGTCACAGCTAAATGAAGTATTTTTAAATCTTATTACGTTTGTTTACTAGTGTCAGTTTTGGACAATCTCCTCCAAGAAGTTTTGGTGGATATAATGCTACTGAAACACGAACAGCAAAACACTGGTTAGTATATATTCATAGTTAATTGAAGTAGGTCATTGAACTATATCTTTAACAAATATACTTAAACCTTTTTCGTGTTTTATATCAGGTAACGGTGGTCATGACCTAGATCTTGTAGATTGGGCAGGTAAATTGAATTGGATTTTTTTTTGAAAGTCATTGCTTGTTTGTTGTCTGTTCATGACAAAAACAACGAAAAAAGTCATTTTTCATGTTAACAAGCTCATTTATGGTTTTTAATTTAACACAATGTAAAAAATACCACTACACGCTGTGTAGAAGCAAGATCCAACATCCCCTTCTCTCCTCTTTTATTAGAAAATGACAAATTGATATTTGGTTAGAGCTCATGCCTTTCCACACATTTATATTAGAACATGCTAAAGGTTGGTGTAAAAAACACAGCATTAATTGTTTCTTCGTCATTGTTTTTCGTTGTAGAGTCAGTGCATCATTCCCAGTCTCCTGCTCTGCTTCAATAATTTTTTCGCGTTTTATAAAAGATCAGACTGAATAAAGCTTTTGTAGTCTTTTGTTCAATTTTCCTAGATATATCAAGATATACTACATTTTGTTAAATATGTATTCCACTCTTGTGACTTATTGTGTTGTTTAGTTTATAACTGAGAAATGTCATCACTTAACTTACAAGTAATCGTTAGTTTTAATGGTAACCTTATAAATTACTGCGCGTATTTAAATCTTGCACTGAAGTAACTGCATGACTGAGGAACTAAGTGTAACTGTTCCGGTAACCGGGTCTTTTCCCCTGCAATCAATGGCCCCTTACTAGTTATTGGCTCTGTAGTCAAAGCAAAGTTGCAGGCCTTAAGTAAAATATCTACGTGTGATTTTACACACTTTGTGTCCTTGTTAATCAGAAATGTGTCCTTGTAAATAAAAAAATTTCTTTAGAAAGAAGAATTACAATTAACAATATATTCTTATAATGGCATTAATGCTTTTGTTGTTTGATTTTGGCGAAAGTTTCTCCGATTTGCTCTGAAAAAGAAGCAATTCTTAGGATGAAAATAAAAATAATTTTAATTTTATTGCTGAAATAGAATACTTTAAAGCAAAAAATTAGGTGAATGACTGCAATACAGCAAATGAACTGCAAATGAATGGTGTTACACTGGTGTCATGTGGTTTAACAAAAGTAGAACAATAATTAAGAAAACCAACTAAAACTTATTGCGGAAAGAAATTAGAATGTTAAAATGTGACCCTGTTAAAATTTGTTAATTTAATGGCTGCTTCCCAATGCTTTCAGTCTCTTGACGGCGTTTGCGTTCTTTACGTTCTATTGTTTTTGCATTTCCTGGCTTGTGTTTGCAGCAATGGTGTAAATGTCGACGGTATTAGCTTGGTACGACCAAAACCAGCTCTTTAAAGTTGATAGAAAACTTTGTCTTGTTTTATTGGGGGGAGGAGCTCTCAAATTATACCTCTCCATATCGTTTTTGTAAAAATAGAGAATATCTCAAAAGGACTAGGCCGAGTAATGGTAAGTTGTTTATTTTCAATGGTTAGTTCACGTGATTGTTATGTTATGTTATATTTGTTTCACGTTTCAGATTCATACAGTGGTGAACACTGAACAGACGGGATAACAAATTCGTATCTCCATGCAAATTCTGCACAATTTTTAAAACAGAAGGTTTCTTTTTTGAACAATATTGTCTGTCGTTAAGATGAAATCGTATTTCCTGATCGCTGTTGTTCTTTCGTTCATGTTAAACCAACCAACGAAAGGTTTTCTTTACCCACTTCACGCTTCATGTGAAATTGATTGGTTAGTATATGAGTAACGCTAGTCCATCCAATTTCTTATCACGTATTTATTACATGTATAGCATGCAGAGTATTAGTTTTGATAGCTTTCTCAAAGTTTAAATTATTACTTTAAATGTAGTTTTCTAGAATAAAAACATGTGATTGTTATGCAATTCTTGCATGGCATATTCGATGGTGCGTATTTCGTGTTCGTATTTGAAATTGGATGACCAAAACTTTATTAAGTGTTATTTTTGCTGGTTAATGATTCAAAAAACTAGTATTTATTGATTTCTCTCAAATGAAAATCAATATTACACATCGCTTATTACATTGAATGTTCGAATTCAAGTATTTATTGGAAAATTAGAAATTTTGACCTTTGATGTACAATTAAAAAATACGGAAACATAATTTGATTGACTATTTCGAACTTACAAAGAAATATTTTAAAAAATAGACATTTGATGAAAAGTCTATAAGTAATTGTACACTTTTATGACCTTTGTGAACCCTGTTGAAACATTTGAACAGGTTTTTGTGGATTTGAAGGTCTTGTTGCCAATTGCCATTTTATCTTTAAGCATCATGTTTAATGGTAACCCAGTATCCATGTCAGAAAAAGTAGAAACCAATAAGTTATATTGTCAAGGGTTGCCAAAATCATGAATATGCTATTACTTTATTCAGGACATTTGGAATAAACTGCTCAACTGTGAACACAAAGATTGTGGATCAAATAAAGAAATGGAGTGGTTTTGAAATCTGTGGGGAAAGTGAGAAATGTGGTTATAAGGTAAAATGGCTTTGCACCTTGATAGTTAGATACTTTACTCAAATGACATAATTGAATGATTTTTATAGCTATGGTACGTACATAATCTACTTGCCAAAATGATACACTGGCATACGTAGATAGCCGGCAATTTTGGTCATGCTATGTAAATTTCAGATCATTAGCGTTGTTTATCTCTTTAAAAATTCACAGGGAAACACTAAAATATATAATTGCCTGTGAAATGATGGTACATATGATGCACATTGCCTGTGAAATGATGGTACATATGATGTACATTGCCTGTGAAATGATGGTACATGTGATGTACATTGCCTGTGAAATGATGGTACATGTGATGTACATTGCCTGTGAAATGATGGTACATATGATGCACATTGCCTGTGAAATGATGGTACATATGATGTACATTGCCTGTGAAATGATGGTACATATGATGCACATTGCCTGTGAAATGATAGTACATGTGATGTACATTGCCTGTGAAATGATGGTACATATGATGTGCTTTGTTATACTGTTTAAAACTTGTGTATAAGTTAGTTCTGAGAGTCATGATAATTTATCTTGGAGTAATTTAATTTATGTTAATCTTTCTTCTGCTTTCTTATAGCTGATCTCATATAGTTCTACAAACATTAAAGCAACACATACCACTCCAAAGAAACATTATGTGGATGACTTAAAATTCACTGGTTTTACGGAATCATCAAACAATTGTGATGTAAAGGTAATATACATATTTGACTCTTATTTATAAGCATGATATCTTTTATTTTATTATCTTTGTTAAAGCTACGTTGATGAAATTATTTGGCATGAATGCTTTGAAATTGTCTTTATCAAAAATAGTTCTTGTGCAAAGTTTGTGTAATTTCCTATGTAAAATTCAATCTCTTTATGTTTATTATTTACTGTATACATACTTCATAAAACTCCATTTTAGTTTTTAGTTTCCAACATTTTACAAACTAAATTCAGTTCACAATTAATTTTCAATTTTCAAGTTAAAACACTTAACATTTAACGAAACTGTTTTCTGCAAAGTTGTTCTGGTCAAAAGTAACAATGAAGTCTCATTTCCAACTTTAGTCATACTTAGCAAATATGTACAAATAATTTATATGGTTTATATGTAAAGTATGAATAATATATCATTAGGGTATGTCGTCTTCAGAGACTTGGTATGCTGTCTTAGATTATGGTACAAACTACTGCAACCTTCACAATCTTATTACAGGTACAAATGCTGCTTTAAAAAAATATTATTGTATGCATGCGTATTGCATATTTCATCTTTATAACCAACTAGCAATGAACTTTAATTATGTTTCACATGTGCTACATTACTAATGATGTGTTTGCTTGATGTAATACTCCCTTATAACACTCTCATGTTGTGACTTTTTTTTATTTAATCAAGTGTATAAAATGTTATTGCATTTGCCAAAACTGCATGAGTGTATTAGTTTAGAAATGCAATTTGATTAATATTTTGAGTGTATTAGTTTAGAAATGCAGTTTGATTAATAATTGTTACATATGTAAAGGAATGCATTATTTGCTTCATAAGAAAGTATGTCAAGAACATGAAAAGTGCTGTGTCTTGCTATATGTTATCTTGCGTACATATGACATTTTAACAGCATTTTTTTTGTATGTAAAGAAGTAAGAAAAATCTTTTTCTAGGTTCTGGTTTAGACAAGGTTCCAGGTTACAAAGAAATGACATCAAACAGCAAATGCACAGAATACACCTCTGCAAACTGTGGCAAGTACTGAGTTCAGAATTTTGAATTTTGCAATGAATAATAAAATATGAAACGACGACAAAAAAGCGTAAAATTTAAGTATTGTTAAACATGCACGATTTTATTTTGATTTTTGACTATTTGATTTAGTATGGTCAACATGTACGACTTTATAATGATTTAGTATGGTCAACATGTACAACTTTATAATGATTTAGCATGGTCAACATGTACAACTTTATAATGATTTAGTATGGTCAACATGTACAACTTTATAATGATTTAGTATGGTCAACATGTACAACTTTATAATGATTTAGTATGGTCAACATGTACGACTTTATAATGATCTTTGATTATGTTAGGTAATCTAAAAGTTTGTAAACATCTTCAACGCAAACAATTATCATTAGCTAATCATTAGCATTTGAAATTGATTGCACTCCAAGCGATTAATTCAAGCATGCAAGAAGTCAATGTGTTTTTATACCATTATTCTGGTAATGTCGTTGTAGGATTTCTCTAAAAAGAAAAAGATAAAAACCGTTATTAGTATAGTAGTAATAACCAATAATACATTTAATCAGCAAACTTTCATTGCGTGGTTTTGGGGGTTAGAAGTTAGAAAGAAGGTTGGAAAGAGGATTAGAAAGATTTATGCTCAATGAATGCTCATTTCACTGAACATTGAGCCCATATCACAATCAACTATGTTTATTAATCTGCGTCATTTTGTGGCTATTTGCCATATGCGTATTTGACAAGCAACCCTGGTGTACGCAATGCGTACCTACTTTTATAAAAGTGGGTAAAAACTTTCATGATACGACGTTTATAAAACAGTTGACAATAAATTGAAATATAAATGCTACGTTGAAATTTAATAAAAAAGAAACAGTATGAAAGAAAAATTTTATTCAATTCAAAATATACATTAACTACGTACATACATTTATGTTTAAAAGTAGTTTTCTTTGTTTGAAGATTACAGTTAAATAATTCATCTCAGTTGACACATATACGTACATGGAGACAAGTCTATTCTTTTCTAATGTTGTATCGAGTTTAGCGCTGCTTGTGAATACTTTTGAAGACGAGAAATAGAACGGTTTACAGAATTTGATCTTTAATCATGGCTACAACTGGTCGAAGTGGAGCGCCATGTTTGTGGATTTTAGGTAAACGTATGTATTGTTTGCCTAAAATCTACAAACATTGCGCTACACTTAGATCTTTGCAGCTTCAGTTTTTTGCATCTCAAAAAAGCAAGAACTGCGACATTATAACACCATATTTGTGCTTTAAAGGATGTAAATATGTAAATTAAAGTGTTAATCTTTGATTTATTGTCTTTGCTAAAGAAAACATGTCTACGTACATATGTTCATCCTTTGTTTAGATCTTGCGAGATCATTAAAACACTGACATATTTAAAACTTGTGACACTTTTTATGTTTTAATCCAAAAACTCATCAGCTTCATACTTGCAATCATATGACAATTACTGATATTTACATTTCATCATCTAGCATTTCGTCTTTCTAGAGATTTTCGTTCGACATTCTACTATAATCTCAATATAGAGATAGTGGCTATAATAGCAATTGATGACAGTGTCATTAGCATACAAATACATAACTACTTAGGAATGATTCAGTACGTGAAACTGTTTATTATTAATATAAAAAATACGTTATAAAATGCATGATGCAGTTGAAAATAGTCCAAGGTTGCACTATTTTTAACATTAATCTATGATTTGTCATCATCAAACTCCTTATTGCGCTAGTTCAAGAAACATATGCAGCACCACATAATGTCCACGATTCTATGTTTCGTAAAACTTTTTTTGCTAAATTTATCAGGTCAATTCCGCTTGATGCTTTTGTCTAAATACCTGGTTTGACATTAAATTGTTGCGTTAAAATACTCCGACAGTTTATTTATGAGAACACGTTTTAACTGTGCAAAAAACGAACTCAACATTGATGCAATTGACTTCAGTGTGAAATGTTAGTTGAATTACTTCCATGGAATATATAATGTAAATGAAAATAGATGAATGGTATATTGCAATATATAATGTAAATGAATATATATGAATGGTATATTGCAATATATAATGTAAATGAAAATAGATGAATGGTATATTGCAATATATAATAAAATGCAGATCGCAGTTGACGAGCAATTACATTCTTCATTTACGTTAAAATAATAATTTGACTTTCCTAACTTTACTCCATAGTTAACATTCAATTTTAAGTTAATATTCAATTTTTTACATTTTTATATTGTCAACGAACCAGCAAATCTTTACTATATTAAATAATTAATAACTTGCAAACCAAATTTTTATTCATATGATAACTAAACTTTACTGAGACAGCTGAAACACAAAATAAAAGCAAGTCGGTGATCGGATTTATAGAAAAAAATACATACTATTCGACTGTGGAAATGTTGGATTCAATTGATAAACTTTCTCAGACGTATGGAACAGCTGCTGGTTGTACGGGGGCATTGCTAAAACATAGAAGAAAAAAAACTCAGTTAAGTAAAGTCGATAAAATGGATGCAGCAATTTATCAAATGATTGATCCAAATAAAGAGAAATATCATCAAGTTGCAACTACTATCATCATTGCATTGAATGTATTTGTTGTTCTGTTTGCATTTCTTACCAAAGATTTAACTCTAGCTGTCGTTGTCCCTGCGGTATGGTGTCTAAGTCCTTGGTAATTCTATATGGCTGGAACTGATATATAGCCAACTTAAATATCATCTTTCTGAGAGAGATACGTACAAAATATTTAAATAGAAAGCTGCGTATGTTTGATTTCATTACATAAAAATATATTAACCCGGCAAATATTGTATAAAAATGACACGTTTTGGTGCTGTTAATTCTAGTTGAGAATTGAGAGAAGTTGATTTAAACACGTTGTTGTCGTTGTATATTATTTAAGGCTGCATCCTTTACTTGCCAATCCCTTACATATCTTCCATTGGTTTGTAACTGATCTTTTGAAACATCCGTTGACAAATGTTGTTGTGTTCATTGAGCGTCTTAAAATTCAAATTTGGTCAACCACTATGTTCTACAATCTTCCTGTTTCTATTTTCATAAACAAAATAAGTTAGCTGTTACAATTAGCTGCTCTAGTATTTTTGCACAGCGTAAATATGAAGAACAAACTTGTGTTGTTATGTATCAATGTTCCTCTGGTTATTTCTCAGCAAATGAGAAAATTTCTCGACATGATTTTTTTAGCATCGGCCATAGGGTTGGTGGCGCCATTGACTGACTCGTATATTTACATGTATTGTTGATGTGTATTTACCTATATTTGCTATTTTTCTGTATAAATATAAAAAACAGTTAATATTTTGTTCTATTAACGGTTAAGCCTGCTTTCCACTAGCCACATATTGTCACGTATCGTAGCAAAACGTAACATGGCGCATGCGTGCTTGTGAATTTGATGGTCAATAGGCACAAATCACGCATGCGCCATATTACGTTTTGCTACGATACGTTACGATACGTGGCTAGTGGAAAACAGGCTTTATTAGGAAAATGTTTCGGTTTTCATAGTTGCGGGGGAGGGGAGGGTGGGCATCCTAGAAGGACAAGCGGCAGCCTAGTTCATACTTACGCCACTCTCAGAGATGCCTAAATTTATAAAATATGACTGAGAATTAAAGATCTCTGTTTTCCTATAGGTAAACCGAAATTTAAATTCCTCCCTTACAATTTCTAGTGCAAGATTTGAAAATCACTTGCCGAAAGTTGTGGATTCACATTAAACATGAGGACAAAATAACTTGCGAGTTTTTCTGTCTACCCCCTTTGTTCTCAATTAATTTTTTTCACCACTTAATTTGTCACTTGGAGCAGTATCCCCCTGCCTCTCCCCAACTAGATTTTCCACATGTTTGGTGCACAAATAAATTTTCGTAGATAGTGTAAACAATTTACCTGAGCGCACTGTTTGGGCCGAAGTCAAGTTGACGTACAGGTGCAGCGAGTGGATGCTGCTCAAAAATTGGAATATTGACGTTGTTAGTTTGCATTTGGAGTACTGAGTTGCAACGCATTGCTACTGAGGAATTCATGTCATATGTGCCGTCACCATGTGCCTTGTTAGCTATCAATAATACCTGCCATTACCGTACGTAGAGAAAACATCAGACATCACTGTTGAACAGAAATGCTTCAAGAAAAACGCAAATGATGATAGCGAATAGAACAAGCTATTCACAATAGTAAGTCAGTGTGTAGGACTAAAGGTACGACCATGAGAGATAATCGTGACCTCCAGATGATTGTCAAAGACAACAAATTTAAGAGCTCACGATATTTTCCCAGAAAATAGGAAGATACTAGATTCCATAGCAACTAAACGACGCACAAAGCGCTCTTGAAAAAAATTCAGCTGGACAGTTGCTGACAGGTGTAAAGTTCTTTTCTATGAGCTTCAATCTTTCATTTGGAAACAAAAATGCCTGCAGTTTGTGAAAGAAAATGTCAGCCTCAGTCATTTTAACCATGTCGCCTAAAGTCGTCTCTAAAATATCTGCATTTCATCGTCTGCAGGTCTCACTCCTTTCAGCTACAAGAAGGCTAAGTGTAATATGTCTGTAGTCTGCCTGCATATTTAAAAGTATTTTATATTTTCATGAACATACGATTTTTCGGTGAATCTAACTTTAATTTCCAAGTTACGAGAATTACAAAAATTAGACCCGTTATAACGAGTTTGTTGTTGTATTCTTTATTTTGTTGCACGACATACCAAGTATTCAATGAAATATACATAATATATTTATGATGTTTGGCGATATAAGGATCAAATAAATTAATTTTTTTGTTTGACTAATTGTTTTCTCAATGTCTTGTTATGGTGTAGTATTTACAAGCGTCTCTGACAGCATTGGCGAATGAACTCTCATCGGCTGAAACTCAGTCATGAAAATGTGTCAAACATTACAGCTGCAAAGGTCACAGGCTCCATCGAACAAAACAATTCTTGCGGTATAATTTAGCAATTATGGAGACATGATCCATATAAATATTACCAACATAGCAACAGTATAGTTCCCACACAAAAGAGCACCAAAAAATGTGATCGCAGTAATAGCTATTGCAAGAAAGGCACCAATAATAACGTCTGTCGGTTTTGATCGCAAAATGTTTTCAATTGTGTCCATTAAAAAAAATTCTTGTGCTCTTCGTCTAAGCGATTTTGTATTCACTTGAGATCCATTGTGATGATGATGATGATGATGGTCCTTCATCATAAATTTTGTTTACAGTATTGATCGATTTCACTACTGACAAAACGCTGCCTCTGGCTATCGTACAAAGCAAAACCTTTATAACTTTACAATCAATAAGAACGATGTTTTTTATTATATAATATTATGCAAATATATTATATATCTCCGAGCCCACACAGCCCGCCCATCTATGTCTATAGCAACCTACTTCCCAAAGGAAGCGTAGGCACCAGTTGGGACATGTTTTTGAAACGTGTGTGACGCAATTACGGCGGACGCCCCTACTGTTACTCAGTCGTTTTATTTCTATGGCATCGTATATGTATTATTTCATAATAAAATTTGTATTATTGTTGTAGAATTGTGAAAATGTTTCTAATTAAGTCCACGATGATGACCCCAAGCAATGAAGCAATAACCAGAGGAAATTGACACATTTTCGTAAGCATTTTGCTGTTCGTGACTTTGTGTACGTCATTGATGTACGTTAACGGTGTATGTTATTCTCCTTAATTTGACATGAATTTTTTTACAGCCAACCTTTTTTCATTTTTACCAATTCATTTCAGCTAAACATTTTAATAGCTTTCGTAATTCGTTTCCAACTGAACTCGTGAAATGATGCTCGACTTTAATGGCAGTGAAAACTTTTTTTGCTTGTTTATTCACCACCTTTTTTACTACCCTTTTTTTGCTTTATATTAAAGCTGTAATTGCAAGGAAAAAAGTGGGTAGTATAAAGAAATATTAAAAGCTTTCTTTGATTTTTACAATGTACTACACTGCAGTATAGAGACAATTTTAGTTTGACCAGGGACTCGGGAATCCGTGGGACGGGCGTGGGTGTAATGTGGCTGTCCCTTATTATTGGAAAGACACCCACAAATTTTAGCTTCTCACTTGAATATTTATGATAGATGTACCAAATTTTCAAATTATTGATCGGGTACCAAGAACCAGAAAATTTTAGATGATTTGAATATTGACGAAATGTTTAAGTCATTTGTATGTAATGAAAGAGAAAGAGATTTTGGAGGAATTTTGTAATACTTACTCGAAAAAGAAGAAAAATTATTAAAAATAACTAATATGAAACAATTTCATTACTTCTCTATGTTTCTTTCGTTATGACATGGCGAATATGGAACACCCACGACTCTTGAAAGCCTCCGGTTTTATCATTATGACAAAGAAATTATGAAACATTTTTAATACTAGGCAGGATGAGATTAACATTTTCAAGAGTTAAACAATTATTTCAAAGGATCATACACTGATACACAAAGTTCTTTTCTAATATCAAGTTGTTCAGTTTTTATGCGGATCGTTTGTGTAAACCAAAGATGGTTCCTGTAAAGAACGTTTGTGAAGAAAGCGACGTTACTCAGTGTCATTCCTGTCCTACCTAGAGTGAGTTTTATTACATCATGTGTACATAAAATAACAAAAAGCACTAACATAATGATAGTATTTCTTCTTTTTCGTGGAACATGTAATTATTGATGACATTTATGTTGCAATCTGTTACTAAGTTTTTTGATATTGCCTTCATAACTGAAAACACACTTTCCCACAAAATCACATGAAAAAATATACGGGAGTAAAGAAAGTAAGTCAGACACAGGTTTTTACAGACACTAGACTCACTACAGTATGTGAAATTGTAGGTCCCAATTATTTTATGGTTCTTCACACACTGCTGTTGTTCACAAACATTTCAGAAATCATTTCCATGTCAAATTCATTTTATCAAAATCAAAAAATAGCTATGTACATTGTACAAGTTAATCTAGAAACAAATAGTTTTTACAAACAGATTATGTTCAATCACTGTCACTTCCCGACTCACTGAGTTCCAAATCTTTACCTGTAAAAATTAAACAATTGTATATGTAATGTAAAGATGAAAGATAAAATTTTCATGAAATAAAATATATTGTAAAATGTTCTTTTAAATCATCAACTCTATCCAAACAGATTATTTCCTTGAGGGTTTTACATACGCACTTTTAAAAAAAGGCTAAATTCATTTAAACCCATCAAAAGTGTGATAAAGAATAACAATGAAGAAAATAGCAAAATTAAGCAGACAAAATACTTCAAATTACATACATAAATTAATAGCAAATGATGATGATTGTGATTGAGGAGGATCAGAGCTTGTCTTTTCTTCTGTTGTTTGTTCAGTTAATGAAGCATTTAATCTAGCAACTTCTTCATCCACATGATCTGAGTCTGAATCTGAACTGGAGCTTGAGTCAACACTGGATTCTGCAGATTTTACTGGACTTTCCTACGACATTTGTAACAATAAAAAATATACATTACACTTACATAAATTCTGATAAAGTAAATGGTTTGAACCCGGGAGTATCATTACATATTTGTAGATGTAGATCGTCCAGGTTGGTAGAGTTCTGAGAAGGACTGTTGTTGTTGATGTTGACTGACGTTTCGACAAACTTAGCAGTAGTCATTTTCATTGAATTCTTTATTTTTTTTGTTTTTTTTTTACTCTGAAGATGACTACCGCTAAGGTTGTCAAAACGTCAGTCAACAACAACAAAAACAGTCCTTCTCAAGACTCTACTAACCTGGTCGATCTACATCTACAAACATGTAAATTCTGATGTTTGTTGGTCACATACTCACATAATTTGTGTGATCACATGACTTGTATAGTCATTGTACATTATTGTTTTATAAATATTTCTATATTTTTTAATACAAGAATTGAATAAATTTAACACCACATAAAAGAAATATATTTGGCTTAGTAAATGCTCCATATTTTTTTCTAGGTGAAATTGTTTGCATAATAACCTTTAAATCTTCCTGTGAGTTAAACATTTCATTTTGTTGGGATGCATTATTTGAATTTTGTTTTACATTGCTGTTAGATGCTGATCTGAAATAAAAAAATTATCATATCAGTATTTCAATGTTTACAGCATTTTCAAATAAAGTTTTCCTAACCTGATTTTTTTCAATTGGATTGTTGTTGATAGATGTTCTAAAGTTATGGTCTAGAAAACACACATATAAACTTAGTAAATTCTTAACTTTCGAAATGTTATTGAATAACTAAATTAAATTATGAAAATACCCTTTTGGCTCTATCGACTACAAGAATGCAATCTTTTGGGCAAGCTTTCTTTGATCCTTTGTAAAATGTTGTTCCCAAATCCTAGAATGAAAACAAAATCAGCAATAAATCAAGAAATTAATGGTAGTTAAACATACCCTTGAACAAACAAACAACTTAAATTTATAGCAGGAAAGCAAACAAATCAATAACTTGTTCATCAACTTATTGGTCATTCTTTGTTATGCTCATACAAAAGATGGAACTGTATGGTCTATAGGTACAACAACTGTTATTATTAATAAATTTTACATTACAGTAGATTAATGTCGAAAATGACAAAGTTATGATCTTATGCATTGTGAAAATATTTAGTACCTGATTAAAAAGCGACACATTTACTTCCTCAGAAGCACCAACATCAAGATGACCAGGTTTAGTAGTGTCAATGGAAGCTGGCTTAAAGTCATCTGCAGTTATATAAGAAATCTACGTATGGTAGTATTCACCTTCACTCTTACAAGCAGATAATACATTACAATCATAAATTTAATAAAAAAAAAAGAATTGAAAAGAAAAGCCATCAAGAGCAAATTCTTTGTGAATACGGAATGATCTGTTTATAAATTTAATTCAATGATAACTAAAACCTGATACATACAACGTACTGTGTGAAACCCAGTATTTGGCTGCTTTGAAAGAAAGCTTTCCCCAAGAATTAGTTCATATTCGTCTTCCGAATCAAAAGGAAACTCAATTGAGTCAGAAGACGTCATATTTCTCACAATCTATTGCATGTCTATGGTCTATTGATCAAAATTAAGAAACTCCATTTTTCTCTGCTGACGATGCGTGCGCATTTCTTTTCTAATGTCTCGTCGAAGGAGAATTATAGGTCGACGAAAAAGACGAACGATAGTACGGAATTATTTCGGATGCATTATAAAAACATTGTGCAGTGATTTTAAGAAAAGAATTTCGTTCAACTGTCAAATGACGATGCATTCAACATTGTATTATTGAATGAGTGAAATGGCTGAAAATGATAACAAATCAGAAGCTCATGTCATATTAATAGAAGCATTTTATGGTGGATCCCACAAGCAGTTGGTGGATTTATTGGTGAAGAATATTTCAGGCTGTGTCTTGTATACAATGCCAGCAAAGAAATGGCATTGGAGAATGCGAACAAGTGCGCTTTATTTCATGCAAAACATTCCTATTGATCAGTCATATAGGTATTGTGAATACTATTAAAACTTTAAAGTTCAAAATTAGTACGTTTTAAATTCAAGTGAGTAAAAGTGGAAGGTTTATCCTGAAGGAGGGTTATTGGAAGGGGGGTGTTTGGTGAAGACCTACTCCAAACCATATGTAGTCTATCATCCTAGTTTCCAGGCCTCTTATTAATACTGACTATCAACACTATCCACCTTGATCTGAATTACTCATCAAAATTATTTACTTATTTCATAACTTTGATTTTGTGGAGGTTTATACAGTTGAAACAAGAGAAAGTATGTGATTTTTGGCAAAAAATTATATAATGCTATTTCTTGAGGAAACACGACTTTTGCATAAGGAAATTACTTCCTACATTAAGGTAACAACTCTTAACATATAAAAGATTGAGCGAAATTTCTATTTATTGTTGCCTGTGAAGGAGTAATGAGTTACCTAAGAGACTGCGTACATCATGATAAAAATATGTATGTATTGAGCACTTATATACACATTGATTTATCATCAGCACATTTTGAAGATTTCATTTTGACCATGTTAAAATTTTCATGATTCTTAAGAATATAACTTAGACATGTAATGCTCTTTCAAGAGCATTGTTTTGTAGCTCAGTTGTCAACTTGGCTGAACTAATGGCTTTGAGAAAAGATTTATCATCTTTGAAAAAAGTTTTATATTTTCATGAGAACCAGTTGGTTTATCCAGTTCGTAAACAACAAGATCGAGATTTTCAATTTGGATATAATCAAATATTATCAAGGTGGGATATTTGTATTCCTGATTTTTGGCATAGAGTTAATGATAAAAATTGAAGCAAAAAACAAAATATAGATCATTTGATAATTATGACAATTATGGAGCATCTTAGTGCAATACATATTTTTTTATGTGAAGTTGATTTGTATTTTCATTTACTTTGTAGTCTTGTTGCTGATGTTGTTCTTTTTAATTCTTGTTACAACATGGATTCCTTCCTAAATTCTATTGATACATTCCTTAATCTAATGCCTGACTTTCGTCCAAAGAATTTATCTCATCAGATCAGATCAAAAAGTAAAGTTCTTTACTTTCCAATATGTTTGGTTGATGAATTGGAATTTTTCAAAGATCAGAACCTTGTAGAAGATGTAGGTAAAAATGGCGTAATTTAAATTTGCTGCGCTGACAAAGTTGATCAATAGCCTTTCATTTTGTTTTTATGTTCTTCTCCTGATTTGACTCAGCAGTTTTACTTAATTTTCTCTATTATTAAATGTTTGTTATAAGTGACATCAACATTTTTAATAATCCACAGATGATGTTGTTAATGATGTTGATCACCGTCATCGTCTTCATATTGTATGGCCTCATCGTTGGTAATAAAGCATGTTTTGTAATTCTCAAATATATTTACAAACTTTTTAATCGTTTGGTGTACGTAGTGTCAAAATAGCTATGTATTTGTTTTCTTAGGGAACACGACAAAGATCCAACATTTTTTTTTCAAACAATTTATCAACTGAAAGATCTTGGTTTTAATTTTAATATCTCTGTCATTGGAGCTACCTTTACTGATGTGCCAGGTAATTTTTAATTTCATTTTATTTTCATTTCTATTATTGCGTAAAGTAGTTTTCATGGGAAATTTCCATGGAAACTTTGTAAGGAGACGTCCATAGTGTAGACTTTCGGGGACGCTAAAAAATCAACACAATAAAACAACATCATAAATTATTAGCAGTGTTTCATTATTGAAATATCTATAGTTCTGTTCTATTTAAACGCGTCGTTTTTTTAATTCACTTGTTATCATTTTTCCATTCGTGACAATTGTGCGACAGAGTGTATACAAAAGTGGACAGTTTCGAACTGCTTATAATAGACTATAAATTTAGCCAAATATTTCGTAGATTTGTGTTAGTATGTGTACTTTTACTGAACAAAAGTATGGAAAAAGAATGTTGTCTTTTCGTAGTTAAATTGAAGTGCATGATGTCAATGGTCTGCAAAGTAAATCATGCAAGCTTTGAGTTAAAACAGAAAATAACCCAAGTTTACAATTCTCTACGGCAGATTTATACTCTTTATCAATTTTTCTGAAATTTTCATATTTTGCAAAGAAATACTCATACTTTCATCCCATGAAATTAAAATTGATTTTGAGCAACTCATTCATGCTTGCGCAACACAAGCTCTTCAGAGTGCCGTTTTTGCCGAGGAGCGAATCATTTCAAAATTCCGGTTCACTTTACAAAAAAGTCCATAAGTGCCTGTATCGGCAAAAAGTCCAAAACCTGCATATTTTCCTCATAATTCTTAAAAAATTTAAGACTCATGCTTTCGAAAATATTATGTAAAATATTATAAATAAATGGGGAAATGTCAACATAACGTTTACTTCTTCATCGAAGTGTGAATTTATATTTGAATACTTTGATTCATTTTTTGCAAAATGATTGTACTGTTTTAGTGTAACTGATGTACGTAAAGTTATAATATAATAACGGAGTGAGTTAACATTTGATCAGTGGCATTTCAGCTCAATCATTTACTCGTGCAATGCAAAATTTTAACAAAAGTTATTCATTTTTTTAGAAAATTCATTCAATTTAGTATTTTGCAGTAGTTAAAACAAAAATGTTTGCATTGTAGGAGTAAAATGCAGCTCCTGCATTTGATCTTTTAGTTTAATGTTTATAAATTAATGGTAACTAAACCATAGTATAGCTGAGTTGTACTATGTAATGCTAAATACTTAAATTAAAAACTTATGAGTTTGTTCTGTTCATAGTTACGTATGGCTTGCTCATAATCAATTTTTAAATCCTAGCCTTCACAACGTACAAAAGTAATGAGAAATTACAAAGACGGAAGTCCTAAAAAGTTCAAAAAAATTCCAAAAAGTCCAAACGTACGACATAAAAGGAACTGCACCTTTGAAAGACCAAAAGTCTGGCAGACTTCTTTTTCAGTGATTAGCTCCTCGGTTTTTGCAAACCGCTCTCCCGTTTTCAACGTTGAATTTTTTATGTTTATTCTTGGTGTTTGATGGAACTGAGGATGTTAAAGTTCCATACTTACACAAATCTATGGAATATTTGCAAAATTTATAGTTTGCTTCATTTTAAAACTGTTGTAGTGTTTTATGCTGTGTGTACAACTCATTTTTTACAGAAATATTTCAAAAAGCAAAAGAGAAACTTGCTGACAATATTATTCATTGGGGTTATCAAGAATCGCGCGAGGATTATATAAATGTTTTAAAAAGTGCTCATGTTGCCGTCTCAACAGCAAAACATGAATTTTTTGGCGTTGCAATGTAAGAGAAAATGTATTGTGTTCATATTGAACTTTTATGACATAGTAGCAAAATTTTTAATCATAGGCTGGAGGCTGTCTGTTGTGGTTGTTTTGCGTTGTGTCCTAATAGTTTAGTCTATCCAGAAATATTTCCTGGTATGTTTTTATTAAATTTAATCATCTAGTTCAATTGCTCAGTCTTTATATGTGAAACCTAAGGCAATAGCTTTCCGTGAATCCGTGTAACATTTCATGCACACTACGAAAGCAGCTATGGCCTTACCATCGTTTATCATTTTGTTATTAATTTTTTGCATAGAGGACTGTTTGTACAATACTCAAGGACAACTTCTCAAACGATTAAAAAGATTTGCAATCCAACCATTGTTAGCAAGAGAAAATACATTAAAGGTATGTACGTATAGCTATTATGATAATATTTGCCAGATTTTGAGCAGCGGATTTACGAAAACTTTTCTCGAATTTTACTGCTAAAAATACTACGTAAAATGTTTGTAGAGTTTAAAATTAAAAGAATCTAACGAATAGGATGATTGTGGTCTTTGTGAAGTACTTCTTAACAAATATGAATTTTTGTGAAAGAATAAAAAATCACGTGGTCACACAATACAAAAATATAAATATACATGTAGAGTTAATGAAAGTTAGGTGAAGTATAAATATACATGTAGAGTTACTGAGAGTTAGGTGAAGTATAAATATACATGTAGAGTTACTGAGAGTTAGGTGAAGTATAAATATACATGTAGAGTTACTGAGAGTTAGGTGTAGTATAAATATACATGTAGAGTTACTGAGAGTTAGGTGAAGTATAAATATACATGTAGAGTTACTGAGAGTTAGGTGTAGTATAAATATACATGTAGAGTTACTGAGAGTTAGGTGAAGTATAAATATACATGTAGAGTTACTGAGAGTTAGGTGTAGTATAAATATACATGTAGAGTTACTGAGAGTTAGGTAGTATAAATATACATGTAGAGTTACTGAGAGTTATGTGTAGTATAAATATACATGTAGAGTTACTGAGAGTTAGGTGTAGTATAAATATACATGTAGAGTTACTGAGAGTTAGGTGAAGTATAAATATACATGTAGAGTTACTGAGAGTTAGGTGTAGTATAAATATACATGTAGAGTTACTGAGAGTTAGGTGTAGTATAAATATACATGTAGAGTTACTGAGAGTTAGGTAGTATAAATATACATGTAGAGTTACTGAGAGTTAGGTGTAGTATAAATATACATGTAGAGTTACTGAGAGTTAGGTGAAGTATAAATATACATGTAGAGTTACTGAGAGTTAGGTGAAGTATAAATATACATGTAGAGTTACTGAGAGTTAGGTGTAGTATAAATATACATGTAGAGTTACTGAGAGTTAGGTGTAGTATAAATATACATGTAGAGTTACTGAGAGTTAGGTAGTATAAATATACATGTAGAGTTACTGAGAGTTAGGTGAAGTATAAATATACATGTAGAGTTACTGGGAGTTAGGTGAAGTATAAATATACATGTAGAGTTACTGAGAGTTAGGTGAAGTATAAATATACATGTAGAGTTACTGAGAGTTAGGTGTAGTATAAATATACATGTAGAGTTACTGAGAGTTAGGTGAAGTATAAATATACATGTAGAGTTACTGAGAGTTAGGTGAAGTATAAATATACATGTAGAGTTACTGAGAGTTAGGTGTAGTATAAATATACATGTAGAGTTACTGAGAGTTAGGTGTAGTATAAATATACATGTAGAGTTACTGAGAGTTAGGTGAAGTATAAATATACATGTAGAGTTACTGAGAGTTAGGTGAAGTATAAATATACATGTAGAGTTACTGAGAGTTAGGTGTAGTATAAATATACATGTAGAGTTACTGAGAGTTAGGTGAAGTATAAATATACATGTAGAGTTACTGAGAGTTAGGTGTAGTATAAATATACATGTAGAGTTACTGAGAGTTAGGTGTAGTATAAATATACGTGTAGAGTTACTGAGAGTTAGGTGTAGTATAAATATACATGTAGAGTTACTGAGAGTTAGGTGAAGTATAAATATACATGTAGAGTTACTGAGAGTTAGGTGAACACTATTAACTGAACGATGAGATGGTCCATTAATTAGAGAATTAAATGGAAAAAAAACTGTGCAGTGCTTTATTGTATTGTCGAAAATAATGAAGATTACCTTTGCAAAAAGTTTAATGGTACATGTAACTTACGTGAGTAACTTTTAAATGAGCCTGCTTGTAGGTAAAATGCACGCGATATAATTGGTTAGCTTCGCCCTATCGCAAGGGTATATTTTTCTACACCCCCAAATAGTTGGGTAAAGTTACGAGAACTACGTAGTAAACACTGTAAATATTGTCATAATAACCAAGCAGAAACCATAACGATAATTAAGTGGATTTAGTAATAACTATAAACGGAATGAGTGATTTCATTTATAACTTTGGTAGTATTGTAGATGATGACCCTCACAGGTGCGGGCTGTTTATATTTTTCATTTCATGATATTTATTTGTAATATTATTTTGGGGTATTTGCTTTGCTTCTTAATTTTGGAAACTTTCATTTGTTCATTTGCAATTTTTTTTTAATTCTTTCTCTTTTGATGTCAGAATTGTGTCTCTACCAGCGTTGATTTGAGATATTTCTCAAGCTCAAGTTATTCGCTAAAAATCGTTCTTACATATTGTAATTTGTCATTATAAGATTGACGTGTCAAGATTTTCTTGGAAAATTCTTCGTGGTGTTTTCGAAAACATACTGTTGGTTAGTAAATGATAATTACTGTATTATTCGTGTTAACTTTAGGTGGTAGTGTTTACTTTTGATCTTTATTACAAACGGCTTCTTCTTCAAAGTGCTTACGTATGACAGTAGTTCTAGTTTTTATTGATTCTGTTATAATTCAAAAAGTTACTTAACAAGATCTTATTGAGTTCTTCCTATCAGAATCAATATTATCACTTAAAGAAGACAACGATTTGCTTATCAATATGGACTGTGTAAATTTTGTAAGCAGATAACATAACTTAAGGAAAAAATAGGTGTGTAAATGTTGTGGGTAGCCACAAAACATACGGAAAGTAGATTGACTCAACATGAAGTAGATTAACGAGCGTAGTTTAATTAGTAAAAAACATCAAACTTTGCAAAATGTTTGACATTGAAAAAAAGTGCTTTGAGCTCAATCTTCATTCAAACGCTCTAAAGTATAGGACTTGGGTACACATTAAATGTCTATATTTCGTGGTAGGAGGCCACAATTGTTGTGAAATTCACACCCAATTGTCGAACGCTCCTGCATATATTACAAAGTATGTACATAATTCATTGGAATTTTTACTGAAAACCATTTTTGTGCTATAAATTCTAAATTGTCAACAAGATATGACTTGTATTTATTCACGCCGAAGCGATACATATATATGTTTGGCAATTTTGGACTAATGAGCGCCGTGGTGCAGTTTGGTCATTTTCCCATTGCATTTTTAAAACTTTTGTACTGAGTACAAATAATGGTGATTGTTATAGCTTTCAACGCGCGAAGGATTCGCACATTACAAGTTAAATGACCTGTGCAAACATTTCGGATTTCATATGTTCATGTTTAAATTCACGACAACAAAATCTTCGACTTTTTATATTATTAAATATTTACTTCTTAGTTGACATTGAGCAATGGATAAACAACTTTGAGTGATACGATTCATTTTCCTTGATTTAATTATCACAATATACTGCTAAAAAGTATGATAGAGATGGGTATGAGATTGGCGTTAATTAAATGGTTTGGTAAGTATCTCATTAGAGTTACCAAATTTGTTGACGATACTCCTGTTTGTACACACATTAAGGAAAGAATACCACAATGAAGCAAAGTTGGTCCAGCTACCTTTGTAATATAGATCAACAAACTCTCATCGCGGGCACTTTTGCTACTCTCTGGTATGGAAGCCTAAGTCATATTAGAACAAGATACAATGTTTGTGGATACTACAACTTTGTACGAGGTACTTAATATCATCCACCATATTTCTGGCATGAATTAATGTACCCTTGAAAATAAAACTAAAAGAATTGTAAAGTTTACAAAAGATGAAAAGATGGAGTTAAATTTAACAAAATGTAAAGAATGCTTATTGACTTTGGCAAAAAACCAACAGTTATCCCATCTTTAGAAACAACAAGAACGTGCTATATTGCAAAAAAAGCTGTGAAAAATTTGTTTTTCTTATAGGTATGAATGGGTTATGAAAATGCATAATTTCTTAATTTACTTTGTTTAAATCGATCACTATTTCTCTTCGATATTTTGAAGTTCATGAAGTACTTGGTCATGTGGATTTAGTTACATTGCTTAATTTAAAATGATATCTGTGATTACCTGTCTCGTTGCTAACAGCTTGTTTCATCATTTGAACACTAAACCTGTTGCAAACATAAAACAATTTAAAAATGAATGATTTTGTGTTCAAACTAATATTTGCCCTGTGATTTACATGGTGTCTTGTTTACAACACACTGATACAGAAAACCCCATGCTATGATGAACCATGGCTCTTTATTCCGCTCAATGCGAGATCCTAGTCCCCATCTTTGAAGAAATAAGTAGACCTTATGAATTTGAAAAAAGGGGGTGTTCTCTGAAAAACGAGTTTCCATAATTTCACAAATTTAAATCATGGTTTCCAAATAGCCTTCAAATGGTCAATTGTTAAAAAATAACTGCTGATATTGCCTCATCGATTAAATAGAAACATGGTTTGGAAGATCGGGAATGTTGATCATGTACACAGTTCTATCTTGACAATCCTATTTTACATGAATTGAATGTTGTTCTGGTAGCGAACATCTTTTCAATGATTTATGACTGACGTGATTTCAATAAATTTATGTGTTTAGAATCTCCTTTAACTGCTCAAAACATTTTGTTCAAGCTTTTAGCATATTTAACCTTCTAGGCAGATCTAAGACGACGTGTGAATGATAAAAGATAAATTTATGTATTCATGCTGTATCTTACGCAACAACTGAAAAAACGAAGTAGAGTTTCCTTGCAAGGTTTCGTGCAAATATTTCATAATTTCGTATGCAAATTTTCGCATTGGATGCAAGAATATCGACATTTGGCTCAGTTACAAAATAGCACAATAATTAACTGAATCATATACACTTGTATCACATATTTAGATCTATAAATCTGTTGTCAGTGCAGTGTAGCTAATTTAGATTGCATGACCAAAAAATAATTTATCAAGTATTAACCTTCGCTTGATTTCCCGTTATATTTTTTATTGTGCGCAAATTTTACCTGGTACCGAAGCTCTTTTGTTTGTTTTTGAAGACTGGCGATCATTGGAAATTATGGTATTTAAGAACTGATTGACAGCTTTTTAAGTGGGCATAATTAAGCCCGGTTTCAATATAATCGTCAATCGTGGGAAAAAAAACTTTAAAAAAACACATTTTCATGTTCATGCAAAGTGTCCTTCGCTCACAATAACGGCAGCCTCCGGCGATATAATTGATAACGTTCATTTATAAACAAATAAACTGTTTATAAACAACCGTTGAAAAAATTAACTGAACCCAAGTTTATGAAAGGAGTTTTTCCTACGGGCTTTGTGATCTACTAAATAAATACACCTTACTCAGCGTGCAATATTATTTTCCAAGCTTATATGTTAATAAAACAGATTTTGTCAAACAAAGAACTTAAGTTTTCCTGACATGTAATAATTAATTCATGGAAGATGGATATCAATAACATTGTGTAAAAAATACTGCACTTTTATTCATCCTCTCTAAACCTGTTTCGTATCTTGGCAATGAAACTTTACCGTCAGCTAAATTTATCACTGGTATTTTGATAACGAAGAAATCTTAGAATGAGTAATCAAGATAGCGTTCGTGTAAGCATGAACGAAATTGTGGAAGAAGGAAATTGTGATGAACAAAAATTAAGTATCATTTTGGGACTAAAAATATTCCTACTACGTTATCTAGTACCTCTTTGTTTTGTGTTATCGGTAATTTTTGGTATAGCCCTTCCTCAACCGGCAGTTTACTTGAATGAAAAGATTCCTCTTGGAACAATTTGTGTCGTTTGCTTATTTACAACGATTGGATTGCGTTTACGGGTCAGCGAAGCAAAGTCTGCAATCAAGTCGTACAAAGAAATTGTGATTGGATTGATTTTAATCTTATTTCTTGTACCTTTTTTCGTGGTGAATAGCTTGAATAAAATTCCTTACTTTTCTGCATTAATTGGACAACAAACAAACTCCAGCAACACTTCAAACATGAGCAGTTATGAAATGAAGATTTTGGGACCTGAAGAATTTCGAATTGGTTTGCAAATCTATTTCATGTTACCATCAGCCCCAGGAGCATTTGTCTTGGTAAGTTCATCATCATTCAATGTATACAAACTAACTAAATGAAGTATGTACCACTTAATAGAACTCAATCGTCATAACTGCTAATATATATATAAGAAAGGAAGTGCAGTTTTTTTCGGGGGGGGGGAGGGTTGTTTCATTGATTCAAAGTCAAGGTCATGCTCTCATTGGCCCGTATAGAATCGCCGCAAAGTCAAGTATCAAGTAGATTGGGTTCTAGGTCATTGTGTTTTTTCATTTTGTTTAAATCTGATCATCCAAAACTATGCCGCCTTGATTTATAGCGAGTTTCTTCTTATTGTTAACATAAAAGAGCGATGTTTTACCACAGTTCTAGTTTAATCTCTTCTTCATATTAATCATATTGTTTACAACATGTTTCTTTTGAGCGGTTTAGCTAAGTCGCAAGCAATTTTAGGTTCAACAACACAGAGATTATAATGCTCGGCCTACATTTTTTATAAAGCGCATTACTTTTATTGATTGATATAACTTATAATTACACACTAGGCTCTGTTAGGCCACCATAAAACTATTTCTTTAGCTATAACAAATTTTGCATAAATCAATTAAGAGAACGCTATTTTTAGTAACCATATTTACCTTAAAACCAAATTTAACAATTGTAATTTCATTAATTCGTTTGTACTCTTGTCAATGTCCATATTATCAATTATCCTGGTTTTAAGGTATTTTTTCAAATCTATAGATTTTTGCTGCAAATGCTCATTGTGGATTGTGCGCCTTGTTATCAATTCTTGGTGTATTTATATCAATTTTTACAATGTCTTCAACACTTTCATTGCTTTTACCGACATTAAAAGCTCAGTTATCTGTTACTAATTTATTGATCAGAAACGTTTTGCAAATCCTTACTCCTTTGATGGTGAGTTAACTACACATTCTCTTTGAATGAAATATATTCTTTTCTATCTCTCATTCTAAATACATCTTTTTGTACAGGTTGGAAGATCAGTGCGTTGTATTCCTGCAGCGCGAAAAATCATTAAGTCCTGGAATATTGCTTTGAATTATGTTGGAATAAGTTGCATAATACTTCTCCTTCATGTCAGAATCAGTGAGACCAGTAACAGTGGACATTTTGAAAAAGTTGCTACTCTCAATGTTTTTTGTAACTTGTGTCTTGCTAATGCGTTTGTTTTAATTATTTTGATAACAACCTATGTGGCTCTTTTATCATTGCCTTTCGTTCCAAAAAAATCATCAATAACACTGAGTGTTTTGAACTGTATTCGAGTTGTTGGTATGTCAGCATCAATAGTTGATTCATTGCCACCAGAAGTGGGAGATAAAGGTTTGATTATCTTACCAATGGATTTCATTTACATGACAACAATTTTATTGTTGAATGCATTTGTATATTTTGTGAAGATTGAAGAAAAGGGAAAGGAGAAATTTGATAAAGAAATGAAAGATGAACCAAATGAATCAGTCAATAGTTCTGCATTTACCATGTATACTGATTATGAGATTTGATATAACTGTTCACATGTTACGTAAAATTTAGCCATTTTTATAAAAGTAGTTAAATCAGAATATGTTTATACGGACAATATTAAACTCTTGAGCAGACCACAAAAATCAATCTCTTATCGCTAGCTAGTTATTCGTATGTATTGAATGTTTTACTGTATTATTCTATATTTTGTCATTACGAAGGAAAATTTTATTCGTCGAAAAAAAATCAAACTAATAAATAATGAATGAACGTATATGTTAGTGCCCACCATACTGGAGAAATTTAACTCCACTGCTGCATTATCAAACTTAAATTGCCGTGATTGAAGATGAGAAAGGAATTGAAAACTTTTTTGCTAATTTGGCACAAACAGAATGCTAAATTAAAGAAATTATATACTTGAAGCAAATTCTAGAACACGGCATACACAAATTTATGCTGAAATATTTCATCAAATTTGTCACACACGTGTGTGTGTCGTAAAATATTGCTCAGTTCAGATGTAATTTTTCATCGAGTTTACCGTTTCATTATTTGAACACAAAACCTATTTATAAATAAGTGATTAAGTCTTCAAACTAACATTTGCCCTGCGATTCGCATGACATCTTATTTAAAACGTAGATACGGAAAATTCCATGCAATAATGAATTATGATTCTATATTCAGAGCTAAATAAGATATTCAACACACCATATTTAAAGAAAAAAATTATTTTCTCCAAAAAATCTAGTAACGAATTATAATTAATTTAGGTATATATACATATTATAAAGATTGGTAATCCAGGCATTATATTGTTTAAAAATAAAAGTTTCTCCTATATTCTATAAACTGAGTATTCTATATTCGGCTCTGATAACATAATACCAAGAGGTAATACATGACGTAGTACTCAAATTAATACTTGTTGTTCATCATAATTTCGTTTTTCAAGATTTTCGTTCACTGCTCTAGTTGTAAGTTATAAAATAGTAAGTATGAGACAAACTCCTTAAGACTTTTAAAAAGTAATAGCTATAATGTATATCCCCTATATTTTTTGGGTAAGAAATGAAAGATCACAATTTATTCCTTCAAGGAAATGATGTCATCCATATCAACCATTTGGATTTATATGAATAAATGATTATATGAATAACTGTTTGAATACGTATAATTTACTCCAATTTTACCAAACTTAAAGTTTTAATAATAATTTATCTCATTAATTTATTTTAGTTTATATTTATTTGAAATGATAACGACATTATTGTGACTCACAAAAAAAATACATTGAAAGCCAATTTAAGTGCATGAATCAAATGAATCAAAGTCTAAAACATTGCCTACACAAATTTATGCAAAATTAATATTCTTCATCAAATTTACTAAAAAGTTGTAGACGTGTAAAGTTGCTCAGTGTAAACCCAATTTTTCAACCAGTTAAAAAGCACGATGAATATAAGATAATGCAAAAGAATCCATTACTTGTACTTTTGAATGTGAAATGATTTGGCCACGCGAAGTAATACCTCTTTGACAACACATCAGGCGATTTAAAAATTTTCGATATAATTTTTATAGTTAGCTGTATCTGTACTCTCCTAGAAAACTTCTATACATTAAAAAACTAGTGTGTTTTTTCTGACGAATTGTGTGATTATTCTACAGACACAAATGACATTTTTGGTTTCAGTTTTGAACATACAATTGTTCATTTTGATTACCTTCAGCGAAATAATTGAATAAAATGATCACGTTCTTTCATAAAGAACAAATACTTTGGAAAATTTTCCTGAACTAGACTTTACAAACTGATTTTTTTCTATTGCATTGATCTGTCGGAATGATTTTCTATCACACATAAACTTAACATAAATACAACACAATGTTTATATAAATTGTTATTTTTTGAGCTTATACTAATTATTTATGTTTTAAACAGAGAACTTCATTTCTTTCATCCTATATTATATGTTCCATACTGTAAATAATGTTTCGTTCGCAATAAAGAAGTCTTATATAGTTATTCGTAACATGCATGCATTTAAAAGTTTCAAAAATATTCTCGTCTATATAAAATGTCAATTTAGTAACGTTCTGATAAGATCATATTCTTTGCAAATCACAATGCGGTTATTGTTTATACTTCGATTTCCATAGTGGTCAATATCATTTGCTACGTGATCCACATGACGTCGTGTTAACCACACGCCTACATAGAAAATTCCATGCGATGATGAATTATGGTTCTACATTCTGCTAAATACGAGATCACAAATTCATCCTAGATACAACAAAAATTGCATGTGTATGTGTTTTTTTCTTCTGAAAAATCGAGTGAAAAAGTCATTGTTTTACAGATACTGGTGACACCAGGTTTCATTTTTGACAATCCCTCAATTTGAATATTAGAAATGATCTAGAAATTTACCTTTTCAAACAATAAATTCCTTACACAGCGGGAGGCCGATGGCGATATAATTGATCACGCTCATTTATAACAAGGAAATAGGTTATATAATCTCTTCCTAAAAAAATTTGCTGCTCCTGAGTTCAAAAATAAGTCTTTTGTTATTTATATTTGCCTAATATATACACACTGACCTAACTAGCAATATTATTTTCCAAGCTAATGTGTTTATGAAACGGATTTTATCAAACAAAGAACTTTATTTCCCTGGCATTTAATTATTATATAATGAGAAATTCCATGGATAGCATTAAAATTGTTTTATAAATACTGCTCTTTCATACATCATCTTTGAACCTGTTTGTAATCTTGGCAACAAAACTTGTCAGCTAAATTTATCACTGGTGTATTAATAACGAAGAAATCTAAGAATGAGTAATCAAGATAGCGTTGGTGTTAGCATAAATGAAAATGTGGAAAAAGAAAAGAGTAGTGAACAAAAATTAAGTATCATTTTGAGAATAAAAATATTCCTACTACGTAATCTGTTTCCTTTTGGTATTGTGTTATCGGTAATTTTTGGTATAGCCCTTCCTCAACCGGCAGTTTACTTGAATGAAAAGATTCCTCTTGGAACAATTTGTGTCGTTTGCTTATTTACAACGATAGGATTGCGTTTACGGATCAGCGAAGCAAAGTCTGCAATCAAGTCGTACAAAGAAATTGTGATTGGATTGATTTTAATCTTATTTCTTGTACCGTTTTCCGTCGTGAATAGCTTGAATAAAATTCCTTATTTTTCTGCATTAATTGGACAACAAACAAACTCCAGAAATGCTTCAAACATGAGCAGTTATGAAATGAAGATTTTGGGACCTGAAGAATTTCGAATTGGTTTACAAATTTATTTCATGTCACCATCAGCCCCTGCATCATCACTCATTTTGGTATGTCTTGGATCATTCAATGTATACAAACTAAGATTAGATGGAGTATTTTACTGAATAGTCGTGAGTTATAACTGCTTATGTATATATAAGAAAAAACCAGGACAAGCAGATAATTTTAAGTAAAACAAAATAAAACAAATTCTGAAAACAGACATCTCGTTTTCTTGATATTCGAGATAATACAAGAGTTTTAAAACAAATGATTGTGTAATATTTCGTCTTTATACCAAAGACATCATCAGACTAATAGTTTACAATGCATGCTGCGAAATTTTATATAATTATTTACAAGCGGAAGTGACAGTTACGTAATCAGAGAACTATAAGATTCAACAATTAGGCCGTATACTTTTATTTTAAAACAGAGATAATTTCTTACAAGCTTTAAGACCACTATTAAGTTGTGGCATATTGCGTTTTATGTGAGAAAAGTGAGAAAAGGTGTGAAATTTGACGTCTCACTTCCTGTCGTGGACTCCGACCCCAATCTCACACGAGTGCCTCTTAATCCTTGAATTTGATTCCAAGTAACACCAAAATCTTATATCGCTGTAAAAATAACAATCATAATCAACCTCTCATCTTAGAAGCACTTTTAATAAAACGCAATATGCCACAACTTAATAGTGGTCTCAAAGCCTGTAAGAAATTATCTCTATTGTAAATGTAAGTATACTGCCTAATTGTCGAGTCTTATAGTTCTCTGATTACGTAACTGTCACTTCCGCTTGTAAATAATTATATAAAAGTTTCGCAGCCTGCATTGTAAACTATTAATCTGATGATGTCTTTGGAATGAAGACGAAATATTACACCATCTATTGTTTCAAACTCTTGTATTATCTTGAATGTCAAGAAAACGAGATGTCCGTTTTCTGAATTTGTTTTATTTTGTTTTATATATAAGAAAGAAAACGCAATTTTTTGTGTGTGTGTGTGGGGGGGGGGGTGTTGTTTTAATGATTTAGAAGCCAACATCGTATAGATGTCTATAACTATCATGTTAAGGTGAGGCACAGCATTTTGAAAATTGGCAAAAACCAAACTTAACATAGTACTTCATTTAACTAATTTTTTTGTATATTGTCAATATCCATATTATCAATTCTCTTCGTTTCAAGGTATTTTTGCATATATATAGGTTACTGCTGCAAATGCTCATCGTGGATTGTGCGCTATGTTATCAACTCTTGGTGTATTTATATCAATCTTTACAATGTCTTCAACACTTTCATTGTTTTTACCGACATTAAATGCTCAGTTATCTGTTACTAATTTATTAATCAGAAACGTTTTGCAAATTCTTATTCCTTTGGTGGTAAGCGAACTACATATTTTCTTGATATAAAATATATTCTTTTTCATCTCTTATTCTAAATACATCTTTTTGTACAGGTTGGAAGATCAGTGCGTTCAATTCCTGTAGCGCGAAAAATCATTAAGTCCTGGAATGATGCCTTGAAATATGTAGAAATAACTTGCATAATACTTCTCCTTCATGTCAGAATCAGTGAGACCAGTAACAGTGGACATTTTGAAAAAGTTGCACTTCTAAATGTTTTTTGTGTCTTGTGTTTACAAGTGCTTTTATTTTGATTATTTTGATAACAACCTATGCGTCTCTTTTATCATTGCCTTTCGTTCCAAAAAAAACAAACATAACACTGTGTGTTTTGAACTGTCTTCGAGTTGTTGGTATGTCAGCATCAATAGTTGATTCATTGCCACCAGAAGTGGGAGATAAAGGTTTGATTATCTTACCGATGGGTTTTATTTGCATAACAGCTCTATGGTTGTTGAATGCATTTGTATATTTTGTGAAGATTGAAGAAAAGGAAAACGAGAAATTTGATAAAGAGATGAAAGATGAACCAAATAAATCAGTCAACAGTTCTGCATTTACCATGTATACTGATTATGAGATTTGATATAACTGTTCACATGTTACGTAAAATTTAGCCATTTTTATAAAAGTAGTTAAATCAGAATATGTTTATACGGACAATATTAAACTCTTGAGCAGACCACAAAACTCGATTTCTTATCGCTAACTAGTTATTCGTATGTATTGAATGTTTTACTGTGTTATTATTCTATATTTTTTGTCATTACGAAGGAAAAATTTATTCATCGAAAAAAAATCAAACTACTAAATAATGAATGAACGTAAATGTTAGTGCCCACCATACTGGAGAAATTTAACTCCACTGCTGCATTATCAAACTTAAATTGCCGTGATTGAAGATGAGAAAGGAATTGAAAACTTTTTTGCTAATTTGGCACAAACAGAATGCTAAATTAAAGAAATTATATACTTGAAGCAAATTCTAGAACACGGCATACACAAATTTATGCTGAAATATTTCATCAAATTTGTCACACACGTGTGTGTGTCGTAAAATATTGCTCAGTTCAGATGTAATTTTTCATCGAGTTTACCGTTTCATTATTTGAACACAAAACCTATTTATAAATAAGTGATTAAGTCTTCAAACTAACATTTGCCCTGCGATTCGCATGACATCTTATTTAAAACGTAGATACGGAAAATTCCATGCAATAATGAATTATGATTCTATATTCAGAGCTAAATACGATATTCTACACACCATATTTAAAGAAAAAAATTATTTTCTCCAAAAAATCTAGTGACGAATTATAATTATTTTAACTATTATACATACTATAAAGATTGGTAATCCAGGCATTATATTGTTTAAAAATAAAAGTTTCTCCTATATTCTATATTACAGACACAGAAGACAACTTGGGCTTTGTTTTTTGACAATTACTTATATATTGGCAAAAAAAATTTCGTATTATAGCACATAATAAAAGATAAATTTATGTATTCATGCTGTATGTTACGCAACTGAAAAAACAAAGTAGAGTTTCCTTGCAAGGTTTCGTGCAAATATTCATTTCGTATGCAAATTTTCGCATTGGATGCAAGAATATCGACATTTGGCTAGTTACAAAATAACACAATATTTAACTGAATCATATACACTTGTATCACATATTTAGATCTATAAAGACGTTGTTAGTGTAGTGTAGCTAATTTAGATTGCATGACGAAAAGAATATTGTATTAAGTTTTAACCTTCGTTGTTTGATTTTTCTATTTTTTAATTGTGTAAAAATTTTAGTACCTATGCTCTTTTGTTTGTTTTGACAACTGGCAATCATTGGAAATTATGGGTATTTAAGAAATGATTGACAGCTTTTTAAGTGGGCATAATTAAGCCCGGTTTCAATATAATCGTCAATCGTGGGAAAAAAACATTAAAAAACACATTTTTCTGTTCATGCAAAGTGTCCTTTGCTCACAATAACGGTGGCCTCCGGCGTTATAATTGATGACGTTCATTTATAAACAAATAAACTGTTTATAAACAACCGTTGAAAAATTTAACTGAACCCAAGTTTATGAAAGGAGATTTTCCTATGGGCTTTGTGATCTGCTAAATAAATACACACTGACTTAACGTGCAATATTATTTTCCAAGCTTCTATGTTAATGAAACAGATGTTATGTTTACCAAATTTGTAATGACCAATTAATGGAAGACGAATATCAATAATATTGTGTTATAAATACTGCTCTTTCATAAATCATTTTTAAACCTGTCTGGTACCTTGGCAGCAAAATTTGTTAGGTAAATTTATCACTGATGTATTAATAACAAAGAAATCTTAGAATGAGTAATCAAGATAGCGTTGGTGTTAGCATAAATGAAAATGTGGAAAAAGAAAAGAGTGGTGAACAAAAATTAAGTATCTTTTTGAGAATAAAAATACTACTATTACGTCATCTATTACCTCTTGGTATTGTGTTATCGGTAATTTTTGGTATAGCCCTTCCTCAACCGGCAGTTTACTTGAATGAAAAGATTCCTCTTGGAACAATTTGTGTCGTTTGCTTATTTACAACGATAGGATTGCGTTTACGGATCAGCGAAGCAAAGTCTGCAATCAAGTCGTACAAAGAAATTGTGATTGGATTGATTTTAATCATATTTCTTGTACCTTTTTTCGTGGTGAATAGCTTGAATAAAATTCCTTACTTTTCTGCATTAATTGGACAACAAACAAACTCCAGCAACACTTCAAACATGAGCAGTTATGAAATGAAGATTTTGGGACCTGAAGAATTTCGAATTGGTTTACAAATTTATTTCATGTCACCATCAGCCCTGCATCATCACTCATTTTGGTATGTCTTGGATCATTCAATGTATACAAACTAAGATTAGATGGAGTATTTTACTGAATAGTCGTGAGTTATAACTGCTTATGTATATATAAGAAAAAACCAGGACAAGCAGATAATTTTAAGTAAAACAAAATAAAACAAATTCCGAAAACGGGCATCTCGTTTTCTTGATATTCAAGATAATACAAGAGTTTCAAAACAAAAGATGGTGTAATATTTCGTCTTTATTCAAAGACATCATCAGACTAATAGTTTACAATGCAGGCTGCGAAACTTTTATATAATTATTTACAAGCGGAAGTGACAGTTACGTAATTAGAGAACTATTAAGACTCAACAATTGGTCAGTATACTTACATTTAAAATAGAGATAATTTCTTACAGGCTTTGAGATTGGGGTCGGAGTCCACGTCAGGAAGTGAGACGTCACATTTCTCACCTTTTCTCACTTTTCTCACATAAAACGCAATATGCCACAACTTAATAGTTGCCTCAAAGCCTGTAAGAAATTATCTCTATTTTAAATGTAAATATACTAATCGTTGAGTCTTATAGTTCTCTGATTACGTAACTGTCACTTCCGCTTGTAAATAATTATATAAACATTTCGCAGCTTGCATTGTAAACTATTAGTCTGATGATGTCTTTGGAATAAAGACGAAATATTACACCATCTTTTGTTTCAAACTCTTGTATTATCTTGAATATCAAGAAAACAAGATGTCCGTTTTCGGAATTTGTTTTATTTTGTTTTATATATAAGAAAAAAACGCAATTTTTTGGGGGTGTTGTTTTAATGATTTAGAAGCCAACATCCTATAGATGTCTATAAATATCATGTTAAGGTGAGGCACACCATTTTGAAAATTGACAAAAATGAAAAAACCAAACTTAACATGGTATTTCATTTAACTAATTTTTTTGTATATTGTCAATATCCATATTATCAATTCTCTTCGTTTCGAGGTATTTTTTCATATCTATAGGTTACTGCTGCAAATGCTCATCGTGGATTGTGCGCCTTGTTATCAATTCTTGGTGTATTTATATCAATCTTTACAATGTCTTCAACACTTTCATTGTTTTTACCGACATTAAATGCTCAGTTATCTGTTACTAATTTATTGATCAGAAACGTTTTACGAATTCTTACTCCTTTGGTGGTAAGTAAACTACACATTCTTATTGAACAAAATTTATTATTTTCTATCTCTTATTCTTAAAAATTTTTTGTACAGGTTGGAAGATCAGTGCGTTCAATTCCTGTAGCGCGAAAAATCATTAAGTCTTGGAATGATGCCTTGAAATATGTAGGAATAACTTGCATAATACTTCTCCTCCATGTCAGAATCAGTGAGACCAATAACAGTGGACATTTTGAAAAAGTTGCTACTCTAAATGTTTTTTGTAACTTGTGTCTTGCTAATGCGTTTGTTTTAATTATTTTGATAACAACCTATGCGTCTCTTTTATCATTGCCTTTCGTTCCAAAAAAATCATCCATAACACTGAGTGTTTTGAACTGTATTCGAATTTTTGGTATGTCAGCATCAATAGTTGATTCATTGCCACCAGAAGTGGGAGATAAAGGTCTGATTATCTTACCGATGGGTCTCACCTACATGACAACTTTTTTATTGTTGAATGCATTTGTATATTTTGTGAAGATTGAAGAAGAGGAAAACGAGAAATTTGATAAAGAAATGAAAGATAAACCAAATGAATCGGTCAACAGTTCTGCATTTACCATGTATACTGATAATAAGATTTGATATAACTAATATGTGAACACATTATGTGTCGCCTATCGTAAAAGTATCTCTGTGTTTCTACATTTTTAGTTAATTTAGATTAGAATATGTTTGTTTGTATTATTTTGTATTGACATGCGTAATATAATTTTCTTCAATTATTTGAATTGAGATACAATTTATATTTTGTTAATGTCGCACAAGTATTTCATTTCAGTCTGGTGAATTTTAATAACTAAATATACTTACTCAAATTATAAATTTTAGTAATAATTTCATCAGATGAATGATTGCACATGCGCCGACAAATAAAGCTGCTACTTCTGGTGGATTTTATTTGAATAACTACTCTATAGCTTTTCATAAATAACAAACTACTAGTATATTGCTAAATGGTAATCTCAACTTATTATAAGTGCGTGTAATAGTTGAATTTTGCTTAACATGTTGAAGTCAATGCATACGCTCTGAGCAGAGCAGAGCCTGAATGACATTTCACGATAAAAAGGCCCGTGGGCCGTAACATGATATAATTAAAGTCCCCTTTCCCCTTGTCTGACCCTCTATTTGCCTCAACACACTCAAGCACCGTGCAACTCTCGACCTTCGATCTCGGGCTTGCATTGATCTGCTCTTGAGTTCTCCCAAAGGTCTCCTCGGTTTATGTAAGCCTGTGCACACACAGTAAACATCTTTTATTTCTTGAATAAACGATGAGATAAATCAACAAGTCTTTAACAGTGTTTGGTTGGCCAAAGGAATCCTACACTTTGCTTAGTCTTTACGATTTCTACTTTAACTTGGTATATCTTTATGTACTCCTGTTAATTCCGTTCCGTTTACTTGTTATGTTTTAGGAAGTTTGAATCCAACTTCTTTGCAAATCTTTTTCTTAATAAACACTTCAGCACATTTTTATTTTAACACTAAGCAAGCACTTTTCTTCCAGTCTCCCTTGTCACATTTGCTGCTGTAGTTCAGTCATGTAAAGCCTGAATCAACTCTGGTTTTGATTAGAGCAATAGTAAATACTTTAGCTCCTAAAAGCAATTAAGATCGAGTAAAGTGTTTTCTTTATATACGATCCCTCTCCAGTTCTAATTCTGGTTCTGTATCCCTCTCCGGTTCTTATAACATAATACCAAGAGGTAATACATGACGTAGTACTCAAATTGACACCTGTTGTTCATCAAAATTTCGTTTTTCAACATTTTCGTTCACTGCTCTAGTTGTAAGTTATAAAATAGTAAGTATGAGACAAACTCCTTAAGACTTTTAAAAAGTAATAGCTATAATGTATATCCTCTATAATTTTTGGGTAAAAAATGAAAGATCACTATTTATTCCTTCAAGAAAATGATGTCATCCATATCAACCATTTGGATTTATATGAATAAATGATTATATGAATAACTGTTTGAATACGTATAATTTACTTCAATTTTACCAAACACAAAGTTTTAATAATAATTTATATGCAGCGACTCGCAGCTTAAATTATTTACATAGAACCTCTGTAGAACACGTTGCAATGCATAAATTCATTATGACGATTGAACATAACTAAACATTTATGGCTAAAAATTAATTTTTTAAATGGCTAAAATCAAAAAATGAAATTTTAGCCAATTGCAGTTGAGAGTCGTTTTGAAAACAATGTCATTTTACCAATATGACATATCCAGCAAGGAGACAGAAAAATTTTACAAACAAGTTAAAAAGTTCACGCATATTTTCGGGATTTTTCTCGTCTTTTTTAAAAGCTAAGTATGAATTCATGTAGAAAAATTATCCTATTTATTACTGATGTAAGTATTATTTGGAATTCTTGTTTTTTTTTTACGTACCAATTCTTTATATAAAGACATGTGTTTGTAAGAGCGATGATAGTTGCCTACCTTTAGAAAATATATAATATTTATAATATAGATACAATCAAATAATAAAAAGTTTGCGGTGTACTGTCTGTTACGAGGAATGGGGAGAGTCATCGTTTGTTTGAAACTATTAAGCTAGCTTAGTGATTTTCTGGGCCGCCCATGGCTAAACCTATCAAATGTCAAAAATTTTAATCCAAACAAAAACCTTTTTAAAATTTCGTCAATAAAACATACTCCAAACTTGTGTGGTATACGGATGCTGAAGTTGTGCAAGGTGAAAGATGAGGAAACGTTTCATGATAATAGTAGGCAAGATCATAATATTTGGCATTTAAAGATTTGGATCCTTTGCCTTTGTTTACAATAATTGTATTACTTGTAGACTGGTAGTGTGAAGGCATATAGCTATTTGGTAAATTTTTTTATTACTTTGCTTTACTTTAAGCGATATTGCTGTAATAATTTCTGTTTCTTGATGTGATGTGCATATTTTGCATCACACAATTAACAAAATTCCCCTATTATGAATTGAGTTCAAGATGTTTAAGTAGAATTTAACCCCCAAATAAATGGATTAGGATTTGCTCAAAGTATTTTTCAGAAATTATGAAATAGAAGTTAAGAATAGAGTTGTGTTGAAATTGAATGCAGTGCTATAACAAACACAAATATAATATTTATCGTATCAATTTAGTGTACAAACTAACATTTGCTACGTGTTCCACATGACGTCTTGTTGTTTACACACTGATAAAAACAATTTGCAAACCAAAGCGACAAGTACAACGCGTCCTTTTATCGAATCTTTTACTGTAATATACGAACGTAAATATTAATTGATGTCTACCATATTGAAATACTAAAGCAATTTAGTCAGTAGCTTCCGCTACTTTATCGAATCTAAATTGCTGCAATTGAATTTGGCAAAGACATTGCAAATTTTTTTGCTAACTTTAAAATGATTATCACATTAATTTATTTCACTTTATATTTATTTGAAAAGATAACGACATTATTGCGACTCACAAAAAAAATACATGGAAAGCCAATTTAAGTGCATGAATCAAATGAATCAAAGTCTAAAACAATGCCTACACAAATTTATGCAAAATTAATATACTTCATCAAATTTGCTACAAAGTTGTAGACGTGTAAAGTTGCTAAGTGCAAACCCAATTTTTCAACCAGTTAAAAAGCACGATGAATATAAGATAATGCAAAAGAATCCATTACTTGTACTTTTGAATGTGAACTGATTTGGCCACGCGAGGCAAGTAATACCTCTTTGACAACACATCAGGTGATTTAAAAATTTTCGATATAATTTTGAACAATGTTTTTATAGTTAGCTGTATCTGTACTCTTCTAGAAAACTTCTATAAATTAAAAACTAGTGTGTTTTTTCTGACGAATTGTGTGACTATTCTACAGACACAAATGACATTTTTGGTTTCAGTTTTGAAATGCTATTGTTCATTTTGAATATCTTTAGCGAAATAATTGAATAAAATGTTTACGTTCTTTTCATAAAGAACAAATACTTTGGAAAATTTTCCTGAACTAGAGTTTATAAACTGATTTTCTTTTCTATTGCATTGATCTGTCGGAATGATTTTCTATTACACATAAACTTAACATAAATACAACACAATGTTTATATAAATTGTTACTTTTTGAGTTTATACTAATTATTTATGTTTTAAACAGAGAACTTCATTTCTTTCACCCTATATTATATGTTCCATACTGTAAATAATGTTTCGTTCGCAATAAAGAAGGCTTATATAGTTATTCGTAACATGCATGCATTTAAAAGTTTCAAAAATATTCTCGTCTATATAAAATTTCAATTTAGTAACGTTCTGATAAGATCATATTCTTTGCAAATCACAATGCGGTTATTGTTTATACTTCGATTTCCATAGTGGTCAATATCATTTGCTACGTGATCCACATGACGTCGTGTTAACCACACGCCTACATAGAAAATTCCATGCGATGATGAATTATGGTTCTACATTCTGCTAAATACGAGATCACAAATTCATCCTAGATACAACAAAAATTGCATGTGTATGTGTTTTTTTCTTCTGAAAAATCGAGTGAAAAAGTCATTGTTTTACAGATACTGGTGACACCAGGTTTCATTTTTGACAATCCCTCAATTTGAATATTAGAAATGATCTAGAAATTTACCTTTTCAAACAATAAATTCCTTACACAGCGGGAGGCCGATGGCGATATAATTGATCACGCTCATTTATAACAAGGAAATATGTTATATAATCTCTTCCTAAAAAAATTTGCTGCTCCTGAGTTCAAAAATAAGTCTTTTGTTATTTATATTTGCCTAATATATACACACTGACCTAACTAGCAATATTATTTTCCAAGCTAATGTGTTTATGAAACAGATTTTATCAAACAAAGAACTTTATATTCCTGGTATTTGATTATTATATAATGAGTGATGCATGGATAGTATTAACATTGTTTTATAAATACTGCTCTTTCATACATCATCTTTGAACCTGTTTGTAATCTTGGCATCAAAACTTGTCAGCTAAATTTATCACTGGTGTATTAATAACGAAGAAATCAAAGAATGAGTAATCAAGATAGCGTTGGTGTTAGCATAAATGAAAATGTGGAAAAAGAAAAAAGTAATGAACAAAAATTAAGTATCATTTTGAGAATAAAAATATTCCTATTACGTAATCTATTGCCTTTTGGTATTGTGTTATCGGTAATTTTTGGTATAGCCCTTCCTCAACCGGCAGTTTACTTGAATGAAAAGATTCCTCTTGGAACAATTTGTGTCGTTTGCTTATTTACAACGATAGGATTGCGTTTACGGATCAGCGAAGCAAAGTCTGCAATCAAGTCGTACAAAGAAATTGTGATTGGATTGATTTTAATCTTATTTCTTGTACCGTTTTCCGTAGTGAATAGCTTGAATAAAATTCCTTATTTTTCTGCATTAATTGGACAACAAACAAACTCCAGAAACGCTTCAAACATGAGCAGTTATGAAATGAAGATTTTGGGACCTGAAGAATTTCGAATTGGTTTACAAATTTATTTCATGTCACCATCAGCACCTGCATCATCACTCATTTTGGTATGTCTTGGATCATTCAATGTATACAAACTAAGATTAGATGGAGTATTTTACTGAATAGTCGTGAGTTATAACTGCTTATGTATATATAAGAAAAAACCCGGACAAGCAGATAATTTTAAGTTAAACAAAATAAAACAAATTCCGAAAACGGGCATCTCGTTTTCTTGATATTCACGATAATACAAGAGTTTTAAAACAAAAGATTGTGTAATATTTCGTCTTTATTCCAAAGACATCATCAAACTAATAGTTTACAATGCATGCTGCGAAACTTTTATATAATTATTTACAAGCGGAAGTGACAGTTACGTAATTAGAGAACTATCAAGACTCAACAATTGGTCAGTATACTTACATTTAAAATAGAGATAATTTCTTACAGGCTTTGGGACCATTATTAAGTTGTGGCATATTGCGTTTTATAAAAAGTGCTTTTAAGATGAGAAGTTGATTAGGATTATTAATACAGCGATATAAGATTTTATAAGATTTTATATCGCTGTAATAATAGTATTCCTAATCAACTTCTCATCTTAAAAGCACTTTTGATAAAACGCATTATGCCACAGCTTAATAGTGGTCTCAAAGCCTGTAAGAAATTATCTCTATTTTAAATGTAAGTATACTGACCAATTGTTGAGTCTTATAGTTCTCTAATTACGTAACTGTCACTTCCGCTTGTAAATAATTATATAAAAGTTTCGCAGCCTGCATTGTAAACTATTAGTCTGATGATGTCTTTGGAATAAAGACGAAATATTACACCATCTTTTGTTTCAAACTCTTGTATTATCTTGAATATCAAGGAAACGAGATGTCCGTTTTCGGAATTTGTTTTATTTTGTTTTATATATAAGAAAGAAAACGCAATTTTTTTTTGTGTGTGTGTGTGGGTGTTGTTTTAATGATTTAGAAGCCAACATCCTATAGATGTCTATAACTATCATGTCAAGGTGAGGCACACCATTTTGAAAATTGGCAAAAATGAAAAAAACAAACTTAACATAGTATTTCATTTAACTAACTTTTTTGTATATTGTCAATATCCATATTATCAATTCTCTTCGTTTCGAGGTATTTTTTCATATCTATAGGTTACTGCTGCAAATGCTCATCGTGGATTGTGCGCCTTGTTATCAATTCTTGGTGTATTTATATCAATCTTTACAATGTCTTCAACACTTTCATTGTTTTTACCGACAATAAATGCTCAGTTATCTGTTACTAATTTGTTGATCAGAAACGTTTTGCGAATTCTTACTCCTTTGGTGGTAAGTGAACTACATATTCTCTTTGAATAAAATATATACTTTTCTATCTCTTATTCTTAAAAAATTTTTTGTACAGGTTGGAAGATCAGTGCGTTCAATTCCTGCAGCGCGAAAAATCATTCAGTCTTGGAATGATGCCTTGAAATATGTCGGAATAAGTTGCATAATACTTCTCCTCCATGTCAGAATCAGTGAGACCAGTAACAGTGGACATTTTGAAAAAGTTGCTACTCTCAATGTTTTTTGTAACTTGTGTCTTGCTAATGCGTTTGTTTTAATTATTTTGATAACAACCTATGTAGCTCTTTTATCATTGCCTTTCGTTCCAAAAAAATCATCAATAACACTGAGTGTTATGAACTGTCTTCGAGTTGTTGGTATGTCAGCATCAATAGTTGATTCATTGCCACCAGAAGTGGGAGATAAAGGTTTGATTATCTTACCGATGGGTCTCATCTACATGACAACTCTTTTATTGTTGAATGCATTTGTATATTTTGTGAAGATTGAAGAAGAGGAAAACGAGAAATTTGATAAAGAAATGAAAGATAAACCAAATGAATCGGTCAACAGTTCTGCATTTACCATGTATACTGATAATAAGATTTGATATAACTAATATGTGAACACATTATGTGTCTCCTATCGTAAAAGTATCTCCGTGTTTCTACATATTTAGTTAATTTAGATCAGAATATGTTTGTTTGTATTATTTTTGTATTGACATGCGTAATATAATTTTCTTCAATTATTTGAATTGAAATGCAATTTATATTTTGTTAATGTCGCACAAGTATTTCATTTCAGTATGGTGAATTTTAATAACTAAATATACTTACTCAAATTATAAATTTTAGTAATAATTTCATCAGATGAATGTTTGCACATGCCCTACAGCAGGTAAAGTTGCTACTTCTGTTGGATTTTATTTGAATAACTACTTTATAGCTTTTCATAAATGAATAGACTACTAGTATATAGTTACATGGTTAGCTCAACTTATTGTAAGTGCCTTTAATAGTCGAATTTCGCTTAACATGTTGAAGTCAATGCTTACGCTCTGAGCAGAGCCTGAATGACATTTTAAGATAAAAAGGCCCGTGGGCCGTGACATGATATCATCGTGGTCCCTTCTCCCCTTGTCTGACCTTCTATTTGCCACAAAGTCGCAGTATCCACATAGAAAAAGCCGTTTAGTTCTATTTACAAAAAAAGGTTTGCACCAATACATTCATGTACACGTTCATCGTAATAAAAAAGATTTAAAAACAGAAGACTTCAACTATTTTTCTATTATTAATAGATTTGATATAACTAATATGTGAACACATTATGTGTTGCCTATGGTAAAAGTATCAGCGTGTTTCTACATTTTTTGTTAATTTAGATCAGAATATGTTTGTTTGTATTATTTTTGTATTGACATGTGTAATATAATTTTCTTCAATTATTTGAATTGAGATACAATTTATATTTTGTTAATGTCGCACAAGTATTTCATTTCAGTATGGTGAATTTTAATAACTAAATATACTTAGTCAAATTATAAATTTTAGTAATAATTTCATCAGATGAATGATTGCACATGCGCCGACAAATAAAGCTGCTACTTCTGGTGGATTTTATTTGAATAACTACTTTATAGCTTTTAATAAATAACAAACTCCTAGTATATTCCTAAATGGTAATCTCAACTTATTATAAGTGCGTGTAATAGTCGAATTTCGCTTAACATGTTGAAGTCAATGCTTACGCTCTGAGCAGAGCCTGAATGACATTTTAAGATAAAAAGGCCCGTGGGCCGTGTCATGATATCATTGAGGTCCCTTCTCCCCTTGTCTGACCTTCTATTTGCCACAAAGTCGCAGTATCCACATAGAAAAAGCCATTTAGTTCTATTTACAAAAAAGTTTACATCAATACATTCATGTACACGTTCATTGTAATAAGAACGATTTAAGAACAGAAGACTTCAACTATTTTTCTATTATTAATAAATAATGAAAGCCATTAGAAAGAAATAACAGGATAGTATACACTGTTGTCTACGACAAAAATAATTAAATTTGCTTCTCAGACAATATTTTTAACTCTTCTGCGTCCTCAAATCCTCTCGACGACACGTCCAACAACAAATAGCCAAGTATCACATCTTTCCTATTACACAATGTCTCTTAATAATAATAATAATAATAATAATCCTCGCTCTAGCTGTCCTCTGCTTACATACTGCCTGGAAGCCAATTATAAAATACGACGTAATGTTTATAGCGTAATTGCTATTCACATCATATGACGTAATATAACTAAATTAGAAAGTAACTGTACAATAACAATGAGTCAGCATGATAAAGCTAATTAATTAGTCTGACATCATCTTAACGCCACAATAGTAAATACTTTTGCTCCTAGTAAAGCAACTAAGATTGAATAAAGTGTTTTGTCTTTGTATCTCTCTGGTTCTGATTCTGCAAGTTTGCTCCAGTTGAAATTTATAAAATTGTAAGTGTGAGACAAACTCCTTAAGACTTGGGGGTGAAAAATGAAAGATCCCATTTTATTTCTTTGTGCAAGTGATATCACTCATATCAACCATTTACCATTTGGATTTATATGTATAAATTTTTTCGACATGAGTTTACCTCAACAAGGATTTCTTTTTGTTTTCTGTCAAAAAATAACTGATTAAATACGTATAATTTAATCTAAGTGGAAACTTTACCAAACACAAAGTTTCAACAATAATTTATATGCAGCAACTCACAACTCAAATTATTTACAAAGAACCTCTGTAGAACACGTTGCAATGCATAAATTCATGTTTAAATCATTGTTATCATATAATTGTTATCTTTCTATACTTACAACGAATCACTGCAATTTTCCTCGTATCTTTACCATTTCTTAGCAATGACGTTTTCTATTATATTATAATGAATATTCATAATAACAATAATCTTATTTTATTTTTATTTTAACTGGATAATCTTCTATTCATAAGCATATATTCCTGATCAACAGGCAATTTTTCTTTTTCTTGTTTTGTTTTATAAAAATTGAAGTTTTTATCTTTTTTCATTCCGTTATTGCAAATATTTTGATCATTTCTGTATTGATTTATAGTTTCAATAAAATTGTCCATATTTGGTAAACTTTTCTTTTTACGAACATAACCGCACCATTCTTCATTTACATAGTTTAACTCATTATAACTTTGTGATGATTTGATTTTGCTTCGTTTAATAGACGTCACTCTTAAAAGTTTCGTTTTTTGTAAATTTGAGTCACAACTTACATTGGAATGAATTTCATGAGTTAGATGATTTATTGAGTCTCCAAATCTCGAACAGTTTTCACCTTCATTAATTTGCTGTTGTACTTCCATTTTGCCTGACGAGCATGACTGATTATTTTTAGATTGGAAACAGCTGTCGTTGTTAACGCTTTCCACGGAACAGTGTAGTTGAATCATGGAATCAGTTTTTGTCCTGTCACGATTCAAATGTTTCAGCGAGTATTCTCCCTTTTCTTGTTCTTTACTCTCAGCCATTTTTAGAAATGTTTGAGAGAATTTTAAAGCAACATTCTTTGCATCGCGCTTTGATCGAAATTCAAGAACATGGCAATCTAACACGCCGTACAAACTATCTGGCGCTCGGTAGAAGAAAGCAAAAATCTTTTGATGTCGTCTATCAACACCGCAATACACAATTCGTTCGATAGCAAATTTTTTTACTGAGCTTAGATTGTCGGTTAAACCTTTCTCAAGTTCGATTCCTTTTGATGAAACCTTTATGCTTTGAGTAAGAATTTTCTTTTTCCTTTCTCTTGTTGCGGTGTATTTCTCTTCCATTGCTCGACATATTTCATCAACACCTGGATGAGAGCATGATACACAACCCAATACTTTCACATCGAAAACATCTTTACTTTTCTTAATTTCCCTTAAAGATGAGAACGAAAATCTCTTCATATCTTTGTCATGTGTATTTTAAGACTGCTCTTGATATGATTGGAAACGTTTCGTTTCGCAATTTTTGTATCATTGATTTATTGTAGATTGTCTTTATCAGAACGATCGACGCTATGAAATAATTACCACAAATTTAAATTTCAATAAAATGACGTACAATCATTAATTCAGAAATATTGTTGAGTCAAACGTGTTCAGTTGCATGGTAAAAGATTATAGTGTTGCACGTGTTTCTAAAGAATTTTTTGAACGCATGCAATTTTTATTTGACATAACGACTAACGTTTAGTGTAAAATTTCAGCATAGAATTTTTACTTTACGAAAAGTGTAAAATGCTCCGTAAATGATCATGGTGTACGTATTGTCCACTATCTCGGATGTTGTTAAAATTCTTTTGCATTTTTTTACATTTTAAATCTGTGTATTTGCTTTCCTAAAGCATAGATTTCTTGGCAAATTGTCATTAAAATTTTTATGTAAGAAGACAGTATGAAGACTTTTTTACAATATAAAAAAACGTTGTCTACAGACAACGAGCTTGTGTTATTCAAGTCCTTTACCAGATTGATTGCCATTTTACCGAAATCGAATTTCACTGAAGGCACATTTAAAAAAAATCCTTTTTCTTTTCATAGACAGAAAACATGTAGCAACAGGTCATAAAATAAGTGTGTAGTTTGGCACGAACTCTTCCGATTTTCTTCAATAATGGAGCGATTCCTTCAGTGAAAAACATTAAAAAAATTATGAGCGCCTTAAAGAGATTGAATAGCGATAAGTATAAGACAGTCAATCTTAACGATGTACTTGTCTAGAAGATGTGTCTCTTCAGTTTTTAACTCTGTTATTTAATATGATGTTAGCGAGTAGGAATATGTTCACAGAATGGATGGGAAGTGTGTTTACACTGGTATTTAGGAACAAAGGAGAAGTTTAAAGTTGTACTAACTACGTACAAAGCTGACGAATCATACACTTTAGGTGGTGAAGTAGGAAAAAACATTTTTTTCATAAGTGCAGAAGAAACTATACTGTTACTTGTTAATGATATAGTTTGAGATATTTTAACAACACACCGTTTTTGAGCAAAGAAAAAAGACCCCCCCTGTAAGATAGCACTCCAGTTGTCTTAAGATAGTAGATCCACCAACACTGTTTTGGCGGGAAAGTTAAGCAAGAGCCAAGATGGCGACAAGACGAGAGGAAATATTAAAGACGATTCACGAACATAAACAACAAGAATTTATTGCTTTGATTAAGCTTCATGTACGTATGGAATGTAGCGTACACATATCATTTACATGTGTCTATAATGTGCTTAAATTACACCGGCTCTATCGTCAGTTATCCTTCATATCAATTTTTGATTGTGTTGTTTTACATTGTAAGCATTCAAAGAACGATCCATTTGACTTGTGTGAGATGCTGCAATCACTGTCACAACAAGAATACGAAGAGATGTGGAGTAGTTTGAGTAAAACATGTCAACAAATTTTGACGTCCTTTGATATGGCCGATGAGGTACGTACATACTTAAATTTCGCAATTTCTGCGATTTTGTAATTTTCAAACCATTTACTTTATTTTTATACTAATTTATAAACATTTAGCTTTTCATAGAAAAGTGCTGGTAATGACTTTAAATAGAATAGATAAAAACTAATTCCTGTCAATAAGCTCATACCAATGGGACGTCCGCAGTCTGCTTGAATGAAAGTTCTGTTGGAGTAATTGATATTTTGATATACGTGCTGTTTAAGTAGTAATACAAATGCTTACTTAATTAGGTAAACGGGGTAATTTTTTAGCTGCTGATTTCTATAACATGAAATTCTATTAAAGTCATTTGAAATATTTTAAAATTCATATTTTAGCATTGGTAACAACTTACAGTACTGCTCACAACTAACTTAACACTGCGTTCGTGTTCCATTTGCGTTTCGAACGCGTGCCGAACGCGTTCCCAGACAATTTTTGAACACGTTCTGAACGCGTTCCCAGACAATTTTTGAACACGTTATGAACGCGCTCCCAGACAATTTTTGAACACGTTATGAACGCGTTCCCAGACAATTTTTGAACACGTTATGAACGCGCTCCCAATTGTTCAAAAAAACTCGGTACAACATGGAAATTTCCGAAATTGAAAACTTTTACAGCGAGTATAAATGATGATTACCGATCAATGATCAGATGAGGCCAACAACGCGTTTTGATACACGTTCCACTTTACACATGTTCCACGCATTTTGGAACGAGTTTGGAACGCGTTCCGGACGCCTTACGAACGCATTTTCTGTAAACTTACTTCTGAGCAGTACTGTATCTCTGACTACCACCTCAGCAGTTTTAATGATTTAGAAGCCAACATCCTATAGATGTCTATAACTATCATGTCAAGGTGAGGCACACCATTTTGAAAATTGGCAAAAATGAAAAAAACAAACTTAACATAGTATTTCATTTAACTAACTTTTTTGTATATTGTCAATATCCATATTATCAATTCTCTTCGTTTCGAGGTATTTTTTCATATATATAGGTTACTGCTGCAAATGCTCATCGTGGATTGTGCGCCTTGTTATCAATTCTTAGTGTATTTATATCAATCTTTACAATGTCTTCAACACTTTCATTGTTTTTACCGACATTAAATGCTCAGTTGTCTGTTACTAATTTGTTGATCAGAAACGTTTTGCAAATTCTTATTCCTTTGGTGGTAAGTGAACTACATATTCTCTTTAAATAAAATATATTCTTTTTTATCTCTTATTCTAAATACATCTTTTTGTACAGGTTGGAAGATCAGTGCGTTGTATTCCTGCAGCGCGAAAAATCATTAAGTCCTGGAATATTGCTTTGAATTATGTAGGAATAACTTGCATAAAGCGCGAGCCACACTATCGTCGAAATGCAACGAATTTCGTGACGAGTCGCTCGTCAACGAGCCGTCGTGACGAGTACATGTGCCACATTGTAACGATTTTCCGTACAAGCATGGACGATTATCAGCGCAAAAAGAAACTTCTATTATTGAAGAGAAAAATTCTACTGCTTCTAATTTCTGCAAAACGACGTACATACAAAAGAAGGTTCTGGGTGCATCCCATAAATAAAAGGCGAGAAGAGAAGGGCTTGTATGACACGTTGTTGCAAGAGCTTCGTCAAACTCTATTGGTCGCAACTTTCAGTCCCCGAGCAACATCCTTCCAATTATTTTTCTTTATATTGCGTGTATCTTTATAGTCAGGATGAAATTAGTCCCACAAACATCGCCTCTCTCTCACTAGCTCAATTAATATTTCTTGCCAATCCGCCATTTTGCCACAGCACAGTGAAAGTAAACATTAGTCATGTGATTTTTCTTGTCCAATCAGAGTAGATATGCAACAATTACTCGTCACTCGTTGACGATTTCGGTGTGCATGCTCAACGGCGACGAATTCGTCCATATCGTCATATTTTCTCGTTGACGAGCGACTCGTCACGAAATTCGTTGCATTTCGACGATAGTGTGGCCGGGGTTAATACTTCTCCTCCATGTCAGAATCAGTGAGACCAGTAACAGTGGACATTTTGAAAAAGTTGCACTTCTAAATGTTTTTTGTGTCTTGTGTCTTTTAAATGCTTTTGTTTTGATTATTTTGATAACAACCTATGCGTCTCTTTTATCATTGCCTTTCGTTCCAAAAAAATCATCCATAACACTGTGTGTTTTGAGCTGTCTTCGAGTTGTTGGTATCTTAGCATCAATAGTTGATTCATTGCCACCAGAAGTGGGAGATAAAGGTCTGATTATCTTACCGATGGATTTTAGTTGCATAACAACTCTATGGTTGTTGAATGCATTCGTATATTTTGTGAAGATTGAAGAAGAGGAAAACGAGAAATTTGATAAAGAAATGGAAGATGAACCAAATGAATCAGTCAACAGTTCTGCATTTACCATGTATACTGATTATGACATTTGATATAACTGTTCACATGTTACGTAAAATTTAGCCATTTTTATAAAAGTAGTTAAATCAGAATATATTTGTAAATCAGAATAAACTCTTGAGCAGACCACAAAAATCAATTTCTTATTGCTATCTAGTTATTCGTATATATTGAATGTTTTACTGTATTATTACTCTATATTTTGTCATTACGAAGGAAAAATTTATTCATGGAAAAAAAATCAAACTACTAAATAATGAATGAACGTATATGTTAGTGCCCACCATACTGGAGAAATTTAACTCCACTGCTGCATTATCAAACTTAAATTGCCGTGATTGAAGATGAGAAAGGAATTGAAAACTTTTTTGCTAATTTGGCACAAACAGAATGCTAAATTAAAGCAATTATATGCTTGAAGCAAATTCTGGAACACAGCATACACAAATTTATGCTGAAATATTTCATCAAATTTGTCACACGCGAGTGTGTGTCGTAAAATATTGCTCAGTTCAGATGTAATTTTTAATCGAGTTTACCGTTTCATTATTTGAACACAAAACCTATTTATAAATAAGTGATTAAGTCTTCAAACTAACATTTGCCCTGCGATTCGCATGACATCTTATTTAAAACGTAGATACGGAAAATTCCATGCAATAATGAATTATGATTCTATATTCAGAGCTAAATACGATATTCTACACACCTTTATTCTATATTACAGACAGAATATTCTTTATTACAGACACAAAAGACAACTTGGGCTCTGTTTTTGACAATTACTTATATATTGGCAAAAAAAATTTCGTATTTATAGCACATGATAAAAGATAAATTTATGTATTCATGCTGTATGTTATGCAACTGAAAAAACGAAGTAGAGTTTCCTTGCAAGGTTTCGTGCAAATATTCATTTCGTATGCAAATTTTCGCATTGGATGCAAGAATATCGACATTTGGCAAGTTACAAAATAACACAATATTTAACTGAATCATATACACTTGTATCACATATTTAAATCTATAAATCTGTTGTCAGTGTAGTGTAGCTAATTTAGGTTAAATTATCAAGTATTAACCTTCGCTTGATTTCCCGTTATATTTTTTATTGTGCGCAAATTTTACCTGGTACCCATGCTCTTTTGTGTGTTTTGACGGCTGGCAATCATTGGAAATTATGGCTATTTAAGAACTGATTGACAGCTTTTTTAAGTTGGCATAATTAAGCCTGGTTTCAATATAATCGTAAATCGTGGGAAAAAAAAATTTGAAAAAATTTATTTTTCTGACTGTGCAAAGTGTCCTGCGTTCAAAATACCTGAGACCGCTGGCGATACAATTGTTGACGTTCATTCATAACAAACAAACAGTTTGAAAAACCACCCTTTTAAAAAAAATCAGCCGAACCCGAGTTTATAAAAGACGTTCGGAGCTTTGTGATGTGCTAAATAAATACACACTAACTTAACGTGTAATATTGTTGCCAATGAGGTGCCAGGCGGCAAACGGATTCTCACTATAAATATTAGAGCCCAACAAGTAATTTTAAATACAGTCATAAGCAATTTGGTTTTATGAAAATTATTAAAAGAGTGACGTTTCGTCTTTACTCAAGACATCTTCAGACTAATTGGGAAGTTAACAAGAATACAGATATATATAGAGCTATTTACATAGTTTGAGGTATCAGGTTACTGTGAATGTGTAGGTGTGATGTGATGTATTGTGTGATGTGTGTATGTAAGTGTGATGTAAGTGTGATGTAAGTGTGATGTAAGTGTGATCTAAGTGTGATGTATTGTTAGGGTGACGTGTTGAGATTAAAAAAGCCTAAGAGGGATGGAGCTGCCTTGGGTGTTAAGTGAAGGTTTTAGTTTGGAGATGAGGAGGCTTTCGTGGATCATGAGGTCGAATGTGTCGGAGCAGGATGAGATGATGCGATTAACGTGCAATATTATTTTCCAAGCTTATATGTTAATGAAACAGATTTTGTCAAAGTAAGAACTTATGTTTACCAAATTTGCAATGACCAATAAATGGAAGACGAATATCAATAATATTGTGTTATAAATACTGCTCTTCCATAAATCATTTTTAAACCTGTCTGGTACCTTGGCAGCAAAATTTATCAGCCAAATTTATCACTGGTGTATTAAGAACGAAGAAATCAAAGAATGAGTAATCAAGATAGCGTTGGTGTTAGCATGAATGAAAATGTGGAAAAATGTATCTTTTTGAGAATAAAAGTACTACTATTACGTCATCTATTACCTCTTGGTATTGTGTTATCGGTAATTTTTGGTATAGCCCTTCCTCAACCGGCAGTTTACTTGAATGAAAAGATTCCTCTTGGAACAATTTGTGTCGTTTGCTTATTTACAACGATAGGATTGCGTTTACGGGTCAGCGAAGCAAAGTCTGCAATCAAGTCGTACAAAGAAATTGTGATTGGATTGATTTTAATCTTATTTCTTGTACCGTTTTCCGTAGTGAATAGCTTAAATGAAATTCCTTACTTTTCTGCATTAATTGGACAGCAAACAAACTCCAGAAACGCTTCAAACATGAGCAGTTATGAAATGAAGATTTTGGGACCTGAAGAATTTCGAATTGGTTTACAAATTTATTTCATGTCACCATCAGCCCCTGCATCATCACTCATTTTGGTATGTCTTGCATCATTCAATGTATACAAATTAAGATTAGATGGAGTATTTTACTGAATAGTCGTGAGTTATAACTGCTTATGTATATATAAAAAATAACCAGGAAAAGCAGACAATTAATAAGTAAAACAAAATAAAACAAATTCCGAAAACGGACATCTCGTTTTCTTGATATTCAAGATAATACAAGAGTTTTGAAACAAAAGATTGTGTAATATTTTGTCTTTATTCCAAAGACATCATCAGACTAATAGTTTACTATGCAGGCTGTGAAACTTTTATATAATTATTTACAAGCGGAAGTGTCAGTTACGTAATTAAAGAACTATAAGACTCAACAATTAGGCAGTATACTTACATTTAAAATAGAGATAATTTCTTACAGGCTTTGATAAAACGCAAATATGCCACAACTTAATAGTTGCCTCAAAGCCTGTAAGAAATTATCTCTATTTTAAATGTAGATATACTCCCTAATAGTTGAGTCTTATAGTTCTCTAGTTACGTAAATGTCACTTCCGCTTGTAAATAATTATATAAAAGTTTTGCAGCCTGCATAGTAAACTATTAGTCTGATGATGTCTTTGGATAAAGACGAAATATTACACCATCTTTGTTTCAAACTCTTGTATTATCTTGAATATCAAGAAAACGAGATGTCCGTTTTCCGAATTTGTTTTATTTTGTTTTATATATAAGAAAGAAAACGCAATTTTTTGGGGGTGTTGTTTTAATGATTTAGAAGCCAATCTCCCATAGATATTTATAACTATCATGTCAAGGTGAGGCACACCATTTTGAAAATTCGCGAAAATGAAAAAACCAAACTTAACTTAATACTTCATTTAACTAATTTTTTTGTATATTGTCAATATCTATATTATCAATTCTCTTCGTTTCGAGGTATTTTTTCATATCTATAGGTTACTGCTGCAAATGCTCATCGTGGATTGTGCGCCATGTTATCAATTCTTGGTGTATTTATATCAATCTTTACAATGTCTTCAACACTTTCATTGTTTTTACCGACATTAAATGCTCAGTTATCTGTTACTAATTTATTGATCAGAAACGTTTTGCGAATTTTTACTCCTTTGGTGGTAAGTGAGCTACATATTCTCTTTAAATAAAATATATATTTTTCTATCTCTTATTCTTAAAAAAGTTTTTGTACAGGTTGGAAGATCAGTGCGTTGTATTCCTGCAGCGCGAAAAATCATAAAGTCCTGGAATGATGCTTTGAAATATGTTGGAATAACTTGCATAATACTTCTCCTCCATGTCAGAATCAGTGAGACCAGTAACAGTGGACATTTTGAAAAAGTTGATACTCTCAATGTTTTTTGTAACTTGTGTCTTGCTAATGCGTTTGTTTTGATTATTTTGATAACAACCTATTTGGCTCTTTTATCATTGCCTTTCGTTCCAAAAAAATCATCCATAACACTGAGTGTTATGAACTGTATTCGAGTTGTTGGTATGTCAGCATCAATAGTTGATTCATTGCCACCAGAAGTGGGAGATAAAGGTCTGATTATCTTACCAATGGGTTTCATTTACATGACAACACTTTTATTGTTGAATGCATTTGTACATTTTGTGAAGATTGAAGAAGAGGAAAACGATAAATTTAATGAAGAGACGAAAGATGAACTAACAGAATCGGTCAACAGTTCTGCATTTACCATGTATACTGATAATGAGATTTGAAATTGAAGTTCATATAACTAGTTTTATTTTGATTATAATTTCATCAAATGAATGTTTGCACATGCGCCGACAAGTAAAGTTGATACTTTGGCGGATTTTATTTGAATAACTATTTATAGCTTTTCTTAAATAACAAACTACTAGTATATAGTTACATGGTAAGCTCAACTTATTGTAAGTGCGTGTAATAATTGAATTTTGCTTAACATGTTGAAGTCAATACATACGCTCTGAGCAGAGCCTGATTTACATTTTAAGATAAAAAGACCCTTGGGCCGTGACATGATGTCATTGAGGGCCTTTCTCCCCTTGTCTGACCTTCTATTTATCACAAAATCGCAGTATCCACATAGAAAAAGCCTTTTTCTTCTGTTTACAAAAAAGTTTACATCAATACGTCCATGTACACGTTCATCGTAATAAGAAAGATTTAAGAACAGAAGACTTCAACTATTTTTCTATTATTATTAAAATAAAGAAAGCAATAAGAAAGAAATAACAGGATAGTATATACTGTTGTCTACGGCAAAGATAAATAACTTTGCTTCTCAGGCAATATTTTTAACTTTTCTGCGTCCTCAAATCCTCTCGACGACACGTCCAACAACAAATAGCCAAGTATCACATCTTTCCTATTACACAATGTCTCTCAATAGTAATAATAATAATAATAATAATCCTCGCTCTAGCTGTCCTCTGCTTACATACTGCCTGGAAGCCAATTATAAAATACGACGTAATGTTTATAGCGTAATTGCTATTCACATCATATGACGTAATATAACTAATTATAACGTAACTATATAATAACAATGAGTCAGCATGAAAACAGCGTGATAAAGCTAATTAATTAGTCTGACATCATCTTAACGCCACAATAGTAAATACTTTTGCTCCTAATAAAGCAACTAAGATTGAATAAAGTGTTTAGTCTTTGTATCTTTCTGGTTCTGATTCTGCAAGTTTGCTCCAGTTGAAATTTATAAAATTGTAAGTGTGAGACAAACTCCTTAAAACTTGGGGGTGAAAAATGAAAGATCCCATTTTATTTCTTTGTGCAAGTGATATCACTCATATCAACCATTTACCATTTGGATTTATATGTATGAATTTTTTCGACATGAGCTTACCTCAACAAAGATTTCTTTTTATTTTCTGTCAAAAAATAACTGATTAAATACGTATAATTTAATCTAAGTGGAAACTTTACCAAACACAAAGTTTCAACAATAATTTATATGCAGCAACTCACAACTCAAATTATTTACAAAGAACCTCTGTAGAACACGTTGCAATGCATAAATTCATGTTTAAATCATTGTTATCATATAATTGTTATCTTTCTATACTTACAACGAATCACTGCAATTTTCCTCGTATCTTTACAATTTCTTAGCAATGACGTTATATATTATATTATAATGAATATTCATAATAACAATAATCTTATTTTATTTTTATTTTAACTGGATAATCTTCTATTCATAAGCATATATTCCTGATCAACAGGCAATTTTTCTTTTTCTTGTTTTGTTTTATAAAAATTGAAGTTTTTATCTTTTTTCATTCCGTTATTGCAAATATTTTGATCATTTCTGTATTGATTTATAGTTTCAATAAAATTGTCCACGTTTGGTAAACTTTTCTTTTTACGAACATAACCGCACCATTCTCCATTTACATAGTTTAATTCATTATAACTTTGTGATGATTTGATTTTGCTTCGTTTAATAGACGTCACTCTTAAAAGTTTCGTTTTTTGTAAATTTGAGTCACAACTTACATTGGAATTAATTTCATGAGTTGGATGATTTATTGAGTCTCCAAATCTCGAACTGTTTTCACCTTCATTAATTTGTTGTTGTACTTCCATTTTGCCTGACGAGCATGACTGATTATTTTTAGATTGGAAACAGCTGTCGTTGTTAACGCTTTCCACGGAACAGTGTAGTTGAATCATGGAATCAGTTTTTGTCCTGTCACGATTCAAATGTTTCAGCGAGTATTCTCCCTTTTCTTGTTCTTTACTCTCAGCCATTTTTAGAAATGTTTGAGAGAATTTTAAAGCAACATTCTTTGCATCGCGCTTTGATCGGAATTCAAGAACATGGCAATCTAACACGCCGTACAAACTATCTGGCGCTCGGTAGAAGAAAGCAAAAATCTTTTGATGTCGTCTATCAACACCGCAATACACAATTCGTTCGATAGCAAATTTTTTTACTGAGCTTAGATTGTCGGTTAAACCTTTCTCAAGTTCGATTCCTTTGATGAAACCTTTATGCTTTGAGTAAGAATTTTTCCTTTCTCTTGTTGCGGTGTATTTCTCTTCCATTGCTCGACATATTTCATCAACACCTGGATGAGAGCATGATACACAACCCAATACTTTCACATCGAAAACATCTTTACTTTTCTTAATTTCCCTTAAAGATGAGAACGAAAATCTCTTCATATCTTTGTCATGTGTATTTTAAGACTGCTCTTGATATGATTGGAAACGTTTCGTTTCGCAATTTTTGTATCATTGATTTATTGTAGATTGTCTTTATCAGAACGACCGACGCTATGAAATAATTACCACAAATTTAAATTTCAATAAAATGACGTACAATCATTAATTTAGAAATATTGTTGAGTGAAAAGTGTTCAGTTGCATGGTAAAAGATTATAGTGTTGCACGTGTTTCTAAAGAATTTTTTGAACGCATGCAAATTTATTTGAGATAACGACTAACGTTTAGTGTAAAATTTCAGCATAGAATTTTTACTTTACGAAAAGTGTAAAATGCTCCGTAAATGATCATGGTGTACGTATTGTCCACTATCTCGGATGTTGTTAAAATTCTTTTGCATTTTTTTACATTTTAAATCTGTGTATTTGCTTTCCTAAAGCATAGATTTCTTGGCAAATTGTCATTAAAATTTTTATGTAAGAAGACAGTATGAAGACTTTTTTACAATATAAAAAAACGTTGTCTACAGACAACGAGCTTGTGTTATTCAAGTCCTTTACCAGATTGATTGCCATTTTACCGAAATCGAATTTCACTGAAGGCATATTTAAAAAAAATCCTTTTTCTTTTCATAGACAGAAAACATGTAGCAACAGGTCATAAAATAAGTGTGTAGTTTGGCACGAACTCTTCCGATTTTCTTCAATAATGGAGCGATTCCTTCAGTGAAAAACATTAAAAAAATTATGAGCGCCTTAAAGAGATTGAATAGTGATAAGTATAAGACAGTCAATCTTAACGATGTACTTGTCTAGAAGATGTGTCTCTTGAGTTTTTAACTCTGTTATTTAATATGATGTTAGCGAGTAGGAATATGTTCACAGAATGGATGGGAAGTGTGTTTACACTGGTATTTAGGAACAAAGGAGAAGTTTAAAGTTGTACTAACTACGTACAAAGCTGACGAGTCATACACTTTAGGTGGTGAAGTAGGAAAAAACATTTTTTTCATAAGTGCAGAAGAAACTATACTGTTACTTGTTAATGATATAGTTTGAGATATTTTAACAACACACCGTTTTTGAGCAAAGAAAAAAGACCCCCCCTGTAAGATAGCACTCCAGTTGTCCTAAGATAGTAGATCCACCAACACTGTTTTGGCGGGAAAGTTAAGCAAGAGCCAAGATGGCGACAAGACGAGAGGAAATATTAAAGACGATTCACGAACATAAACAACAAGAATTTATTGCTTTGATTAAGCTTCATGTACGTATGGAATGTAGCGTACACATATCATTTACATGTGTCTATAATGTGCTTAAATTACACCGGCTCTATCGTCAGTTATCCTTCATATCAATTTTGATTGTGTTGTTTTACATTGTAAGCATTCAAAGAACGATCCATTTGACTTGTGTGAGATGCTGCAATCACTGTCACAACAAGAATACGAAGAGATGTGGAGTAGTTTGAGTAAAACATGTCAACAAATTTTGACGTCCTTTGATATGGCCGATGAGGTAGGTACATACTTAAATTTCGCAATTTCTGCGATTTTGTAATTTTCAAACCATTTACTTTATTTTTATACTAATTTATAAACATTTAGCTTTTCATAGAAAAGTGCTGGTAATGACTTTAAATAGAATAGATAAAAACTAATTCCTGTCAATAAGCTCATACCAATGGGACGTCCGCAGTCTGCTTGAATGAAAGTTCTGTTGGAGTAATTGATATTTTGATATACGTGCTGTTTAAGTAGTAATACAAATGCTTACTTAATTAGGTAAACGGGGTAATTTTTTAGCTGCTGATTTCTATACCATGAAATTCTATTAAAGTCATTTGAAATATTTTAAAATTCATATTTTAGCATTGGTAACAACTTACAGTACTGCTCACAACTAACTTAACACTGCGTTCGTGTTCCATTTGCGTTTCGAACGCGTCCCGAACGCGTTCCCAGACAATTTTTGAACACGTTATGAACGCGTTCCCAGACAATTTTTGAACACGTTCTGAACGCGTTCCCAGACAATTTTTGAACACGTTATGAACGCGCTGCCAATTGTTCAAGAAAACTCGGTACAACATGGAAATTTCCGAAATTGAAAACTTGTACAGCGAGTATAAATGATGATTACCGATCAATGATCAGATGAGGCCAACAACGCGTTTTGATACACGTTCCACTTTACACATGTTCCACGCATTTTGGAACGAGTTCGGAACGCGTTCCGGACGCCTTACGAACGCGTTTTCTGTAAACTTACTTCTGAGCAGTTCTGTATCTCTGACTACCACCTCAGCAGCCTAAAGTCATTATATTTTGTATAACAAACCTGAACATGTTTTCTTTTGACAAAAATAGCACATCACAAGATTATTACAGTTGTTATGAGTAATTAGAAAATCATTTGCAAGTGTCATCATGAATGAATTTTTCATTTTTTGTTCAGTTTCCAACATTTTTACATATTTGAAGTTTTAATTTTTTAGGGTTTTAATAAGTCTAAAGATGTCCTTGCTGGAATCACAACTATTGCTTTATGCTCCATCAATTTAAAAGAATGCAATATAATTGGTCCTTTGATTCAGGTTACAGTTATGCTTCAAGGTAAAGTCACTATGTACTAGCTGTATCTATATATACATATATTAAGTAAATTCTTGCTTTTTTGACCTATTTTTGTGTTACTTTTAAATGATAATCTGTATATCATGATTGTATTTTTGCATTTCTGCATGAAATGTGTCAATCTGTTTATTTGATAATGATAACCATTATTTAACTACATGAACATTGTTAGTTGTACATAGCTGTTTTAATGTACTTAAGAATTCACATTAACACAAATGAAACACATGAAATATCCAATATATACATTATATATGTAGTGATGTTGAAAAAATCACGAAGAGTGAGCAATTGCAAAACAGGCTTGTGGGGATGAAACTGTAGTTTTTGTGATTTTTTTTCAACATTACTACATTAATTTATGCTCTGCTCTCACGCATTGAGCACTATTTTACAAGGAGAATCATCACACAAAAACTTCCAATATATACATAATATATATTCTTGTATTTTCTGGTGCCGTCACATAGATATATGTTGGAACCAGCATTTACATAAAACTAACTTTGTTCAATATTACGTATGGGAATAAGTGATTTTGTAGTTTCTATGTCATTAATAATTACAAAAAATAAAACAAATTCTGAAAAAAGGCGGATTGATGAATGGGTCTGATGATGTCTTTTTAAGAAAGATGAAATATTACACAATCTGTTGTCTGACACTCTTGTATCATCTTAAATATCAAGAAAATGAGATGTCTGTTTTCGGAATTTGTTTTCTTTTGTTTTAATAATTACAATGTTATTGTATTTTATTATTTTCAACATGCAGTGTATGGCATCTGATAATTTTTTGTCAGAATTAAAAATCTGTACATTTGATTTGATTTTACAGAACTGATTTATGTTGTGTTTAGGTATTTTACTTGAACTTCCTGATGATTGTGCAAAATTGCAATTTGCCATTGCTCATCTTTGTGAGATGTGGTAAGAATTATTTTCTTTCTTTTTTGTTATTTTTTGTCTTTCAGAAATGAGGAGAAAAACAACCATTACAATAAATTCATTTGTAATTGTTCATTTTTATCTGGTTCATATCACACACAATCTGATTTTTCCTCGATCAAAAATGAATTTTTCAACACTTTATCAATGGTTATATTATTGTATATATAGACAGAAATAGAAGATGCTTAGATATAAAGAATATGTGTTCTACCACATATTCTTTATTATTTACATTACACAATAAATTGAAATGTTTCATATTCACTTTATGAATGAGAATTGCATGAAAAAATATCTATGATATTGATTTTGAAAATCAATACATAATAAGCACAAGTTGTTGTTATTTGGAATAACCATATATGTACAAATGTGAACTATTGTATATTTAGGTTTCAGAAGAACTTAGAAGGGAAAGATAAACTGGTTACAACAATGTTGCCATATTTTATTCTTAAAGCACTTTGTGAAGGATTGGTACGTAAGTGAATGGGAATTTTTAAAAGATTATAAAAATTATTTTAAGATTTTGTATAAAATGAACACTTAGTTTTTACATTCCTTATGCACATTTCATTTGCAGTGTGCGAATTAGTTCGGAAAAAACGATGTGCAATTTTTTTGACAAAAGTGTTTCTTTAGAGGCACAATCAAATCGATATTACATTAATTATTATATAGCGCTAATTGCTAAATTAATATTTTTAAACGTGAACAATTTCATATGATTTAGTGTTTTTAAAATGATTTTGCACATCGTTTGAAAAGTGTGCAATTGTTTCATTTTGTGCAAATTGCACATTGCACACTGTTAATTCGCACACTGATTTGTATGCATTAGTTTAAGAGTTTGATGTTTGTTGCACTGATACTAACATTTTGTTGTACAGTACTTACTTCAATGTTGGTGTTTTCAATGTTGTACAATATGTTCTTACATTAATGTTGGTGTTGTCAATATGTTGTACAATATGTTCTTACATTAATGTTGGTGTTGTCAATATGTTGTACAATATGTTCTTACATTAATGTTGGTGTTGTCAATGTTGTACAATATGTTCTTACATTAATGTTGGTGTTTTCAATATGTTGTACAATATGTTCTTACATTAATGTTGGTGTTGTCAATGTTGTACAATATGTTCTTACATTAATGTTTGTCAATGTTGTACAATATGTTCTTGCATTAATGTTGGTGTTGTCAATGTTGTACAATATGTTCTTACATTAATGTTGGTGTTGTCAATATGTTGTACAATATGTTCTTACATTAATGTTGGTGTTGTCAATGTTGCACAATATGTTCTTACATTAATGTTGGTGTTGTCAATGTTGTACAATATGTTCTTACATTAATGTTGGTGTTGTCAATATGTTGTACAATATGTTCTTACATTAATGTTGGTGTTGTCAATATGTTGTACAATATGTTCTTACATTAATGTTGGTGTTGTCAATGTTGTACAATATGTTCTTACATTAATGTTGGTGTTGTCAATGTTGTACAATATGTTCTTACATTAATGTTGGTGTTGTCAATGTTGTACAATATGTTCTTACATTAATGTTGGTGTTGTCAATGTTGTACAATATGTTCTTACATTAATGTTGGTGTTTTCAATATGTTGTACAATACTTACATTAATTAACATTGGTGTTTTCAATACATACGTATGTTATCCTCTACTTACCTTTATTAATGTTCAGAAATGTTCATTGAGAAAAGCGAAGTATTTACTTCACATTACAAAGAAAGTATGCGTTTGTACAAAAGTTTGAGTTTTTGCTAATTTGTTGTAGATTGTTGATGTAAAACGATTATGGAGTTTGCGTCAAACTTTGCTGTTGATGGATCTTGAAGACGAACTTTCTGCATCATCACTGAAATCAGCTCTTTTGCAATGTATTGCTCACCCTGTATTTCTGAAGATTGAGGAAGTAAGTCTTGATATCTTGTGTATCTTATAACATTTTTTCACATCCTCCGGCTGCATGTTAAAGTTGGAGGGGAAGGACATACAGTTTGGCAAGCATGTTTTGTTTGTTGCTTTGCCTTGCTTCATGTGCATATTCCTGCCCACCCTCCTTGTATAAAATGCTGTTACGTATATAGAAACACTTTCTGAGCTATGTTTAGCCATATAGTAGCACTGTAGTGAACATATAGCAGAGCTACTCCATTTAATTTCTTGTTCCATGCATGTGATTACCATAGTGGCAGACATTTAATTGCTTTTTTTGACTATACATACAAAAATTATGAAATGGCTAATAGTCTAATTAAATATTTAGCAAGTAGTTGCATATGAACTGTATATTCCCTATACTGTGATACTAGTTATTTTTGTTTATCTTATGAATAGTGTTAAGTATGAGTTGTAAGAGGTAAGTCAACCATGCAGCATTTTCCACAGCAGTAGTACACAGTTCTCAGCATGTGCAAGTATTTTTTGTGGCAAAAATTTCTTTTGTTGATTTTCACTTTCTTTTGTGAAATATTATTTGTGAAAAGGGTTTCCCTGTAAATGAATATTTTTAGAAGTTCTGCCCTCAAAGCTGCTAAGAATCTGTGTTAGCTGTTGCACTAATATTGCATATTGCTGAGAGGGTGAAGACTCATGGAAAAACTCTTTGAAAATCAAAAGTATTTTAACAACTATTTTTTCTAGTACAAAAAATTTTTTTCATATCAACACAGGGTCGCAAGTTTTTAAGTTATCTGTTTGGATTACATCTGTCTTTTATGGAAGAAATTCATAAAACAATTAAAAAGGAAATTCCAATGTGCAACATGTGAGTTATCATTTTTGCTTTTGAAGTTTGTTGTGTAGTGTTTATCTTTCATCAATACTTATGTATTCACCATTACACTTACTTAAATGATCAAACAAAAAACTGCATTACTGATGGGTGTTTGTACCTAATGGAAATCTTTACACTAATTCACCTACTTGCTTGCTGGTTGCACGGTGTGTTGTGTGTGACTAAATAGCAATGCCAATAAGTTGTTTTGAAGCATTTTGTACAACATAATCAACTCATGGGGAAACTAAAGCTGTATTTTTTTAGTTTGTCTGAAAGCATTTTAACTTCCTTTTACGTAAATATAACATGTGTAAATAATTAATGCTATGTATTAGATAAAAGTATATAAATTTGGCTACACCACCAGGGTAAATTTTAATATAAAGGCATCTATGTCATCAATTAGGAAAGTCTCAAATGTGATTTTAAATTGTTGAGGTTTTTACCTTTATTAAAGGAAAAAACACAGTGCAAAAAATATCATCTTGTAAGCTCAAGATTTGAGTTATAAAAGCAAGAAGATTTGAAGCAATACTTCGACTTTATTTCAAAGTCGTTATCAATCTAAGTTTACAACGATTATTTACAAGATAATGACTTTGAAATATAGTCAAAATATTGCTTTAAATGTTGTCTCTTGCTTTTATAACTCAAATCATGAGTTTACAAATTGATGTTTTTTATTTGTGTTTTCTCATTTATTTTTTGATATTGTTGGCTGGAAAAGGATTACCTTTATTATCTCAACATGTAAGTACTTAGAATATTATAAAAATGTCCATACAAAGTGGAATATGGATACCATAGTAAAAAAATTGCAAACTTGAAAAAATGATTAAATACAAGTGCAACTACGTATGTATGCATTTGTATAAAAAGGCATTATGTACATATATTTAACAATTGTATTGTTTAACTGAACTTTCTCTTATGTGGCTTGTAAATCATACCAGAAAAATACTTTACATCCAATTGTATGTAGCAGTAGTGAATACTTTACATCCATGGCAGTACATCATACTAAAAAATACTTTACATCCAATTGTACATAGCAGTAGTGAATAGATTACATCCATGGCAGTACATCATACTAAAAAATACTATACATCCAATTGTGGCAGTTATAAATATTGTACATTGAATAGATTACATCCATATACTAAAAATACTATACATCCAATTGTGGCAGTTATAAATAGTTTACATCCAATTGTACATAGCAGTAGTGAATAGATTACATCCATGGCAGTACATCATACTAAAAAATACTATACATCCAATTGTGGCAGTTATAAATAGTTTACATCCAATTGTACATAGCAGTAGTGAATAGATTACATCCATGGCAATACATCATACTAAAAAATACTTTACATCAAATTGTGTAACAGCTTAAATATTTTCAAACAATTTTGTGCTGTGTTATGTTGGTTGTTCTTCATATAAAGGTGGAAATTCTTGATTCTGTGATCGAGGGAACGGTTTGTCAGAGACAGAGTATGGAGGTGGTGGAATTATGTGACATTCTTCAGGCAATGATGTATCTGGCGAGTTTAGTCCATTATTATCATCGTTATTTCTACTTCGAAATAAAATGCATTGTCCTTTTTACAATAGCAAATTATTAAGATTACGATAGAAACGACGAGAAATCCAATAGTGCATGTTAGAATTGTGACCAACTTCAATGATGACAAACCATTAATACATCCAGAATTTATACAATAGTTATTAACACAACAACTACCTGCTTCTCCACAATCGCTGTCTGAACTACATATCCATTGCAAACATGTGTTTGAACAATGTCGTTGATATAGTCGGCTACCACAGCAATATGGCTGAAACTTATTTTGTACACAGTCGGAATTAACATTACATGTCTTTAAACACGAATTCATATCTCTTGTACATGTTTTATTTTCATTACAGCATTCCCCTGGTGCACAATCTTTATCTTCAAAACATGTTTCACCAATACAATTGCTACGACATGTACTTTCTTCATTGTAGGTCTTTTGTTCACAACAATATAGGCCTTCAGAATGGCATTTTTTATTATTTCTTCGACAGTCACATTCTTTCTTGTTTACAGTACATCTACCTGATAAACTACAGCATTCATTTTCACTGCCACAGTCTTTTTTTGATCGACAAAATTCCCCAACACAACTTAGGCGGCATAATTTTATCCTCGATATCATGTTAGCCACGCAACAATATTCATTACTTTTACAATGCTTGTCGAAAGAACATTTCCTCAATGCATTAAGTGTTTGGATGGAAAGAGTTAAAAGTGTTAAAATATAAACACAACGTGTTCCAATGCTAAACATAACGATGTACATTTTCGTTATCAATATTTAACTCTCAATTTGTTAGCATTGTTCTTCTGATATTTGAGTCATTAAGGAATTTTATCACGTGCATGGAGTAATGATAAGTATGTCCTACACTAAGAAACCATCATTGTTTCACTATACGTGGTCAAAATTTTTCTTAACTTCACGGTTCAAACGCCATTTCGAAGTTGGCGGTTTCTTCTGATCTGTGGGTATTAATTGCTTTTTAATACTTCTGGTTAAGATTTCATTTACATTATTCATTACAATTTATTTACTTTACGTTAATTGCCTAAAAGCAATGTTGATATAAAGCAAAGTAAATATGAAAATTTCCGGCTACTTTTGAAATTTAAAAATATGTGTAATTTACTATGTCAATAATAAAAATCTTTCAGTGCGCTAAATTATAAAATCATAAAGTATTTCTTCGAATTAAACTCTTTTTGAGCTTCATGATTACTAAAATTACGTTGAAATATATCAAACAAAGTTTTTCTTAATAAAGAACCGCTGGTGAAGAACGGAATCATTCACCTTTTGGAATACTAAAACACTTTTTCTCTCGTTATTCAAGCCTTGTATGTCTTTCATTTGGTATTTGCTTAAATTTTGTATTTCTGACAGTTTTTATTGCAATATTTATATTTGTACGTCGACTCATATTCAAATGTACCGAGCAATCCAAAAAAGCATGCATAAAATGAAAAAAATACATCTCGTTAAATCAATGGCAAAATATTTTTTTCAAATGTCAGCTTAAAAAATGTTAATTCTTTCAATTTTATAGTTAGAATGAATAATCTTAAAACGTTCAATTTTCTTTTTTCTGATTAAAAATCACATTTTTCTGCCAGTTTGTAGAATTAAATTTAGGCATATTGTACAAAGCTAGGTTTAAATTTTACCGATAAATTATATGAATATATGTTATTTAAAATTTAATAAAAGTGAACGGTTTTAATGGATATTTCTCTTTTCTTCTATAGTTCTACACTTATCGTATACGGTGAAATCTATTTCAAAGCTTGGCGCGCATCCAAGGAAGTTTATCGTGAGGTTAGTGAAGTGCAAAACATTAAAAAGCGGACTCTCATAATGGAATGCGATCATAGGAACTTTCCGCTAGAGAATTTTTAATGTTTTTTTTCTTCAGAAAATCGAACGATTTTGTCTTCAAGATTTGATGTTTCATAGTATTCATGCTCAGAGAATCGGACGTCATTCAATGTCATCAAGATTAAGGAAGGTTTTGAATCATCCATTTCTGTTAATTGAATTAGCTTTGTTGATCCAGAGAAATATGTTTGTAGTTGTTGTTGCTTAGATTTTGGGAGTTTTTCACAAGCAGAAACAAAATCCTGATGTTGACAAAATACTACTTGAACTTTACAGTCCAATTATTTGGCGAGCTTGCAAGGTTAAATTTTTAATTATTTTTCTTTTCTATTTTCACCATACACATGAACTTCCTGCAAATAACAACATTTTACGTATTATATATCTAAAGTCAAAAGTATCGTCGTTTATATGAAATGTCTTAATGCTATTGTGCTTTGACGAAACTACGGATTTATTTTCTTCTTTACAATTGTTCAATTGTAATATTCAATACAATGTTTTGTAGAATCCTGTCTTATTAGGTTAGAAAGGTAAATCAAAGTTGAATTTAAATCATTGGAAATGCACTTAGTTTTTTCCTCTCATGGTTTAGTTTTGAATCCTTAGCATACTGCGTCAATATACGTAGGAAATAAATCATATGAAAAAGTCTAAACTATAAGTACATATGTTTTCTTATGACTTTGTCTTATTTCTTTCTATACAGGTTGCAAATCCCAATGTCCGTGCCAATGCTGCAGCAATATTTTTTGATGTTTTTCCTCTAAATGATTCAACTGATAATATTGCCCGATATAATGAATTGTTACAACGGCAGTTTGATGTTATTGTAGTAAGTAAAGATAATTAGGTTACTATTATTTGTACTTGTACTCTCGTCACTGCTCTAAACATTTCTTTCCTCGTCTTAACCCATCATTTTATGAGAGATTTTTTCTTTTTACTTAGACATTTTTAGATGATCCCTTTCCTACAGTTCGTTCTACTGCAGTTCATGGAGTATTTAACATATTATCATTGTATTGGGAAGTTATTCCTGCTCATGTTGTGAAGGAACTTTTATTTAAAGTTGTAAGTTCCAAAATTCAACGAAGAATACTTTTTTTGAATATATTTCTGTGGTATGAGCAGAAGCGATAACACCTAACGTAGCGTACAGTATTTTCGTTTCATTTAAAGATCGGGAGGGTTTTCACATTAGAATCTCATTGTTGGCTAAATTTATTCTTGCTCATTTCAACGGCTTGTACAACGTATTCTGTTAAGTTTTATCTGAATTCTATCAGATTTCTTTTTAACGTACTGTATTGACTTCATTTTCTTTAACATTTACAGTTTCAAACGTCTGCTTTCGATGTATCATCAAGTTCTGTGAGGGCTGCAGTATTTGAGGTTTTATTATGTTTTGTTAGACAAAAACTTTTCACTAACTAACCAAGACTTTGTATCTTTGGTTATTTTTTTAGTTTAAAAATTTTCATTATTTATAGGGACTGACGTATGTGTTGGATAATCGTCTCTGTCATCCATTAATAAAGACATTTTTGCCAGGTCTTAAGAATTTGCTTCACGATAATTCTGAACAAGTTCGTGTTGCATTTCTCGATTTTCTTCTCAAAGTAAAAGGAATGAGATCAATCAAGGTATATATATGTATCTAGCTATCACTTATCCCTTCCCGATATCATGAATAAGACATTGCAGTTCATCCAAAATTTTTGATATTACTCTAAATTTTGTTGATTATTCCGAATTTTTATTTTATATTTTCATTTAGGATAAATGATTTAAAAAAAACACTTCAAGTATAAATATGTGTGCAAACAATGAAAAAATCGACAAATTTATGAATCTACTATTCTACAAATTATTATTTATTTTTTTCCAGTTTTGGTCAATAACACCCATGGATCATTTGTTGGCTCGTTTAGAAGTAGAGCAGTCTACCTTGGTTTTACAGAAAATTATAAAATTACTCATGAACTCGTTTCATCCCGTCAACAAAGACAGTAATAGCCTGGTAAGAACTGAAGTAGAGTAGTCTACGTTAGCTTTACAGAAAATTATAAAATTACTCATGAACTCGTTTCATCCCGTCAACAAAGACAGCAATAGTCTGGTAAGAACTGTAGTAGAGCAGTCTACGTTAACTTTACAGAAAATTATAAAATTACTCATGAACTCGTTTCATCCCGTCAACAAAGACAGCAATAGTCTGGTAAGAACTGTAGTAGAGTAGTCTACGTCAGCTTTACAGAAAATTATAAAATTACTCATGAACTCGTTTCATCCCGTCAACAAAGACAGCAATAGTCTGGTAAGAACTGTAGTAGAGTAGTCTACGTCAGCTTTACAGAAAATTATAAAATTACTCATGAACTCGTTTCATCCCGTCAACAAAGACAGTAATAGTCTGGTAAGAACTGTAGTAGAGCAGTCTACGTCAGCTTTACAGAAAATTATAAAATTACTCATGAACTCGTTTCATCCCATCAACAAAGACAGTAATAGTCTGGTAAGAACTGTAAAATTTTAAGACAACATGCACATAATTTGCCTTGTTTGAATTCGGTGCTTTTTTCCAGTTAGTTCGTTGTGTACAATTGTGGGAACTCAATCCTAAAGCTTCAAGAAAATTTTATCAATATATTCATCATCAGATCTCGGTGACGTCATCAGGTAATGATCAAGGTTCTATGATGTAGTATTTACATACGTAGGTCATTTATCAAGACATATTTACACGTGCAATTCACGTGAACGTGCTTTGTGAATTTAGTGATTGGTGTCAGTTGTACTTCATGTGAATATCATAATAACGAACGTTTTCTGACTAAAATTCGAACGCCTGGTATAATTTAAAGTTTTCCCATTAAGTGACGAGAAGAGTATGCATTCGTTTACCATTCATTTTTATTAAATTAAATTTGGTTCATAAAAAGATAAAGTTCTGATATTGTGAAAATTATTTTTAGATTTTAATGTCATAAATAGATACAATATATCTTTTGGCAAATACTTTATGGGTTGGATATTTTTATTTTACTTGGAAATTAATAACATAGTATGGACGCGGACTAAAAAATGAAGGGAATTGTTTTTGAACTACAGCAGATCACATATCTCATGGAATTTTGTTGGTTATTTTTTCAACTTTTAGTTCAGTTTCTAATGATGATCTGTAAATATTTGGATGAACATTTATCTGAAAATCATCTCACTTATAATGATATTGACCATAATGACAGCCATGGTAAGAAACACGAAATTTTTTTTTTTTCTTTCTTTATTGTATATATTCTACTGATACAATTGTGTGTGTGTTTTTTATTTTCAAATATACATAATGTTTATGAAAGATTCACGCTACGATTTTGTGAGCAGCAAATGGAAAAAAAATTTTTTAAGATATATTTTTACATGCTCTTACTTTGCACTTGTTTTAAATGAAATTATGAAAGCATTGGTGAGCAATTTTTGCTCCTGTTCCAAACCTTAGCAACAAAAAAATAACCTTTTTTATATTTTGAGGTCAGTTTATTTTAGATGAGTAAACTGTCTTATAAAATATAATTTAAAAAACGAGTTTTAGAAATGTTGAATACATTTGGGTTTTTCGTAAAGGTCGCAAAGAGAAACAGATTTCTAAACAATTCAATGTTAAGTAAAATGTCCTTTTTCAAATTTCTGTGTACTGTTTTACAACATATTTAGAGGAAGTTAACAAGGAGAACAGTAACAATTCTTCTATCGAAATGGATAAAGTGGATGAACATGACAAAACAATAGTAGCTGGTCTTCTAGAAACATGTATAATTATATGGGAAGGAATTGATGATGAACTAGAGAAAGTAAGATCATGATGAAAAATACAAAATTAGTCGTCAAAATGTAACTTGAATCGTTCCTTTTACTTGTTACCTTCGTTCATGAATTTATCGTTGAAAATGTGTCAATTTTAACTGTTAATTGAAGTTGAATGAAAACGAAGTAAAACATTGTTTGTACTTGTGTTTGGAATTTTTAGCCATCTTATGACACTTTAAAGTCGAATCTTCATCAGCAGTTTGCTAAAGCAATCCCTAAGATGATTAGATCTATCGAGGTATGTCAAAATTTTTTCCAGAAATCTTAAAATTCATCTAATGTTTACAATTTTTCCATTGGTGCGGGTGAAATTAATTTGGTATGTGGAATTAATCCATCATTTTATTCTGCTTCTTGTACATTTACATAACATTTATATTTACTACATACATAAATATAATAAATAGTTACCTTAGATAGTCGACACAATTTTGCACGAGGACCTATGTATAATAAAGGATAATAAACTTATCATTTTCATTACAACGACATTAAAAATAATTTTGTTATACGTAAGTTCAAATTTTTCAGTTAAAGTAAATAAGTTTTGTCTGTTACAGGTTGGTGCTATTGATTTTATTCATATTGTTTTCATATTAATTTAAGGATTCTCGATGTCAATCTTGTCTCATTTTATTGGCTTCTCATTTATCACCAACACTTGTTCCATCTTTGAGGTTTGATTATTTTCATATTGCTCCCTCTTGTCTTAATGCATAAATGATACAATCCTATATATTTAGAAACCTAACAGTAGGTTTCCTTAAATATTCACCTATCGTGAGTCATGCGCGGTATAACTATTTTTCTTATGTTTTAGACATCGCTGTTTAACATCACTATCTTCACTCCCCGAGAAAACGTCTTGTGACGTATATGGTCCTTTGTTAGAATTGGCTTGCTCTTTTAATTTGGCGAAAGATGTCATTCAGTTTATCAATGAAAACTTGCATTCAGCTTTGCAGGAAACTTCGCTTGAGGTGATAATTAATGCATTTTACTGAACGAAGTTGCTTGCCATGAAAAATTATTCAATGTGCTGCATTTTCTTATTCATGTCGATAAAAAATTTTAACCAAATTTCTGCTTGCATTTAATATTTACTAAACGGTTAATGTGTTTTGATGGCTGGATCTAAACCTGGCTGGTATTTGTATCTTGGATGGCTGCATCTAAACACAAGTGTTTGTATCTTGATGGCTGCATCTAAACACAAGTGTTTGTGTCTTCGATGGCTGCATCTAAACACAAGTGTTTGTACTTGGATGGCTGGATCTAAACCCAAGTGTTTGTACTTGGATGGCTGGATCTAAACACAAGTGTTTGTATCTTCGATGGCTGGATCTAAACCCAAGTGTTTGTATCTTCGATGGCTGCATCTAAACACAAGTGTTTGTATCTTGGATGGCTGCATCTAAACACAAGTGTTTGTATCTTGGATGGCTGCATCTAAACACAAGTGTTTGTATCTTGGATGGCTGCATCTAAACACAAGTGTTTGTATCTTCGATGGCTGCATCTAAACACAAGTGTTTGTATCTTGGATGGCTGCATCTAAACACAAGTGTTTGTATCTTGGATGGCTGCATCTAAACACAAGTGTTTGTACTTGGATGGCTGGATCTAAACACAAGTGTTTGTATCTTCGATGGCTGCATCTAAACACAAGTGTTTGTATCTTCGATGGCTGCATCTAAACACAAGTGTTTGTATCTTCGATGGCTGCATCTAAACACAAGTGTTTGTATCTTGGATGGCTGCATCTAAACACAAGTGTTTGTGTCTTCGATGGCTGCATCTAAACACAAGTGTTTGTACTTGGATGGCTGCATCTAAACACAAGTGTTTGTATCTTCGATGGCTGCATCTAAACACAAGTGTTTGTATCTTCGATGGCTGCATCTAAACACAAGTGTTTGTACTTGGATGGCTGGATCTAAACACAAGTGTTTGTATCTTCGATGGCTGGATCTAAACCCAAGTGTTTGTATCTTCGATGGCTGCATCTAAACACAAGTGTTTGTATCTTGGATGGCTGCATCTAAACACAAGTGTTTGTATCTTGGATGGCTGCATCTAAACCCAAATGTTTGTACTTGGATGGCTGGATATTTACTAAACGGTTAATGTGTTTTGATGGCTGGATCTAAACCTGGCTGGTATTTGTATCTTGGATGGCTGCATCTAAACACAAGTGTTTGTATCTTGGATGGCTGCATCTAAACACAAGTGTTTGTGTCTTCGATGGCTGCATCTAAACACAAGTGTTTGTACTTGGATGGCTGGATCTAAACCCAAGTGTTTGTACTTGGATGGCTGGATCTAAACACAAGTGTTTGTATCTTCGATGGCTGGATCTAAACCCAAGTGTTTGTATCTTCGATGGCTGCATCTAAACACAAGTGTTTGTATCTTGGATGGCTGCATCTAAACACAAGTGTTTGTATCTTGGATGGCTGCATCTAAACCCAAGTGTTTGTACTTGGATGGCTGGATCTAAACACAAGTGTTTGTATCTTCGATGGCTGCATCTAAACACAAGTGTTTGTATCTTCGATGGCTGCATCTAAACACAAGTGTTTGTATCTTCGATGGCTGCATCTAAACACAAGTGTTTGTATCTTGGATGGCTGCATCTAAACACAAGTGTTTGTGTCTTCGATGGCTGCATCTAAACACAAGTGTTTGTACTTGGATGGCTGCATCTAAACACAAGTGTTTGTATCTTCGATGGCTGCATCTAAACACAAGTGTTTGTATCTTCGATGGCTGCATCTAAACACAAGTGTTTGTACTTGGATGGCTGGATCTAAACACAAGTGTTTGTATCTTCGATGGCTGCACCTAAACCCAAGTGTTTGTATCTTTGATGGCTGGATCTAAACACAAGTGTTTGTATCTTGGATAACTGAATCTAAACCCAAGTGTTTGTATTAGGCCATCTAAACAGTTGAAACCGTTTAGTAAATATTTTATAAAATAACAAGTAGGTAGTACTGTAAGCTTTATTAAAGCAAGCGGAAATATGAAAGCTAAATTCCCCCCGAACAAAACCGTAAAAATTAGTAAACAACAATGAGTGAACAAAGAAAAACATATATAGCATGAACAAATTTGCGGCTGGTCATGCCAATGTATATGTACACTGATGGTCAAAAAGTCCTGATCACAGAAAAACATCACCACAACTAGGCATACACCTGCATGGTTTTGTAATTTTTTGTGTTGTTTAGGAACCAAGTTCATTTAAACTATCGTTATATATTTTTCGTTTGTGTATGTTAACGGTTATTTTGGACGTTAGCTGTGGATGATTTTTTCTTAAATTAACTTTTTGTTTGCTGTTGTTTTTTCTTCAGGTAAGATCCGCTATGAAAAAAAGAAAAACAGTAAGCTTCTCTGTTCCTGAGACTAACTCAATTACTGCTGTAAAGTGCTTGGATTATTTTTTGGTAATTTTCTATTTGTTGTGTTTATATTTCTCAGGAGTAAAAAGTTTCAGCGAGCTTATTGATTTTTTTGCGGATTTTAGCAGAAGTTGTTCCTTATCCTGCAAATTTAGAACAAACGTGTTTTGTTTATTTAAACAATTATTTGTTTTATTATTGTTGAGCACTCAGTGATTTTTATTGATTAAGTCTATATCTCCTGTAAAACTTTATATATGTCTGTTTAGGCTAGTCCACGATGTCGCCTTCACGTATTACCATTTAGAGATGAGTTGCTAATCTTACGGCAAACTTTGAAAGAATCTATGGTTAGCAGATTTTGTACATAGTTTAAATTTTATCATTGGTTAAATTTTATTCTTTGAAAATTCATGACCAACGCCATTGTTGAAGTTGTATTTTAAATTTGAGATTAGCATTTATAATTTATTATGCCTAACCCTTGATCTGCTAGTGCTTTGTATAGTATAAAGTCATCCTCAGACAGAATGACTTTGAAATAAAGTCGAAAATTTACAGTTCACTTCTCGTCTTGTTTTGATTCATATTTTGCAATCTCAAGATGTCTTGTTTTTTCCGAATTTGTTTTATACTATATTTCTTTAAATTGTCGGCTTGTCATGGTTTTTAGTACAAGCTAGTTTGCTGTGGTTTTTGAAGAACCATAGCATTTGCTCAAAAGTTGTACAACTAATTAAGACCATATAGCAAATTGTACAATCAGTTAAAAGAATATAGCATGAATAATTGTTAAACTTAGAGATCTTTTGTGGCAAATCATTTGTCACTATTCTTTTCACGTAAAACCATGTGATGTAAATGGTTTGAACGTGCCTCAGGTTAATGTTCAGGTTAGTGATCTCCCGGAAATCCTGTTAATGATAGTTATAAAGATTTATATTTTCATCTCGTGGTTTTGGTTATCTTATATTTCCGAGAAAGTTAAAACAAATTAATTTCATCACAACCATAAAAAATAGAAAATTTCGGCCTTATTTGTGCCGAACTTTATTTTTCAAAAACAAAATTCATTTTATGTATGAATTCTTATTTATTTTTTAAAGGGTTCAATTGACCAATACATCAGCATTAACTCCACATGTGAACATACTAATGAAAAAAGAAATTTTTTGATGAAAGTTCTTTATGGTTATTGTCGTTTGAGTGTTCATCTCTATGCATCAGAAGTAGATAATGGGAAAGTAATCAATGACAATGATGATCTTTCTACTTGTTGTGAAGATGTTGTTAAATGGTGTCAAACTCATTTACTTCATTATTTTGACAATGATCAAAGGTTCGTATTCTTTTGCTTTGCCATGATGCTAAAAAGTCTGTTGACTAGATGCCGTGTAGTGTCTATAAAACGCTTCTCATTTGCCTTTTCTATGTTTTATCGTTTAGTGTTGATTCAAAAAACGCCCATCTAAGAAAACACCATCTGAAAGAGTTTCTTATCTTGATTTTACGTGTAAGCTTTCAATTTATAAATGATTGAGCTTAATTTTTATTTTCATTTTTTCCTTCACACATTTTAACTCTACCTACTGTATTGTAATGACGATATTTGTATGGTACACATGTTCACTCTACCCACTGTAGGGTAATGACGATATTTGTATGGTACACATGTCACTCTACCCACTGTATGGTGGTGACGATATTTGTATGGTACACATGTTCACTCTACCCACTGTATGGTGGTGACGATATTTGTATGGTACACATGTTCACTTTACCCACTGTATGGTAATGACGATATTTGTATGGTACACGTGTTCACTCTACCCACTGTAGGGTAATGACGATATTTGTATGGTACACATGTTCACTCTACCCACTGTATGGTTGTGACAATATTTGTATGGTACACATGTTCACTCTACCCACTGTGTGGTTGTGACAATATTTGTATGGTACACATGTTCACTCTACCCACTGTATGGTGGTGACAATATTTGTATGGTACACATGTTCACTCTACCCACTATATGATGGTGACAATATTTGTATGGTACACTTGCTCACTTCTCCCACTATATGATGGTGACGATATTTGTATGGTACACATGTTCACTCTACCCACTGTATGGTGGTGACGATATTTGTATGGTACACATGTTCACTCTACCCACTATATGGTGGTGACGATATTTGTATGGTACACTTGCTCACTTCTCCCACTATATGATGGTGACGATATTTATACGTATGTTGCAGGAACTTCATATTATTTTTGCTGAGCTCGTTGTCATTGGACTAAGCCAGCCTAAATTGAATATTTTGTTGGCTAATTTCTCATCATCGGTCCTTAGCAAAGGTGCGTATATCCAGTAAAATATCGTCTTATTAATTTCCATTTATCAGAACAGTCGTCTATTTTCCACATGCATACAAAATGTTATTTAAAAAGTATAGTTTCCATTTGTTTTGTGACTAGTAGTTTTTTTTGTTTATAGTTTTCCATAATTTTTTATTTCATAGGGGGAACATTGGTGCTATTGCCTGATGTTTGCAAGCTATTATATCAAATTGTTTCAGCAATAAATTATTCTGAAGGTGTGTATGATCTGTGAGCTCGTGTTAAAAATTGCAAAAATTGTGCTAAAATCGTAATGTTCAAATATGTTTTCTAGAAATTTTTATTACGGATTGGGATCCTGTTTACATTATGTTAGGGAGTATTTTTAAAGCTTACGTATCACGTGATCATTCTGAGAAACAGATTGTAAGTAAAGCATTGTTTTTTACCTTTTAATTTGTACATTGTCACATTTCTACTTACTAAAACGTTTCTCACTGCCTCGTCAGTGTTGAATGCTGTGTATACGTATGTGTTTGGCAGTTTGTTCCATATGGTAATATACAAGGAGAAGAGACGATTTTCTAGGCAAAACATGTGACTTTAGAGCAGATAAATCTGGAAAAGCATGTCCTTCTTCGACTCCTAGTTACTGCACGTACACATCAACTCTTATCAACTCATCAAATCTCATCACTTCTTATCAACTCTTATCCACTCACATCAACTCTTATCCACTCACATAAACTCTTATTAATTCACATCAACACTCTTATAAACTCAAATCAACTTTTCTCAACACACATCACGTCATATCCTTTATTGGTCTTAATTTATTCGTCATGTGTTCTGAATTTGCGTGATTATCAAAGTTATTTAAGTCGAATTAAATTACTTGTTAAAAGAACCAGAAGCGACGCCTGTCAACTTCTGTGACGCGTGCGCTCCTATTTACAGTTTTGTACAGGTATTTTTTTCTTTTTCAGTGTTTTGATACTCTTTATGTTGTCGTGATGGAAATTTTCAAGCTGCTTCATGGGAACGAGTCAAACGTGGTTATGGATGCTCGAGTTGTCGTTTTGAAGTTGGTTGTAGAAACCCTTTTGGAGGATTTGGAGCTTTCGTTGAACGAGGTTAGTTTTCAGCTTTAGACTATCTTCATAGAAGTAGGACAATTTTATAGTTCTACTGACAAAGAAATTCGCTACGTCGGTATTACATTGTACTATATATACATACTGGATATTTGCAGAAATGTACAGTATATGACGAATAAAGAAAAAAAATACATAAATGTTTTTATGCATTAAATATATTTTCGTGTACTAATAGCGTTTTCCTATCTATACGACTAACAAAATATTGTTAATTATTATACTTTTGTAAATATCCATTTTTAGATAACCCACACATATCAGAAAGATCATTTTGAAATTCTTCCACCACTTTCTAATTTTCTTATAAATATTGTTGTTACCTCAAAACAATTTGTTTTGTAAGTATTTTAAAGCATTTCTGAGCATTATCTCTATCTTGTCTGAATATTTTTGTGTTGCGTACGTCTACTCTTCTCTTGTTGCAATAGCATGCCATTTTTGATTATAAATACCGTGTCATTATTGAACTGCTTACAAACTAACTACTGTTACATCTTCCGACTAATGTCATATGCTTTTTTGTGCAGGTCAATTTTTGAAACGATGATGTCATTCATTTCTTCGACTAATCATAACGATGTGGTTCTTAAGACTACATCGTATGCAGCTTGGATTTTTTTGCAGAAATTGAGTGAGTAATCAGTATCGTAAATCTTTAATCGTCAATAAATACTGTTTTATCAAAAGTTGACTCATGATTTAGATGATGAGTCTTTTGAAAGTATGAAGACATATGTTGAGAAAATAGGAACCGCTTTAGAGACATTGGAAGTTGTATATAATCCCGAGTAAGTCAAACATAAATTGATATTTACTGTATGTTCTTGTGCCTTTACTGTATTCTGTCACCATTCCAGTATTGATTAGGAATAAGTGGAAAATTACACAAATCTCAAGAAACTGAATTATCGAAGTTTAAACATGGTTGATTTGAATGTCACAAATTTCTATTTTTTTAGGAATGTACGGTTTGCGAGACATTTTCTTGCGAAATGTTCAAATATAACCGAAAATGTAAATTCTTAAAAGCAGTCGTTCATTTTAGCTGCTATAGATATGTGATGTAACGTTCTTCAAATATAAATCATTCTCACAATTTTCTTGTTGATGTATGAGTGTTTTTACTTTAAGGTATTCATTATTTCCAACTATTGCTAAAATTAGTTGGAAACATAACTTAGTTGCAAATATGGTATTAGACTTTGCTGTAGTTTTATGATAACATCAATGTAAAAATTATTGTAAAAGTTTCATGTACACGTTAAGACTTAAGTTAAGCTTTTGCAGCTATACATGATGGGAACATTAAACATGTAAAGTGTTTAAACAAATTGTGACCATGGGGATCAATTATGACGTGACCATGGGGAGCAACAAAAAACCAAGGCATTCAAATTTTGACAATTAAATCGTTATCGGATACTCACAGGTCACATTATATACCACACATATAATGTACATGTACGTCATCTAACTGGTCATTTAAATAACTGCGTGATTTTTGAACATACACCCAAACTGGTCACTGATGTGAATGCTGTATCATTAAATTCTTTCTTTCTGTATAATTCGATAACGAATGTCGCCATCGTCAATGTAATAACTCTCATACTTTGTCAGATTATTTAAGGTGAGCTACTTTGATAGTATGAATTACAGTCTCACGTGAAACGCTTTGCGTAAAAGCTACACGAGTTAACATGTGCAATAAATCATTTTATGTTCCATAAAAATTGCAAAGACCACCCTACTCACAATCTTTCCTGAGCATTCTTTCTGCTCTTAACTGCGAAGGTATACTTTGTTTGTAAAGCACTAGTGTGGAATCTACCATTTGACCAAGCATTTTAGGGTCGACGGTCTCTGTTAAATGTAAACCATTTTTCTATGTGGCTATACTTTAGGCACAAAGACTTAAATATTATATACCGCATAAGAATCACCTTACAACGTATTTAGACAGTTTTTATAGGAGAAAGACAGAAGAAATCCATTCGTGTCCGCCTGTGATAATAAGCTTGAGCAGGATTTTTCGTTTTAAAACAAATTTATATGATAGTATACACTTTGTGTCTGACTCAAAGCATTAATGGGATTTGTAATGCAGTCGTTGATTCGTTTCATATTCGGTTTTTGAAATGGATTTTCAATCAATAAATTTCTTGTTTAAAGGTGGAAAATATTGAAAAAGTTGAGCGCTACCGTTAATGTTTGAAAAATGTTTTTCAAGTACTATTTATAGCCTTCGATGCAAAACCCTTGGTAGCATTTCAATCAAAATAATTCTCTTTGAAGTCGAATTTGCATTTACCGTTGTGCTAATTTATGACATCTAAACTACATAATGTATAAAAGTAGATCTCTAAACTACATCAAGTTTATCAACATTTGTGAAATTTCAATGCCTGATCATTATGTTAATCCATCGATGTTTTGCAAATTTTTAAAGGTGTCCACTTTTATTCACGTTCAGAGGGGACGCTGTTAGCATTGCGATAGACATTGATGTCATTTACAATACGCCAATTTCCAAAAGTATTTTTTCGGTACGCCATGTACTGCTATTCTCACGGGGAAACCTATACGTGCAACTTGCGCATAAATACAATGAGCAATTTTAGCATACTTGAAGGTGTAGCATCAATTCACCTGTATATATATGTTTGTCATCTAATGAATAATCACAGGTTTTTCTCTTTTTAATTCCCTTTAGATAACTACAAGAAAGAAAACATATCTTGCCTTACATTGGCTAACTTTTCCATATTTTAGCCAATCAAAAACGATGTAGCATCGAAGTCAGTCAGTGAAAGCAAATCATCGAATGTTCATTACTTGATACACCGGATATAGACACTTTCTTCGCCGTGAAATGTAGTGTAGCCTGGGGCAAAGTGCGACACTTTTTCACGTGACATGGACACTTCCTTAACAGCGAAATGTAAGTTCATAAAAACTAGATTAACTAACAATATATTTATTTGCAATAAAGTCGTTAACTAATGCATAGTTATGTTTATGTTTGTTTTTAACAATTAAGTGTGATTCATCGTCAGTTTTACTCAAGCAGCTAATTTAATGATATAAACTATAAAATCTTTGCACTATTTCCCTGTTAGAGCTTAGTTTTCTCGAAATTAATTTTTTCAGAATAATTGCATGTATCCATAGGGGCCCTAGATATTATATCAAACTAATTACAAAGTTATTAATTTAATTTACCTAGACTATACAATTAATTATAAAACTTGATTGAATTATTACATTTTAAAAATAATAATGTAATAAACAAAGATTAAAAACCAGAGTTATCCACAACTTTTCCAGCGTCATTTACAACTATTTTGCCTTTGCAAATTTTCTCCGTAAGCCTAAAAAAACATGATTAAGAATTGCTTTAGCTAGCATAAAGCGAAATAGGCTAGATTTTTTTTAGAAAAAATTGTCTTTTTCTATTTGTGTAGCAATTGAAGCTGGTATCCCTTTCAAAGCGATGAAATCTTAGAAAGAAATACTACTTAGCTAAAACAAAAAGGAGAACTGGTACAAAGAAATCTTTGACACAGGTAATGCCGAAAAATGTTAAGATATAAGGTTTGGCTGTAAAAAGAAATGTCCGTGTACTTTTTTACCCTTTATTTTTAATGATTTTGTCAATAATAGTATTGCAAGACTTAACAATGCAATTTAAATTTGAAATTTTGTATTCTTTAGACTAAAGAAGCGACTTTTCTTGACTTTTCTTAATGGATAAATTCAAAGAATGCAAAAACGTAAAACAATCAATTGAAAAAGTTAAATAATCACGAGTCAACAAAGTGAAAGAATTGGAACAGAATGATACTAATTGAAATCAGAAGTCAAGGTAGGAAACTCCAAGTAATTTCCCGTTTAAGCTTTACCTTGATTGTGTAATTTAGTGTGAAGCTATATGTTTTATGCGTTGAAAACAAGCTGTATCAACATAAATGTTAAAAATATTATATTCATAACATCAAATTTGCATTAATAGGAAGGTCAGTTGAAAGGGATAATCAAACTAAGAGCACTTTTAGTAATTCACTTTTGCACACATTCTAAAAAAATGCACGACTAAATTTCTTTTTAAAACCAACAATATACAACTATATTTTTTGCGAGTGAATAAGTGTTAAAGTTAAGGTTGATGTTGTACTCGTCATTGTCCACACATCTGCTTCCTGACTTTTTCGATCGTGTATAAATACGTAAGTCATAAAAATGTTGTTAACGATGTAAATACGATTGGAAACATCTTAAGAAAAACACGAAAGAGATGAAATCATTTTGCAAGACCCAAGTTTGCAAAAAGACACGAAGAGGACCATAAAGAAAGAAAGAATGACATAGGTAGAAAGAAAGGATTGAATGTGAGCGTTTTAACAGTGTGCGTGAGAGCTTTTGGGGATTTCTTCTTGCTCAGTTTGTTGGTTGTAAAATTGCTTAACAGCATTCAACTTTCATGAGTTACGCAGATGTTGTGCAACACATCTCTTTTCTAGTTTGGTCCTAGCTTATTTGTTTGTTCAAGCAAACACAAATCCAATTTATTGTTTTGATTCTACGTTGGTTTAAGCAAAAATAATGTTTTCTGGTTATTCATCGATTCTTGAAAGCATTGATTACTCCGCACTCTTCCTGCATCAACTGTGAATCTGCGCGAACAGAGCGCCATCTGTTGTGGGGTTGATTGGTCAGATCTTTCATATACAGCGCCTTTGTTTCTGGGTTGCTTATCGGTTCTTGCACACGCCGCGTCTTTTGTTGTTTGGGTTGGTCATCAATTCTTGCGAGCGCAGTGTCGACTGTGGTTTGGGCTGCACATCGATTCTTGCAAGCGCAGCATCCTTTGTTGTTTGGGTTGGTCATCATTTCTTGCGAGCGCAGTGTCAACTGTGGTTTGGGCTGCACAGCGATTCTTGCAAGCGCAGCGTTTTGTTGTTTGGGTTGGTCATCAATTCTTGCGAGCGCAGTGTCGACTGTGGTTTGGGCTGCACAGCGATTCTTGCAAGCGCAGCATCCTTTGTTGTTTGGGTTACTCATCAATTCTTGCGAACGCAGTGTCTACTGTGGTTTGGGCTGCACAGCGATTCTTGCAAGCGCAGCGTCTTCTGTTGTTTGGGTTGCTCATCAATTCTTGCGAGCGCAGTGTCAACTGTGGTTTGGGCTGCACAGCGATTCTTGCAAGCGCAGCGTCTTCTGTTGTTTGGGTTGCTCATCAATTCTTGCGACCGCAGTGTCAACTGTGGTTTGGGCTGCACAGCGATTCTTGCACACGCAGCGTCTTCTGTTGTTTGGGTTGCTCATCAATTCTTGCGAGTGCAGTGTCAACTGTGGTTTGGGCTGCACAGCGATTCTTGCAAGCGCAGCGTCCTTTGTTGTTTGGGTTGCTCATCAATTCTTGCGAGCGCAGTGTCGACTGTGGTTTGGGCTGAACAGCGATTCTTGCAAGCGCAGCGTCTTCTGTTGTTTGGGTTGCTCATCAATTCTTGCAAGCGCAGCGTTTTTTGTGGTTTGGGTTGCTCATCGTTTCCTGAAAGCGCAGCGTCTTCTGTGGCTTGGGCTGCTCATCGTTTCCCGAAAGCGCAACGTCTTTGTTTTTGGGTTCTTCGTCTTTGCATGTTGCTTGCGTGCTTCACAAGCTCTTGCGAGCGCAGCGTTGTCTGTTTTCTGGGTTCTTCGTCGACTCTTGCGAATGAAGCGTCGTCTATTTCTTGTTGCTCTGGTCCCTGGACTTTAAATTCAAACAACTTCATTCTTGTTTCTTTCCTACTTGTCACGAGAGTATTGAGGGAAGAATAGATAGAATCATATTTATATATCAGATAGTTCAGCAATAATCACGAAGAATGAAAGGAAAAGCAAGAAAACATCAAAACAATGATGACAGAAGCAGTCAAAGCAAGAACATTATTCATGAAATGATACAAGAGAGAAACTTTATGATCTTTATGATTACATATATGTGTGTAAATAACTTAACACCCTGTTTCACTTCCAGGACGTTCTTTCCAGAAAGCTTCGTAAGACAAATGTTGTAAAGTTGTTTGTTTGCATTTCATTTATTAATGTTTTGTATGATTACTTGTCTTGAAACTCAACTTTCCATATCTTAAATAACACTCTACTTGCGTAATCTGCTTAAACTAATATAAACAAGAGATTTAAACTTAAATATGAAAATTTTCGACCATGTGTGCATAAGTAAATCACTAATATGTGGCTGTTGGCGCAAGAAAAACGAAAGGTGGCAAGTCAGATAAAAATTTTGTGAAACTATGGATGATTTTTTACAACGTTATGATGCAAGTCAATACTGCGCCAAAAGAAATGCACTTGATCACTTCGATGTCAGGTGGTTGACAACGCTATATTGTGTATTATACCAAGTACCATGGATTGTTTCTGAAAGGAGAACGTACTCAAGTTGAATGCTGCGTTGTGATGCTTCAATTACTAATGGAAAATCGCATGTGTATAATTTGTTTCTGGGAACTATGATATGCAAAAGACGTTACGTTTAAACTATACTTATCATGTGGTACAGCAAGAACATACGTTAAATGGATTTTCAAGTTGAGGTGCTTCATCTGCTGATGGGTTGTATCGTGATTTGCCAAATTACAATTAGAGAAAATAAAGACATTAAAAGATCTACAAAAGATATTTGAGACGTACTGGAAATGTGAGATGTGTCAGAAATATACATGTAATGTTGACTAGCATTTGCAATTGATCCAAGTGAACACAGAACATCACAAAAAAATTTGGTGCGTTTTTATTTTGTACCTTCAAATCTTTTCATCATGAAATAATTCTATGACGAATTGATGTTCTAATTATTTATATTTTTCTTGTTTTAGAAAATTACATTTAAGAAAATGAAGCACCTTAGCCACTGTTGAGAATATTTTTAAAAACAGTGGGATGCCTATGACGACCAACAAAAAGGTATTAAAGTACTTTACAGGGAAGACAATTTATGAAAATAATTAATGTGATGTACAACGTGCAATATGTTTTTTTTTTGAGAATAAACAATACCAAATATCAGAATTTGAAAAATACTATCGTCTTTAACCTATGACATTTACCTTAACATTTTCATGATTAGCAAGTTTTAAAACGTTCGTGTTCGCTAAATTAAATCTTTTATTATGCTCTAGTGAAGAAATACTAACAATGGTGGTGTAGTTGGTCAATGTATTCCCTCAGTATTGTTATCATCATGGATGACGTCACTTATGATCATTATTTACCTCGCGATTGTCCGGAATTACATCACTCTTGTCATGATTCCACCATATTTGTCGTCATTGACATAACTGTTGTCTTTCCTTATGTCATGAATATCATGGGTATACGTCATGGTTGTCGTGGTTGTATTACGTTATTCATTGGTACGTCATAGATGATTACGTCACCCTTAAGAGCGAGGACGAGCCTACCATTTAAGAGCGAGGACGACGAGTCAGGTGCGATGGTTCAAAATAATACTTTCAGTTAAAATCCTGGTGATCAACATTAACAGAAATTTGTTAAATCTTTGGCTGAGTTGCAAGGCAAAGTCAATTATTTTTCAAATCCTGTTGATGCTTTATTTGTTTGATCAAATGTTTCTTGGCTTATGGCGTACAAAAAAATGCGCGCGCATAAAAGACGTCCGATTCTCCGTCAATTTGTGTTTTTGTCTGTTTTTGATCACCAAGGATATACGATCTTAAACTTGAAGAAATGTGCATGGGTTTCTTTAAGCTTAGTTCGTATGTGTCAGGTTTTACTTTAAATATTAAACTTTTAAACAAATAAACGTAACTAGAATTTAATAGTTAATACAAAAATATTTACTATCCTATAGCAATTTACTATCCTATAGCTAATGCATGAATGTTAATAATTACACGAACTAAAGTAAGATGGTTGGTTAAACACTTCGTATGGCGAAAATAAATGCAATGGCGTATTTTAAACAATAACTAAAATAATTTTAATGTCTGAAATATTTTTCTTGATGGTAGCAAGTTTCTTCAGCCAGCAATTAGCTAATTGCCTTATAAATCATTTTTTCAACCATGCAAAAAAAGTTCTTTTAAACAATGTTAAGATAATGTATTTCAGAAGAAAACCTTTTGATTAGTAGCGTTGTCAAAGATATCAGAGCTCCATCGTGAAAAATATTTGTCTCATGAAAGTCTATAGAGCAGCGCGGATGCTATAAGCAGCATCAAAAATGGCTTAAAAATGGCGTATTCATTTGTTTTGTAAGTTCCAGTTTGGAACTTTTTTTGCCAACAGGCAATTTTCATGGTTTGTATGCTGCTTTGTTAGCCTATGCTATGATGCAAAAATCTTGTAAAAATAGAATACACAGTTTAAATAATCTTTGTAATATAAATAAGGCGTAAAAAAACCTAGAACTGCACGAGTTGTTGTAAAGATAATAATAAATAATAGGGAGGCTCTCACGGCAGTTATACATCCAACCCGACATTGAATAAGCTTTTATAGCATATTCCATGTCTGAGGGTTTTCCTCCGGCGAAATGTTGAACAAAAGTTCAATACACCGGTTTCCCTCAACAACAAAAAAGGGTGGCCATGTATGGGACCTATATTAAAGACATTGCATGGTTATTGGGTTGGATTCCCGATCCACTCGAAAAATAATCGAAACAAAATGGTTTTACTTATATCTTTCAGATAAAACAACACCTTTTATGTGTTCGGTATATTCATTTTCCCCACGACATTTTTATATGAGTCTCATATTTCATAGCAATCTTTTTCTTCTGTGGTTATCTTTTTCTGAATATATGTTAGCTGTTTATCTTTCTATTGACCATTTTCGTTGCCTATGTATTACATGGTGAGTTGAAGCGAAGAATAACAGTTTTTGCTTTATCGCACTTAACTAACATGTCTTTGGCTTGAGGCTCGTATTAAAATCTTACTCGTGCTTTCCAATCTAAGCTATAAACAACACTGGGAGTCAAGACAAGTATCAACAAAATGTTTGTTAGAGAGTATTTTGAACAAAATGTTTTCAATAATCTATTTAACAAATAGATTTAACTGTTTCACGTTCAGTTATAAATACATGAATCTATCTATAGAGGAATTCCTTTATACTTAACATTCACAAAAATTCACTGCAAGTTTCGTTGCTTAAGATATTCTATGCATCTTTGTTTTTACCACATAATGATAATCTCACTTATGCAGTTTAACAAAGGATGATTATCTATCCTAAACCTAACAAATCCAAATCTTACATTAAGATAGATTTTAACTTCTTTAAAAATTTGGCCCAAAACCATTTGCCGCTCCATTCACTACCACCATAAGTTTTGATTATCGTCACATTTATTAATAATTAAATCTACTTAGGTCTCTCTTAAGCATAACACATGTTTAGCTACATTCCACATGATGTCTTACGCAAGCTTATAACTAACTGTATGATATTAGTCAAGTTGTCTCAATTTTTAAATCTCTGACGATGCAACACAAGCAAATTGTGATTTTTAATAATGCAGATAACTACATGAAATGTCCTACTTCATAATGAGTGATTGCTGTTTTATTCCATTTATTTTTCATTTAAATCCTGTTTTCTCTGTATGCTAATTTCTTCAGAACAACAGCTCCAAATAACTGAAAATCTCATTCCCGTGAACCTTCATTCAAATAGTCACGAACCATTCATCGTACATTCTTGTATGTCTATCAGTACTGCGTATGTACGAAAAGTAAAATTTTCTTTGAATAATCTAGTTATGAAACGTATTATTTAAGTTTATCAATATCTATTTACTTGTTTGTCAATATTCCTTGAAGTTCTTTCATATCTTTTGGTTGTTTCATACATATCCCAAAATTGTTTTGAGCATTCAAATTTGCTGTTTTTATATCAAGAATATTACTTTGTACTTTATGCTGTAACAATACACGAATATAGAGCTCAATCAGACCGCAGAGTTTATTAATCATGTCGTCAATACAAGGTATCTGGATCTGTAAATACCTTTATCACCCTTATATTCCTGTCCCACATTCACTCAGTTGGAATGTGCAAAAACTCACTCCCCTATTTCAAGATCTTTTATTGGTGAGGTAAGGTCAGACGTTTCCTTACCTTCATAGTCCTTCCTTGTCTGTTCTGCTTCTGAACATAGCTTTAGACAACTGATTACTGATTTGATATACTCATCGGCAAGATGTCCAATTGCAATGATCAACTACACAACGTAATCGCTTTACCTATAAATCTGTCAGTGACATGCTTATTCAAATAAGTTGGTGGAATCGATCTTCACCGACACTCTCTTTATTAAGTTTTTCTCCTTCTGGAGCTTGAGTTGAACATAATAAGGATAGAGACGTGTTTCTCATTACACTAAAATTCACTGACCTTGTTGTCTGGACCAAATGTTGATTCAGAGCTGCTTTGCTCACTATGGAAATTCATACATACTCTTAACTTTTTCAATCTCGATATTCTCAGGCCATGAAGGACTTCTTTCATTACCTCTTATGAACACGCTTTGTGTACTCGTAATATATTAGTTCATTTGGCTATTTGTTAGGAGGAGTAAAATCGAAAGTCAAAGGTTGAGCTTTTCAGGGGGGTCTCATGGGCGTTCTCAACCTAGAGTTCCTTCACAGCATTTTCCGTATTCCTGGGAGTAGGTTTGCATAATTCAACGTAATTTGTATTATTTTTATCCAGAGTGTAAACATGATTGCGACAGTTTAATGTTTCGTAATTGTTACCTGCATTTTTTAATTGAATACCATTGAATGCGATCAGGTATTTTCCTATATCGCCTCCTGCGCTTCTTTTGTGCATCACAATGTTTTTTTGTTTTCACCAGAATTCAGCAGAACTCAAGCTCGTTTATTTCAAGATTCTCTGATTCAGAATACTCAATATGTACATGTACGTCTCTGTTGTAAGATTGGTCAATTTATTAGGTAGAAGAAACGATATTTCTAATCAATTAGCCATAATTAGGACAAAATTCCTTTGAATGTCCATTCTCGATATTCAAACTTTGCAAACCGAAAAATTCAGCTTCAATTTTAGCAGGTCATTACAATTCCTTGATTACAGCAATTCCGTGAAATAGATATGCTTATATTGTGTACTTGTTTGTCACTAACCACATGTCTATGTATTGTGTATAATGTCAGTTTGATGAAAGTATTCAGCTCGTTGCTACATGTTTCTATGATAAAACTGAAATGCAAACATAAATTTAACTATTCATCATTCTAATTCAAGCAGTTTTCATACAGTAATACAATAAACAATAACTCAGTTACAAAACTTAAACTACAGCAGCTTTACTAAATTGAATAATTAAGTATAGTAAAAATAACTAAGAAAAATAATGAACAACAACTACAATTTCCCACAGTCGCAACGAGAGACTTTCAGCCTTTCCTTTCATACCAATTCTAACATCACTACTTGATTCTTTAATTAAGCGTAAGAAATTCTAAAATTCATCAAAAGTCTGCAGACAAAGGTGTCTGCATGTTCGCGTCACTTGAAGTCGTCGATCTAGTTGCTTCCCGCACTTCAGTTAGTGGTAAAGATATCTAAAAAAACATCACAATAATCAAATAATCAATAATCAAAACAAGCAAAACATTACTATCCAACATCCACAAAACAGGTTTGGTATAAAACAATGGGTCAATTTCATAACCCAGAAGTTATTTGTAAGGCCTCAGATTTCTAGAAAACTCATTGTTTTGGTAATAGACAGATACTGCGATATGTATATGGCTAATTTTTATTCGTAATTAAGAAGCCTTACAATATTATAATATTGTGTTATGTTTTACGTTACAATAGAATACAACATTGTTCCTTCAGATACAGCAGCTGATAAAATATAATTTTACATTATTTTAAAACGTGTCTTACTTTTTCATCGATGTCATTGTGAAATCTATCAAAATGTCTGCCTTTGTTCCATGTTCTGGAAGTCATACATTTTGCCAAATATATAATGACGATTAAAGCAATTAAAGAGACAACGACAACAATTGGACCAAGATAATACCACTGTGACATTCCTAGAAAAAAGGTTAAATTTACGCAGAATATAATTTTTGAAGCAATTTAGAGTTAACTTTGTGTAGCACTTTAATTTGTACCATGTTCGCACGATGAAAAAGTATATAAGGGTTCTTAGACTGCTTTTCTAGTGCAAAGTGATTGATGAAAATGAAAAGTATAAATTTATTTGTTGATGTTTACCATTTATACAAAATTCAAGAAACATATCAAGAAGCATAGACATGCTTAACTAACAAAAATAAACTAAAAAATAACGTTTCAACGTTTCACTATGAATAATACAAATACCTTTTGCTTTTAAAGTTTTTACTTGTATTCCGTCGCTTTCTTTTCCCAAACCGTAATCACTCTTAGCTATCACCTTTATTGTGTACTTAGTGTCGCTCTCCAAACCATCCAGTTGCATTTTCGTTCCAATATCTGTGCTTTGGGACTTGTTGAACCATGTATTTTTACCATATTCTCGATACTTGATGAAGTATGAACGAATGGAGAAATATTGATAAAGATCTGGCTGTTCCCATTCCACATAAACAAAAGTCTCCTTTACATTTGAGAATCTAACATTCCGAGGGGAAGGAGGTTGCACTAAAACAGAAATAAGTCATTACCAAATATTGATAAAATTTTTCATTTTAAGTTTGCGGTAATAGAAACTAGTATCTTAATATACGTCTGCAAACTTTAGATTATGTCATATTTATTTATGATAATGCAATAATTTTCAAAATCGCAGTGCAAAACTGTTTTACTTCATGTAATTTTCATTGAAACAATCAATCTTGATTTACCAACCTGCAGAGGTGTACGTTCACGGTTTTATTTTCAGATGGAAGGCATTTGTGTATATTTTAATGATTAAGACGGTTATGAAATTAGCAAAACATTGGTCAGAGTATTGAAATAATATAGAGGGAACGTATCTTCTATCTAAGTCATAAGCAAAGAAAATATTGTAATGTCGCTCTTTTGTTTAACTACACTGACTTAGATTGAAGTAAAGTTTCCAAATCCTAAAAACCTAAATTTTCCTTACTCGTAGGTGTTGTATACTTTGTAAAGAAAGACCAACTATTTTTGCTGGCTACATGATAATTTATAGAAATTGTGCAATAAGTCTTTTGAATACAAACTTATCTACGAATATATCTTCAGGTACAAAAATTGATGTTTTCATGAGTGCATTCGAAAATATACACGATTGTGAAAAAAACCCATTGACGTCTAAAAGTCCAATTCATAATAATTTAACTCTTAACTTTAGAAATTATTTCCTCAAAACATAATAGTGTGTACGTTTTGGGTTTTTGGCAAAAATGTACAGTTTATTGACCTTTTAATCTTAAGAATTCTGTGTTGACCTTGACATCGCCAATGAGACCAGTTTTTAACTGTTTGATAATCTTACGACCAACGTTTACTGCAACAACATCTATTGTCTCATTTGCTGTTTTAAAGAAACTGACTGCAAAATTCACCTGGATACCATGATTTCTGCAACGCACACAAAACAACACATTGCCATACTAACAAAAACAATTTATTCAACATTATCCTGTGTCAGTTAGCACATACCACTATTTTTTCAATTGCAAAAAACACATTCATTAACTAGAATTTAGTGAAGGAATCATAAGCATGCCTGAATGATATCAATCTTAAAAAAGTGTCATTTGTTTTAGCTAATTTATAAATGCATTTTCGTATGTTCAACTATATTGTGTACTCACTTTTTGAATTCCAAATTTTCCACATCGTTGAATCCTGGCGTATTATTGAAAAACGTGTAAAGCTAAATAAAAATATCGATAGCTTTGCTTTTGACTTTTGTCCTTGATATATTTATATTGTAGTTTAATTATTTGTTTAATGGTCTTGGAAAGCAAAATCAAAATGATCCTAAAGAAATCTTAAACAAATGAAGTGCATAGTCATCAATTGATCACGAAGTGAACATTCAAATAATCCGAAACAAAATCCACTTTTATAGATAACTGCACTTCCATCTACATCATAAAATAAAAAAATAATAATAAATACGTGCAAAAAAAACATGGCATTTCAGTTAGACGCCAGTTTATATCCCTAATTCTCATTTCCTGTTCATCGAAAACTTAACACATGCATTTAAGTTCAGACATACAAGTTCATTATCCTGACTCCTATATACCATTGTTGTTTTAACCAAGGGTGTTTTTCATATTTTACTAAAATATTTAGTAGCAATTATACCTGACTATAAATACGTGCTCCTTTTGATTTTTCATAAGTTGGTGGTTCACTCTTTGGTACATTGTCGAAGATATTAATTGGCAGTTTAATTTCCATCTCAACATCAAGACGAACTGCTGCAAAACAGTAAACAACATTTCCACCCTGCAACGCTTTAGCTAACTAAGTACTTACAGCTAATAATTCGATGAATAGATAATAAATAATTGCCAAAAATGCAAAACCGAAAAATGGCAAATTGCCGCGTCCAGTCCCAGTTAATCAATCGTACATAGAGAGAGATATAACTGTTTATTAATTTGGATTCTTATACAGACACTTACTGACACATAAATCTTTAAACTTTCTTTATGAAAAGAACTCAAAATACCTTGCAAGTTTGTAAAGAACTTGTCAAAACTGTATCCAGCAATTGTGTCAACTTTGTTTATTTGTTTTACAAGTTCATGAGGATCAAGATTAAATTGACGTTTCAAGAGCACGAGAAAAGATACAATTGTACTTCCTTTCCTATGAAGCAGCAATATTATTGTTTATTGCAAGAACAAAACATTTAAACGCAAAAACAACAAAGATAGAAACTTACTGAAATGCAAGAACTCTTGCATCAATGTACCAAAAACTTGTAACACACAACTTGAATATATTGTCGAGCTAAAAAAAGTTGAAAATTGTGTAGGAAACAAGAAGTTCAAGTCTCAGTCGAAAACAAAAAAATATTTACCGCTCTTTCTATTTTTTCCTTCAAGTTATTGTATTCGTTTGAAGATGAATCCGACAAACTTTCTGAAAACTCATGATTTGTCAACCGTATTTTAAGCTTGTACTTCTTGTCATTTTTCTCTGAAAAGGCACATGAGAAATTTTAACTGGATTTTTGAATTTAGACTTTTCTCAAAAGTAGCAAGAGATATGCACGAAATGAAAATGAAAATATTGCAAATTGTTGAGTTCGAGTTACTCGCCATATCTCTTCGTAATATACTCTATACCTAGCGTTCGCCATTTTTGTACCAAAAGCCAGCAACTATAGAAATTAAATGGTGGAAAGACAAATTTTCTTTTGTGTTTTGTTGAGTCCCTACCTTTGGAATTCAGTTGTTTATAGATGTCATAAAAATAGAAAAGCATTTATTCAATGCAGTGGATGTTAATTAAACGCCATTAATAATGTTTTTTTGTCACAAGGGAGCTCATGAGAAAGAAAAATTCGCATTTACGCTACAATATCATAGATTGACATGATTATGAAGAAATCATTCACAATGTCTGTTGACTCAGTACTTCAGTATCTTCCAGAACTATTTTAAACAATAAGATAGTCCTTATAATTGCAATTCAAGAATTGTTTTCATATTCATGGCGTTTTTTTCAACTACACATCATTGAGAACGATCATAAATTACAAATAACATCACTATGGAACATGTAACACATGAAAGTTATTGATTTTATAAACTTTTTCATGTCTTAATCTTGTTGTAGCAAGCTCCTTTTAAATGTGTTTAAAAATAAAGAGGCTTTTGATTTCATTGAATATACATTCAAAGTCGATAAATTTCACTCTCCAAATTGAAAAACAAAGTTGAAATCTTTCCGACTCTAAATCTAGTCACGCAATCTACAAGTTTTGATATCGCTTTCACCTGTTCTTCTGGCCACCATGTTTTTAGTTCGTATAAATCATAATTAGCAATGAATCATAATTCATTTTACATAATTTTCCTCTGGTTTGTTGGACAAGACATTTGAGCATAATGCACTTTCCAATCACTAAGGAGAGTGGAGTTTGACACAGGCTACATCAATGCTTACCTGCGCACAACGTTCCATCTCCAAGATAACCAGGTTTACATTTGCATAAAAATGATCCTTTTGTGTTGATACAAGTTGCTTCTTCATGACAGTTATCAGTAGACAGAGAACATTCGTTAATGTCTACAAATGACACAAAAACCTTTTGTTTTAAATAGAAATTCTAGAAAGGGTGTTCCTGTTAAACACATCTTACCTGTGCAATTGAATCCTGTGTATCCAGATTTACAAATACATGAAAAACTTCCCATTGTGTTTATACATTGACTATTACTGCTGCAGTTGTGCAACTGAAGAGAACATTCATCAAAATCTAATGTAAAATTATTATTTCATTTAATAAGATATAGTGATGATTTGGTTTCCAAATGCTTGTTAATACGGTTAAAATCTTTAAAGATGATAACATTGATTTTCATCATTTTTTATGACAAACAACAAACCTATCATGAAGTATTTATAGGTACAATGATAAAGAAAACTTTACCTTTAGAGCATTTCACACCAGCATCTTCATGATGTTCACAATTATGACTTCCCCATTTGTTATTTACACAACTTGCTAAATTTGGTTCACTACCAGTACATTTAACATCATCCAACCATATCTTTCCATGACCATTTGGTGTATGACTTCCTGGTAGAGCTTTCACTGCATAATCATAACCAAGTTGACGACAAACAACTTCAGCATCTTTTAAATCCCAGTCATCGTCGCATACTGTTCCCCATTCTTCCATATAAAAAATTTCAACACGGCCAGTACCATTTTTACTTTTTGGTCCTTCCAATCTTAGAGGAGGTACTTGGTCTTGTTAAAAAATAAAATAACTCAATGTACTGTTTATAGATAATCACCAAAACCTTGAAATTATTTTTTCTAAACACTTTCTAAAAATTGACCTTTACCAGAACATATGGTTCCATTTCCAAAATAACGAAAGTTGCATTTGCATGAAAATGATCCTTTGTTGTTGATGCAAGTTGCGTTTTGGTGGCAGTTATCAGTAGAAAGAGAACATTCATCGATGTCTAAAAATAAATAGTAAAACCTCAAAATTATCTGAAAATAAATATTTAAAAAAGATAACTAATATCCTGAAACTCATGCAAACGTGTTTATACATATTAAAACAAACTTACCATCGCAATATTTCCCATTCCCTGTAAAGCCTGGGTTACAAATACATTTGAAACTTTGTACAGTGTCGACACATTCTGCATTAATGCTACAGCTGTGTACGTTTGCAGTACATTCATCGAATTCTATAAGTAAAATTTAATTGAAACTGATTTGTAATTGACATTAAATTTGTTGTTGGTTTTTTATAAAAGACAGTGTGAGCAATGACATCAATAGGTACGCATTGCATACATGTGGGTAGCCTGTCAAATATTTAAATACTAAATTAGGGAGATTATCTATGAACATAGTTAAAATAAAACTGTATATTTGATATTGCCTACGTCAATTAGGACTCTCGTGTCTTAAAGGACTTTCACTGAAAACCATTTTTGCTAATCATATTTCATTTCAAATAAATTTGTAAGTCGGCAATCCACACTAAAAATATTTGTATTTCGCACTGTATTCGAAGCCAAATAATTTCATTTGCTTTCAGCGTTTGTTTAAATTCACCAACAGAGTATTGTAAGTCTATATGAGTAAAGCGAAAAATGTACAAACAATGCAAATAATGTTGAATTTGACTTTATACCAGACAGTACATCGTACCAAGTACAAGTTAGTACCGTTCGCTACAACGAGAAATAGCTTATATTTATATGATCGCTTACGAGCCTGCATTTAAATAATATCTTAATATCTTATGAAGTCAATGGACAGAATGAAATAAAAATTGTTAGCAAAACAGCTTGCGATATTTATCCGACAAAGTGACGAACGCACAAAACGGTATTTTTTGTCAATGTTCAAAAGTCCGACTACCCAAAAAACTGCAAGATATGAAATAGTCTATACTAAATTTTCTTCAACATAAATGTTTTATAAAAACAATATACCATTTGAGCACTCCACACCAGCATCTTCAGAATGTCCACAATTATGTCTTCCCCATGCGTTATGGGAACAACTTGAAATATACTTTTCATAACCATTGCAACGAACATCATCTAGCCATATTTTCCCACGTCCATCAGGAACTGATCCTCCTTGTAGAGCCCTCTTAGCTTTTCTATAACCAAGCTCACGACAAACAACTTTTGCATCACTTAAACCCCAGCCATCATCACAAACTGTTCCCCATTCTCCGCTATGAAATACTTCCACACGACCAGTTCCATTTGAACTTTTTGGTCCCTGAAGTCTGACAAGAGGACGTTCGTCTGTTAAAAGATGAAAATAAAAATCTTGGCTTTCAGAGCATGTCTTCTATCTTAACCTAAATTTAACTGTGTTATGGTACTATATTATTGGTTCACCTGTGCAATATGTCCCATTTCCAAAATATCCAGATTTACATCTACATGAATAAGATCCCTGTGTATTGTAACACGTTGCATTTTCATGACAGTTATCAGTAGAAATTGAACATTCATTGACATCTAGAAAAAGGTTTTATATTAGTTGAAATATGGAATACTATAACAAACCTAATGTATCTCCATTGAATTTTGTGCAGGAAATATGATTCTGCATATTAATTGAAAATGACTGAAAGAAGATTCTGATGAAAATTTATGCAAGGCGTCTTTCGTTTTGTAAATACATACTAAAATCTAAATGTTAAGTTTTACAATTAATCATTAGGCAAAACCGAGTGGAACAAAACATGAATTGATGAATTTGTCATGAAAAAATCATGGCAAATTTTTTTGAGATGCATAATTTTTTTACGAATTATATTCGCTGCATGTTCTACTTTAACCTACCATTACAGTTCACTCCATTTCCTGTGAAGCCACGACGACACACGCACTTAAAACTTTCCACTGTGTCAATACATCGAGCTTTGTAGTTGCAATTGTGTAACGATTTAGAGCATTCATTCAAAACTATATGTTGATAAGATAAAATATCTGAAATATTTCACTAAAAAATAAGTTACTTTCGTCAAAACTTAGTAAAAAAACCAAACAAATAACAAATGTCATCATAAGAAAAACTGGTGGATAGAAAAATGGCAGGCGAAAAGCGAATGCCAATATTTTTGTATAATAATGTATTGCAAATACTGGTATTTTGTGTTTAATTGGTATTTTCAATCTGAAAATACTAAAAAAACCTTTAGACAACAAATTCTTGACATAACATGTTGTGTTGTCTTATTGGTATTTGAAAAATGTAGCTTACTTCAAATACATAAATTAATACAGAATGATTTACTGTATCCTAGCAAAAAGTGTTTTGCTCAGCGATAAAATAAAAAAATTCATAAAACACAAAAAATGCCTCTTTGAACTTATCTATTGCTATCAATAACACTATCAAGAATAAATCCTAACTCCACAAGCAATCTTCATGATAGTCAAATTAAAACCAAAACCTTCAAACATTATCAGAATAAAAGGATGAGTTAAAAGTGCTGACACTAAAAGATGCTGTTTAAAGTTTAAATTGTATGACAAACGACAGTCAAATACAAATAATTTCATACTACGAATTTCAACGGTTTGCTTATACAAAATTGAGCTTTGACCATGGATATTTTATGCTAACTAAAGCTCAAATGGCACAGAAAAAGATAGCATAGTTAGTATGAAGATATAGCAATGACTTTACAAATACAAATAGCGTACAATAGCAAATCAACAAATCATTGAATTGAACAACTATAATAAACACATGCAACTGCAGTTGGACTACTTTTTTGGCATTTTGTCGAGCAAGTGAAGGTCGTTTGTTTGTAATAATTTAAAAGGACATTTCCTTCTGGTTTTGTTAATAATACGAATAGCACACGTTACTGAATGACACGGTAACATAACATTGAGCTGGCACTTGAAAAGACTAGCTCATTCCCAGGCTTATGTGCTAATGATGATTCGTTATTTTTTCTTGAGCAAAATACGTTTAATACATGTAGGAAGATTGTATTTGATAGGCACACTTTGTCAAGTTTATTGACTACAACGCAAAGGCCATCAAATACTGTTGCACTGAACTCTGGAACAGTCTGGACATGTACTTTACACATCTTCCTTGATCTTGCGAAATTAATTATTACAGCATTTGTCCTTCATTAAGAGCAAGAGTTTATTCATTAAGGTGTTTCGTACGCTTCAAGTTTCAGTAGCTTCAAGTATCAAGGGAAATTCGATAAAGCAAGGACTTGCTCTTATGCCATTTTTCATTTTTAAAGTTAGCGATACAAACAACAAAAGCTCGTATGGATAACGCAATAAAAACGACAATAAAAAAATATGCCATTTGAAGATATTATCATATTCAATTGAACAGAAAGGTGCATTTAACATTTCCCATGTAGGTGCACTTACTGACTGCATGGGCGAAACTAGAATGCTATTGGGGAGGAATATTCATACAATCAGCTCTGCCCTGCAGATATCTTTTGAAATTAAAAATCATTTAAAATTAAAAATTCATATATGAATATTCACCCCCCCCCAACTAGCGTTTTAGTTTCGCCCCTGATTGATTGTTTGGCTGCTCCGGATAAACAAACCCATTATTCATTCTGGATGTTTTCTGTAGACAAGCATCGTGGTAGATAGGACTACCAACTGTATCAATGGAAACGACGCTAAACACTTGACTAAATCACTCTGCACAAACGTTAACTGCAGTGTCAGTAAAAATCCGCTTGAGTTTTTCAGAAAAAAGATTTGGGCAAATTTCCGCAGCATTTCAAGAATCCTTTACAGGCCTGCACTTGCCCAACATGCTTCAATTTTGAATTGCTTCATCTCGTTAAGTTGAATATGATATGTTATTTAAAAGACATTTGTATTTCTCTTATTATGGTTTGTACTGCGCAAATGATTGTTCAGTATGCGATTTTGTTGTTTGTATCGCTCATTTTAAATCGTTGTTTTACTGAGCTTCCCTTTTTCCCTCAGTATATGAAACAAACAGTAGTCTCCCTTCACAGTGCAACTGGCTGAGGTGTATTTAATTACATTACTGGCTGTGGTTAGCCAGCTCGCAGTTACTATTGATCAAAACGAACTTTAATATTTTTATCGTGCATTTGATATGATGTTTTGACGCTAAAACTGAGTAAACTATTCACGTTTCAATGCATGTTTATTGGAAATAACATGCATGCAATTCATTTCAATTGATTTTACACCTCGTTTGGAATCATTTTATTTCTCAATCATGCATAGTTTAAATGTCGGCTGACTTCGAAAATGAGCAGTTTTTTTAGGCACCTGTAAACAACATATTTTGTGTTTCTATAGAGCTATATAGAAGCATGCAGGAAAGTTTGAAACAAACAAGAAATTGCGTGGCAAGCATAAGTACGGAATGGTAGCTAAAAAGTTGTAAATCTTTAGTTGCACTTATAACTTAGTAATTATGATAAAAATGAAATAATACTACTTACCTTTAGTACATTCAACACCAGCATCTTCAGAATGGTTACAATTATGTATTCCCCATTTCTTATGTTTGCAACTTGAAAGATACATCTCCTTTCCAGTACAATCAACATCATCTAACCATATTGATCCATTACCAGTAGGTACATCATTTCCTTTTAGAGCCTTAGATGCATACTGATAACCAAGTTGACGACATGCAACAATAGCATCATTTAAATCCCAGTAATCATCACAAACTGTTCCCCACTTTCCATCATAAAATATTTCCACACGACCAGATCCATTTGAACGTCTTGGTCCTTTAAGTCTGATCAAAGGAGGTTGGTCTGTGCACACAGAGAAAGAAAATATCTTGTTTAATCTTGTTATACTTTTTCTTAAATTTTGTGATTATTTATTTTCTGTTAATTTGATTACCAACCTTTGAGATTTTTCAAATATTTCTAACCACAAGCCCAAAAACTGGTGATATACTACAATGCATCTCGCACAAGCAATAGCTTCTTTTAAAATCCTATATTCACAATTGCTGGGAAAAAACGCAAAAAGAAAGTCGTTCAAACAAATTTCTACAATGCAAATTTTCCAGGAAAATTATTATTTATTTCTTTAGAAAATTAACTTTGTTGATTGTCTTTCTAGCAAATGAACACAAAGCTATTCACATTGTACAATGACTATCCTAATCTTTAAGAACAATAGTTTCCGACTGGCAGTATTTTATAGACAGCCATACGGAAAGAAAGGTATTTCTGAAACCCCCAAAACAATGACATTCTAAGCGAAGAGCCCAGTTACGATATGCTGTAGTAAACCTTTTTTATACAAGGGGCTTTTTCTCCTTTTACTTGATAATAAATGACATTCTTTAGTCCAAAGTTTGCAAAGATCAGACATGCTCATTGAAATTTTTTTTCATAAACATAGAATTTTTTGTCGGTAAAGTTCTAGCCTATAATGTCCTTCCAAACTCTCAATCAGAATTACAGTTTTTTGTCATCTTATCAATAATAAAAGCAATAATTTTTAATTTTCTTTCTTGCGCAATTGTGAATATATAATATAAAACTGAGCATTTGCACGCGCAAGATGCATTGTGGTATAGTAATTAAGGCAGAAAACCGTACTCATTTTAGTTTGTCATTTTCTATAATATTTTTAATCATCAGGTTTGCTAGTTTGTTGTTTTTCTTTAAAAGTGGAAATTGCGGGAAAATTCACGTTTACGCATCATTAAATATAGAATAATTAATAAATCTGTCATTTTTGAACGCTGGCATTGCGTGTGTCCCTAAACCTCAATTAATCTTCGTTGTTCTAAAGCACAACCAAGTACTATTTGCTGACAACACAAATAAAGAAAAAATTTACTAATATGGCTATACATTCTAGTACTTGTACATAATTTTTAAAGAAATTAAACTTGTTTTTCATAAAATGATAACTAATATAAAACTTTCTCATACCTTTAGAACATTCAACCCCAGCATTCCTGCGCGAACTACAAAACCTGACTTTCCATCCTTTAAATGAACAACTTGAAATATTTGATTCCTTGCCATTACAATAAACATTATCTAACCAAGTTGTTCTTCTACCATAGGGAACATATTGCCCTTTTAAAGCCTTGTATGCACTTACGTAACCAAGTTGACGGCATACAACCTCAGCGTCTTTCAAATCCCAGTTCGTATCACAAATTGTTCCCCATTTTCCATTATGTAACACTTCAACATGACCAGTGCCATGAATAGCCTTTGGTCCTTGAAGCCTTACAGTTTGAGGATGTTCTAAAGAAAAAAATAAAGACAAGTTTGTTATAACAACAGAGTAGCTAATTACTGCCAAATTTCTTTCCTAACTTACTTAAACAAAAAGTTCCATTTCCAACATAACCATCATTGCAATTACATAAATATGAACCATCAGTGTTGCTACAGACTGAATTTTGATGACATCCAACCTCCGCAAGAGAACATTCATTGATGTCTTAAAATGAATAAAAAAAGGAAAATGTTTCGATGCATCAATTTCATGATAAAAATTGTCCATATCCTCGTGAACACAGAATAAGAAGTTTGAAAAACAACCATAATAGCATAACCGTCGTACCTGTGCAAAGAAATCCATTTCCAGTGTAACCAGATTTACACATGCATGTAAAACCTCCTCCTGTATTTGTACATAAAGCGTTTCTACTACAATTGTGCAATTCCAGGTAGCATTTATCGTAATCTATTAGAAAAAACAACAAGATCTTGAGATATTATGAAAATCAATGAGAAATGGTCTCAACTATTCTCCTAAAAGATGTTCAAACAAAATTTACCGTTTGAGCATACCAGACCAACATCTTCACTGTGCCCACAATTATGTTTACCCCAACCACGATGTGAACACTTTGAAAGACTTGTTTCATTGCCAAAACAAGAAACATCATCTAACCATATTTTTCCTGTTCCGATACGAAAGCTACGTCCTTTCAGGATTTTTAGAACCCCTTTATAACCAAGTTGACGACATACAACCAATGAATCTTTTTTATCCCAATTATCATCACACACTGTTCCCCATTCTCCTTCATAAAATATTTCTAATCGACCAGTTCCATTGAAACTCGTTGGTCCTTGTAGTCTGACAGGTGGAGGCCCGTCTGTTAATAGCGGAAAACAGTGCATGCGTAAGTGGCTACGTTTTTTCTATTTTAAAACGACAGCCATTGACTTTTTCAATAAAAGTTCTTCAGGGTTCTTGAAGTTGAGTATTCAAATACTTTGCATAAGAGCTTTTCCTTATAAAAATTTATATTAAATTTTTCTTGAGAAGAAAATATCACATACGACAATGCTTTCATTTCCAACAAAATAGTTAAAAACTCAAAGTGCTGCAATACTATTTCAGAAGGAGATATTTCATTGATCATCGATGAATAAACTAATATTAAGCGGAAAGAAGTGTTATTTGATTATGTTATTTATCGGCTATGAGATCCGGATAGAAAAATATCTTCCCAATAGACAGAAGAAAAATATTTTTCTATCCTGACCGACCTAAACGGTAAATAAGGTATCTATTTTATACTGAATGCAACAATATTATTTTGTTGCTTAGTCAGATTCAAGCCAAGTAAATGTTTGCCCTTCATTTTCAATGAAAACTCAAAATTTATTTAAAATAGGTTATTACAATCAGAAGTTCGCTGATATTTTTAAAACAAAACGAAACGAAACAAAACAAAACAAAACAACTATTCGATTAAGTATTTAGCAATAGAATTCGGGACTGCGGTCAGATATGCTGGAATTTAGACCGTGGACGATACAATCACAGCGCTATACGCAGACGAGATTGATGACTTTCACACTCATATCAACAAACAGAACAGCCACATACAATTTAACAAATATGTTCAACAATATGGAACTCTTCCTTTCTTGGCTGTTTAATCAAACATGACAATTAAAAACTACGAACAACAGTTTATCGCAAGCCAACACATAGTGACCGACTACTAGACCAATCATCTTACAACCCTACATCACACAAAGCCACCACAAACAGAACATTAACAAGACGTGCACAAATCATTTGTTATTCACCAGACGCTCTACACAATAAAAATGCCTCCAAATTCATCAAACGCAACACATACAAACCCAACGAACCCAACGACACGAACAACTCAGTGACAACAGCAACGATACCTTACATCAAAGGTACGTCTGAGACTATTTTACGTATCTTACGACCATACAACATACGTGTCGCATTTAAACCAATCACAACGTTACGACAAATACTAACGAACATCAAGGTCAAAACTAAAAACGAGCGACAAGATGCAGTTTGCAAGATAAACTGCTCCGACTGCCATGCCTCCTATATTGGGGAAACTGGCAGAAACTTAAACATAAGAATTACTAAACACAAACGAGCTACTAAGAAACAAGACAAAACAAATCACATTGCCAAAAATTACCGACTTACAAAACAAAACATTGACTGGGATTCCGCACAATTCATTACTTACAGCACTGACTATAGACAAAAAGTTACGTTAGCAACTTGGTATACCAACTTAGAACAAAACCCACTAAACAGATCACAACAATTACCCAAAACTTACAATCGACTTATTCACAATTTCAAACAAACGAATCAAGCACTTTACTTTAGGCTAATCCACGATGACAGAGCACAATTGACACCCATACACCAACACATTTCCTGTACACACAATACTATGACGTATGAACCAGATAACAAATACTGATAACCTGAAGTTTACTCTTCACTTGACTCTGAAGATGACTACCACTAAGGTTGTTGAAACGTCAGTCTAAATCAACATCAAACGTCCTTCTAGGACTCTAATAACCTGGACGATCTACATCTACAAACATTTTTTATCGATGTTGTCGTTGATGTTATTATTGTTGTTACTGTAATGTCTAACGAATCGGTAAAAAATTTCAAATCGTTTTCTTGTTATGGTGACTTAAATAGCTTTTCAATGGACCTCGCCCGTCGTAGTATAGGATCGGGGTCAAGGTAGTTGGTAAATATATCTTGTAATGAGGAAACCCTCGCATGACGTCACAAAGTAAGTCGCTCCAGTCTTTTGAACGACGGACAAAGCCCATTAAAAGGAGCACTTTACCAAACTTTAAAACAGACATAAAAATGGTTTAACAAACTTACAACTTTTTTCATTGATACATTTGAAATCAAACATAAGTCTGGTTTTCTTCTTTGTTTTTTACCTGAACAATACGCTCCATTTCCAAAATAACCACGGTTACATTTGCATGAATATGATCCATAGGTATTTTTACAAGTTGCGTATTTATGACAGTTATCAGTAGAAAGAGAACATTCATCAACGTCTACAAAACATAAATGATCAATAAGTATCCACCATTTTATGCACAAGCCTTTTTGATACAATGTTACCACAAAAACATCAACAACGCACCTGTACAAATTGATCCATTTCCAGTATAACCAGAATCGCATACACATGAAAAATTTTCCATAATTTTACTACATTCTGCATTTAAACTACAGTTGATTGATCGCTTCGAACATTCTGTAAAATCTATTAGGCAAAATAATAATTTCAATTTTTCTTAATTTCCATAATTTCGTGAGAGCACAATAGTCATAAAACATTTAAATATATGCCAAATTTCTTTAAAACAAACATGTTTTCTTCTTTTACAAAACCTAATACGAACATTTTATAACACCTTAGTCAACTGTAAAGAATTATTCATAACTATTCGATACTTCCACTTTATCACTATAACATATTATCATGTAAACTTCCTATATTGACTCACTTCACTTCGCACTTAAGATGGCATAAAGTATGCCGAAACATGTTTGTTTGAAAAAAATTTGTCTTCTATTTTAAATGTTTTACTTAATTTAACATAAAGAAAACATTGCATTAAAACTAGACCTTTTGAACAGTTTACAATTGCCTGTTCAGATGCTTCACAATTTGTTTTTCCCCATTTGCTATGTAGACAACTTGCAAGATTAAGTTCATTGCCAGTACAGTTAACATAATCAAACCAATATTCTGAAACTTCAGTACGATAGTTACTGACTGATAAAGCTTTCACAGCATTTCCATAACCAAGCTCACGACATACAACCGAAGCATCTTTTAAATCCCAGTCATGACGACATACTAATCCCCATCTTCCTTTATAAAATATTTCCACGTGACCAACTCTTTGAGAAATTTTTGGTCCTCGAAGTCTGACTGGCGGGAGTTGGTCTGTTTAAAGATAAAAAGAATTGATTTCTGCGTTTGTCAAGCCTGAACGTCAATACGTGAAGAAACAATTAAGAAGCGTAATAATGATACAATTTTAATGAGGTCAATTGAAATTGACGAACATTGTTGTAAAAAGTTGCCAAAGGATTTAAATATACTAAATTTAATCACATTTTTCAAACATGTTTGTGTGCAAAACGATGATTTATTGCAATAATAAGTACTAAGGATGATGATGAAAAGTAATTTAACTAAACAAGATAAAATCTATTGTTACGTTTTAACCTTTTAATTATTTCTAATGGGCTTTTAATCTTCTCTTTCTGACAACAAAGTTATGATTAGCACACTTATCATACCAAACTAAACTTTTTTATGACATGTTAAAAAAATGACAAAAAAATTAGCATGTCTGCTAATAGCAATAAAACTTATGTTATGAGTCAAAACTACAACCATAAAATTCATATTTCGCTGTAAATCTGTCTAAATAAACCTGTACAAAATTCTCCATCTCCAAAATGACCATTGAGACATTTGCATGAAAATGATCCCAAAGCATTTATACATGTCGCATTTTCATGACAGTTATTTTCAGTTGAAAAAGAGCATTCATCGATATCTACATTTTAAAAATGAAACTATAATCAGTAAAACTTGATATGACAGCAAACGCTGGACACAACATTTTTTGTGCACATATAAACTTAAACAAATATATTTTGAAGCCTAATTTGTTGGTGATATGTCAGACATCAAGAGCGTGCATGGCAAGTCAAATTTCAGAACATACTCATTATATATTTCCTTTGCAATATATTGTTTTCATAACGAGAGAATACAATCATAGCAAACTATATTAGATGGCTGGTTATTCTGATGACATCTGTAATCATTGCATCTGCTCTGAGTAGTGATTGTTTTCCATACAATCTCGCGCCACGAAGCAGGTTGCAATTATTAAGAGTGAATTTTTTAGGGAACGGAAACGCAGCTAAAAATGTAGTAACCCTAGCTTACACTCGACTAATTATAAAAACAGCTTTCCACATTGTCTTTTTGCTAGGTTTCCATATAATTTTAGTCATTGCACATTTTATTATGTTGTATAAACAAGTAGAAAATTTCATCAAAAAACCTACCATTGCAAATAGTTCCATTTCCTGTATAACCAGATTTACACAAGCATCTATAACTTCCAAACGTGTTTACACACTGGGCATTGATGCTGCAGTTATGTAAGTTTCGGGAACATTCATCTAAATCTATTAATAGAAAAATATAATGCCATCTATTTCGTAAGCCGTCGTTATTCATATTAGTTGAATCCAAAGCTGAATCACACTAGTATTCTATTGCAAATGCTTTAACTTCATCGGCTGTCAGCTGGCTATCTATTTCTCAAAAATTAGGGAGTAGTGAATTAAAAAACCATGGCTTTCCGTCTTCCTCCTGTTCTCAGGTTTCTGACGATAAACTCCATTGTTTACTTGAGAAGTTAATACCAGAGAAAACTAAACTTACAACAAAATACGAAATTTAAGATATTTAAAGAGTAAACAAACCAAAATTAAATTAAAATAGAATTAAACAGGAAATGAGCAAGGGCCGTTCCTTTTTAATAACGACGTCAAAAAATGAACAAGAAAACGAAATAAAGGAAATTCTAACAACTCTTTTCTTAAAAAATACTAGAATGATTCTAGTAAAACATGCAGATTGTGAGCTCAAGATTTTTATGAAGTGATGGCAGAGATGCAAATGTGAGTCGACAGGAAATATCTGTCTAAAAACGTCAACAGTTGTTAAGATTGTAAGACGAGCACAGTTTTCATCAGAGAAATCTCAAATGCATTAGCCAATGCTGTTGAAGAATGATCTATGTATCATATATTATGTAGCATTTCAATAAGAGCGTTTCTAAAGTCATTTTTTTCCACAATGTTTCAAATTATTTAATGATGTATTACCTTCAGAACATTCTACACCTGCATCTTCAGAATGCGCACAATTGTGATTCTCCCATTTGTTATGTGAGCAACTTGAAAGATTTTGCTCATTTCCATTGCACCTAACATCATCTAACCATATCTTTCCTTTACCATCAGGAACAAAACTTCCATGTAAAGCTTTGTTTGCACTTTTATAACCAAGTTGACGACAAACAACTTCTGCATCTTTTAAATCCCAGATGTCATCACAAACAGTTCCCCATTCTCCATTGTGAAAAACCTCTACACGACCAGTACCATTTTTACTTTTTGGTCCACGAATCGCAACAGTTGTTTCTACAGAAAAAAAAGGATTTGTTTATCTATGATAGTGAGCATTTATCTAACATTTAAAATACACGACAAATTTTTTCAAAGCAAACATGTTTCGGCATACTTTATGCCATCTTCAGTGCGAAGTGGATAGGAAGTTTACATGAATACAATATTATAATGGATACAAAATTATATATATAGTGACAAAACGGAAGTATAGATTAGTTATGCATAGTTATTTACAGTTGAGTTATCTCGAGTTGGGTAGGAGTAGGTTTGTCTCTAGTGTTTGCTTCGTTTGTTCTTTTGTCATTGTCATAGGATTTGATGATTTTTTCTATGAAAGGTGAGGGAAAGGAGTTTGAGTCATGATTGTCAATGAGAGCGTTTGAGTCATGATAATAGCCAGCCAACGTATTGTTAATTTTCTGTATGCGGTCATCTATTTTAAATGTCTTATGACTATTGTGCTTTTACGAAATTATGTGAATATTTATCATTATCATATTGGGTGCTAATTTTCACTCGACTGTTGTAACTACCTGAACAAAATTTTCCGTCTCCAAAAAACCCAAAGTTACATTTGCATGAAAATGATCCATTTGTGTGGATACAACTTGCATTTTCATGACAATCATCAGTAGAAAGGGAGCATTCATCAACGTCTATGAATAAAATCATTAACATGTGTTACGATATATAGTAATAATATTAACAAAGTGAAATTTTATTAACTCCGAATGTCATTTTTTATTAACTGCGAATATATATATACAAAATGTATAACAAAGTGCCATCCCGGGGGACATATATATTTACATTTCCAGAATTTGTAGCTGTTGCAGTAAAAAATTCACAGAAAAAAAACACAACATCAATGAAAAAATTGGTCTAGCTAGGTAATTTAAAGATAATAATTTCTGTTTTAGAAAATGATTTATAATAGCTAAAAAAGTTTACCTTCATAACATTTTACACCGGCGTCTTCTGAGTGATTACAGTTATGACCTCCCAAGTATCTGTGTGAACAACTTGAAAGATAAAATTCATTTCCTGTACACTTAACATCATCTAACCATATCGTTCCATTACCACTAGGAACAGCATTTCCTTTAAGAGCTGCCAGAGCTGTTTTATAACCAAGTTGACGACATACAACCTTAGCATCGTTTATATCCCAGTCATCATCACATACTGTTCCCCATTCTCCTTTGTAAAATATTTCTACACGACCTGTGGCATTGGAGCTTGTTGATCCCTGAAGTCTGATTGACCATTTTTGGACATCTTGAAAATTAAAACATTTTGTTTAACACTTTGCCAATTTCTGTTTCGAACCAAACCGAAATAGGAAATATTCTCAAACAGAAAGATTTCAATACAAGACTTCTACAAGCAGGCAACAACTAATTACAATAATCTTCACCATGCATTAGTGTTTTTAGAAGAGGATGGTTTCTCTGAATCTTGTTAATTTGCCTTTTAAAACAGGGAATTAAGCGTCTTACCTCCTACAAAATATGCTTCAATTCGACATAAAATGTTAATAATAATGACTCGATTGATCATGTTTTGTGTATGGAAAGCAGGAAAAGAGCTTACACAAAGTTTCTATGTTTTGAAAAAGCACTTTCATGATACACAGTTTCAGTTCATTTTAGTCCGACGATTGGACCATAGAAACTGATTGCATTTTCCAATTTTTTTTTATGAATTACGATGATGGCACAATATTTGTTATCATAAAGAAAACTATTTATCAATAAGTTGTCCTTCTCACGGCAAAATATTGCCAAAATTGTGTATTTTGCCTCAGTACTAATGTTAGATCCTATGGATAATAGGGGATATAATACCAAGAACAACATGAGGGAGTACTCATGGCACAAAGTAAGTACATCATTGGATCAGTGGGGATGCATTACCATAACGAAACTGTGCGTGTGTAAACAAAATGGAGTACATAAATCTTTGTACAAGGAATGCATTAAGACGATAAAACGAGGTATTTGCACGTCTTATTGAGTATGTAAGTTATTAGATAATATGGAAGGTGTATTACTACTACCAAAATAAAACCATGCAACAAAGTGTTCTTTATTGATATAGGAGAATGGTCAGAAACATTTGTTTTCGAATATATCTGAAAAAAATTTCTGCAGCATTACTAAATTCAATAAAAGAAATTCTAAACACTTGTTGAGATAAAAAATTAAACGACTTTTTTTCTTTGGATCAAACAAAAGCGATAGTTCACGATTTTGATCGAAAACGGTTGTTTTGGATTATAAAATTTGCTTCAAAAAACAGAATCGATAGTGCTGCAAAATTACAATGTTTACAATGTAGTTAATTACAGCAGAAATATGTCTTTCCTTTGGAAGAAATATGATAGCTGATCATCAATATATTCTCGTTTTATGCATGCATGACAATAAAGTATGCATCACTCTGCTAAATTTTTAGTGGTACGTGAGCTTTTCGTGTTCTGCTATTTTTAATCGTAATATTTATGTAGATGGGGCAGCTATCAACAAAATGAACCTCAGCACTTCTTTAGAAGGCGGGTAGTTAATAGTAAACATTACATAAAAAGCTAAACAGTTTTGCCTTTTGTACGTTATCCATATTCTGCATTTTTTATTCTTTCTTGGCAAGAAACGTAGGAAAAACGTCCTAAGCATTTTTTGACAGCAAATTTTTTACTTAAAAAGGTACTGGAGAATAAAGTTTATGGCTGGTAATAAAATGGGAGCGTTTCTTGTCAAAGGATATCTGACTTTTTGTTATTTCATATTGGTATCTCGTTTCATGGTTTTCACAACTAATAACCATGTTAATCAGAAGATTGAATCAAACTCTACAATCGTCATTTTTACCAGATAATGATGATGTACAAGCGGCCAAGTCATTCCACAATAGGTTGGTGTGACGCATTGTTAAGTTAACTTAACACATGCATGTATTGATCCATTCCACTTCTTCATAAATTTAACTGGTGATCTCTAGGTTTCACAACGTTTTCAATTATTCCTCGCTTTCAATCCTACTTTAGTTGCGCTAAAAATATTTTTACCTCATTCAAGGGAAACCTTTGATGTGATTATATAACCGAGAACTTAAAGATCCTCTACTTTAACAAGGCAAGGAAACCGTTCGTAATATTCTTTAATAAGCAATTCTAAAGTTTATCTTGATTTTAAAATTGAGTGAATAAGCCCTCATGCAAAAACTTCAATCTACATAACACACGATTACCATCTATACTTTCTTCTTGCTCAAACGTTCCCTAAAAAACATCCTCTTGGTGAAAGCGTTCTGATTAACAAAAAAAAACGCTCTCTTAAATGTCCAGGGGTACTCTATCGTCTTCAGTTGTGATTACCTTATTTTGCTCGCTCCTATATTTCTCACACGTTTTACATGTTTTTCCTCCATGTCCCACTTCATACCGTATTGTCTTATCTGAATATCTTTTTATCCACCCATCTCTATAGCTAATATTGTATTGAAATCTGACGTCAAGTTGTCGGTCATCAATCAAAAACTGTGTACAATGTACGATGTTAAAATTTTTTTCAACATTAAACTCTTTCAGTCTTATCAGCATTCCCACTTAATTTTTTCTCGGCAGTTCTTGAGTAGAACTTTTTTACTTTGGCTTTACTGCTTTCATATTACAGATTGACACTTGCTCAGTAGCTCTCGTATCTGCCATTATAATTAAAAGCATTTTATTCAATTTCTTTATTAACTGAAGTAATTTACGTTTTAAAACGTCCACTGTCCTCATATTATATTCAAATAAGTTTCTATCATCTTACTTTAATGAATTTTGGCTTTTTCCTAAAATGAAAACTGCATCATTACGCAGTGACGATGGCGAAACTAGCTCGATGATTAGGAAGAATTAAGTTTCTTTGAAATTAATTCTTTTCTGCGGACTATAACATGCCCTCCCCCAAATTATCGATGCTACCTACACCACTGACTCATTACTTCATCACAACGTCTTTCACATCCAAGGATTGAAACATTGCCTTCTTTTGTCATTTTACTTTGTTCAAGGTAGCTTTGCGTCGAAACTTTTATAATATGCAAGCTGAAGTGCTACTTTATTTCATATACTATGAGAAGCCTGTATTATAACCTGTCATTCAACTGTCATTTAACTGAAGCAAAAATGAAGTCATTGTATGGGAATTTTGGGATTTAGTTTCGGATATTAATCATTAATAGTATCAATAAATAAAGCAAAATTCGTATTGTTATCATCATTGTTGGACTATTGATTCAATTCGACTTTTACTTCAGAGTTTTACCTTTTAAACATTCTACACCTGCATCTTCTGAATGTCTACAATTGTGTCTTCCCCATCCACGATTAGAACAACTTGAAAGATTTTGTTCATTTCCATTGCACCCAACATCATCTAACCATATCTTTCCTTTACCATCAGGAACTAAACTTCCTTGTAAAGCTTTGTACGCACTTCCATAACCAAGTTGACGACAAACGACCTCAGCATCTTTTAAATCCCAGCTGTCATCACAAATTGTTCCCCACTGTCCATTGTAAAATATTTCAACTCGTCCTGTTCCATGGTCCTTTTTTGGTCCTTGGAGTCTGACGGCATATAATTGCTCTGTTTAATAATTCAATAAGATGTTAGATATTTTGATATGGTCACATAAATGTGAGAAACAAAAAATAGATGTTGTCAAATATAAGGAATCAACTACAGAGCCAATCAAAAACAGTGATAAGTGTCACGGGTCTATTTATATAATTTACTACGCAACATTGCGTTACATAATAATTTAGGCAACAATGACCAGACGTTGTAACAATAGAAATAAGACTATAACAGCAGTGATGTAAAAATTTTAATGCCACAACTTATGACAAGTTCCTATGACTAAAAAATAAAATCATGCTTGGTAATTCATTATATATGGTTGTTTGTTATATGGGTGGGGTAGATACTTTTTAAATGCTGGAAAAATTTAAATTATCTTCAATTTACTTAGCAACTTAGGATTTTTAAATTATTGATAAATAAACACATTAGCTAATGAAAATTAAAAAGAAACATTGTCAACCCTCGTTCCTAAAAAAGTCGTGGAAAATGGTAAATTTGAATTTATTTTAACGTTTACCAAAAAGAGAATGCAATGAAAGGTATTTATCCAATCCAACTTTTGAATGGCATTATGGCTCAATTCCTATATGTATATGATGTATAAATTATGCAGCAAACTCAACAAAGGTGTGGCAAATAAATTAGGCCTCTTTTTTGCCTATCATTTATAATCTAAAGAGAAAATATTTTCCGCTTTTGGCCAATTAGGCAAAACAATATCGTACTACATCTTTTGATAGGAAAAATCATTTTTTTAAATTTAATCCTGTCTTGAAACAAGTTAATGAAAGAAAAGTGTTGCAACAGATTGACAATTCTTGGGAGTAGGGAAAGGGGCTATATGCACATACTTAAATTGCATAATCCATCATCACAATTGATTTCAACAGAAACTGGCACTAAAGAACATTTATATATGAATATTGGCCCCCTACAATCATCAATCTTCGCCGCATTTGATTCTATTATTGATGATATTTAAGATGCTTTCTCAGGAGTGGTAAAAAATACCTCTAGCACTCATAATAAATTTGAGTTCAACAACTGAACTAATGGCTAAAGTAATTTCAGTCAAAAGTAAAGAACTATTTATAGCACTAACATCCTATACATCTGTACTACCCTTAACTTTATTCAGAGTAAATCAAGGAAAGAATCACTAAATGAATCCGGTACACATCCGAGAAAAGTCTGTAAAAAGTCGAGAAGTGCCTGCAAATGTCTAAAATCCGTAAATTTTCCTCAAAATTCTCACAAAATTCGTGAAAGCCTCACACACTCAAAAATAATAATCATGAGTATATGAGGAAATTTCAACATAACCGTAATGACGTTTACTTTTTCCCAAAGTAATGATCAGAGATAGCCGTGTGACTGTGAATTTATACTGCCAATACTTCATGTCATAAGAGTTTATTGATTTTATAACAAAAACATCCCAATGGGTGAAGGAAGTGTACGTTGCGAAAATCGCTACGAAATTATTAAATATTTTGACATTGTTTCTGGGAACGCACTTTTGATCTTGGCAATGTCCCGTCAATCTTACTCCAGTGACAATTTCATATTGACAATTGTATTTCGCCACGCTCTTGCAAAATAAGAGCGATGTTTTAATGATTGTTGCAGGTGAAGTGACCACAATAATGGAGTGACTTAACATTTGATCAGTTGTTAAGCCAGCCCAATCTGATTTTCAGCAAAAATTATTATTCATTTCTTTAGAAGATTTATTCAATTGATTGCAATGAGTGATTGAACACGAAAACATTTGTGTTGTACTAAGAGTAAATATTGGGGCTCCTGCATTTAATAAACAATTATTGTATGAGGTTGAGCATGATATCAAAAATTATTCAGACCGATGTCATTGTTATTTGCCGAAGCAAAGCTTATATGGTTGTTTGTTAAAAGAGTGGGGTAGATACTTTTTAAATTATGGAAATATTTAATGTGTGCTTTATGCATTGATCTTTCGAAATTTCTACATTTTATTTTATTGAAAAGATTTTGTGTTTGACTAGTTGAGATAAAATACTTTACTAATTTTCTGTTCAATTCAATCAGTCACAATTCACAATGTATATGTTATAATGTTCTACTATCCCACTACTCATAATATAAATAAATGAAATCGATATTTAAGCTAAGAAAATATTAGAAAGTATAAAGATGATACCATTTTGTTTCTGACTGGTGAGACATTGAAGAAACTGTGGGCTTCAACTTACAAATGGAATAAAAGTTTTTGCTACTTCGCGGAAGGATAACAATCTTATAATAAAAACAAAACCGAGTCCATGTTGCTAGATCCGCTACCGAAGGCGCTGGTATAGATGGAAAACATTAAGTTGAGTTTTTCAGCACCAGTCTTTTTGCAAACATCTAGACATAATTTGTCAATAACACTATGATTTATCAATTCTAACTCTCAAATGCCGCCAACCTAATTTCAAACTCTTTAAAAACTATACGCAAAGAACTTATTTTCAAAATTCAAGGATGTCAAAAAATGGATATGAAAGGAAGATTGAATACACTTCATGCTATCGCAGAATCGTTCCTCCTTTCCTCATTTCCTTTTAGCAATTCAGCGGTGGAAGTCCACAAGAATTCGTCACTGCAGTGGTTTCTGTTTGCGCAAAACGTCGTTCATGGGCGACAAAAATTTTCAATCGTTCGTTCTTAGTATATGATACATATTCTTGACATTGGATTATGAACAACCTTTTGCATTATATTTTAGTATCTGCATTCTATACGGAGCTCTCTCTTTTGTGATGCATAAAAAAGTCTTTAACTTTTTGTTTTGTTTGATTTAATAGGTTGCGTATTTCCGGTGTCCGTGATCCTTAATTTTTTTTTCAACAATTTAAATTAAAATGGAAGTTATGGAACGTCTGTTTATAACTTCCTCAAATATTAGATTTTTAGCTACATTGGATAATTTGCATGGAATTTTTCAATCAGATTGTCAATTATATATTGCTTAGTGAATTTCGGCTGTGTTTGGCGTTTCTTTGGTGCTAAAACACCAAAATTGCGTAATAATAATGGGTTAAGTTGAAATAGTATAGATTCAATAATTCTTAACTAAAAACAATTTTACAAGTGCGCACGTAGTAAGCTGTTAGCTTTTCAGCTAAAGGAAAGCAGAAAATAAGAGTTGTGAGTCAATGTTGTCTTTGTTTAACGTTTGCGTAAACAATGTAAGTCAATGTCATTAGTAGGAGTATATTTATGACATAAAAAAAATTAATCAATAAGCGATATGAAGTAGACAGTAAGATGGCGTGGTAAAACATTGGAAATAAAAACAACGTAATAAGTTCCAACAACTACTTTGATGAAAGCACGTACACAATTATATGCAACTATGTCCAGTACGTCCGTTGAAACAACAAATATCGTTTTTCTTACCAAGGTATATACTGTTTTCACAGCAATTATTGTTAAATCATAGTTTACTTAGTAATATGAAAATTTTGTTTACACTTATACATTATCGCTGGCATTTCAACATATAAAGTAAATGTATAAAAACGCATTGACCAACCATTCAGATTAACATCATATACACTGATCACATGCAAGCGTCCAGCCGTTAACAGTACACAAGACAAACAACAAAGTAAGGAGTGCAAAAAGGCAACAATCAAATTTTCATAGTCCGTTATTTTTCAAATTATTTGTTGTATTCGAATGTGATTTGTTTGTTATAAAATGCAATTCTATAGGATACAAATTAATCCTAACGTAACTAATCAAATATTTCTCTATGTGCAAAGTGTACTTTGAGTAATTGACTTACCTTTAGCTTTCACAATCGTTATGAAAATAAGAGTAAAAACCAGCAGTGTACTAGAAGCCATTTAATTAACCAGTAACTTCAGTGTATAGATTAACATCATATACACTGATCACATGCAAGCGTCCAGCCGTTAACAGTACACAAGACAAACAACAAAGTAAGGAGTGCCGAAATGCAACAATCAAATTTTCATAGTCCGTTATTTTTCAAATTATTTGTTGTATTCGAATGTGATTTGTTTGTTATAAAATGCAATTCTATAGGATACAAATTAATCCTAACGTAACTAATCAAATATTTCTCTATGTGCAAAGTGTACTTTGAGTAATTGACTTACCTTTAGCTTTCACAATCGTTATGAAAATAAGAGTAAAAACCAGCAGTGTACTAGAAGCCATTTAATTAACCAGTAACTTCAAACTTTAGTAAAACTAAATGATTAAGTTATGTTAAGAACAGCTCTTCGTAGAACGCATGACTGAACTTCGAACAAACGAAAGGCAATAACATTCATCCGGAAAACACATTTACAAGACAATATATAATTATGCATTAGATATGCAAGGTGTAAAATATTGAACGAACTTTATTCTTTGGTAATATCCAAAGAGTCAGAGTGACTCGAAATGTTGCAAGGATTCGGGTTAGGACTCATTTTAGCTATAATACCACTTTTCCACATCTTAGCTAAGCTAAATGCTTCATCGTCAAAAGAGGAAGTATTTTCCCTACGCACGTAATTCATAAGCAGAGCCACCTTGAATGTTGACGTCGTTCGCAACATGTATCTAACACTTCCGCTGCGCGTATTTCTTATCTTTTTTCAAGATGATCAAACTTTAACTTTGCCTTGTAAATTTTATTCTCTAGAAACGCTAACTCTTTACCTACACTAACGAAGTGGCGTGCGGTGACCGAATTTAATAGGCAAGCGCTGGGGGTGAGGTTCGCGGCTGGCCCCCAGAAAATTTTTGGATTTTGAAGGCTACTGGAGCGCATTTCCCGCGATTTCTGGGAGTACTTTGTCGAAAAAAATGTATCTGTCATGACTGAAACAGTATTGAAAAAATCTAAAAAATTCAAAAACTTTTATAGAGTATATATCACAATTACGGTTTAAAAGTATTACATGTGGTATTGTGATATATAATGGTATCGACTACACAGAAAAACATTTGACGGAAGGGCGCCTTTACATCCTCTTCACTTTGCCCGCGTTTCAGTGCTACTTTGACGATACTTGACGTAAAATTCCAATAATCTACGAATTTTGTTCGTTGTTCTTGAATCTTATCTTTCGTCTCCCGAACTTTCGTGACACAGAAGACAATATCGAACTGCTTACTCTGAATGATATTATACAAAACATCCGTAAGACCAAATATTTCTGAAAATATTTTAAGGCAGAACACAAACTGGAAATCTGCAAGAACTTGTCGGTAGCCCCTCGCTTCGTTTAACGTGGTACCGTCAAACTCGTCATCATTTTCGATGATGTATTCGAAAACTTCGAGCAGCTTTGCTCTTGTCTCCAGTACAGCATGGATTAACCTGCTTTGATAGTGCCATCGAACAGCTGTTCCAGTGGGAATGCGTCTGCCGACAACTGTGTCCAACAGGTATGTTCTCTTGAACGAGGCGTGAAAAAAGGATGAAAGACCAGTGACGGTTTTAAAAAATATACGACACTCTTTAGTTGACGAGACAGCTTGAACAAGGACCAAATTTAATAATTACGTAAAACCAAATTTAACTTTATAATTAGGACCAAATTTAACTTTATAATTACGTAAAACTACTCAAATTTCAAGTACATTATCCGCTGTGTAATAACTGCACCTTCTTTAACCAAATATATAAAAAGCCTGTAAATAAATTCTAACACATAGAACACTCACGACTGTTGTAAATAACTTCTTCGCTGGTGAATAAAATAATCACAAAATTTAGTAGCGTTCTAGTACATTGAACTCACGTTCGGAGCTCATACGAAAGACTTATGTATAACGCTAAAATCTACCGGATACAAATATCAAAACTACTACGCAAAAGGAAGCTCTTGTCAATATCATAATCTTGTATTACATGCTACAGATATCTTCTACATACATAAATTGCAAGACAATAGGCACGAAATGTAATGTAGCAGTCGTGATTATAACAATTAAGAACAGCCAGTTTCGCGCACAAAATTGGCACGGTGTGTTACAAACTGAGGCCATGGCGTTGTTTAATGTTTATATTTTGGTATAATGACGTCATGGCAACGTGTTCTCCCGTTCTTCAAAATGTGTCTGGCACTGACTTGTACGTTTCAGAATATCGGAGAGTCGTGTTTATTATTTAGTATCTTGTACCTTTTATTTTTAGTCATTAATTTACGAATTCAACGACACAAGACTGACAAGAGCATAGTGTTTTGGTCATAATGCTAGTCATACTTTACCACAACACACGTTTGCGTGCATTTCGATATCTCTGCAGACTGCGGCCCCTGCTTGTTTACGCACATTGTGCGCAGAAAATAATAAAATAACCAGTAAAGCACCTACTACTTTGAATTAGAAATCAGAACATTACCTTTCGCTCTCAGTCATCTTTTAATAAACGATAACATTAACGGCGTGAATAATTCGGATGTCCAATGTGTTGAATATACGAATATTATTCGCGCGCTGATATGTGTTTAAAATTGCGAGCGTACAAGACTGTTGACCAATTGCTATCAAGCGGCGCCCTTAGAAGCGCCGCTTGCTTTTCTCATTATTCCTCGAATAAGAAGCCTCCAAATCTAGATTAACGCATGCGCAAATGTTCAAGTTGAGCTCTTGGTCAATAAATAAGAAATTTTTAAGGTGTATTTAATCCACTTGACTCATCTTACAAGTGCAGCAAAGTGAAACCGAAAACCACGACAGTAAATCGCGTATAAATAGCAAACATTTCAACTGTAAAGACAATTTAGACAAAAGATTACATTGACATTGTTTAGAACAGAAAAATTTAAACTGATTTTGCTCAGAGATTGATCCAAAAAATTTTTGTTCGGTAAAATGCTTAGGCAAGCGGCGCTTGCCTACGCTTGCATGACCGCACGCCACTGCACTAACGTTTCTACCTTTTGAAAAAAATGATAAGGAAGCTGAAATAACCATATACGTTCTTTACCACATGTCGTGAAAAATAGGTACGCTTGGGTACATTTATCTGCTCCATCTTATGATGTATTGATGTTCATCCAGTTAATGCAAAAGTAAGTATATTTTATTGTAAATGTGAAGTTCTTTGACTCTTAATTTTCTTCACTGAATGTGTTTGTTTACATTGTAAAATTTGTAAAATAAATTGTTAGATGTCTACCGTGATTTGACTTGAAAAAGGATCTTACAACACGTTTAATGTCCAAATTACTTCACATTACGAAATAGGAATATTGATAACAGTAAGAATTCATGAAACACTATAGTACTACATATGTATTATTATTTTGAGCTGTTTTCGATTGTTTTCGATTGTTTTGATGAATTGCTTCACAAAAAATTATAAAAATATAGTTCAAATCAATTATAAAAATATAGTTTCCATCAATCACAACGTAAGCATGTTCGACCGTTGATAAACAGGCAACTGTTATGTCACTTGTAGATTTTGAGTTTACTGCAATCAACCTTTCTCATTTTTGCAAACCTCTAAACACAAACTTTCAATTATGCATTAGCCATTTAAACTCAATTCGCGTTTGAAAACTATTTTAAATTTCAACTAATCGAAAATTGCAAAATGTCGGCTTTTATTTTAATGACGGTTTAAAGTTAAAATACATTGTAAATTTTTTAGATGTCGATAGTTTTAGACCTATCTGCGAGAAAATTTAAGCCCTTCAGGAAGCTCGATTACTAGTTTTCTCTATTCAAACGTTTGTAGCAAAATGTGTTTCGTGTGAGTTTTTTTTAATATTGTTACTTTTTTGTTATCTCAGTGCTTTTTACGTTTTAAATGAACAATAAGCAATATAAACTTATGTTGTTCTTGCATGTTTTAGTATTTTTCGAATTCACGTATTAGCATAGTTCAATTATTTCTTAACATTTTGCTAATACAAATGCATTTTGCTTATACGAATGACATTTTGCTTATACGAATAACATTTTGCTTATACGAATAACATTTTGCTTATACGAATAACATTTTGCTTATACGAATAACATTTTGCTTATACGAATGACATTTTGCTTATACGAATAACATTTTGCTTATACGAATAACATTTTGCTTATACGAATAACATTTTGCTTATACGAATAACATTTTGCTTATACGAATGACATTTTGCTTATACGAATAACATTTTGCTTATACGAATGACATTTTGCTTATACGAATAACATTTTGCTTATACGAATAACATTTTGCTTATACGAATGACATTTTGCTTATACGAATAACATTTTGCTTATACGAATGACATTTTGCTTATACGAATAACATTTTGCTTATACGAATGACATTTTGCTTATACGAATAACATTTTGCTTATACGAATAACATTTTGCTTATACGAATGACGTTTTGCTTATACGAATGACGTTTTGCTTATACGAATGACTATAATTCATGTATTTTTACATATTCTAAAAGAAAAAATCTAATTTTCACATATTTTCATATTTTTGCCAAAACATAAAGCTTTTTTACACATTTCACACAAAAATTTAAATTTTTGCATTTTTTCATATTTTTGTCATTAAACTATAATTTATACATTTTCAGACTTTTTAAGAAAAAATTTTTCAGATTCAAATGAATTCAAACTTTTTTCGGATTCAAATTAATTCAAATGAAAACTTAACAATTTGATGATCTTTTTGAAGTTATGTTAGTATTGGAAGTTATTCGCCATGTCTAATACAAATAACAAACTAAGGCAGCCACATCTCAGTTGTATATAACACGTACATTGTGCACGAGCCCCGGATAATTTCTACTTTGAACGAGAAAATTGTGTAACTGGTGGGAATTTCTTTACAACGTGTGCTTTGCTCATCTAATCAACATCAAAATCAATCGTACCTAGCGCCATCTAAAGCACCCCTACTTTGCACCGTTTCATTCAGTGCTTTGCGCGCCCAGTGCCACATTACAACTTAAATTGAGGCAAGCGCTGCTGCATGATATGGATTAAATGAAAGTATATCAAAATATTGCATAGAGCCAGACGAAATTAACTTATTAGAAATGCTTTACTTCTTTGAACATTTTGTTAACATAAAAAACCATTCTCAAGTTTCAATATAACTACTCTTTAGCATGAAATGTGTGAAAATGAATGAACTATAGTCTGTAGCATGAAAATAGGTGTAAATGCATGAACTATAATTTTTGGCATGAAAATGTCTGAAAATGCATGAAATATAGTTTTTGGCATGAAAATGAATGAAAATGTGTGAAGATGTATGAACTAAAGTCTTTGGAATGAAAATGTGTGAAAATGCATGAACTATAGTTTTTGGAATGAAAATGTATGAAAATGCATCAACTAAAGTCTTTGGCATGAAAATGTGTGAAAATGCATGAACTATAGTCTTTGGCATGAAAATGCGTGAAAAAGCATGAACTATACTCTTCGGAATGAAAATGCATGAACTATAGTTTTGGCATGAAAATGTGTGCAAATTGCATGAACTATAGACTTAAGCATTAAAATGCGTGAAAAAGCATGAACTATGCTCTTTGGAATGCAAATGCATATATATATAGAATGAACACTATTGATCACGAATTTTTGTGCAAAACACTATAGATCACGAATTTTCATGCAAAAAACTACAGATCACGAACTTTCATGCAAAAGACTATAGATCA